CGACGAGTGTCCGTGGATGAAGCAGTGATTCCAGGCGCAGCCTGGCGACGTGATGGCGCTTCAAGGGACAGTTGACCATCTCGACGGCTCTTCTTCAAAATCGATCTCGGTAGGCCAACGCGACGAGTGTCCGTGGATGAAGCAGTGATTCCAGGCGCAGGAGCCGGGCGATGCGTCGGAGTAGCCAGCATAAGAGACGATTGACTAGTTCGACGGTTGGTCCTTGAGATTGAGGTCGGTGGAACGACGCGAGGACTTCCAGCGGACGAAGTAATTGCGGGTATGGCATAGCGAAGTGACGGCGTACGAGGGCAAGGGGGTAGCATTTCCATTCGCTCACCAGGAGGAACAAATTCTGGCGCGGTCGCTCGAAGATTCGTAGCAGAGATAGGGTTCGCTGGTCGAGTTGGTGGTACGAATTTCGGTGCGTCTGTAAAGGGGTCTGCAAGGGTACCAATGGGGGAGACTGGGGGACTAGATTAACTGTGAGCATTGGAATGGCAACGAAGAGCATGTGATGTGACTTACTTCGCTGGCTGGCGAACGGGCTTCAGCGGTTCTTGAGCTTCCCGACCGTACTGCTCAGCAGACAGCCAAGGTGGCAGAAGCTGGTGTCTCTCGGGGATGGGAGCACGGATGGCTCCATAGCCACGATAGTTTCCAGTCACAGGAACAGGAGCACGGATCTGTCCATAACCACCATATTGTCCACTTGCCACAGCCGGAGCACGGGCAGATCCATAGCCATGATAGTTGCCGTTCGCCGGAGCAGGAACACGAATAGGTCCATACAAGCCATGATAGTTTCCGGTGTTGTTCGAGGTGTACCATCCTGCGGGTTGTCCATTGGCACCATTGGGTTGGTAAGATCGGCGAGATTGGGAACCGAGGGATTGTTGATGTCTGGCTGCCATTGTTTGAACCACCTCGCTCGGATTGAGCGGCAGTGGTTTGTTAAAGTCGGACATCTTAATTTTGGTGACTGCGGCGAGTCGATCGAATGCGCCGTCAAGTCCGAATGCGTGCGCCGGACGGGACAATGTAGGGCTTGGTTGGTGTTCAGTGGTAGAGGAAGGAGGAATTGGCAGAGGAGCAGTGCTAGGATTGCCGGTTGTTGTGTCAAGCGTAAAGCTGTACGCAGAACGACGGCGGCGGCGCGTCGAAACGCTTGATAGGGTTCTCTGGACACTGTCTTCGACGGTAGAAGGAGGAGAATTCGTGGGAGTGGTGGCCGAAGGACGACTAGTGGACGGAGCTGTAGTCGAAGGTCGAGTGGTTGATCGAACAGATAGAAACCTCTTGAGGCGGTTGCGGCGCGTCCGAGGATTTGAGAGACTCTGTTCCACAACACCCAGTGCAGTGGGATGACGAGAGTTTCTTGGGAAAATAGAAGAGGAATGAAGGTGTCTTGGAGTAGAAGTAGCAGGGTCAGAGGTTGTCTCAAGAGGAGAGGAGCGCACAGCCGATGCTTCAGCCGCAGAGACGGCAGCGGCTGATGGATGAATAACAGACGGTGCCCGACGGTTCACTGCGGAACGGGTTGAGTTGTGCGATTTTAACTTTTGTGAGGATGAGATGGACTTCTTGCTTTGGCTCTCGCGGCGGAACAAAGACAACATGCTGTTGGCCGTATTCTTCAACCAGCCCTGCTGGGACTCTATTTTCTGCAGCACAGGTGTGCAACTTCGGCGCACGACGGACCCTTGCCTTGTTCCAGTGGCAGTCATGGCAATTCCATCCAGGACAGTTGCTTGAGATGGATCTCTCTTTCGTGGCGATCTTGGGTAGAATATGTCCCCATCAACCATTCGGAATTCTCTATGCCTCGCCCGTGCTCTCATACTCGCGGTGAGCGGCTCTCCTGAAGCAACTCGAGTGTTACGCCCGGCGCCCTTGAGCACTTCATCTTGATCATCTCCCGCTTCATCTTCTCCCAGAGTATCTGTGTTCTCATTCTGGTCTGGCTGAATGCCAGTGTCTGAAGGCTCAGAGTCAACATTCTTGTTGGACGACTGCTCGATGATCCCTGTTGATTGGGCTTCAACAGATGCGAGTGCTGGCAAACCGCTAGTTTCGGTCCTGGAACTTGCTTGATTGGTTGCTACAACGGCTTCTTCTGGGCTCTCCGGACTGATAGGCGAGCTGACTTGTTGGAGGGTGATGATTTCAGCTTCACCACCTCTCAAACTGGGTCCATTGCCCGTGACAGATGTGGGATTGTTTGTGACCATCTCGAAAGAAAGCAAGAGCGAGCGGTCGACATCTGGGGTCAGGTTTGACGGGTCCACCTCAACAAATTCTTGCTGGGACGATACTGCGCTGGCTGTTAAGCGGGCACGATTGCTCTGCTGTATTCGGGCCACATATGCATTCGCTGCAGCTGGATCACCAGATGCCAGGGCAGTGCGAGCTCTCTGGTGAGAATATGTTATGGCAGGCAATACGTATGCGTCTTCCAGGTCGACCTCTCCTGTCTGGCCAGGAGTTGCCCTTCCAGCTTGGTCTTGGTTTTGATGGCCAGGGCTAGAAGCCAACGCTGATGGCCGAGCTTGAGCAAGGCCTCGCTCGCATTTCTTGATGAAGTTCCGCGCTTTGAGGATGCGGATGTGACGCTGAGTTGGCTCCGGAAGGACGAAATTGCCAATTTTGGGTATGAAAGGACGCAGTCTATCATCCTGGCGGGGATGTCAGCCTCGACTTGCAATTCAGTGGTCGAATACAACTTACATTTCGGTGTTTCCAACTATGACGCCAGGAGCGCCAGATGTCACCATCATCGCCAAAGCCGCCGGCAGCATTGTCGGTCTCAAGAAATTCTTGGAGGAGACTGGTGGCATCGGCCATTCCCTGATACCCAAATCTCTCGAGGATCAGGCTGTACACCTCTTCCATGCCAAAGAGGAAGGGATAGCAAGGGACAACCCGCGTCCCAACTTCGCGGAGAAAGTATCGACATGACTCTTCATCAAAGCATCCAAACTCTTCAACCGGAGGGGAATTGACAAAGGCAGGAGAGGATGGGTTCGCCGATATGACTCGGCGATGGCTGATGTCAACCATGTTGGGGGATCATCGGGGTGGTGTTGGTTGAGATGACAGTGACGGTAAGGCTTCACGCGACAGTGAATTCACTGCTGGGCAAAGTAATGCAAGGACAAGGACAAAAGATGCTGCTGGACAGTATGAATCACAGGAAGAAGGAAAAGGGGTTCTCCTCACACGAGTCACGCACACTGTTTCCAAGAAGTAACAGCACTGCACTCTGTGGACTGACAGGATTTAGAAAGATGGACGAGCATGAAGTCATGCAGTGGGCATGTTGTCGTCGTGCGAGCATCTCGTCGCATGCTGCTTCGCCAAGCGCTTTCGGAGGCCACGGAAGAAACAGGGGCCGGTTCCGGCGGTCACGGGTGCAGTTCAAGGCGGCGGGCGACAGCAGTTCAAAGGAGCTTGATGCAAGGACACGTCTCGAAAGAAAGGATCCTCCATTCAGCATAGGTCCAGCTGCAAGTCCAACATTACCAGGTAGGCTCATTCATTCTCATTCAACCAAACTCAAAGCATATCCAGCAAACAGTCAAACCAATCCGATTCTGTTGAACCAGCAAGAAAATCATCTCATTTACCTAGCCTTGCCTCTCCTCCAGCTCAACAGAACGGTAACCCGCCCTTGATGCTTACCAGCAGTACCAGCTATCTTTCAACCGATGGGATCAAAGACGATCTGCCGCCGAGAGCCATGTCTGCAAACTTTTGCAGATATCTCAAGGCAAGATTCATCCCTAAAACAACCCATACCGCCCAGTGAGATACACAGCATGCGCGATACAGAGAAGCAACAACGACAAGGACAAGGAAGGAGGTTGAAAAAGGCATCAACATGCCAAGCGACCATACCGCATCTGGAGGGAACAAGTTAAGTCACGTGCTGACCCTCTTCCGCCCATTCACGTGACCGTCTTGATTTGCCGTGTTCAGGATCCGATTTGCGGGGTGTCGGCCGTCCAAATTGTCCATGGCTCTACATTCCTCCACCACCAAGACCCAAGGGCCACCGAGGCACCCGCATCCCTTCTCTGGGCGCCCGGGGAAGATACGAGGGTCACATCATGAGTGCCGCTTCAGCCAACGGTAGCTGTCCTAATTCGGGACGTTTCCGTCATGGTGTCCTTCTGCGGTCGGCCGAGGGCCCGATCTGCTTTAATAACTGGTGGACATGGTAAGCGGCAGAGAGAGTCGGTTGCCTGGAAGGATGACCTCGACGTTGCACGGCACAGGGTGTCAGTTGCCATATCTCCGTATCCGTACAATCCAGATTCACTTTCATTTACTTCATATACCAAATACTTCCTCCGTCCTTTTGCTTCTGCTCCCACTTTAATCCGGCACACTCTCCAAAGCTTATCAACTGACGGTGCCTGCTTGACGGCTTCAAGCAAGAAGCAGAGCAGATTTCGTCGTTTCCTCTGAGCAGCTGTATTTGTTTGTTTGACCTATTGATCCACGATGCAGAAAGAGCCATCACTGTACGATATTGTCATTGTTGGGGCCGGACCAGTTGGGTTACTATTGTCTGTTTCTCTGTCGAGATGGGGTTACAAAGTCCGACATATCGACAACCGGCCTGTGCCGACGGCGACTGGACGCGCAGACGGGATTCAGCCACGAACATTAGAGATGCTCAAGAACATGGGACTCAAACGAAAGATCATGGCGTATGATCCAGCACGAGTATTCGAAGTGGCATTCTGGGACCCCGCGCCAGGAGGCAAGATTGTGAGAACCGGCACGTGGGCCAGTTGTCCCGAGTTCCTCGATGCAAGGTACCCGTTCACAGCACTCCTGCACCAGGGCCTCATTGAAAGGGTCCTGATCGAGGATTTGGAGAAGAATGGAACCCGAGTTCACCGGCCATGGACGATTACGCGATTCGAGACCAACCACGCCAACCCGGAGTATCCGGTCGAAGTGGATCTGAAGAATCTCGACAGCAACGTTACCGAGACAGTGAGATCCAAATACCTCTTCAGTGGTGAAGGGGCACGCAGTTTCGTACGAGAGCAACTAGGGATCAACATCCGGCACAAAGACCCCATCTCACATGTATGGGGAGTGATGGACGGAGTGGTGCGCACCAATTTCCCCGACATCAAGATGAAATGCACGATCCACTCGGACCACGGCAGCATCATGGTGATTCCGCGGGAAAACAACATGGTGCGACTGTACATTCAGATAGCGAGCTCAACGGACCCTGATTTCTCACCTCGGAAGACAGCAACTGTGGCCGAGGTGCAGGCGGCGGCCAAACGCATTTTCCAACCCTACTACTGCGACTGGGACCGAGTGGAATGGTACTCGGTGTATCCGATCGGACAGGGGATCGCAGATAAATACACGCTCGACCACCGCGTGTTTATGGGCGGCGACGTCTGCCACACGCACTCGCCCAAGGCCGGACAGGGGATGAACACGGCGTTCCACGACGCGGTCAACTTCGCATGGAAGATGCATTTGGTGGAATCCGGGTTCGCCAGCCGCGACATCCTGTCGACGTACGAGGTGGAGCGCAAGTTCATCGCCGAGACCCTACTCAACTTTGACAACAAATACGCCGCTTTGTTTTCGCAGCGCCAGCCCACCGCGTCTGAAGTCCAGGATGCACATAGCCACAGCCACGACAATCAGGCCTCAAAAAAGGAGTCCACCAAGAACGAATTCGTCGAAATGTTCAAAGCCAACTGCGAGTTCACGGCCGGATTTGGCGTAGCCTACAACGGCAATATCTTCAACCATTCGGCCCAGCACCCGTTCCAACATCCACTCATCATCACGAATTCACAACACCTACGACCTGGCCGCATCATGCCACCAGCGAACGTGACCCGAGTCGTCGACGCCAACGTCGTACACCTCGAGAACGAGATCCCATACAACGGCGCATTCCGCCTCTTCATCTACGCCGGTCTATCGCAGTCGCCGAAACGGGGCCAGCACCAGGCCCTACTTGATCTGGCCACGGGCCTGACAAGTCCCCAATCATTCTACACCCGCTTCGCCTGCGCTAACCGCCAGCGTGACAACCATCACGACATGGATAACCCGCACTCGCGGTTCTTCTCGCTCTGTCTGACCCTCGCGGCTAAAAGGCCCGAGATCGAGATCTCCGAGCTCCCGGATCTGTTCCACGACTACGCGGGTCGCGTCTATGCTGATGACCGCCGCGATATGCGGGTTCCCAATGCCCCGGCCGCCGCACATGCCAAGATGGGCTTGACTGGGCCCGAAGGTGCTGTTGTCGTCGTTCGTCCCGATGGCCATGTCGGCGTCGCCGTCAGACTCGTCGAGGGTCCTGGCACCGTGGAGGCTCTTGAAGGCTATTTCCGCGGTTTTACGGTGGCTGAAGCAGACAGGAAGAGCGTTACCGACCCATCGTCGTCATCTTCTGGTTTGGGTGGTGGTGTCGAACATGTTCGATCGCAGCTATGATAGTGGTAACCAATGATCATCGTGTGGCTTCTGGCTCTGCTTCTGCATGCGTACGTTGATCTGCTATTGCTTGAACTATTGCTTGAAGGAGAAGCAAAAAAAGGATGGTCTTTGGCCGTGAAACGTGGCACGGCTGGCAGGACTTTCTGTCGAATGTTTCCGTCTAACGCAGCTGCTTATCAATGATGAATATGGTTCCCAATTCGAATTAAATTGCAGGATCATTATGTGTGTGTTGTTATCTTACTAAGTAGAAACGACCCCTTGTAGGGGGCTGGTAGCGAAGCAGAACGAATTAAATTATTCAAATTTCTCAAATGAGGCTGATAGTATTGATAATATCAATCACTGCAATCCATAATTGTCTCACAGCCGTCTGAAGGCCGTCCAGCCACGCACTATTTGATATCGCTCTGTAAAATGCCACTAGGATCAATGTACCACCTACGATACACTACGTACTACGTAGCAAATAGATAGGTTCTAATGACAAAGAACCCGGGTTCGCTGTTCCATCCACCGCCACGGGTATTCAATATTGGTCAAGGATGCCTTCGTAACAGACTGGCAGATATATCAAAATATTTGTCCATTCATTTATTCTGGACGTTATGTATATATTGCTCGTTTTGTTCATGCCCCTCGCTGCCCCTGGCGACTTTGTGTGCCTTTCAGATACCTTTTCGGCGCCTTGTTTCCCCTGACTTCACTGTTGCAAGAGTTGCAATCAGAAACGCAGTGCTTAGCCACGAGACCTCCGCGAGTCGTTCAGTTAAGCTTCACCAATCCAAACAGTCATGCTCGTGTCCAGAATCTTGATGCCACGCTGGCAGCCAGATCCAGAGATATCAAACGATGATCAATTGCCAGCGAGGCGACTTGGTTCAATCAGTCGTTGTGCGCCGAAGCCTCCCTCTGTCCTGGCCAGTGACCGAAAGGCCAGCAGGGTAAGCGCCATGGATAGATAGTCAATCAGAGTCGGAAGATATTGTACTGCGTTCCTGGACTTCACCTCCGACCTTAGCACCCGATTTCATTCGTGAAATCAAGTTCGAGTTCAATCCTCGCCTTTCAATTTACTTTCAATCTCCTGTAAATCGTCGGCGTCTTGAATCTCAATGACGCGATTGACTTCGGCCGTGTTGCGCATGAGCTCGACGGCGCCGGCGTAGCTCATCCTCATGTTTGGATTGCAGTTGACGGGGAGGTAGTAGATTAGGACGTAGGGGACGGAAAGACGGCCGGCTGGCTAGAGTGACAATGCAGTGTTAGTAGAAAAGGAAAAGGCCATTTGAAGCAGAAGGGGATGTCTCTTGTGGACAGGGGACTCCAACGGTTGACCGATCAATGTGCCACAGGGTGATTGAGACGCCATCCCATATGATATGATACGGGTGGTGTGATGCCAGGGAAGGAAAATAGCAGAATATGCTGGGTGAGATGAATCAAGTAGAGGGGAGCGGAGCGCGGGCAGAGCAAAGGAAAAGCGAGAAAGTGGAATCCACTATACATACCAATGTCAACGGGTAGCTCAACAGCACAAACCGAGGCGATGAGTCGGGTAGCTCATCGGCCAGTTCGAGCATGTCTGAATAGGTCTCGTCGGAGGATGGCTTGATTTCTTGGGTCTTGGTGTCGATCTGGTCTGAGTAGACGTATGTCAGTTAGCATGTACAAAGGTAACCCCAATCTGACCAGCCCAGCTCTGCCCGCAGCAAGTCCTTCGGAAAGAAAACAGTAAGACAAGAGGATCTTGATACTTACATATTTTGGCCAGCGGCGTCTTCGCCCTCGACGTGCCTAATCGGAACTTGCGCAGCTCGTCCCTCGTCTCCTGAGAGAAAGTGTAGAGCCTCGATTCTGACTAATGAAGTCAATGGCGACCGCGTCAGTCCATCATCATCATCTGGAGGAAAGGAGGGTATATGCTGGGCTGCAGTGTATCTCTCTCTGATTGGAGCTGGTCCTGCTGGCCCGACATTGACTCCGACGAGGATATGCTAGATGGAAGTAGAGAATATAGCATTGGAATGAGAAAAGGGAGACATTGACATACCATCTTTATCTTTGAGAAAAGCGACAAGTCCAGCAGGTTTTACTTTGGTTTTCTGGATCAGCAATGAAGTGACTGAAATTCTTGTCTGCCGAGGAGGGATGAGGTGTAGATCGTCTTTCTCGAGGACAGTAACAGGGAGTATTTCCGCGTGATGTTAGCCTTGCAGAGCTTGGATGTTGGGTCGGAGATGACGGAACTTGGACTCAAGGCGGAAGTTCCAGACAGTGAGTGGTAATGAGATGATTCCTGCTGGGACGTCAAGGGCTGGATCAGGTAGGAGTAAGATACCTACAGTTGTAGGATACCAATATCAGACCTGAAGCAACGTTCAAGTTCTGTCCTGTCGTGCTGTGTCGTGATATATTTGACAGCGGGGCACCATGCGAGTCAGTCAGTTTCCGGCCGCGGCTTTCAACGACTTCACTCCCGAGTCCCCATCATCAAATCACTCGCCTCAGTCCCTCCATCACTCTCTACTTCTACAACCCTTTCTCCTGTCGGCGCCGCTGCAACTTCGACCACTCAATGTTCTCGCGCCTCTCCCAGCTTGCCCGACACCTATCTCGCCCTCTTCCCAACTACGCCCATCGCTCCGCAGCGGCGTCCTCTTCCTCTTCGTCTTCTTCGTCCTCCTTGTTCTCGAACATGACATCATCATCAACCTCCAATGCCGAGGGAACTACTGTGTCCTCAGGACCCTCGAAGCCCTTGATCTCTACGGCGGGATGTATAATCATTGGAGATGAGGTGCTGGGTGGAAAGGTACAAGAATGCTTGCTCCATTTGCAGTTGCGGGTGCAGGTATCCCGCCAAAAACATGTCTTGGGCAACATAAATGAATATTTGGAACCCAGCCCAGCGCATGCGACATACGTTGATTTAGAAATAAAAGACTGACAAGATCTGGACCAATACAGACGGTAGACACGAACTCGACCTATTTCGCTCGCTGGTGTTTCTCGCTCGGCATGCAACTCAAGCGAATCGAAGTAATCCCCGACGACGAGGACGACATCGTGGAGGCGGCGCGGCGCATGTCCAAAAACTATGATTTTGTGGTGACGAGTGGTGGCATTGGTCCTACGTAGGTTGCGTTATTCTCCCGGGTTTCGTGTCCCCTGCCATGCTTCCAGCGACTGACCATGGAACAGACACGACGACATCACCTACCAATCCATTGCCAAAGCCTTCGGCCTAGAACTCAAAATGCACGACAAGACGGTGGAGAAGATGAAAAAGTTCTCGCGCCCGCACCCGTCCCAACCGAATTTCTCCTGGGACACGCCTTCACCCGCCCTCACCGCCAAGTTGCGCATGGCTCAACTCCCGCACGACCCCAACATCCCCGACGAGGATCAGGTGCTGTTTGTCAAGGATGACCTCTGGGTGCCCGTGTCGGTGGTGAACGGGAATGTGCATATCTTACCTGGCGTCCCCAGGCTTTTCGAGACCATTTTGGACGGACTGAAGCCGCGAGTCCTGCCCCGCTTGAAGGACCCCCAAGGAAGGGGCATGTATCGAATGCTCTTCAGTACCCCCCTGCCCGAAAGCGAGGTGGCCGACTATCTTACTCAGCTAGCTGCAAAGGTGGAACCAAAGGGTGTCAAGGTCGGCAGCTATCCTCGTTGGGGCAAAAAGAGGAATGTTGTTACCTTGGTGGGCAGCGATCGAGAGTTCATGGACAGTTTGGAAGCCGAGGTCGCTCAAGGCGTCAAAGGAAAGAGGGTGCAAGTGGAAGGGGAGGACGACACTGACAATGAGACTGATGTCAAAAAGGACAAGGATAGTTGAGTGTTGAAACCCTTTGGAATTCCAGTGAATGTTCGAACACCTACCAGGATGCGAATCGTTCAAAGCACATCCTGCATGCGGAGCAGCCAGATCTCTTTCGGATCGGTCGGTCGGCTCCATGTCATGATGGGACTGGATCAATGGAAGCCTCACAGTAGAGGATGTATACATGAGCGCAAGAACTTGAAACCGCGCATTTGGCCCCCTTTGTCGGTTGACCCTGTCACAACGGATCGTGGAGTGGAAGCAACACTGACGTAGGATTTGGCCCTCAATCTGGGTCGAATAACAACGGGGCGCATTTCATCAAGATTCTTCACAGGTATATCGAGACCCTTGGGCGCAGTGTCTGCGGGCAGGGTCTCGAGGCGTGACTGAATTGGCTTGTATCATTGGTGACAAGCACATCTGAGAGGACATGAGGCATACCTGGAGCTATACTACCTGGTAGACATTCTAGACTCTTTCAGTCAGCAAATTAGTGGGCGAAGATGATTGCTTCTGCTTGCAAGTTGGGAAATCTTCCAGAAGGAACCTGCGTAAGTGGGTCGCGCCCCAACATGCTGGGTCGGGTTGGGTTTGACGACAATGTACAATGTTAGTATATTGTAGAGACCGGAGGTAGTGATGTCCACCTAGGTAGACATCCTCCCAGCCCTGCTGGATCGCAGAGGCCACAGACGGGGCCAAGATTGACATGCGAAATTCGAGAACAAACCCATTGCTTCAACAATCACGTACATTGTACCGCGTTCAGGGGGTTGATTATATCAATCCTGGTCCCGCGCCGTACTCGAACCTATGATGGTTCAGGCGTCAAGCCACTCTCGCTTACCCTGCATATCCGCTGCACATGTGGGAGCATCGTCGGGCCGGCTGATGTGGAACAAAGTGCCAGGCTGAGAACATGATACCGCTTTAATGTTGCATCATACAATAGGCTTCGGCATATGAGGTTATGTGCTTTATGCGCCGGTACTGCCGTGGCGCAGGAGAAGCGAAATAAACTCGTCACTGAACTAGAAATGTAACCGCGGTGCTAGGTTGCAGCAAGCAAGCGACGGCATCGATGCGGGGTGTGACGGGACAAGCAGACACCGAATCAATGGCTCCAAGCCCGAAGGAAGGTTCTGTGCAGGGAGGTACATGGTCGGCACATATGGTCTGATTTGATAGCACTGGCCGGGCGGCTTCGGTGGGTAAAAGAGCAGCATTCAGCGTTTACCATCGACGCGGATAGGTGAGATTGATCCAGTATTGGAGGACTGGGGAACAGTATCTGGAGGGTTGATTTGTTCGTCAGAAGAGGCATGGATGCACGGCTCTTCCAATCTTGTGACGCTGACTTTGTGAGTCCAACGAGCTCACTGGTGCCATGACCTTTTACTCAGGAGCACGGGCCTGTCCCGACAAAGCACATGGGAAACGAGCTGTGCCGTATGCTCTGTAGGATTGTTTTTCAGGGGTTCATGGCAGACGGAGTCGACCCAAAATTTCTCTAAGAAACCAAAGAGGAATTTGGACCGAAGGAGGATAGCGAGGAGACTAGGGAGTGGAAGAGGAGCATCCCCGTCGCTGGACAGTTTCTCTGGGTCTGGCAAGGATCGGGAGTGGACGAAATTGTGGACTGTCTCGAGGCTAGAGCGGGAATGGTGGGAGAGCTGTGGGAAGAGGTCGTCGTAGTAGCCGTCGTAGGCGTAAATAGTTCTCTGGTGGTGAGGATGGTTGTGAAGGTGAAGGGGTTGGTATGTAGAGAAGATACAGGAGAACACTTGCAGGGTGCGGTGTTGGTAGAGATACACACACAGACTGCGCCCTTGTTCTATTGTAGCATCAACACCACACTCTCTTCTAGCACCACGAACACTGTATAATTGACGACTACTGCTCCTGTCAGTTCCCTCCACTGGCATCACTCCATCCTCTACTGAATACTAGTATTCTTCCTCCAAGAACTTCGGATCTTTTGCGTGCGCACCCACCACCACTCCCGCGTCCATGTCAATCATTGTCACTGACTGACTGCACGCACTGACTTTGCACTTCGACACTGCTCTCCTCCGTCTCGCGGTTCTGCAAGTAATCGAGTGGTCCTCAGCTTCAAGTTCAGCTTGATCTTGAACCGATCTTCCTCCCGTCCTGCCCGCCGTCGAGTCAGCCTCCAAGCGACGAGACCTACGACTACTACCTAGGAATTAGGCGCACCCAGACACCGAGCCACCGAAAAAGATACACTATCGCACTACCACCGACGCCAGCCAGACCGTTGTCCTCCCCCTTGTCACTTTCGGGCCTGATCCATCCTTGTCCCCCTGCCATTGCCCCAAAAAAACTGGAGTCTCATCAGTCTCTGGGTTCGCAGTTCAATTCGCATCCATCGCAGTCTTCTCCTGCCGGTACCGTTGCTAACTACCTGGTACTCGCAATCAACACTACCACCAACTACTACTCCCGCCCTTGATCTCTCCAACGCTTACACCCTTACTGGCCTCACTGCTTCGATGCGACTCGCTTTCGACTTTCACACTGCCGTCTACCCCTAGACACCGCGAAAGAACGTCTGGCCAAACAAACAAGAGTAGAGAGAGCTATTGGTGCCTTCCTTCATAGCCACGGACACGGCCTGCACCCGAGTCAAGGTCTCACTTCAATTCGATCCATTTTCCGCGGTTCAGTAATTGTCTGTAAACGACCTACATACGTTCAAGCCTGTCCGGTCAATTTCTAAATACCGATCGTCTCGCTTCGCGCCTCTTCCTGGCTACCGTCCTTGTCGCAATCTACTCCGACCTGTGGGTTTCACGCCAATTCTACACTCTCAGGAATCTGCTTGCTAGTGCAATACCTTTTCGGAGTTTATCTTTTGCCGGATCGGTTCAAACAAGTCTGCGATGGCTTCAAAGGTGAGTTGATGCCCATATCTTCTTCTCTATTCCTCCACCCAGTTATGGCGCGGCTAACACTACCTCTGCAGTTTCTCCGGGAATATAAACTAGTCGTAGTAGGAGGTGGAGGCGTGGGAAAATCATGCTTGACTATTCAGCTCATACAAAGTCATTTTGTGGACGAATACGATCCTACGATTGAAGGTACGAAGCATTGACGCATGGACAAAGGAAGAACGGCATTCGCTGACATGGCTTGCAGACTCATATCGCAAGCAATGCATGATTGACGACGAGACGGCCCTTCTCGATGTCCTCGATACCGCCGGACAAGAAGAATATTCCGCGATGCGAGAGCAATACATGCGGACGGGTGAAGGCTTCTTGCTTGTCTATTCCATAACCTCTCGACAGTCTTTTGAAGAAATCATGACTTTTCAGCAACAGATCCTGCGTGTGAAAGATAAGGATTACTTCCCAATGATTCTGGTGGGCAACAAGTGCGATCTTGAGTCGGAGAGACAAGTTTCGAAAGAGGAGGGAGCCGCACTGGCTCGACAGTTCGGATGCAAGTTCATTGAGACGTCGGCCAAGTCGAGAATACATGTGGACGACGCCTTCTACGACCTAGTAAGGGAGATTCGACGATACAATCGGGAGATGGCGGGATACTCGGCCGGCGCGCCTCAACTTGGTTCACATGGTCCCGGTCAAAAACTGGAGATGGATCATCAAGCACAAAGTGCAGGATGTTGTAGCAGATGTGTGGTCATGTAAAGAGGAGGGAACACCGAAGCATCGGAATCAGGCCCTGGTACTTCCGCACCTGGGGTTGAGAAGGCGTGCCTATTATGCACGGGCCGGTTGGACCAGGCTTGCCAGCATTTGGGTTGCCAAAAAGTTGTTGAAACCGCAAGCGATTTCTTCCAGGCTTCTGGCAGTTTCAAGAAAGAGTTTACTTTTGTTCTCGGAGGGCTGTCTAAGGTGGATATTGCTGGGGGCGTTTTGAGTGGGTTGGCATGGGAAATGTCTTCCGAGTCACCCGTTACTGGAAGCCGAATTAGGAGGCTCATGATGAGATCTCCGGCGTTGTATTCTGCCAAATGATATATTCGCATTTCTTGCCTGTGTCCGTCTGGGCTGTTGCAGATTCCGCCAACAGAACCAGTCCCGCGTGTTTGGCTGTGACAGTTATCTGAAGAGTGTTAAAAAGCGTTAAATTCCTGAGTCTATCCATGACATATGAGAGCTTCACAACGGCATTTAACGTAGCACAATCGCAGTGTCTGAAGCCAAAGATCCCATTGTTGCGGACGTTGTTGCATACGGGTAGGTGGGTTTAGGATATCCTTCACGCACATCCGTGTGACTCTCTGAGCCGCTCTGCATGCAGGTTGACCCAACACTGCCACTGCCACTGGAACTACATTATTATTAAATCGCCTCCATGTCAACCTCAAAGGCCACTCGACTGCCTCACATTTGCAAACCTTTGCAAACCTTGAGTGAATCACGAACCGGCGGGAATCAAGTGATCTGCATCGCCTCCCGGAGTTCGCCAATCTGAAGCTTGAGGTTCTCTGCCTTACAAGGTAGGCTCTTGGCCATGTTTCCTACTCATGTACGACCACCACACATTCGTTCCATATCGCCAGCCTTTCAAAATATATCGATCTCTTGAAGACTGAAGATGCCTTCAGCAGTCGGCGGTAAAGAAGGTGCCCATGAGCAGAAAGCGTCAGTGGACCTTACGACATCCTCACCGTCCGCGTCGTTGCCACTATCCAAGGACGAGACCACCCACCACAAACGCAACGCCTTTTCCGAGCTCATGTCATCCAAATCCTCCAAACGAGCAAAACTCTCAACTACAGAGTCTGGCATAGCGAGAGGGTCAGAGAAAAAGAAACCTCATTTCCGCGGCACCGGCCTGCTCGAATATATCCTAGAGCCAACCAAATTCCCGTCCAACACAGTGATTCGACACAACAACAAAACCGTCTTGATCCAAGATGCCTTTCCCAAAGCGACGGTTCACCTCCTCCTTCTTCCGCGCGACTCTTCCAAGTGGCTCTTGAACCCACGCGACGCATTTGACGACGTGGAATTTCTGGCCATGATGCGTCACGAAGCCGAAGCGGCAGTCAAGATCGCTGCCTCTGAACTGTCCAGGCTGATCAGCCCGTTCTCGGAATCATGCAAAGCCAGACTTGCAGCCATGGAAAACGACAATCCTCCGGAATTATTGCCTTCAGGACGCGATTTTACGAAGGATATACGTGTCGGAATCCACGCTCACCCGTCCATGGCCCATTTACATGTCCATATCATCAGTCGGGATATGCATTCCGACCGCATGAAACATCAGAAGCACTATAATAGTTTCAATACGGACTTTTTCATTCCTTTGGATGATTTTCCTTTGGCTAAGGATGATAAAAGGCGGCAGACGGCTTACCAGAATGCGAATCTGAAGAGTGAGTATCGGTGTTGGCGGTGTGGGAGGGTGTTCGGGAATAAGTTTAAGCTGTTGAAGGAGCATTTGGAGGAAGAGTTTGAGGAGTGGAAGAAAGAATGATCGGACGCCCAGAGGTCTCTTTTGGCTATCAGTACTACCTGTGCATGACCCTCCGGTTTGCCAGGGACCGTCATGCCCTACAATACCTTACAGCGACCGTTCGACTTATTTCAACAGAGTCGACATGATCCTGGGTTGGCATTTCGTTTCCCTGGCATGGATATTGGTGTCCATAATCACATTAAGGTACAGTTGTTCCTCCTCTTCCTGCCGCGCAACATCATCCAAGACCCAAGGAGATGCTCTTGGTTCTGGTGGAGGCGGAGGTGATGACGATGCGATGACTTGCCCCTCTACCGGCCATTCATTCGCCATGCATGACCTGGAAGGTATGCTGGTTGTTTTCCTATCAGTTGTGCTGGTTCCATTCCAGCCTCATATATCCTTGTACTGCACCTGGTCACTTGTTTTTACGCAAGGACGATATTGACAGTCTTGTTACAGGTCCAGCGCCGCTCCTGGTCGTTGAGTTGAATGGGTTCTGGTCCAGCGACCTCCTGCACTCATCCACTGCGTGAAAACCCCGGTGATTTATCGAAATGGCCATCTAGCACCGCACATCGCAGCTGCGAGACTGTTGCCGTCTCTTTGAGCATCGAGAAAATGGGCCCTCGAGATCTCAGGCGCTTCAGCCAGCCATTACAAGCCTCCATCTGAGGCACGGCAGGGTTACAATGGCCATGCCCGGCGCTGAATTAATTTTCCTCGTGCTGTCGCTCAGCAAGCTACAGCAAAGACTGTTGACACGCAGAGGGCAGAGACGGATTGTCCCTCTCAAGGCTGGCTGGAGCATGCATTCCAGGATATTGAAAAGCTTGCATCTAAGATATTCCCTCAGGAGTCAGGGCGATCGGATCAGTTGAAATGAAGCCACTGTTAGTAGAGGCGGTGTACGCTCTGACAACATGAACGGAAGAACATTGGGTGTAATACTACATACGCGGGCATTCAATGCCGAGCACTAGGTGCCGAGCGGTACGCTCAGGCTTATTAATCGCAATCATGCCGATATAATCCACACTTTGGGGTACAAGGCTGAAAAGGTTAATGTCACTGAGAGTCTCGGCTACCCGCAGGAGGCTGTCGACTTTGAATATATCGTACAATATCTTGTACATTCCTGAACGACTGTTCATTTGATCCAATACTACCAGTGGCCTCGCCGAAGAGCTGAGTGTGGTTACTGGTAGGCTACTAACAAAAGAACCTCTCGTACGGATTAGTCATGGGTTTGAACCGCAATGTGCCACAACCCGACTTTATAAAATATGCTCAGTCGTCGAATTGCGTGATTCGCTGGCATCCTCAAAACAGGCAGAAACAGGCATCCATACCCATTTTACCCCCGAGTTCCACCCTGGTACTGTATTTGTACATCATGATGTATGATCCCTTTCAAAAGCACCTACCGAACACTGCCAGGTCCACTTGCACTGGCACGTCTATTCATATCAACTACCTAGGTAGGCGCCCTCTGGCAGTTCATATCTGAGGCCTGCCTTGTGCAGAACAGATTCGAACAAAAAAGAACCCATCTCCAGAACCTGAACACTGACATGTCCATCTGTTGAGACGAAAATGACGATAGAAAAGAAAGAAGGCTACTACTTTTGAGTATAAGTCCTACAACTTTGACGCGCACAACTGGATGGAACATCACTGCAGCCATGTCCAAATCAAGCACCGACAGTCTCACCCTCAAACCAGGCGTGCACACCATCACATCCAACACGCCAGCCATCGAAACAATTCTCGACGGCATAGTCCACGTCCACGCCTCATGCATCTTAGTCGACGGCACCATGGCCACGTTCTTACCGCCTTTGGATCACGCCACGATGTACGGGTACTGGCAGGATCGGCTGAAGGAGGTTGAGCAGGGCAATCGATATATTGTTGTGTTTTTGTCTGAAGTGAGCACTCGGACTCGGAATGATATCAAGCCGCCGTTTGAGCGGCCGTGGCCTGTGATTACTACGACCAGCACTACAAGTGATGGTCCGTCCACGAACGAAGGGTCGTCTATCGACGAGGGTCCAGTTGACTCCGACAACCCTCGTTGGCACTCGGGTTCGTCTGTTGCACTGGAAGTCTCCGGCGTCGTCTCCCTCTCAACATCAACCTCCCAAACCGGCCCCTTCCGAGCCCTCGTGGAAAAGCTATTCGTATCTCCCCTCCACCGACGCAAAGGGATCGCGCGAGTCATCATGTCCAAGCTCGAGCAAGTCGCGTTAGACCACGGCTGTTGGAATCTCATGCTCGATACTACGGTCGGAACGGAGGCTGAATTGGTTTATCCGCGACTGGGATATAATAGGCTTGGAGTGGTGCCTGAGTATGGGTATTCGCCGAAGGATGGGACATTGAAGGATGAAGTGTGGTTTTGGAAGGATTTGAGGAAGACGAGGTTGGGGAACTAAGCACCTTTCGTAGATGCTCGGTTATCGTTGTCGCCGCTGCCAGTGGACAGGCCGTGATAGATGAATGCTGTGGAGAGAGAATGTCAGTGTTCGGAGAAACGGTGTCTATCTCGATTTGGAGGATGTGAGTGTGACTGCAATGGAGCGGAGACTGCTGTTCGACTTGAAGCCTTGGTTGAATGACTAGACAATAGATATGTCACCCCTGAGGCACCGAGCCAGAAGCACCCATACACAGGCCACGGGATGTTTCGTGTATAGATTTTTCAGAGTGCACTTTTTGGTCTTCTCCTTGGGAGGCTTGACTCTTGCTTACCTGTGGAACAGTGTTTGTTGCTTTTCGCATCATCTGAGATCAAGAGCACATCCCCCCTCCAAAAACAACATGTCCTCCTTTCGAGCCAAAAGCAAAAAAACAGGTCTCACAAGCCCAGTCGTATAGAGGTGTATGAGTGACTGAAAACCCCGGTGTTTTATGCCATTAGGTTTTTTGACCGAACAATTATGGTCGAGAAGTATTTTATAGCCGACCTGGTGGGTGACGCGGAACCAGGCTTACGAAGTAGTACTATGACAACCCCAACCAACTGGGCCAAGGACCCAGCGGTGGTGAACTGGTGGTTGTTGGGGATAATTCTGCGAGAGTGATATATATGCAGTGGTTACCTGGCCAGCACTGAGATTCGCGCTAGGCGCTGCGGTGAAGCCTGGGATTGAAGCAGGTCATGTGTATGCTACTGCTACTTTCTATTGCTGCTGCTACTGTTGCTGGTAGGAGGGGAGGACGACCATCATATCCTACGTGATGCCTGTATATGACTGAAGTAAACTACCTAGGTACGATGATCATGAGATATGAACCACAATGTCGTCCATTGAAATGGTTTGGACATCGACGTAAACGTAGATCTACAGGTAGGTGGTAGCCAGGCTGGAGGTGCTCTAGAACATGTATGATGGCGAATTGACCTGATCGATCTGTGTGTCATTCCCATTTTGTTTCAGGTAGCGCCCCTATCCGGGCAGAACGATGGATATTTCAACTCCGACATATCTATACTGCAAGCTCGTAGATCTCCGGAGCTGTGGCACTGAAGAGAGATATATGCAACGCTCAGGACAAGGCTGGCACTGGCAGATGTTTGAAGCGCACGAGGCTGAGGGCCGCGATGACTAATCAAAGCTTAAGCTTTCTGACCAGTCAGGTGTGCCGCATCTTAGACAAGCTAATCCCAATCAGGGAGAACTTGAACACCTTGATTGAACATTTCGAGCCCGGTGTCGTCCAGCCTGTATTGCATTCATCCTCCCGCCCAACCAACAACTGCTCTGTTAATCACTTTCCTACGAATCGTCTGGCCCATCTTTCAGACGAGCCGTACATCCAAAATGCCTCCGATCCCCTCCCCTTCGGCGCTCCAGGCGCTCCGCTCCCTAACGCGCCTCACCATCTCGACAAAACCCGTCAATGGCATCTCGTGTCCTCTTCCGGGCCTGTCCCGCCAATTCCCGGCTCGCCGCTCATTCACGACCTCTCCGTCCTCTTTCATGACGCTGAACCAAGTACGAACACGACCGCGTCAACCGAAAAAGGCCCGCCACGCCGTCTCGCCGGCCCTGAGCACCGAAAAGCGACCGGAGATGAAAGGCGTGTGTTTGAAAGTCGGTATCACCAAGCCCAAGAAACCGAATTCAGGACAGCGGAAGACGGCAAAAGTTAGACTGTCTAGCGGCAAGATTGTTAGCGCCTATATCCCTGGCGAGGGACATAATGTGCAGCAGCACAGTGTGGTGCTGGTCAGAGGTGGAAGGAGTCAGGATTGTCCTGGTGTGCGGTACCATCTTGTAAGAGGGGCGTTTGATTTGGTAAGTTGAGTAGTGCTGAAGTTTCTCAAGTCGCTGGTTAGCGGATTCTTTTTACAAAACTGGCTTGCTGACTTGCACTCGTATAGGGCGGTGTACCAAACCGAGCGACCAGCCGGTCGAAATATGGCACGAAGAAGCCAAAGACCGATTAAATCTAGACCAGGTCATGATAGGGAGGCTTAATCGTTCATTGCCAGTAGGAGCATACTTTTTCGTTGGCGGCATGTCGGGCGGGTGTTTGGGTCGACAAGTCATGTGTGAAGCTGGACCTTTTACATGGCTTCGGGTTGTTCTGGTTGCGGCGGAGAAACCTGTGTCTCGGTTCTCTCGACAGGCGGATGATTTCTTGATACTCCTGCCAGCTTCAGGCGGACAAGCGCGGGATCCGACTTAGCGGCAAATGGTTCAAGAGAGTCCTTACAACGCCATGTCGCCCACTCCTCCTTGATCATCTTTGCTCTTGTCACAAACTGTCAGCAATCTACTCGAACGAGCCGCTCCATACTCCTCCCGATCGGAATCTGTATCATGATTATTCAATGGGAGTTCAAGTTCCTGACGTTTCAAGTCAGCCTTGTCATCCAGGCCACATGCAGTGGCTCCATGTTGTGGCTTCATGCATCTCTTCGGCGTCTACCTACCTGCGCGTTGTGTCACTGCAGCAGTGGCAGTGGCATCCAGAAAGCCGCTATACTCTGGTGTGCCTGTGCAGTACGAAGGCACTTCCTGACCTTTCCGCGGCGTTATTGGGATTTATTACATTGCGGCCACTGGCATCTTATCATCGGCAATGATAACCAAACAAAAAAGGAGAACTGTATGAAAAAGGCCACAATCCTCCGGATGGACAAACAAACAAATCGACTGTATATCTGAACGGAATGAAGCAACAGTTACAGCTGCAACTGCAACTTGGATTGAACAGAACGGGAAATGGAGGCATAGAATCGCCTCATGAAGGTGAATGCAGGGGACTACTAAGTGGAAGGACATTCATGTACTTGTCCTGGTTCTGGTTCTACTAGCAAAACTCGAGCTGATGAATATTTCCGTCAATGTATCGTACAATCAATAGAGGAAAGACTTCCATTTCTGCCGGACTGGAATCAATCCCTTCAAGTACTGTTTCCTTACTGTACCCACTGTCTCCATATAGCTCTGGATACTTTTTAAGTAAGTGCCTCGTAGACACTTGGATAGTGGTGAATCACTTGCTGGCGTTGAACAAGTAAATCTAAGAAAACATGTTGTATACCTAGGTAGGTAATGGTGGTTTCGACGATGGACAAGGTACCTAGCCGCAACTCCTTTTCCCACTTATTTGATGTAGTGCGGCAGGCTAGCGCTAGAAGATGAATCTGCTCAATGCATCTGAGAGACCTTCTCAACTACCAGTGTCAGAGACCCGATGAGCAATGAGTCTTGACTGAAGTAGCATAACACGAGTCTTGTCTTTGCCGGAAGAAGAGGTGTTTCACAATATGCCGCCCCCTGGGCATGAGCTCAAGCAGATCAGCGGGACAATTGGAGTCGGCAGTATGATGATTGCAATGCTACAGAAACGGAGTCTGTCGCGTCTGCAGTGCGAGCTATCTTCCTCATTCAAATGCGGCCATCCAAGCCAGCACAGCGGGAACCTGCTTCAGTTTCGGCTCGTCTCCACTGACCTCCATGTCGTGGGATCTGATGGAATTGTTCTGTACAGTACATTCGGATTTGGTGCTGCAGACTGTCCACGGCAATGCAAAGTACCTAGGGACCTCGTGCACAGCCGGGGACGCGCAGTCTCTCTCTCATCCAAGCTAACTCCTGTTCGCTAAGACATTACACCCCAAGTGCATTTTTGTAAAGTCGGATTTCTTCCTCATGATGGCGAGGGACAGTTGTACCGTCGATGTCAGGCAGCTAGGACGCTTTGCCACTGCAGCCAAATTCTAATCATCATCATCATCCCTGCGCACGCCTTTCTCATGCCAGTCAGCCAATCGATCCGCGGCAGCAAGAATCCGATGTCTCGTTTTGGGAATTTTCATCAACAAGACCAGAACGCCCAAACCAATGACGAATGTGAGACAACCGTACTTCATTATCTCCCAGACCAGATCAACATCAACGCCGATTTTTCCTCCGGTCAGTCATACTTGATCCATCCAACCCTCAGGCTTTTGGATGTTGTTTAGGTCAAAGTAGCGCGATGTGCAACTGTAACCCTTCCAATCAAAGTTGTCCGCAGGGTTGCAGTGGCATTTCAGTTTCAGCCGAAGATCCTCCCCGGTAGGACAGTGAGTAAAAGGGACGTGGTAGTAGGCAATATCGTTGAAGAAGTGGATTTCGTCCTTGCGGAGGAGGAGACCGGCTCCGATAGAGTGCACGGGAGCATCACCCCATCGTTCATAGAAGAAACCGCCGTCCTTGTCTAGAGACTCGAAGAAGTCGATGTAGGGTTGGGACCGGAGCCAGTCAAGGTTGCCAATTTCGAAGTTGGACCACTGCAGGGTGCGGTTAGAACGCAGACAACGAACAAAAAGGACAATTCAAACTCACAAAATGGCACTTGTTGTACGTCTCACCACCGTCATCACTCAGGAAAGCCAAAGAATTGTCCTCTGCGATATGCTCTGGATGGTTCTTCATGAACTTCTTGACACTGTCCCAAAGTGTCGGGATGGTTTCGACGTATTCGTACAGACTGAGCACAAAGCTGTACCTCTTCTTATTGTCCTTCATGTAACGGAAAGGGTCGTAGTGAATATCACAGAAGAGTTCGACGCTCGGTTCGACTCTCCAGTAGTACTCAAATTGTTGCATCAGTGGGTGACGGAAGAAGAACCCTGATTCAAACCGACACATGTGACGGTAACTGACGGAGTCGCCGTAGATGATCTTTCGGCGACGCATGTCCTCTCGGACCGCCTCGGCCTTCTTGGTATCAATCCACGGAGGGAAAGACCAGTGCTCCTCTGGGATTTCGCCGTAATGTGTCTTTCCGGACACCAGCGAAGTGGTGACTTTCTTGAATTGGTCATCAAACGGTTTATCATTCAAAAAGACCCAGTCGTAGTTGTAGTTTCGGTTGAACCTGTCCTCCACTTGTCGAATGGAGCGAGCAATCTCCCAGATATCCGAGTTTCTGGCCAACGTGACAAATGTTGCATTCACACGTTCGCCGGGAGCCGGCGGCGAGAGTTCGGAGGGCGTCACGGGGCTGACATTCGGTGTCAAGTCTTGCAGTGTTTTGCCGCTGCCGGAGTTCGAAGACGACGATTTCGGCGTGGAGAACGCGTCTGAAATGTCGTTGGGATTAGGGGAGGTCTTTTCATCTTTTGGCGAATCCCAGGAGAGTTTACCTCCTGAGGTGAGAGGTTGCGTGTACGAGGGTAAGGATGAGGTTGAGATGAAATAGAGAATGGCGATGCCCTGATAGATGTCAGCAGAAGGTCTCCATACAGGCTCAGCACAACCTACGAATGCGGCAAACAATATGTACCGGAGGTACCGCGTTGAGCCCGCAGCCATCATAGAGAGTTTATGTCGGCTGTTTCGGTTTTACTGGCGGACGCGGTAGGTGTCCAGAGAAGAGATGGACAAGGTCAACGTCCAAAACGACCGGTGGCCAGCACTGCGTGTGTCTCCTTAAACGTGCCCGGATGGCAGCAGGAACCGCGGGGGCGTATCCTGTGGATGATCAAGTTGCTTAACACATGAGGCTGACGTCGGAGGCGGTTGCGGCGGGTTGGCGAAAGACACAATGAATTGTCCGCCAACAAAGGAAACCGTGAGCAACGAGAGTCGACGGGTAGGGGATAAAGTTGGAAGATAAGAAGAACAGGACTTTTATTAACTGAACACGATCGCTGGGATACTAGTACTGAAGGACAGAATGATAGGTTTGACGATCGTACCAGTATTCGACGGGGAGCCTGAACGCGCAAGCTGGCGACGTGTAACCAGAAAGTTTTAAGGGACGTTGCGGGTAAAGGAGGCCGACACAAACTATTTTGGGAGTTAGCACGCCCCCGATAAACCAGATTAGCACGCAAACAGCTTAGCGATGGCTATGGACGGCAAGAGGCGACACTAATGACATAATAGAGTATTTACGACAGAGCGACATGTTGCCGGTTAAGCAGAACACATCGCCGCTTTAGCACAGGATGAGAGGAAAGAGTAGTCACGTGTGCAGCTCCAGTCCCGTGACCTGCGATCACGCTAGCACTAAAGGATTAGATCACCAACTGCATCCATCCACTGACACCCAGTTCACCCACAACGGTCCTTATCCGCAACTTGCATATTCAAGATCTACGCGCATACCAGCTCTTGTCATTTCGGAACGGGAGGTGTAGACTTCCGTTTGCTGCACAGGCTCGGCCTTCCCAGGTGGTCGGATCATGCTAGTTAGCGCATTCTCTGCATTCGTTCGAGTAAACAGTTGGAGTGGGGTGGAAGGACATCGACATCAACAATAACCTTGATTTCGTCCCGAGTTACCCACGAGAGCCAGAGGGCTCATTTCCAATATGTCCTTCTTCGGATTTGACACTGCCCTCCCAAGGGACAAACCTAACAATGACAACAACAAGGGCATCTTCGAGCACACCAATCCGTTCAACGAAGTCGCCAAAGCTCGCAAGTTACAAGCCTTTCAGAATGACCAGGAAGATGTGTAGGTGGAGAGTCAGACTTGAGATGGACAGAGCTAATACTTCCTCAGAATCGACTTCGACGACACCTACGATGGCCTCGGCGATCAACTTGAGGAAGCTGGTGATGATTTCAACGAGGACACCTTTGGCGGTGGCGCGGAGGGCGTGTCTAACCAGGGCGTTGGGAAAGACTTTGACTTCTTTGGAAATACCGCCCAGGTCTCTAATGCAATCGAAGAGGAGGCTATGCGATTCAATCTAAGGCATCCATCTCGCGAGACCACGTCCACACAACCCCCAAAACCTAAAAAGACCGGATATGAGAAATACCAGGATCCTGGTTATATTCCTGAAATCCAGGCCAAGTCAGGAGCTTGGAAAAAGGCACAGACAAGCACCCCACCGAACCAAGCCCAAGCCGAGGAACCCCGGGTCAGCACAGCAAGGTTCAATGCTCCGGCTCCTGCGATATCCCATACCCCAGAAGCATCCCAAGCACCAAGGATAATGACTTTGGAAGAAGTCGAGGCCGCGCTTCTCGCTCAAGCTCAAGCTCAGGCAGCTCAGGCAGCCCAAGCCGCGCAAGCACCACCCCCGGGATTCCCGCAGCCTCAACAACCGTATCCGTTTCCCATGCAGCAAATGCAACCGCCTCCTCAGCAGTACCAACAGATGCCGCCTCCAATGCCAACGGGTCAGCAACAGCCACCACAACAACGCATTCCCAGTCCTCAACGCCATAACCGTATGCCATCCCAACCTGCGCAAGCCCCGCAACCTCGCCCGCCTCAGCAACCTCAACAGCCCCAACAGCCCCAACAGCCTCTTCACATACTGCAAAATCCCAGTAGACCTCGTCATTCGCCACAGCCCAGTGTCGACAGAGCTCAGGGAGCGTCTCAGTATGGACCTCCTCAAACAGGTCCTTTGCCAATCATAACCCATCCTCAACAGTTGATGGAATTGTCCGAGGAACAGCGACGTGCTTATCTGGAAGAAGATGCGAAGAGGGCCAAGCGCAATCACAAGATCTTTTTGTTATCCAAAGGCAATGGTTTGATGACTCCCCAGGATAAGAACTTCATCACGCGCATCCAACTGCAGCAACTGGTGACCGCGACTGGGGCCTCCGCCGACGGTAATTCCGAAGCTGCTTTGGGCGAGGATTTTTACTATCAGGTCTATAGCCAAATCCGAGGCGCCCCAAGACAACATCCCACACAACCACTAGGACACTTCGCCCAGACGTACCTATATCAGACGGGGAGCCGGGGCGGGGGAAGAAGGCAACATGTCAATGGCGACAACCATATGCAAAGAATGCAGCAGCAGGTCCAGCGTGCGGTTGAAGCGGCGAAGCTCAAGCCCAAGAACAAGCAACTCATCATCGAGGGCAGTTTGGGCAAGATTTCCTTCAGCAACGCCAAGACTCCAAAGCCTCTTCTTAACATCAAACGGCAGGAGAGCCACGACGCTCGTCCATCGACTGGCAAGAAGGAGGTTAGTTCAAGTGATCGCAAGACGATTCTGAGGAATATTGAGGCGGTTTACACGACTCTTATGCGTCTCGAGGATCATGAGAGACAAATGCCTCCACCTCCAACCGAGGGCGACGCCGACTCCATTCAAGCACACCTGGACTGGCGGCAGAAGATGCAGGAGCTGAATTCAAAGTTATGGCAAGAGTTGAAGGTGCTAGACCCCATAGTTCCGGGATCGTCCGTGCCTCATCCTTTCATTGCCTTTTTGTCGTTTGCCAAGGGCAAAAAGGCGATGCCTCGCATCTTCCGTCTGATCGACCAGGAGCAACGGTTGACCATTCTGACCATGATTGTGGTCCATCTGGATCAATTGGACGTGACCAAGGATGCGCGTCCCGCTCCTGGAGAGTCCCAGCCACCTGCTGCAATTCGGGAAGAGATCGAGCTCTTCTCTCAAGCGGTTATGCCGTGCTTATTGCAGTACGTCAACGAAGCGCCTATCAACATTGTCATTGGATTACTTGGGTTATTGATCGACCATACCAACATTGCCACGGTGGCAATGACGAAGATCGGGTTGGGCATGATGACCATGTTGCTGACCAGAGCCGAGCTGTTGAAAGAATCTGGTGTTGTTTCCGATCAGGAATGGCAACAATGGACAGCACTATACAACCGTCTTTTCGACATGCTGGAGCCTCTTTTGGGCTCGCTCTTCCCAGGACCGGTGAATTCTGGAGATGACATGTACATCTGGCAGTTCCTGGCCACCATTGGAATCGGCGCAAGCCCTGACCAACAACAGCGACTCGTTATTGGAGTCAAGGATCGAGTCATGGAAACCGTACAGCAGAGCAAGACACTGCCGCCTGACATGGCGAGTGTTCGACTGGGCAATGTCAATCTGTTTATGAGAGCCATTGGCCTGGATGTGGAGATGCTGGGATAGTTTTGCGTTTTGAGTTTGTTTGCTACTTCAGCTACCTGTCGTGGGTGGCCATGGTTGATGATGGGAGACGAGACAGCAGGCTTTGTATGTCGCCCTTGGGCAAAGCGGCATGCCTGGTCTGGACTCTGTATCATACGGACCTTGACACGAATTGTCGATGGCTTCTTGAAGGGAAGATCAGTGCAAACTACCCAGCGTATATAGCGTGCATACTGTAGTGAGCCCTGAACTACGCGGGCTGCCTTATGCAATTTCGTTTTGCTTGTTACACCTGTACAAATCTTTCAGACAAATTGACTACTAGTTCTCAACGAGGATGCGCTCGACTTGTACATCCTCATTGTTTACAGTGCACTGGCAGTCCAGGTTGTCGCCTCTCGATCCAAAGAAGGGGACGATAGAAGTAGTCAGCCCCGCCAAGACGCAGCCTGATGCCGGAAGCCGGGTTCAAGTTTCGGCTCCAGAACCGGCAACGCATGATGCGATGTGGGTTGCGGGCGACACCCTCGTGCTACAAAAGACACCTTATACTTCAGTATTTGGGCATTTCTATTAGCTAGTATCGTATTTTATGTCTCATCTATTCACAACATACTTACATTGACTGCGCTTCCTGCGGTGCCTCTCACTATCCATCTTTCCAATCCTCATCAACTTGTCGGTCGTTGAGCGATCCGTGGCAACAAAGGCTCTCGCTACCTGATGTCTTAGAGCGCTGTCCTTACCCGCCTCTGCGCGGAAGACCTGTGAAAGGGAAAGAGACATGGTCTCAGTGAATCCGGACGCGACTATAGGACAGGCAGCGTCGTTCTTCACTTCCGGCCTGCCCGCTACGACCTCTTTCACGGCCTCGTCGAATACAACGTCCTCCTCCCTTCTTGCGCCCTCGCTTGAGCAATTCCTCCGTCTCCCACTCCGGATCGTTTCCCGAATCGATCGTGCACTGCTCTTCATTTGGAATCGGTTCGTGCTGGAAAGCCTGGGAATAGATACAGTCGTCGCTGAAGCCGTGGCTGGCACCGCCGGGACGCAAGCAATGGCTGAAGCAGCGGCGCAACCCGCCGTTGCCGGTGCGCAGGCGTTGGGCGAGGCAGCGTCGGAGGGCTGGGGAGCGTTCTTCGCGGAGGCATTTCAAAGCAGTTCATTCAAGAGTTACTGGGGGATGTTGCATTATTTGACTTCTAGATGGGCTTTCACCTGTTTCGCCATGGCAATCATTCTTAATCGGATCGGTGTTTATGGAGCGTCCAGACAGCGGATATACCTGGATTGGCCAAAGAGACTGGCTTTGCGCATTATACCAATCCTTCTCCTGGCCAGCCGAGTTCGCCAACTCCTGCAGGCCATCAGATGCCAGACATCTCCGGACTTTTCACTCTATCGACATGGAGATAACAACAAATACAGCTTGTTGGATTGGTCGACCGACGGCGGCATGTTGCACACTTTGACTTCAGCCATCCTCTTTGCCTCAACAGATGCTGATGCTTGTGCCGCGGTAGGCCTGTCCAGACCAAGTCCGGATGTCCGGGCACCTTATGGATCGTTTTCGCTCCTTTGGCCTTCATTTTTGGGGTTATGCCTGTCGCATGTGGTAGAAAGCCTGTCGTGCTCGCTGCAGCAAATTCCAATGATGACAGAAGTTGGCATGTCTATCTTCGAGCACTCGTTGGCCTTTGCCGAGGCAGAGACCATGCTCTCTCATACCCTAGGACTTGGACTTTTTGGTACTCCAAGGTCGTCCACCGGCGGCAGGACGAACAGTACGGTCGTGGAACACATTCAATCTCAACCTACGATACCGGCATCTGGTACGATCCTTGCCCTTGCAGATGCTACTGCGTCTCTGACAGGCCCACATGTACTGGATCGTGTCAATGTGCCAGTGGAGGTTCTTTTGGTTGCGTTACTGTCATGTTGCAACTCGTTGTCATCCCATATCATTGCCGTGTTGGGAAAGCAGCGTCAATGGCGGCTTATCAATACCGGTATTTGGGGTCTTGCATTTATGTCAGCCTTTCTCTGGGGATTTTTCAGCACAAGTATGATGGTTCGAAGTGGCGAGGACGGCGACCAACGTCCCGTCAGCAGTCTTCTCCATTTTCCCACCGTTGCCATTGTCGGCTTCCTTCCGCACATGGTGATCCTGCTGGGCATCGCGGTGTGCTTTGTGATATACATTGTCGCACTCACCCTTACAGCCATTTCTTTGGGTAGCAATCCACGCATACCTCAGCCAACAAGTCTCAAGGAGCGCTTCAGCATAGCTCACGACAATCTGCAGGCAGCAATCCAAACTCGGGGTATCAATATCCGATGGTATGAAGATTTTTATACGGCCTTGCTCCGGATCGGCTTTGCCGCGTTGACAGCCGCGTCCGAAGCTGTTTTCCTAAATGAGGGGAGAGCAGTCGAAGTGCGACAGTTCACCTGGTTGGAAGAAGACCGGTTGGACGAGTTCGAAGCTGCCCGTGGCGACGCCGGATCTTTGACGAGTAGTCAACAGTTTCAGATTCTCGAAGAATATGGCTTGCCTTCATCGAGCCCCGGCGGAACTGATAAAGGTGGCGTTTGGCAATCGGGATATTCCAAGGAACGCAAATTCCACGACAAAAAGCAAGGCGAACTGGAGGGAAAGGACTCGTTTGTATATCCGACCCCCAGTGCTGGAGGAGTTGGGGCTGTTCAACGAACGACAAAGTTTTATTTGCTGATGATCTATCTACGGGGCATTATTTTCTTGATTGGTGGATATGTCGGGTTTGGACTTGGTGTGTTGCTGGACGCAATTGGCATCACCGCTCGACCTCGATGGCTGAAAAAGATTGTGGGTCGGTCGTTGAAAAAGATGAATGCTGCTCGTGACGCTGCCAGGCCAGACAGTAACAACAGCATGTCTGACCTCTGGCTTATTGCCCAGGATGGCCAGCTCAATGCACCACTAAGTGATGATGTGGACATTGCATCCGATATCAGGCGGCGATTGATGACCGAATTTCCTGAGGAGAGGGTGGACGAAATGATTGATTCGACGCTGTACAATTGGTGGAAGTCTGGCGGATGGTTCGGAAACCGAGACGACAGTGGTGATTACCAACCGACAGACAACGAGGATCTTGACGATACCACGAGTGTGGTGTCCATGTCTACTCAAGCCAGTAACCAAACTGATGACGGTGAAGCAGCCAGTCAGTGGGAGTGGGAGTCGGAATCGGAGGGACAGAAAACACCGACACAACTGACTTCCTCAACCGAACTAACGACCCTTACAAGACCAGGTTGGTCATTCTCGTCTACGGCAGTGAGGACAAGAGAGTCGTCAACGCCACCAGGCGCGGATGCTTCCGATGTCCCTGATATACCGCTCGACCCTACGACGCTGGCGAGATTGTTGAATCCTGCGGACAAAGAGTCGCGGGAAGAAGCGCGGATCCTTGCCGCTCACCTGGCTACTAGTGCTGCGTCTTCTGGGAGTGGTAGCATCATGACCCGATCTCGGTATCGTCGCGAACAAGAGAAAGAACGAGCGCGGGTCTTGCTTGCCGGCCGGGCAGCAGCACGTCATACTCATGCCAATGGTCATGCACCAGCGATATCCCTGTATGACCCGCCAAACTCGTCGTCAGGACCACGTCCCTTGACAACGGCGGAAGAAGCAGAGGTTCTCGAGTCGTTGATTTTGAGTAGGCGGAAACGGCGACAACAGCGGACGGACGATACTGACCCCATGGATGCGCATGCGCATGGGAATACGGATGCCGATACGGATACCGATGTTACTTCTGCAGGACCTCTATGCGTGGTATGTCAGTCCGCACCACGAACGATCATCGCTTGGCCGTGTCGATGTCTCTGTGTCTGTGAGGACTGTCGCGTCAGTTTGGCGTTGAATAATTTTGGGAATTGTGTTACTTGTCGACGGGCCGTGCAGGGGTTTGTAAGGCTTTATGTGCCTTGACCTCACAGGCTTTGTGAGCCTTGCCTCGTGCCGACTTTGCAGTCTTTCGAGTTCATCGGAATACTAGTAGGAGCGAGAGGACGCGGAAGAGGGAACCGTGGGACGGGAGAGGGGAGAAGCATGCCTGTTGGTGAGTAGTGATCCCTCACGCGCAAAGAGGCAAGGCGAGGCAAGGCGAGTCCGAGACATCAGAAGATCAAAAACAACGAATCTGCGAGATCGGCAGCGGAGAACGCGATGCGGTCCAAGTTAGAGATGTGATAACATGAGATACTGTCAATGTACCAACTAGTACTATAAAAGACCACCCATGAGACGGGACGACGTACTGTACGGCCAGTTGAATGGTCCTCTCAATCTCTTTGGCCAATAGTACCGTGTTTAGTGTTTAGTTTGCCTGTTCATGTGTGCTGTATGTACTTGAGTAGGCATGGAGAGTATAACCTATGTAGGTCACGTCTGCGCTTTCGTTCATTATTGGCGTGTTAGGTGTCCGGTACAGTATAAATAACATACTTACTTAGTCTTAGTAATGAACTAAGGATCCTCGACGGGATCAATTGGCCCCTTTCTCCTTCGTAGTCTGTCGAGGAAGACGGAAAGATCTGTTCGACTGGAGGGATTTCAGCTGTGGTGTGGTGACTCTATCCGAAAGAACAGCTACTGGAGCCCAGTAGTGACCTGATACGGGCTGGGTGTTTTCTAGGATGAGCGATCTGCAATGCAGTGTTGTAGAATGGGCACATTCACAGTGAGTGCCTACTGGTAGTATTACTGTGGTAGTATATAGCATTATTCTAGGTATTGGAATGTCGTGGTGTGCTGCGTGGATGGGTCGGCATGTTGTGTTTGTGGGCGTTGCTTTCAAGAGTAATTAATGACTCGAATATTTAGTTGATTACTACTTTTATTACTACTACTCCATGTTCATTAGGCATGTTATCAGCCACCAAAGCCGTCCATTGCCCGGCATTGCATTCACCGTGCTGTAGAGTGTACTGTGGTATGGATGACATGATGATATGCTGTTGTATCCCCTTCTCCCACCCGCTTCCTCAAAACCTCAGCCGGTGTTGGGACAAAGACAATCGTGACAGAGAAACTGAGACTGACACTGACACTGACACTGATCACAGCGGTAGCGAACTAGATGTCTGTTTGCTCCAGTACGACCCTGACAACGACACAAATTCAGAAACAAGCAGCACTGGTAAGTACTAGTAAACTAGTAAGCCGACCCCCTTCTCTCGACAGCCTCGACAACCTCCTTCTCCAACATGCCGTCCTTAGTCATGGCCTGGGCAAACGTCTTTGTGGGCCTCCACTTGCTCGAGGTGCGCGGGGTCGTCTCCTCCATCATATGGTCGACCTGTTCGAGCGTGAGGCCCTTTGTCTCGGGCACCAAAAAGTACGCATAGATAAAGGCGGCGGTACATAGGCCGCCCCAGACGAAAAAGACGGACGATTTCATGTTGCCGTGCTCTTCGCCGACCATGTAGGGTGTGATGACTGCGATGATCTACAAGAAGTCAGTTAGAGTTCCTCATGCGAAATGTGTTAAGACACTCATGTTACACACTCGCGTTGCACACTGGTGCTATACGTACCGTGTTCCAAAGCCAGTTCGAGGCCGTCGACAAAGCAACACCCCGCGAGCGGATGGGCAGAGGGAAGATTTCGCCAATCATGATCCATGCGCCTGGACCCCATGTGGATGCAAAGAAGAAGATAAAGATAGCAATAAATGCAATCTGCGCGCTCACGGCAGACACGTTGTTGGCCAGAGTCTTGTCCGGGTCGGTTGGGTCCGGATGTGTGTAGTTGAAGCCGACGGTCACACCGATGATGGCCACGAGGAACTGACAGATCAACATGCCGAAAGCACCCCAGACGAGCAGGGGCCGACGGCCAAACCGTTCGACTGTCCAGAAAGAAATGGGAGTCGAGCACACGTTGACGAGAGTGAAAATCAGAGACATGAGAAACTCGTTGTCAATTGCCCCGGTGGACTGCAAGAATGGTGTCGAGTAGTAGAAGATGAAGTTGACGCCGGTCCTGAACAACAAAATTCGTTAGTTGGATTCAGTAAACGGTATGCAGCCCAAACGTTCCACTGGGTTGGACGACAACAGCCGTCCAGCAGGCGCAAAGAAAGGAGAGTACCAAACGTACCATTGTTGCATCATTTGGAGAGATGTGCCCAGAATGGTACGTCGCAAGTTCGACTTCTGCTCCCACAAGCTGCCTTTGAAGCAGTTGAGCCAGCTGGACAACCATCCGGCGTCAGGAATCAAGGCGCGCTCGTATTCTTCATTGGCCACAATTTCGGACAATTCAACCTGGATATACTCGGAATCCCGCGGTTGGCCTCGGAGCTTGGACAGAGCAATGGTCGCTTGCTCGAGACGACCCTTCTTGACAAAGTAGCGCGGCGAGTCCGGGAGTGTCAACAAGCCGCCTCCTAGAATCAATGCCCATGCAAATTGGATGGCGATGGGGATCCGATATTGGCCGGTATCGTTCCGGTCCTGAGTAGCATAGACAACGCACGATGCCAGCAACAAGCCGACGGTAATGCAGAATTGATACCCTGCCACGAGGGCGCCTCGGACTTTTCTTGGGCACTATCGCTCAAGTCAGTGATACAAGTCAAGACGCCAGAATGGGAGTTGCACTCACAATTTCACTCATGTACAAGATCACAATCGCGCTCTCGAAGCCCACACCGAAGCCGGCAAGGAGTCGACCACCAACAATTGCGCCCAGAGGATCACCCATGCCGGTGAACATCTGGACAACCACACCCAACATGTAAATAAAACAACCAAGCACCACGGTGTTTCGACGTCCGATCATGTCGGCCATATCACCGGCGATCAAGGCACCGAAAAACGTGCCGGCCGACAAGATCGAAGTTATCAGGGATTGGTGCCCAGATTCAACGGAGTCATGACCGGGTCCTTCGACCTTGTCTATGAACATTTGTGAGCCGAGGACACCGTTGATATATCCACTAGAAGAAACATTGTCAGCGGCGATGCGCAGGCTTCCAGACTACAGTCACAATGCAATACCTGTCATAGCCGAAGAAAATCCCTCCGAATGCCGCAAAGGCGCACATCATGTACGCCTTCCAGGTAACGGGGGCTTCGATGTGATTGACATCGCTGGTCGTCTTGAGGGCGTAGGAGTTTTGACGAGACATGATGTTGGTACACTTGATCGAAGTCACAAGGTGCCGCGAAAAAGGGGACAAAAGGCTGCAAAAATGGACAGAAACAGACGGATCAGGGACTTTCACCTTTGTTTATATGTTTCCTTCCCGATCAGGGACAGGGAGAGGAACACCAGCAAACCTTGGTCAGAGTCCATTGGGTCACGAGGCCCATCAAGTCCTGCAGTGAGCAATGACGCTCCGCGCAATGTTGTATGCTGCAACTCGCCCATGGGTTGGCCAGTGTGGAACCTCCTAGATCTGTGGAGATATCAATGGCCGGGGAACAAATTAGGAGGCCCATGGGAGACAGATGAGCATGTGGAAGATGGTGGACTTGGCTCTGAAACCCAAGACACGGCCGCGCAAACCGGGCTGGCACGAGTTGCAACACTGACGCATTCGCTGTTACATTGTATCCATTGGCGCGGATTCTGATTGATGGCTGCTTGCTTGTCAATGCTTGGGCTAAACAGAAAAAAAGGTCCCAAGACTATGCTAAGACTCTCTCCACGTATTCTCCAGAACTCCGCATGCTGGGCAACCGGTTTCAATGGCTTGGAAGCTGGACTGAACGTTTATTGCACTTTTCTGGTTCCATGTGCGCTGTTGATGGTTGGGCATATGTTACTGGTAGTTTAGAACCATTGGCGAGCGCGATCATGGTCTGTCATTACAGCCTCCGGCGCCAACAATGGTAGCCTCGCAAGGCACGAAAGGCGCGATCGAAGGTGAGGTCTCACGGTGGGAGTTTCCAATATGGTCTTCCGCTTGCGTCCCGCCCAGCTAGGGTAGCCAACTAACAGCCTTGGCAAGCCCGATCGCTGATGAAGTGGTCTGTGGCTGTGGCTCCTCCGGGCAATTTTCCCAAATCAGACAGGAGAATGGGGGGCTGGAGCAGCGACCGTGCGGTGCCGTACGATTGAGTTGTTCCATGACCTTCTTCAGGTGGGCCAACCGGGAAAAGCTACGATGAACAGCCAGAGCAAGAAGAATGCAAGATGAACGTGGGCTATTCGTGCTGAGAGCGATCTTGTTCAGCGGTGAAGCTGGGGAGAATGAAGAATTGGACTTGGATCGAAGATCGAAAATGCCAAGCATCGCCCGGTGCTAATTGGAGCCCTGTGATTGGCCACAAACTGACCTCCAGCGCATCGTTTTCCGCTGTTTACTGCCGTCGACTTTTGGATAGATGATGAGTATTGCAACCACTGGCATTGTGGACAGTTCGTAGTAGTCTTCGTTTGGCTACCGGCTAGTACTGCCTGTTGCTAGGACATTCCCCGTGCTGGTACTATTAATCCCACTACTCCTCAAACCGAGATGGTACAGACGTCCACAATGTTTGTCGGCGCGTGAAGCACTAGGATGGCTACATGGAGACAGAGTATCACTCAAGTCGCATTCGGTGGGGACAGAGGCTTCGCTAGCCAGGGATCAGGCGCCCGGATTCTTTTTTTTACCCCTTAGCGCTCCGTTGACAGTCTCTTCTCGCGTGCCGCCTTTCGCTGGCCAAGATATCGGTCGGTTTGCAGATTTTTACGACCAAAGCGGCTGCGACGCCTTTCGTACCGTACTAGCATCACGCAACCATGTGCACAAGATCACAAGCTCTCGATAGACGAATCCTACGTTAAGAGTGCTTGGGCATGTTCAATGGGTGAATGCTAAAAAGCCGGTTGCGAGCCGCTTCGCTAGGTTCTTGATAGTGGATTCGAGCGCAAGCCACAAGCGGATCAAGCATCAGCAACAACAAAATGATGTCAGTGGATGATTTCAATTCATGCCGTATTCAGACGCCGCCAACATACCACTGTTCAGCTCGAATCAATACTGATAGTTGCGCCATGTTCACTGACTCTGTACCGACATGAGGTACCGCAACTTTTACTTTTTCAACAGGTTCTGCAAGTGTCAATTCCGCCCATCCACATGTCAATCCTGTCGCAGAAGCACATATGGACAGGAATCTAGCGGCTTCTAGCGTCCTTCTGGCTTGCAGAAAGATGACGATCTTTGCAAGCTGCTCTGGCAACACCTGCTTTGCTTTCCCGATATGCGAGAAGCAATGGGGAGACATGAGCTTACCACAGAGGCACGCTGCATACATGCTGACATCGCCGCAGATAGCGCTGCTTGATAATTTTGTTCAACGTCTTTCGCACTTCACTTGCATGGGAAAATTCGACGCCATTACCAACAGGAAGCCGTCGAGAGTCTCGTCGAAGGGACAGCAACTCACGATGTGTCAGGCCCTTCTCTTGCCTTCCTGCCGAGTTACCTCGTAGGGATGGCAGTGGCCCCGTACAGATATCTGTCCCTGTACCGAGCTAAGTATTGACCTAACATGACAAATTATGCTTCAGCAGAAGGACTCCGGCTCTTCAACCACGCCACATGCTGGATCCCCAGATCGCAATCAGAAAGTCAATAATTTTGACCATACCAACTTCACCAGCAAAGCGCTGACCCAGTACCACTGGTGATCAGGTCCCAGGAAACTTCCCATAACGCCATGAAAGGGCAGGGTAGTAGAAGCACAGCTCCATTAGTCGGCCTCAAGTGGGGGCCTGCCGGTGCCCATCACTGTCAACAATGCAGCACGATAACGGAGCCCGTAACACAAGCGGTGCAATCCCGCCATCAGGGTCACCAGGCAAGGTTAACTGGGATGCATTCACTTTTGTTGTATGCAAGAATCGGAAAGGTAGGATCTCAAGTCAAAGGCTTTTCTGCCGTGGCAAACGAACTGTAGACGGAACGTGTGAGCAGCTCGAGAGCCTTTAACAATGGGGGCGATCAACTCACCAAAAAGTGTATAGATGCATCTTGTTCTCGGCAATCTCTCGTCTCACATTGGCACACAAAACCCGAAACTCGTCCAGTGACCAGCCGCCGACTTCGCACAGCAGCTTCAGGCTGTATGCCTCCAAGGCGCTGTTCACAAACTGTTCCCGGAAGATCTTGCCAATGATCTTCAGTGATTTGTCCTTGGGCCATGTGCCCAGTGGAACATGCCTCTGGACAAAGTTGACGTTTGTGAAACCGGCCTGCTCCAGCTCGCCAGGGACTTTTGGAATGTGGTCCATGTCCAGGTTGATCAAGCTTGCACACCGATGCAATTCATCCAGATATTTCTTGGTGAAGCTGTCGGCGGGAAGAGTATTGTCGTCACAAAAAAAATTGGCTCTGCCTTCGGAGACTTCAATCTTGCCTCCAGGTTTGAGGTGCTTATAACAGCTTGCCAGAAACTTTGGGAAATCTCGAATCCCAGCACAAATTGTGCGTGCATGGATAAAGTCGAAATGGCTCTCTGGAAACGTCCACTCTTCATTCGCATCGTCTACTTCAAACCGCACGTTTGGCGGCACCCATTGGGACTGAATTGGAGATAGATCTGTACCGGTCACGACTGCAGAGGGGTACAAGTCACCCATATCGATGGCCCAGATTCCCGTTCCAGTGCCAACATCAAGGATAGCCTGTGGATTTTCCAGCGGAGTTAGACAGTAGGCGCCGTGAAGGACGAGCGTGAACAGATGATGCGTAAGATCCAGCCGTTCCTGCTCCTCTTCATCATTTGGAAGAACATATTGCGTCGGCCGATAGCTATGATACCGCCGACCGTTCTCATATACCCAGTCGAAAATGGACGAGTTTAGCGATGTCGTCGCGGTCTGATCGCTAGCGGAATCGTATCCGGGGTCATCCTCTTCCTCCACATTGGGATCGGGCTGCATCGCCGGTGACCGGGGAGGCGACGGAGACGGCATTTATCACCACGCCGTGACGGAAACAGGAAAATATCAATTATCGGTGGTGCGATGAAGTTGAAGAGGCGACGCGAGAAAGGGTTGAATTGTCTAGACCCGAGTCCAGCTCATCACCGCTGATCGCGCTTCACGTGATGCAGGCCGTAGCGCCGGGTTTGGCCTGAAGCAGCAACCAAGAATCGACCAAGCATTCTAGTGACACGCCGGTTTCTCTAGCTTGCCGCCGGTGTCAAGGTCCTCGAGTCTCAATTGACCAGCTTTCGAGCTAGAGACGCCGGACCTTCGCGGATCAGCAGGAAGCATGTAACCAGCAGATATAACCACAGCGCCGTTTTTGTTAGGACAAGACTCAAAGTCCCTAAACACGGCCGTTGGCACATCTCGATCCTGCTGCGCAAGGTTCTCAACATGATGCTTCTCGACTACCTAGGTACTGCTTCTGCATTGGAGTCTGCGGCATTAGCATGCGATGGTAATGAAGGGTTGAAAGATACCTCCGAAACCAAAGCTGCGAGTGCTTTCCGGTACCATACCAGTATTTCCCGCCATGCTGGTACCGTACGTCGGCGAACCGGGCACTAGCAGCCTGAGTGCCTTATTATTCACCGCGCTTGGATTGGCTCTTTTGTACGTGGCATGTCTGGTGGTGTATCGCATCTACTTCCACCCACTCGCGAAATTTCCTGGGCCCAAGCTCGCGGCGGCGACACTGTGGTATGAATTCTACCACGACGTGGTGAAACGAGGCCAATTCACCTTCAAGATCAAGGAGCTACACCAGAAATATGGTAGGTGCTGTTACAGGAGGGGCGTGCTCCTGACGATTGTTTGTTTTGGTCGATATGGCGTTTTGTGTCCTTCGTATCTGTGCCCTCTCCTGACTCAAAGCAGGTCCCATCATTCGAATCAACCCTCATGAGATTCATGTGTACGACCCGGCCTTCTACGATGAGCTGTACACGAATCCTCCGAGGAAGCGCGACAAGTACCAATGGTGGGTGAACCTAGCGTCGGCGCAAGGGTCGATGTTCAGCACTGTGCCACACAATCTGCACCGCTTGCGTCGGAGTGTTCTCAACCCATACTTCTCCAAAGCCAACATCTTCCGTCTCGAGCCGTTCATCATGGAGCGAATTGAGAAGCTGTCCAAACGCCTCGCCGATGCGGCAGATACCGAACAAGTTGTTCGGCTCGACGTGGCATTCATGGCCTTGACCACCGACACAATTTCGTTGTACGCATTTGGCCTGGACCCGAAGTACCTGGACGAACCGGATTTTTCTCTCATGTGGAAGGAGACCATCAAAGGCGGCTTTGAGACTGGCGCGCTGTGTCGCCAATTTCCCTGGCTGGTTCCTACGATGAAAAGACTACCGCCGAGCCTCGTTGCTGCCATGAATCCGCAAGTAGGGTTCTTGATGCGATGGCAGAACCGGGCAAAGGCAAACGTGCAGCGCATCCTGGATGAGAAGAAGCAGCAGCAAGACCGAAACGAGGAATCCAAATCGGATGATGATAAGAGCAGCGGTACTTCTCCGCCGCAGACAATGTTCCACGCTCTCCGTGACAGTGATCTACCAGCATCCGAGAAATCTCTCGAGCGCCTATGTGATGAAGCAGAAATTGTTCTCGGTGCAGGAAGTGAGACGACGGCAGCCACGCTTTCGCGGATCTGGTTCTATCTGTTACAATCGCCATCCATCCTCGCCCGTTTACGGGCTGAGCTGCGCACCATTATTCCATCTCCAGATTCCCCGATTCCCAAACTGTCCGTCATCGAACGGCTACCGTACCTTTCTGCCGTCATCAGTGAGGGTCTCCGAATCAGCTACAGTGTCACCACACGCACGCCACGCATTGCTCCCAACGAAACACTCCGATACAAAGACTGGTCCATCCCGCCTGGAACTCCTGTGTCCATGACCAACGCGCTGGTGCTCATGGATCCGGACATCTTCCCCGACCCGGACACTTTCAACCCGGACCGCTGGCTGGAGGGCGGTCATGGCCTGGAAAAGTATCAGGTCGCTTTCTCAAAGGGGTCGCGCCAGTGCTTGGGAATGAATCTGGCGTATGCCGAGATGTACTTGTCCATGGCTGCGCTGTGGAGTCGCTTTGATTTCGAGCTGTTTGAGACGACTTTGGATGATGTGCTTTGGAAACATGATTTCTTTACTGCTTTTCCGGACGATGAAAGTAAGGGCGTTCGTGTCAAGGTGAGGCAGAGGAGGGATTGACACAGCAACAAATACGCATCATGAAGTTCTCGAAGTTCTAGCATAAATGATATGAGCCATGCAGTGTCCAACATCTGTGTCATTTCCTGCATCACTGTAAATGCCAGACACTGCAGTGGTCCTACTGGATGATATATCGTGTCGCGTGGTTTCCGGGGTATATCAACTGCCTGGGGCCTAACTCCTTGTCGCCAGTCGAGTTTTTGAATAATCACTCACTCTCATGGTCAATGGCCAATGAGTATGTATCCCTTTGCTAGGTCGACACTGCCTAGGTACAGGACCATCGGCTGGACAATTAATTGTGCAATTGTACTTTCGGCTACTAGCCGAGAAGGTGGATCATCTGCCACGAGAAATATCTTACGTGACAGTATTTTTTGTGCTATCTTTAGTTCCGTCCTTCACCATCCAACTGGAGGTTCCATCCAAGGTTCCCGTCAAGTTGTCATTTTCATCCCTCAGCTGCATGCTGCAGGCGGTTATCTGATGATCTGATTAGTCGCGTGGCCCTTCGCGTGGTGGTAGTGCCAATGCCATGCCACGCCACACAACGCCATGCCATTCCGGTTCGCGAACTGAACTCGTTCGACTTTCCCGGCCCTTTCGGCTCTCTTGACTACAATGCCAACAATACACTACGCGACCGCAACCGCTCAAGCCATGATGGGATAAATCCAGAAGTGGAATGGCTGCCGGTAGTACTCCTCTCCATTGCGGTCCGAGATTCGGCACGGTAGGTCTGGAAGTTGGGACTGACTGTGCACCGCGATGTACCTTTTGCGACCGACATGATTTAAGTTGTCATTGTTTACAAGAGTATGGTCCTTTGCTGTTGTACTTCTGTGCGTCTCTTGATCAACATAACATACCCACGTGGCATTATTGAGTTTATCTACCTACCTACTCTATCTTGTCACTTACATTTTGCCTGGGTGTCTGCCTCACTGTCTGGGGCTGTTGGAACGATTTCCTTCGACTTACTTACTGCATTCAGTATACGCACGGTGTGGGGTGGTGTTCTGTGTCCCCGGGTCCAAGAAGAAGAAGACAAGAACAGAGAAGGTCTTGTTTTTGACTCGACTCAAGTCGTGGACTCAAATCGACTTGTCTTGCAGTGGTTGAACATCATTCACTTTAATTGTTACCGAGTCGCGTCGACCGATATCATCTCAGTCTCCATCCGATCTTCTTGTCAGACGCACTGCCAGTGCAGTGCCTGTTCTGTCGCCATGCCAGTCCTGGTAGTCCCCGCGCTGATCCCGGATCTGGAAAAAGTATACGACGTCTACTTCGACGCTTTCAAGCACGAACACATGGCCTCGATAATGCTCAACATTTTGTTCCCCAACGGCATTACACCTGAGTTCCGCAAACACCACACTGCCGCCACGCTGGACTGGTGGCACAAGGCCAAAGACCAATATACCTACAAAGTCATCGACACCGACCGCGACGGCGAGATCATCGGCATGATTCTGGCCGATGCGTTTTTCAAGGAACGTACGGAAGAAGAACGGAAGTGGGCCGGCATTCCGTGGCTCGAGGGCAAAGAAAGGGAACGGGCCGATGCGGTCACGAAACCCCTCTGGGAGAAGAGGGAGAAGTTGTTCGGTGGGAGGAAATATATTTGTAAGTGAGCACCGGAAAAACATCTGTGAGACGGACGGGAGAAGGGATGTGTGTGTATGTGATTTGTGCTGACAAGCTCGACTACGTCTTGCTCACTTGACAGATGTCCACGCAATCGCTATCCGTCCTGAATTCCAGGGCCTCAAGGCCGGAATGGCATTGATTCTCTGGGGCGTCGATCTCGCCGACCGCGCAGAACTTCCGGTTTATATCGAATCGTCGCCGTCGACTTGGCAACTGTATGAGCGCGTTGGGTTTGAGAGGATCAATGAAAAGCTTGTCCACAGTAAGGACTTGCTGGGCACCGATGAGGACATTGAGGTCCCGCTGATGGTGAGGATGCCATCGTGTGCGAATGGCTTGTCGTTTGATGAGTGGAGGGCAAACGGGTATCCTCCGTTCGAGGGGTGATCTCCCTTGTTTTCTGATCTCATAGTTGGAACAACTTGGAAGAAGCAGGCTAGAACTTAGAACAACATGAATGCAGTGCAATGCGCCGCATGGGATGCATTGTGACGGTTTCAAGACTAAAACGGATTCAATCTTCATTGCTATTGCCATTGCCTGCCATTGCCTCGGTCATGATCCATCTGACCTGACCTATGCTGTAGGCGGCGCGGCATTAAAATGCATTGCATATATGGGCGCTATCTACCTACATGTACCTAGGTATTCATTGAGTCACCCGCACCTCCAGTTTCAGCGCCCTTCACTGCCAGTGCCACATCGCGGTACTAGTAGTATACCACCCCCCTGCCAGGGCCTAAGCCCCCTGCTCTCGTCAAACCGCAGACTTTTCCTTCCCTTCGCTTGACTTTGACTCCGGCTTGTTAACACTCGCCAGAAACTTTTGCAAAATCCCCACAATCTTCTCCAGCGCATCAACCCACCTCTCCAACTCTTGTCTCGCCAGCTCCGGATCAACACCCTGCCCACTCAACCGAATATAAAAATCCCTCCTTCGCGGCGCCGCACTCATCGCCGCTCGAAAAATAGGCCGGATCAACACGCCATGGTAGGGCGCAAGGGTGACTTTATAGCTCTCACGGAATAAATCGCCCAATTCTTTACGGGGATGTTTATCTCCTACCGCGACGTCCTTGTTAGTTGTTAAATCGGCCCGGAACGCGTGGGCCATAAAGTCCAATCCGCGAACTAGCCAAGTGAGTCCCTCGGTGGCGTTTTGGGCGAGGGGTGGTTTTCCAGAGTCTGGTAGGGATGATTCGTCTTTAATCAATTGTTGGAGTGTTTGGACAGTGTTGTTCTGTTTTTGTCGTTCTCGTACTCGGTTCACGTTGAATAACATGTCTTGTTTGATGGGTGTGAAGACGGCGGAGCCGAGTAAGTCAAAGATTGTGGTTGTTGATTCGGTGGCTTCGAGAAATTCGGTGATTGAGATGCCGTCGCCGTTCTCGGTGGTTTGAGTGACAGGGACGTCGGCGAAGTGGCATTTTTGGATGCCGAACCATGTCTTCCCTGGTGGGATTTGGATCTTGTGCATTGTGGCGGCGAGAGTGAAAGTGACTGTGGTGAAAGGGGACCTTGAACTTTCACTCTCCCGGGTTTAGGGTCAAATAGTCGTGTGCCTTTGTTTGTTGATACGGTGTCTGCTCTTCTTGTTGGCCCTGTTGTCTCGCCGCACCGTCACTTCAATGGGAGCGAGTGCAGGTAGCCAGCCTTTTGCTGTGTATCTCTGGTGTAGTAAGGTAAGTTGTGACTTGTTTGGACATGAGTCTGGCGTTACTGTGGTAAAACAAAACCCCCCCGCCTTATTCTTACCTACCTTGCTCACTGCAATGATGAATTACCAAGGCCGTCCCTCAAGCCAATCGCTGGGACATGACATGGGGAATTAGTCATTCTCTCGCCAATGCATTGCATTGTAGGCTGAGGGCAGGTGTCTATGAAAGAGCCAGTATCCGTTTCTTTGCCGTACTAGTTAGTAGTTAGTTGGTCCTTAGCTAGGTTTGACCGACACAGACTGTCTCGCTTGGCTGGAATGGACGGGCACGCCAGCATCCTGTACAATGCAGTGAAAGCTGGCCGCATATCGGCGCCATGGGTTGCTCACATGTCTTCAGCTCGTCAGAGGAGCCGTGTGGTAGCGTGGTGGTAGTGCCAACCACCACATATGTGCGATCGGGCAGCGAGTATGGGGATAGGCGCTCGCTTGGAATCTCGGCTCTGGCCGTCGACCGGGGCCATTTGTACCGTAGTGGTATCAGTACCAAGTGGTACAACGGAGTCGAAGTACGCTCACGGAGGCCAAGGTAGGATGGGAAGGGAATTCTCGGGCTGCCAACGGGCTAGCCACCGCCAAAATTGCTGGCCAAGATTCAACTCAGCAAGTTCGGTGCAATAGCATTATGGCGACCCAGTGCCATGCATGCCGTCGCCGAACTTGAAGCAGAGCAAAACCATCATTGCGGTCCAACAACGACCATGGTTGACCGGCCCACTTACTTGCAGAGGGAGAAAATATCTCATCAACCAGCATGCGGCAGCGGCTCACAGACTGACACTTCACTGCGGCAGGGTTTTCCCTTTTTTTGCTTTTTGTTCTCCGATCTTCTGAAACCTCGCTCGATGCCCAGCCAGAATGATTGAGACAATGGCGCCCTCGGCCCCCGAGCGATCAGAAAACTCGAAGCTGGATGGCGGATCTGATAAGATTAGATCCACTCTCAAAAGAACCGTCGTGCTCGGCGCAGAATGCAGACTCCATTATGCGGCGGAGCGGGGCGGAAGGGAAAAAGAGGAAAAAATGAGAGGGTACAGGAGGAGTACAGGCTGTGTGGGTTCAAGTTGATGGCTTCGACAAGCGAGCACACACTGGCAGTGGTTCAAGTTGTATTTTTGAGGTAAGTGTCTGTCCGGTGCAGCTTCAAGATCAAGTTGAGGGCCATGATCCGCTGCTGGCCCGAGAGCACAAATGGTACAGTTGTCACAATACTTTGATACCTTACCTCGTTACGGCTAGCAGATCCCTGGTACCCAGTACTGGTAATACTGTCAGTTTGTCACTCGCCTCCGTTACAATGCGCGTGTCCTACGGTACCAGGTAGACCAAGGGAGGTCCGGGCTTTTTTACCTACATCCGTCCCAACCGGTACCTACCTATACGCACCGGCCCGATAGTATGTCCGGTGGATACCTACTCACCTGCTCCGAGAAACTTGATACGTGGTTGGGATACACTTGCAGAGACTAGGGGCATCACGTCCTTACCATCGTCTCTAGCAAGGATCACATGTTCCAGAGGTCTCTGTTGCTTCCAAGCTGACCATGGTATAGCCAAGGTCTCGCGAGGCCGGTTGAATTTGCCAAAGGGCAGTTCTGCCATGGCTCGGAGGCCCATCCTTCCGGGCTTATGCCGTGCTGAGCTGACCGTGGGAGTTGCATTCGGCAATCCTTGCTTCCTAACAAGCAATGCTCGTGCGAGTTGACCGGCCGGTGTTCGCAGCTGTGAGTCGCGACCCAGCCACCACGGAAGGTAAGTGACGAGGCTCGTCCGACGACCTCGTCGTCACGGGATCCCATTTTCATTGTCCCCATTGCAACTGTGCTTCGAGTGCACAACAGACTGCACATGACTGCAAGAATTGTTTTTCTTAATCTGCAACAAAAGTCATGTCACCTCCGTATCAAGGTCTCCTTGACAAAGGAGGAGTGTGGACCGACATCCAAGAAGTCGGTTCAAGCGAGGATGAAGTCGAACACACCGGCCCTGGGCCTGAACCCAAACAGCGACATCCGTTGAGATGGCTTGCTGCCACGACCAAACATTCGCTCTTTGGTCATGGCACACACACGCGCAGCAACAGCGGCAGTAACCACCACCACAAACTTCACAAGACAGCATACCTTGACGGGCTGCGCGGCTTTGCTTCCCTGCTCGTATACTGCCTGCACCACGAGGGGTTTGTGCACTCGAGTCTGATTCTCGAAAACGGATTTGGATGGGACGGACACTACCACCTGGCGACTTTCCCCTGGATCCGAACTTTCTTTTCAGGCGGCCATTACGCCGTGGCCGTCTTCTTCGTCATTTCCGGGTACGTTTTATCAGCGAAACCCCTTGCCCTTATTCACTCTAGCGACCACGAGCGACTCTCCGAAAACGTGGGCTCAGCCCTATTCCGACGATGGCTGAGACTGTACATCCCCGTGATCGTGACGACATTCATCGTGGCGTCCCTTCCACACGTCTTCGGCCTGAAAGCCAACTTCGAGCCCCAACAAACGTGGCGCGACGAGATCTGGAAATGGTACTGCGAATTCAAAAACTTCAGCTTCGTGTTTCGGCTCGGCGGCGATCCCTGGTTCAGCTACCACTACCATGTGTGGTCGATCCCATTTGAATTCCGCGGCTCCATATGCATCTACACGTCATTGCTGGCCTTCTCGCGATGTACGCGCTCAGCAAGATTGTGGTGCGAGGTCGGCCTGATCGTGTACTTTCTCTATATTGCCGACGGGGCGCAATTCGCCATGTTCTGCGCTGGCATGTTGCTGTGCGACCTGGACCATCTGGCCGAGCGGCAGCAGCTTCCGCGCTGGATGAATCTCAGCAAGTTCAACTCGCACTTATTTTGGACCATGTTATTCATCCTCGGCGTCTTCCTCGGCGGCTGTCCTTCCCACCATTGGGACCCGCAGTGGTTGAAAGCCGCTCCCGGCTGGGGCTTCCTTGCGTCCTTGGTCCCCCAGGCCGTCTTCGACTATAAATGGTTTTTTCTGTTTTGGGCCTCCCTGTTGACTGTGGCGTCCATTCCACGACTACCCTGGCTCAAGCGGTTTTTCGAAGGCAGGTTCTGTCAACACCTGGGACGAATCTCGTTTGCTTTTTATCTCGTCCACGGTCCTGTCCTTTGGACCCTCGGTGGGCGGTTGTATGCTGCCACAGGTCTGTGGAACGACTGGCAACTCACCGAGATCCCGGGCTGGGTTAACCGGGTGCCTCTGCCTTATGTCGGCCCGTGGGGGTTGGAATTGAATTTCCTCGTTCCGCAGTTGATTCTTCTGCCTGTCACGCTGTGGCTGGCGGAGCTGGGTACAGCCTTGCTCGATGATCCTAGTATCAGATTTTCGAGGTGGCTTTATGGCAAGGCCACTGGGTCTATCGGCTCTGCTGCCGCAGCAGGGGACAAGGATAGCAGCAGCCTTCACGTCCAGGACAGAGGTCGAGATGGTAAAGTTGGTGATTGGGCCCCTTTGAAAAGGTGACACGGATAGACAACAAAAGAGGCGGCTCCCTGGATTTGAAGGGTCATATATTGATATTGGTGATAGATATGCTGCAGGAAGTAACCTGACTGCCAGAGCTGCGTTCCGCCAGCAAAGAAATATAAATTCAGGAGTGAAAGCCGTCGACCTGGCACATAGCCAATTTGATTTGGTACCACCTTACTGCTCGGATGCAGATGTAGCAAATCGAATTTCGTTTCATTCATGCAAATGCTTGAGACAACATGGATCCCCCCTATGCTATCCTACCTCTACCCGGAATAAGTAGACGGAGGCCTCGGCCTCCTTGATACACATGTATCCTGTCAACTGTGTACCGCGCAGTAATGCATCCACCATATCACAACACAATGCAAGCATACAATTGTACTGTCCAACTACATTGTACAGTGCCTACAGTGTCACAACCATGACCCCGAAACATCCGATGTCCAATGAGAACATGTCGAAATATCCTACAACTACTTGAGATGACCGGCCATTTGTTGTATTGCTCCTAGTCAATTCTAAATCGAACTTAGGTAACAACAACCGCAGTCCAAGGAGTGTCCGCGGATACTAAGAAGCGGACGGTTCACCAGTGCTACTAACAATAATACAAGGGATGGGAGGCACCCGCCAGAAAAGATGGACCCAACCCGTTCTCCATAATGATATTAATCACAGGTATACCGTATACAGCACAGGACATACCCAAGGTTCACGATTTCCCAACACTGGAAAAAAAGATGCCTATACCTAGGCACCTAGGTACCTAGGTACAAAACACGAGCACGCGGATATAACGGAAACTGACATAACGAGAGACGAATGTATATTATTTGCGATATCGATATCTATGTTATTGCTCCTGCTCCATGGTCCACGATTCCGATTCGACTGGTAAACCCGGGTGTCCACTGTCCAATGAGGGGGAGAATCCCAACTGCCTCACGCTGTGAGGGAAAAAGAGAAGGGAGAAAAAAAATTTGTTCCGACAACCGTTCCACCGATGATTTTGCTGTGTGCTGTACTGGTTTGGTGGGCGGTAGGGGACAACAAGAGGCTTTTTCGTGTGTGCTGGGGAGGAAGGGAGCTTTTCGGTTTGCACACCTCGAGGCAATCAATACTCAATCGATTGTCAGAGTGCATGAACCCGGTAATAGGTGATGATGTGTGGGGCAATGAGACAGACGACACTGCTTTGACCCTGGGTACCAGTACCCAACCAAGCAACTGCTGTGCTGTGCCCCTTTTCTTTTGTGCTGCGGCTCCTGTGCTGTGCCATGAGCCCTTTGTGCGGTGTATACTAAAATCTCTCTCGAGTTTAGATGACACGACCCTTTGTCTGCTTGCGGTCGACCTTGATGTCCCTCCAGAGCGCCACACAGACGGTTCCGGCGCCCAACAAGCACAAACTGGTGATGAGCATGTATCGTTGAGCGTCACCGTAGGCGCGATTGATGCCGTCTCTCTCGGGGGTACCTTCCTTGTAGGCCATCTGCCAGGTGATCGAGCCGTAGATTCTGGAGATGTCGGTGCCAGCAGGCAAGTACCTGCGCAGACGGTCGGGGAAAACACTCGTCCAGATGGCGGTGGCGACCGTGCCGCCGGCAGCGGAACCAATACTGCCAAAGAGATCGAGGATGGCGATAATGGCAGCAATGTGCTGGTGGTTGGACGGGGCCATCATGGCCAATTCGCCGCAAAGAACAATCGAGCCACCCGCAAAAGCCACAAAAATCTGTGTCATGACGATGTACCCGATGTCGCTGTTCGGCTGGCGGAAGTGGATCATCAGACCAACGCCCAACATCATCAGCGGCATACAGAAGTACAGCGCAATCCACTTGAAGCGGCAGGTCCGGCGGATAGCGTAACCGACCACGAACGCAAACGCACACGAACCCGTTCGATAGATGGCGCTGACGTACGTCGCGTTGGTCACGCTCAGGCCCCAGACCACTTGCAACATCGAATAGAAGTACGCACCCCAGACGGACGAGTTGAAAAACACAAACACGAACATCATCCCCGCAAAAAACACCGTTCGGTCCAGGAGCAGGTTGAACGGAATGAACGTCTTGGGCGCCAGGTATCGCTCATAGAAGGGGAAGACAATCAACAGCGCCCCGCCGAATGTGATCATGCAGATGATCATGGGCGACCGCCACTTCTCCGACTGGTACGAGTACAAGCTGAACGGAAGCAGGAACAGGGCCATGCCTGCGGCCAAGATCAGAATACCCAGAAGGTCGACGTCAATGGCGTACTGCTTCAGTGACCTTGGCGACAAGTTGATTTTCTGCGGCTTGATGAGGCCCTGCTTCTTGGCCTTGTTTTGGTTGTAGATGAATAGCAGGGTCAATGGTGCAACTGTCACGGGCACCACGATGGCAAAGATGCCGAAGCCCCATCGGAATCCTATACCGCTGAGCACGCTCTGCGAGATCGGCCCGCCCAGCCATGCGGTGACGATGTACGGCGACGTTGCCACCGAGAGCATCAGCGTTCGGTTTCGCAGCGTCGATGTGTCCGAGATGAAGACAGTCACACAGTAGCTGACGCCCTGAGATCTATCCGAAAGAGTGTCCATCAGCAAACAGCCAAAAAGGTGGAAAGGTAAGTCTCCAGAGTCAAGCTTACCCAGTCACGTAGAAGACTTGTGCTGCCGCATATGTCTCGACATTCTTGCACGCCGCCATCATCACGAATCCCAGAGCCCAAATGATGGTCATGAGTGCGATACCTTGCGGACGGCCCCAAGTGTCGAGGATTTTGGCCGTAGGAATCCTGGCCAGACCACCAATGATACTGGACATGATGCCGGTCGCGGCAGTCAATGAGTGTCTGGAGAAGTTACTGGTCACGTATGGGGTCATGGCCCGGACAACGATCTCCTGCAGCGAAATCACCCAGTAGATGAGCCAGATACTGGGAGCAATATTGTGTCAGTTTCAATCACAAACACCAAAAGTTCAAGCCTCCTTACAAGAAATGTGCCGCAATCAAGTGCCATGTCGTCCAAACCTGCGCTGCCGCCTGGATTCGCTGCACACCTGCTTGGGCGTCCTTCTCAACAGGCTCATCTTCCGAGTCTGCCACAGCCCGCTCTTCGGCAGCGACATCTCTGGTATCAACCCCAGGTGCCGGCTTGAAGAAAGCCTCGATCTTTGATTTCAGACCGCGTGGCTTTTCCACCGTCTCATCGCTAGTGGTCACACTGGCCATTGTGACCGATTGTCGTCGTCGACAGTGCTAGGGTTTCGAAAAGGGATATCAAGTCAGTCCCGCCGCTCCAGTACAGAGATGATGAGCGACAGACTCCACGTGGTGGTGAATATAGGTTAAGTCTCGGGAAACCTTGGCCAGCTCGTATCTGATAAAGATTATAAGGCATTTGAGGGTCAGAAAATTTCTTCGACAGCGGTTCTAGGCCGCTTTCATCATGTTAAGCTATAGGGTGATAGGTGGGGTAGGTCAATATGCTATCAGTAGTATAGACCGAGCTGGGTGAGTAGTCCAAGAGCACTGTCGAGCGAATAGAACCGGGTCGTCTCACGAGAACTGGTGTGTGGAACAGCGAATCGAACCACCATGATGTTACTGTAGCATCCACTGACGCTGGCCGTGCTCGTCCATTATTCGAACAAATGTCCGTTCTCATTCCCTTTGCTGGAGCATCCGATAAAATTGAGCACCTGTCCCTGGCAAGTGTTGGACACAGATGACCCTCATGGCGAAGGTCGAACTGGACACAGGAAGGCGGGCCGATCCCCGTAAGACACGCCTACGCTTGGCTGTCTGGCGGATATTCCAGACCATGTAGTCATATGGGGCATGACTCGCAAAATGTATCTCCCATTGGGCAGGAACAAGGAAGAGTCAAACATGCCCACCCCAGAGAGATATGATGAGATATGATTTGATTGATTATCGGTACTTCTGGCCCGAGAATTGTTGAACAGGAAACGAAAGACACCCACCATGCCAGCTTGTCCGGCTTCGGACATGTTTGGGCGCTGCGGAAAGGCGCCGTCGACTGGCCAAGCAGGGCTAAATACTCACCATCAAGGGTAGTGGGTGATCTCGGAGGAGAGAGTGGTTGTTGAGCAGAAAATCGAGACGAGGCTCTGTCCCTGTAACATTGTAGTTGCTCTTGGCAAACCGCGGCGCGGAATTAGGTATTTTTGTCAGACAGAGAAAATGACACAGATGCTCACAGAAACAGCAATACAACTGTTCGGCCATTACAATACCGTAACAAGAAAACATCCACCGTCAACTTCCACCGGTCCCTGTCAAGCAATCCATCCACTCTCCCTCCCCACCCCCCCAAGGCTCAAATAGTGCATTATCAGATGGTGCCACCGATTATCTGATGAAAACTCTAGCCCCTTATCCCTGACCCCGTCCGACTTTCCCGGGATCGGAGCGTACGTGTTGTACAACAACATCCTTGCAAACTGCCTTGGCTCGAAGTGATGCCGGACTTGGTAATGAGGCCCGGTGGGGAGCCTGGGATCATGGCGATTGAGTTTCCAGGTGACAGGCCTGTGACTCCCCAGTTGCAACGAGATGCTGTTGCTGCAGAAGGTAGGACAATGGGCGATCAGCCAAAAGAAAAAGCTCACTGTTCGTCAAATAGTACGGTGATCAGACTCCCAGGCAGGAGGTGCTTGGATTTTAGTCCTCGCTAAAAGTGATCATGCCACCGCAGCCAAAAGATATGGCAGTCAATGTGTCTGACGCAGCAATGTCTGGCGAGGCTGAAGCCACAGAAGACACCAACTTGGCACACCATACGCCTGACTCGCAAAAAGCTGAGAAGGCTAACTCGGTCGGTCCTACCATGCCCCCATACCTGCAGCCTCGCAGAAACATCCTCTAACAAGTGTTCCAGCCGCTTCTTGTTTTCATCCAGCTCCTGCGCTATGCTGGCTCGACATGGCTGGACATTGGCCTCATGCTCGTCGGGAGCATATGTGCCGCAGCCTCAGGAGTTCCCTTTCCGTTGATGGCCATCCTATTTGGAGAGCTTGTCAACGACCTTAATGGGGCTGCATGCGTCGTTGATGAAGCGGGCGATGCCTCCTCTTACCAATCAGCCGTCGACGACAAGGTCATTCAGCTGGTCTACATTGCCGCAATTGCCCTAGTCTTGATCTTTGTCTATGTCGTCTGTTGGAGTTTCCTCAGTCAGAGGCTGGCACACCGCTTGCGCGAGCAGTATTTTGCCAGCCTCCTCCGTCAGGACCAGGCTTTTATCGATCAGCATCAGGCAGGAGAGGTCTCTTCCCGTCTCAATGGAGACATCCAGGCCGTGCAGTCTGGAACGTGCGAGAAAGTCGGCATTTTCATCGCCAGCATTTCCTTCTTCATTGCCTCATATGTTGTTGCATTTATCAAGCAGGCCAAACTGGCAGGTATGCTTATATCCTTGGTCCCTGCATTTCTGCTTGTGGCGGTCATTGGAGGCGGGTTCTTCCAGAAATTTGCAAGCCGAATGTCAGACGGCGTAACTTCAGCGTCAGGTATTGCCTCCGAGGCGCTGTCGCATATTGCCGTTGTCAAGGCCTTTGGTGCCGGCCCGCGACTCGAGAAGAAGTTCTCGGAGTATCTTTCTGTGAGCCGCGACAATGCAATCAAAAAGGGAACAGTCGCCGCTGTTCAGGCTGGAATGTTATACTTTATCGCGTACTCAGCCAACGCTCTTGCTTTCTGGCAGGGTAGCCATATGGTGGCTGACTTGCTTTCTGGCCAAAGCGGTGGCTCAACGGTTGGTGAAATCTATACTGTTGTTTTCATTCTTGTGGATGGTATGTACTTGAGTAACTCATTGATTTACTCCGCTGATCATCTCTGTGCTAGCATGTGTGATACTGGGGTCAGTAGCACCTTTACTACCGCTGTTTGGTGGCGCCGCCACCGCTTTTGCAAAGTTGAAGCAGGACATCGACCACAAATCTCTCCTTGATGGTACTCTAGACCACGGCGAAAATCTCCCGCCAGAGACCCCGGGAACTGTGGAATTCCGCAATGTTTCCTTCGCATACCCATCGCGCCCCGGGGAGACGGTGCTGAAGAACGTGAATTTGCTCTTCCCGGCGGGCAAACATACGGCGATAGTAGGACCGTCTGGCAGCGGAAAGTCAACTATTGCCGCCCTGTTATCTCGGCTATATGACCCTATACAAGGGAGTGTGCTGTTCGATGGCCGTCCTGTCTCAGAAATCAACATCCGGAATCTCCGAGGCTTCATCAGCCTTGTGCAGCAAGAACCACTGTTGCTCAGCCGATCCATCCTGCAGAACATTGCACTGGGTCTAATCAACTCATCGGTGCCTTCGCACCAAGCACTCAGGGAGGAGCTTCTCGGACCGAAACTAAGCACTATCGCAGTCGAGACGACAGATCCGAGCAAGATGGAGCAGTCATACGGCCCCTTTGTTGCCGAGATTGTCCGTCTGGTGCAGAATGCTGCACGTCTCGCAGACGCTGATAGTTTCATCCAGCATCTTGACCGGGGCTATAGTACCCTAGTTGGATCCGGTGGTCAGTCACTGAGCGGTGGCCAGAGGCAAAGAGTCGCATTGGCGCGTGCTCTGGTCCGTGATCCCAAGATATTGCTCCTAGACGAAGCCACAGCCTCACTGGACTCGGCAAGTGAACAGCGCATTCAAGCAGCCATCGACCGAATTGCAGGCACCAGGACTGTGATATCGATTGCGCACCGGCTGTCCACCATTAGAAACGCGGACAATATCATTGTACTGAAGGCGGGTGAGGTGGTTGACCAGGGCACTTACGATGAGCTGGTGGCCCGGCCTGGCCTGTTCGCAGACATGGTCAGTCTCCAGGCACTGAACAACCCGACCCAGAAGCTAGACAACGATCTACATTCATGTTCTAGCTCGAAAGGAAACTCACTAGATATCTCCAATGAGAAAGGTGAGATGGGTGCTCATCCTCGTGCTAACGGACAAGATGAAAAGTCGTTGCCAGCGGAAGATATGCCGACCGACACAGACTCCAGCTCTAGCACGGTCACCCTGAACTCGACACTCTCGCCTTGGGCGGTGATAAGAGGAATGGGCAGGTTTGTCAGACCAAGTCTAGGCTGGCTGGTCATGGCCATGTTTGCGGCCACCATTGTCGGATTGACGTTCTCGGCGGCCGGATTGATATTTGGGCATGTCGTCGATGCGCTGAGCCCATGCAACAGCAGCATCAAACGCATATTATACCTTGGCCGGTTCTTCGGGGGTATGCTGTTCATGTTGGCATCAGTCGAGTTCTTCGCCAATTTCATCAGCTGGTCGTCCTTTGCCGTAATGGCCGAAAGACTACTGTACACCCTCCGGGTGCTGTCCTTCCGGTCATTGCTAGCCCAGGAGATGGAATGGCACCAGTCCACGGCACAGGACCCGTCGACGCTGTTGTCCATCATCACCAAAGACAGCACGGCGATCGGAGGGTTCAGCGGCTCGACCATGGGCACCATATTCTCGATCCTGATCAACTTTGCAGTTGCCATCATCCTCTCACACATCATTGCCTGGAAGATTGCCATCGTGTGTCTGTCAATGGTGCCAATCCTGCTTGGCTCTGGTATCATGCAGCTGTACAGTCTGGCACGGTTCGAAGAGCGAAACTCTAAGGCCTTCGCCCAGTCGGTCGGCATATGCATGGAAACGGTGACCTCGTTCAAGACGGTGGCGACATACTCTCTCGAACATGAAATTCTGGAAACCTACAACCGAGCCCTCAGCGAGCCGCGCAGCCAGATCCTGGCCCAAAGCATCTACACGAATTTCTGGCTGGCGATCGCCAACAGCACGGGGTTTTTCGTGTATGCGTTTGCGTACTGGTGGGGATCGCACCAGATCATCAAGGGGGAAAACACGCAAAAGGAGTTTTTTATTATTCTTGTGGCCATGCTGGTGAGTGCCCAGCTTTGGGGCCAGATGTTCAGTCTTGCGCCTGAAGTGTCGCGAGCTCGTGCTGCCGCGTCCCGAATCTTGAGTCTGATTGGGGCGGACGGAAAAAACAGTACGCACGACGGCATGCTAGATCAGGGTCTTCTCGATTCACCCACCTCCAGTCAAGACGTCGAAAAGAGTGCAGCAGATTCAACAACAACGACAAAACCCACCGGCGGAGCCAGCGTGGCATTCAAATCCGTCTACTTTTCGTACCCCTCCAGTCCCAACGTTCCCGTGTTAAAGGGAGTTTCATTCTCCATATCGCCAGGCCAATTCTGCGGACTCGTCGGCCCATCCGGCGCAGGCAAATCGACCATCATCAGTCTCTTGCAGCACATGTACCGACCTACCTCAGGCAAGATAGAAATCGACGGGATAGACATCACCCACCGTGATTTCCGGGACGAAATGGCCGTCGTGCCACAAGACAACGCCTTGTTCAGCGGCAGCATCAAATTCAACGTCGGGCTAGGAGCACGGCCAGGCCACGAAGCCACAGACTCTGAAATCCAAGAAGCATGCAAATTGGCAAATATCCACGACACCATCATGGCCCTGCCGCACCAATACGACACGGAATGCGGACCTAATGGATCCCAGCTTTCCGGCGGTCAGCGACAGCGTCTGACTATTGCTCGCGCCCTGGTTCGGCGACCCCGGCTGCTTTTGCTCGATGAGAGCACTAGTGCCCTGGACGCGGAGACCGAGCGTGCCCTCCAGGATGGATTGGAGAAGGCGATCCGCGAGTCTGGCGTTACTGTGATCGCCATCACGCATCGGCTGCATACGGTCACGAGAGCAGATGTGATTTTTGTCGTTGAGAACGGGACGATTGTTGATGCGGGCAGTCATGCGGAACTTATGTTGCGCAGTGAGAGTTATAAGTCGAATGCGCAGCGGCAGATTTTGCAGTAGAGACGAAGGCCGCAGTACGAATAAGTTCTCTGGTACTCGTTACGGTTACGAGTACATTTGTTTATGTCAAATCACAAATTACCCTGTGCATGATGACTTGACACTGGATGAAGCAGGTAACCTACTGTGACAGTTGTACAATTGTACGTACAAGTACCTACCTACCTAGATACCCCGGTCGAGCTACAAGGTAGTTGTGATTGGAACAAGCTTCAAGTTGTTGACAGGTGTCAAGTTGAGTTGAGTGTGTCTTCGGATGTAAGGTACAACAACAACAAAACAATCAATATCCCGACCGTCAGTGCTGTACCAGGCACAGGCACCGAACCTACCTAGGTGCCAGTGTCGGGTCCCCTACAACCACACACACATCCTGTAACACACACACCCACACACACACACACACACACACACACACACACACACACACACACACACACACACACACACACACACACACACACACACACACAATACGCAAAAGTTAGAATTTGGGGGAATATTTACCTAGGTATGGAGCAATCGATAGATTCTGGTGATCATGGGCAATGGATCCTCGGAGGATTCTCTCCTCACATGACGATACCTTACAACGTAGCTACGGTAGTTCCTACTACCTAGGTAGCTATAGGTTCTAGTTCTTGCAGATCAAAAGAAAAGCTTTTCTTCTGTGTGCCACTGCCGGCCGCCAGCGTGCCTTTCTCGAACCGACGATGATGGATGGTGATGGTGGTGGTGGGCTCGGATGCTCAATGCCTGATCGAGATGGTCGGCCGAGGGAGGGTACCGAAGCTAATAAAGCTATGGCACCCCGCGAACCACCCATGTTGACCACCGGCAGTCCGGGACGTTGCAGGAAAATGCAACCTTGAAAGCACTGGCACAATGCCAGTGATCGACTGGATTGGATTGGGTTTCTTGAAGCTTCTCCCCGTGGGGCTCCCGGACAATAGTACGGCTCCACTATGGGGGTAAGGTTGTACCTTTGATGATTTTGGCTGGTTGTTTGCACAATTATGATGTAGCACTGGCACTGGACTTGTAGGAAGCACACGAGCCGAGGTGGTCACATGATATACTTCACAATTATGCCGAGGCGACTCGTGAGGCTATGTACATGTATCCAACTGAAGACAAAGCTGCTGGCATGTGAAGTGTTGAGTAGGTAGCTACCTAGCTTAGCGGCACAGACTCTCCTTCTGGCGCTCCCAGGCACTTAGTGACAGGGTTGGGATGCAGGGATTGTACTGTAGCACCTACTACTAGTCAGCTTTAGGACAACGAGGAGCGGAAGCATGAACTTCCTAGCACAATGTGGTATTTTGGTCAGTCGGGTAATAAATGAGTACTATGTTACTATGTACTGGATGTCTTTGAGTTGTTTGAAGTTAAGAGAGTGTCATATAGGTAGTATCGCAACCTATATATTATAGTGTAGTATAATATGTATGTATGTACGTGCATACAGACACATCCATGCCAGTTCAACTCAAGTTGGGCCCGACAAGGGTATGCGGCTGTTGTTGTTGCTACTGATGCTTTTGTTTACGCATCGGAGGATGGACTTCTGTTCGTCACCGCACCCGTCATGGGTGATACTCGAGTGGTATCGGGTTTATGCGGCAGCCAACAAGCCGACGGCAAGAGCGCCCATCAGGCCAGACATGCCAACGGTGTTGGCGACACCGGCGTTGCCCGAGTATTGGGCAGGGCTGGTCTGGGCCGAAGTGGCAGCAGCAGACTCGGTCTGGGACGCAGTCTGCGAAGCGGCCGCGGAGGAGCTGGAGCTGGCAGCAGAGCTGGCGGCGGCGCTGCTGGACGTGGCAGCAGCAGACGCAGACGAGGCCACAGATGATGCGGCGCTGGTGATGGACGAGGCCTCAGCGCTGGCGGACGAGGCGAGAGATGAAGCTGCAGAGCTGGCGGCCGGGGCGGTGGCAGAGCTTGCAAGCGCCGTTGCGTCAGGAACGTTGATGGTCACGCCGTATGCACTGCAAAGGTTCTTGGCAAAGTCAATGGTTTCTGGTAGCACATTCTGGTTAGTCTGGCTGGGTATGAAAGGATTGTCTCGTACCACTTACCCTGAACCTCTTGGGTGTTGCAAAGGGTAGGAATCAACTTGACGAGACCGCTGACGAAGTCGTCATTCTTGCAAATGCATTCAATGTCGGTCAGACCGCATCCAGAGCTGCTGATGGCGTTCAAGATGGGGGATTGCTGTCCTTGTCGTCAGCACCAGTACCATCATATGAGAAAGAAACCAAACTTACAGCGCATTGAGGCAGGCTCGTGATGTCTTGAGCAAAGGCAGGAACGGCCAGAGCCAGAGCAGCAACCGAGGCAACAGTGAAAGACTTCATCTTGGATGTTGGTTATTGCGTGATAGTAGTGACTGTGGTGGTCAACGATGAATGAACGAACGACGGATGTAGTGTAGAGCGGTAGCAGACTTGGTCTCGAGAAAGGGTAGAGGAGTTGAAGAACGGCCGGCCGACCAATATATGATTGGCCCTGTGGCTGCCCCTGTGTGTATACATGCCTAGCTTTCTGTGGCTTGAGGTCTGGTCGTGCCGCCGAAGTAGGAGGGACGGAGACCTATCCTGCTCTCTTTGCTTTCTTTGCCATCCGGTGTGATGTCAGAGGCTTCCTACCTGCTGTGCCAGGACTCGCTCGCTTGAGGTTCTGGCCTTGGGAGCTTGACGGCTGGGCAAGGTGAAAATCTCTCATCTGGTGAGCCAGTGGGTAGTGGCGTCTGTTGCCATGGTAGTCATTGGGTTGGAAGAAGTGGTAGTGCGAACAGATCACGGACAGCTCAGAGAATGTGTCGCTAGTAGATGCCAGCAACCCTACCTAGGTACTTTGAGCGTGGAGTCTGGAGAGACTGACAGCTTGGCGGTCCTGAAGAGGCTGCCGGTGGTCGGCGGTCGGTGGACACAGGAACAGAAGTACTTTGATGCCAGTACCGTCGGTGGGTAAACGCATCAGGCAAGTAAGGCACCTACAACGTACTTTTACGTAGTATTCGTGACATGTCGTTTCAATAATACCGGTCAGGCATAACATCGCGCTTTTCCGCATTCGGTTACCGCACAAAAAGCAATCCGCCGAGGTGCCAAGACTGCCGCTTAGTCATCTGATAAGCCAAACTCGACGACCAGATTTCACACCGGGGCATATCACATGTACCTTGTAGCTACTACTGCTACTCTACCTAGGTATGTAACCCCACGACAACAAAAGCGATGAGCTGACTTTCCGCTTCACCGCTTGTGGAGCCGGAGCCGAAGCCGAAATGGCTGCAAGGGTACCATTCCCTAGCTCACAGAGGCGCCAGGCCGTCCTCTTTGGTCGGACTCAGAGCTTCGGCCAGCACTGCATATCACTGGCAAATCTTCCGCCGCAGCCTGAGTCCCCCGGTCGGAACCCTCACTCTAGCTGATCGGGGTAGCATGGGGCCGGGGGAGCTCCCGGACTGCTACTCAAACAAGGATGTACGGCCGAGTCGTTACCTAGGTAGGATGACATTGTATGTACAACTTATGTCAAGTCAAGCAGGGCCTCATCCGATAGCATACCGCCTTTCAGTGCTGAAAGCTTGACTGTCGAGGCGGGGACCTGGATATTCGCTCAGGACAGAATCAATACTTCCTTCTGAGTTGGAAGCGCACTGCTCTCTCGGGAACCCTATCGGACACACCGTCCAAGCTATTCGTTCCCTCTGGCGGTCTGCCATCAGCTTGCAACCATTGCTTCCATATGGAAGCTGCCAATGGAGAGGCACAACTCAGCCAAGTTATAGGCTAGTCGGCGCTAGCGGCATATTCAAGAACCCCAGCCTCACAAGCCTGCATAACTAGCAGTCAACGGCAGGAATATGTCTCAGTCCGTTCACCAAGGGAGCGGACCTTGCCGGCCTCTCACACCTTCCCACGATCTATCGTGCAGACTCAGCCGGCTCAGATACCATTCAAGCAGCGCACTGTACCCACTCCGAAGTCGGCATGTGACAGTCATCGCCAAGTGGGATTCACACGCCGAGGCTTGTACCTACGGTATGCAAGGCTCTGTTGCTGGGCACGATGATCGAAGTTGCCTACCACCGTGATCGAAGTTCCAATTTGAACAACTCACCGTGACGAGATCCCAGATAACGGTTCAAGCGAGGGTCAATGCCAGCTGACGGGCGGTTGACAAGACGAACAAGCAACTTTGACATGCCTTACTGTCGCGTGCCTTTGCCCCAGAGGTCAAGCTAACACACCTTCGGGATCTATGCAGCCACCCGACTCACACTTTTATGTGCCCGGCTGGGTAGTATGCAGTACTACTCCACTGTGAGCTAGCATAGCTAGTCATAGTGACGCAGGTGGTTCCGGTAGGTTCGTTGATCTCAATAGTCTCTACACTATCTAGCATCCGGTACACAAAGGCTGGTCGAGACTAGCACCTATGGTACCTTGCGAGCTACACACCATGCCTACCCTGACCTGAGGCGGGAACGCTATCGGCGCCGGCTTCAAAGAATACCACATGCTGAACAGCCAAATCCATGATGGCACAGTCCGCACCACCCAAAGTGTATGTCGCGATGCCCAAGGTACCTCATGCGGCCGCCGGCCTCGGCTTATCTTTTACCACTCTCACATTGGGTCCCGATCCATCGAGAAAGCTACAGCAATAGCGTGACTGGGTGAAGTTAAGCAGGTAGCTTGGTCTAGCTACCAGAGCTCTATTCCCCTCATCTTCGCGAGGCAAGCTTCGACTTTAAGCTCGTCATGAACAACTTTCGACCAAATATCATCCTCAACGCCTGACACTGGAGGGCTCACAAATCCTGCGTGCGGCGCAGCCATGACACTCCCACGAGTGAACTCGGGCGTGTTTGGCCGTATCAGACGGCGAGTGTCAAAGCAGGCTTATCGAGGGCTGTCCATCTACGTCTTTTGCTGCGCGCTCGTCGTCCTGGTCTTGTCGCAACTCAGTTCTTACCATACAGTACCAGCGAACAAGCCATCCGAGCTGGTGAGGAGGACTTCATATGAGTACCAATCGACTCTGGCAACTGGAGCGTTTCCCAGGAAAATATGGCAGTCATGGAAAGTCGACCCATTGGACTTTGAAGAAAGAGACTTGACATGCGCACGGTCATGGGTCACCAAAAATCCGGATTATCGATACGAAGTTTTGACCGACAGCAACGACGTGCAATATGTCGAGGAGCATTTCGGGCCCGACGGGCTGAATCGTCCTGATATAGTCCACGTCTACCGGTCGCTTACGGCCAAGATTATCAAAGCCGACTTGTTGCGATATCTGGTCATGTATGTTGAAGGAGGGCTCTATGTCGACATCGATGTAGAGGCGCTGAAACCCATCGACCGATTCATCCCGGACAAGGATCGGTTCAGGGAGCAAGATATTGATATGATCATTGGGGTCGAGATTGATGAGCCGCAATTCGCAGACCATCCAATCTTGGGCCCAAAAGCTATGTCATTTTGTCAGTGGACGTTTATGTGCAAGCCACGGCTGCCAGTTATGCTGCACCTGGTCGAGAATATCATCAACTGGTTATACGAAGTCTCGGAGCAACAGGGCGTGCCTATCTCGGAGATCTCGCTCAACTTTGATGATGTGATTAGTGGCACTGGGCCGTCGGCGTTTACAGATGCCGTTCTGGCCGAGATGTCGAAGCGCGAGAAGAAGGAGGTAACCTGGGAATACTTTCACAATATGGACGAGTCGCGGCTTGTCGGCGGTGTTCTCGTCTTGACCGTCGAGGCTTTTGCTGCTGGCCAAGGGCATTCGGACTCAGGGACGCACAACTCCCGTAACGCATTGGTGAAGCACCATTACCATGCCTCGGGCTGGCCGACCCTGCATCCTCGATACAAGCATCCCGTGTATGGAGAGGTGGAAGCTTGTAATTGGGACCCGGAGTGCGTGAAGCTGTGGGATTTCAGCAAAGCTGCGTTTGAAGCTCTACCACCGGAGGAGCAGGAGAGACAGATTGCGGAGAAGGAAGCTGCAGAACAAGCACTCATGCTGGAGGAACAAGCCATGCCAGGAGATTTCCCGGGCTCATTTGATCTTGCGGTCGAGCTTCCTCCCCCACAACCTGAAATACCTGAACTACCTGAAATACCCACAGAAAATCAACCTCCTGAGCCAGTGCCGGAACCAGCTCAACTGAAGGCCCGACATCTGAAGGGCCCACCTCCGCAGCCATTGATCAATACAGTCGCCCCCAGCAACTCTATTCTACCTACTGTATCACCATCCGGATCGTGGAAACCTAACACCGTCGCAAGCTTTACTCCAAGTCCCACGGCTTCGGTTCCAAAACCTTGGTGGAAGCCCAAACCAAGTGTCAGCTCGCCTGTCAAACCGTCAGTCTCGCCAATTTCAAGCTGGAATTCAAAGCCAAACACAGTGGCAAGCACAATCACCCCGACGGTGTCACAACCTTGGTGGAAACCAAAACCAAACACTGTTGCAAGTGCCGTCACCAGTGCGAGCGTGAGTGCCAGTGTGACAGTGTCGCCTTCTGGATGGTGGAAACCCAAACCAAAACCCAACACTGTCGCCAGCTCGATCCCGAGTTCCGCTCCAAGTGTTACCGTCTCACAAAAGCCCAACACTGTCGTAAGTGTCAGTGCCAGTCAGACAGTATCACAGCCGGGGTGGTGGAAGCCTAAACCGAAGCCTACCACTGTCTCAAGCTCGGCCCCAAGCCCAACAGTATCACAGCCTAGCTGGTGGAAGCCCAAAGCAAAGCCCAACACCGTTGCCAGTGCCAGTGCCACCGCAACTGTGACCGTACCACAACCTCACTGGTGGAAGCCCAAACCAAACACAGTTGCAAGTTCAGTGTCGCAACCTGCACCGGTCAAACCGTCGTTGACGGCAGTCTCTCAAATCCCCGCCCAACTTACAGTGACGCCGAGCGTGCAGCCATCATGGAGACATAGCAAGTCGCTCTCCGGGTTCGTTACTGTCTACTCGAGACCACCCACGCCACCCAACAAAGAACATCACGGTTGGCCACCCAAAGGTCATCACGGTTGAACTATTTTCGCAACTACGACAGGTTCAGTTTTCCATGATTAGTACAGCACAGAAGAGATATCCCTAATGAAAGGCGGCGTGCAGCATAGACGAAGGTGATGAAGAATAGACTCCTCCTCAGGACAGTCCAAAACGCAATAATTAATGAATTATAGTACAATTTTGCTCAAGCTTGCCAATTTACTATTCTGTCCAGTACTCAAACTTTACACAAGGCTACGCAGTCATTCGTCTCGAGTATTAGAGAGCCGATGATCTATCGCATGCGCCCTTGGCGTTGTTGGTCAGATATGACCATACGAGCATGTCTACATGTTTCATGTCATCTTCATGTTGTCACATTGTAGCGGCCACAGCTGCCATTCGGCCGCATCCGCCGTCGAGGGGCAATGCGAGGAACCGTCAAGGTCTATCAATCAGACGCAAGTACCGCCATGAACACGCTACTATCATTCCTGAACGGCTCTGGTCGGTCAGTCGTCGACAGCGCAGCATGACTGATCAGCTGCGAGCGCCGAGTTCTTCCACTTCTCACGATCGCTCGCCGCTCTGCCATCCCGAGTCCGTCATGCAGTGCTTCGTGATCAGCTGCAATCAATCTTGCTAGTGGTTTGGTTCCGGGGGCACGACGGGACGCGATATCGCAAGGCCCGGGTCTGCTGCTGCTGCTGTGGCTTCGTGTCTTCTTCTTGGCAGAACACGGTGCCAATGCCAGTGGCGGACATATTTCGCTCACCGCAGCTCAGTATACAAATTGCACTACCAGTGCACGCCATACTTTCAAGCAGTCCCAGTCCGAAGTCGGCTCATAGCCATCGGAGATGTGCAAAGTTTGGCAATTCCCGTTCCCAGCCTCAGTTCCACGACAAGGATCGGGTTCGATTCGGGCAGTCCAGCTCAGCTCAGCATTCGCTCGCTCTCCGATTTACATCTTGTAACCACGGTATGACATCCCTGTAAGGCCAAATTGTGGAGCAGACCTCTGAGTCCACCTGCAGTCATGCATGAAACAGCTACGGCGGGTAAGGTTGAAGTATAAACTAAAGATATCGTATTAACGTTACCAGCCTTACAGACCCGTACCAAACGCCCATTTCAAATGACACAACTTTCCATCTTTGGTCTTTTTGCGAGCTCGCTACCAGTAACCGACCAATCAATTGCAGTGCCCAGCACCCCTGACAGGCCGAGCCTTGCCAAGCCAGTCATCCACCTTGACAGCTGCATCTTATCAGATTAAGGTAGGCAGACCGACCGGCCTTCGGCGAAATCAGGGATAATCTTATCTGTAAGCGAGACCGAGACAGCAGAATTTTTCATCTGATAATCAAATTGCATCAAATCAGATGATCTAATCTGATTGATACACCCCGCCAACCCCTCCACTCCGTTCCCCACCAAATGATTTCTCTTTGCAGCCCTGTCGCCGATGTCCACTCTCTTGTCTTCACCTCCGTGTGTCGACCTTGTTGTTTAACTTTTTTGCTCGGCGATGCTCCGCAATGGAATGAATCGCCGATTTGATTATTTGACAATCCATACAGTGCCCAGAGCAAGCTTGACGTGGAATGGAATGCGAGACATGCAGTGGCTCAGAACCCGCTTTCAACTTTGTTGACCTGCCACCTTCGCGAGCGAGCAGAGGCCGAGTCGAGTCGACTTGTCATTGACATGGCAGGAAGACCAACTCCCCAACGCTGAGTTGCCCTATAAGGATATGCCGCCGGCCAAGAGGGACGGCGCGTCGTGGGCCTCAGGACTAGTGGAGCGCGTCACTGATGGTATGGCTGCTGTACACTACACTGTACGTACATGCTGCCTGCCCTAAGGTACTACCGTATTGCCAACCAGCCAGCCTAGCTAGCCAGCGACAACCGAAGAACGGCTTCTGTCAAACTTTGCTTCAGAATTGGGATCGGATCGGCCGTTGTGCCCTTGATCGCCATCGTGAAAGTGCTGACAGTGGTGTAGCAGCAACTTCCGACCGCAATCGGGATACTGGCCATGACACTCCTGTGACAGCCTGCCCATCGGGGATCTGTTAGTGTTTGGAACAGCAACAGCCTCGGTCCAGCAGCCGGCGTGGACATTGGATTGGGATGTGATCGGCTCAATTTCTTCGCTAAGGCAGACATACATTCGATCGACGGACACCCAGTGTCTGTTTAGACTTCCAGCAGCCAACTCACAGTGTCACTCTCACATACGCCCGTTGATCATACCAAGTCCTCCTCGGTTTGGAGACAGCCCAGGACCCAGTGTTGTGGTTCCAAAGCAAAGTCACACTTTTTCATTTACTCATTCCAGTCAAAACGTTGGCAACACCAACTTCAACATCAATCAACTGCATTATTGGGTAGTTGATGCTCTCGCAGACTTGAACCACCGCTCGTCAAAGTCTTGCCTCGGTTCAGTTGTTGAGTCCAGTCTCTCAGATCAAAACAAAACGCAACCCTACAGCCAGAATGGCAAGCACTCCGATCGAGGCACCATCAGCCTCGTCGAAAACCACAAAGTTGAAACCACATGAGGCCTCATCCTCGGATTCTCTGTCACTGTCGTCAAAATACTTGCCTCCAGTTCGTCTGCCCGAACCATGGAAGACGACATACGAAATCCGCGTGGTATCCGAGACCGCTGACGACTTACCCATCCTCAACCTCGCGCTCTCAGAGACCCAAGTCTCGGGCGCCATCCTACCGCCCGAGCAGCTGCATAACGATTCTCTCCTGTTCAGTGACCTCGCAGCTGAACAGGGAGATGCAGCGTTCGTTCCAGCAGCAGGAGACAACTCGGCATGGGCACGGTTCCACCAAACTCCAATCTCTTATCTTTCATGGGACGACAACAACAACAGCAACAATGTCACTGTAGGCCAGATCTGGAATCTGGTCTATGCCTTGGTGACACTGTATCCGGAAATCGAGTCGTTTCGGCTCGACTTGGGCGGTCTCAGCAGCAACAACGAAACCAACAAGACAAACACTGCTGCTGCCAGTGGCTCTTCTGTTCCAGAAAGGCTCTCTGAAGCATTACAAGCGACGGGCCTCGCAAAGCCGCGCCCTGCACCATCACGGCCCGAACATAAACAACCTCAATCTCAATCTGTTCAAGTCTGGATCACCCGCTCTGCATTCTGGCAAGGGGCCGGCTCCCCATTCGGCACGCGTCCTGTATGGGTAGCCCATCCCGACCTCTACTCGCACCTCAACCACTTGAGTTCCAACAGCGGAGCGTCATCATCCCTAACTTCCAACTTCCCACCCTTCCCGCACGAAGACACCCTAACATTCTCACTCGCCGGACGACCCGTTCACGCATCCCACCCGATCCGCCCACCGAAACCATCGCGCGGTTCCGTAATCTACAGCCGGTACATCCCGCACCTCGACGAATTCTTCTCCATGGTCCACCTCGACTACCGGGACCCAGAACACCTCCGGCTTTTCCACGAATGGCAAAACGACCCACGCGTAAGTCAAGGCTGGAACGAAACCGGCACACTCGACCAACACCGGGACTACCTCCGCCGGATCGACGAGGACCCGCATCAAATGGCAATCCTGGCCAAATTCAACGACGTCTTCTTCGCCTACTTTGAAATCTACTGGGCCAAAGAAGACCATATGGGCGTCTATATTTCCCCCGCGCCGCAAGACTGGGATCGAGGTCGACATTCGCTAGTCGGGGACGTGAGGTATCGTGGTCCCCATCGCGCGAGTGCCTGGTGGTCTAGTCTGGTGCATTATTTGTTTCTCGATGAACCGAGGACAATGACGGTCGTGGGGGAGCCCAAGTACACCAATGCCAATGTGCTGGGGTATGATGCCCAGAATGGATTTCATGTGCATAAGCTCGCGGATTTGCCGCATAAACGGTCGGCGATTGTTAGGTGTGAAAGAACACGCTTCTTTCAATGTGTCGGCTTTGGTTTGCCGGGTGGGAATGTTAGGATTGCGGAGGGAAAAGGGAAAGGAGCAGCCTCAGGCCAGAAACCGAGCGCAAACAAGGCAACGGCGGCGGCGACTGCGAAGGCAAAGTTGTGAGCTGACTTGAGCCGTGGAAGGAGACAACTGGAGTTCAGGCAGCAAGTTGAGACTGAGTTCTCATGGAACGCGGCTGCTTGGTATGACAGCTGTAAGAAGGCAACTATCTGCTTGAAAAAATGCTGTGTGGCCGTTTGCCTTTTTCTGCTCTGCGTTGCGTTGTGTTACGTTGTGACACTTTGCATTCTACGTTGGCAATGCGGAAACAAATACTCTCGGCGAGAGCAACAGCCATCCATTAGTAAGCGGGAATATGTTCATCGAATATACCTACCTACATAGGTACAGTGCAGGCCTACCTATCTACAAACCTAGGGACTTGCCAAGGTTTCCGTGTTACCTGCCACTCACTTAATAACTGTGAACCACCCGAGCCATATTTTGCCTGCCAGTGTGGGATGACTGCACAGGTCTTTAGAGCAAGACCAAGACAGTCGGGGTCTGCTGCAAAACATGCTGCGCATGGATTGATCGAGGCGTTCGCTCACCAGTGGCCGCTACCGGTACAGCACTTACCGTAAGTCACTGATTTCATCGAGCGAAGCAAGGAGCGAACCTCCCATCCTGCCTGGTTACAGCCCGGTCAGGCCGCAGAAGCGAGAACACGCAAGTTTCCCAAATCACAACGAAGGGATCTCGCACATGCTCGCTCGTGGGATGGCAACGACATGACGACATTCCATCTTCCGAGTCTTCGAATGCGGTGCCCAGAGCGAAAATCGGCGTTGACTGTCAACTACCTGCCAAGCGGGCAGGGATCATGCATGGTCTCCGCGCCGGCATGTTTCACCCTGGCAAGTGCGGGCAACGCGAATTGGCATGGTGGGCTTGGGTCTTGATACTCAGAGAGGACATGACAAGAAGAAAGAAAAAAAGCCGCAAGTGGGTAGGGTTGGGTAGGGTAGCAAGGCAACGAACGCATGTACCTACAGTAACTTGCGGCATGCCATCCTTGGATGGTACACCACCGCACCATGCCAACCGTGGTCATCGTTAAAAGTAAGTACAATGACAGCAGTAGTGTCAGTGCTGTACCTACCTTGTAGTCGGTCAGCCTGACACTCAGCACAAAACGTTTGACAGATGCCGGCTCCGAATTCCGATCCGCTGTGTTGGCGTGAAGAAACCTCCGTGATCGCAGTAGCAGTTTGTTGGCAACCATCCGCAGTCTTCCTTGTACCTAGGTACAGTTGTAGGTATTGGACCATATGTGAGGAGGACCAGTCGAACTGTCACTGCAGCATCGGAGCCTTGTGCCAAGTCGGGCTAAAAATTGGGGGTCAGGGCCCGCCTTGACCCAGGCGCTGGCAGATCGCGATCCATAGTCGTTGGATTGGCGTCGGAGGTCGTGACAGGTTGATTATCCCCACTCGTTCCATCAAAAATTACCGTACCGTATCACGAACTTACAACCACTGTGAGGAGGTAACCAAGGACTGATTGATGATACTGTCTTGTCCCGCCGCGACGATCTGCGCCGTGATAGGGGGGTTCCGGTTATTTACCTTTGGTCCTGGTTCCGGTATCCATACTACCTACATGGTACCCATTTCTCGAGTGTTAGGTAGAGGCATATGTTGTCAAACGGTTGGCCTGTCTTGGAGACCAGTCACGCCCCCAGCAACTAGAATAATCGTAGATGTTTCGGAGCATACACGTGGCTCGAGAACGGTAAATCTGCAAGTGAAATCGAGTTCAACGAACGGCTGGCTTTAGGAAACCACGCTGGGAAGATCAGATCAAGCCTGGAAGAGGCAATCCCCATCAAAAGCACGGCTTGAGGACTTATCAATAGTGCAGTCGTTGCGCATAACAGTGTTAGTTTGATTGTGCTGTATCAAACTTGGGTCTTGCTTAATCCATATGCCCCATGACCGACCACGTTGACGGGCATGAAGCCTTCCGCGCGAAGGCGGCTTCCACGTCTCCAGAGGAGGAAGATGATTTCCGCAACGGCTGGAAAGATCAGCCGTCTTTCGAGCTGGAACTCCTGAACACCAAGTCAGGAAAAGAGCAGGTTGGCTTGTTGGTGCTTGCATGGGCACTTCTGCTGCATCGTGGCACCTTCACCAGGAACGACGATGCCTTCTTCTGGGGCGTCTATGACCTAGAAACTGGTATTCAATCGTCGCGACGACTTGGAGCGGCCCAACTGAGCGACATTGTTCCGAGTGAAACACAAACCGTTACCAATGTCCTAAGAACATTGACAGCATTCACCCGAGGCTTGCAAGGCCTAGTGGACTGGGAACGTCAGGTCTTGTATCTTGCAACTGCTGATTTGTCTTCAGCCCAGACGTACGATGTAGGTCAATGCCATTCTGAAACTCCGGGTGGTCAATCTGACATGAGTCGTATTCAGGCTTCTTCAACATTTGGCATAGATGTCCGACTGCCAGAAAACCGCTTTTGTCTGCGGCGGTCTCGGAAAGGCATGCTTCTGTCTCCAGAGATGGCCGACTTCCAGATCCATGGATTTGTTGACATCATCAAGTCCGTCTCGCTCAATCCAGACAAGACCGTGGCGGAAACGCTGCGTGTCGGCGACCACGAATTAGCCCGACTCTGGGAATGGAATAAAGATGTTCCTCCAGTCATCAGCCGTTGTATGCACGACATCATCGCCGAAAACATGGCTGAGCATCCCGACAAACAAGCCGTCTTGTCTTGGGATGGTGAATTGACTTATGGGCAACTCGATCGACTCTCTGGCCATTTGGCTGTACAGCTCTCGAGCCTGGGTGTGCGCTTGGGCACATCAGTGCCCATGTGTTTCGAAAAGTCCATGTGGACTGTCGTTGGATTGCTTGCCGTTATGAGAGCTGGTGGCACATTTGTCCTCACCGATCCACAGCAGCCTGAAGGACGCCTGAGCACCATTGCCGCCGAGGTCAATGCACAAGTTGTCCTCACATCTCAAAGTCAGGCCGCTCTGGGTGCGCGAATCGCGCCTCATGCGAGAACAGTTGTGGTCGGCCCCGAGCTCTTGAAATTGAGCGAAGAGCCAGGTTCTTCATCGCTGCCGCCTGTTCCCCCCTCCGCTCTCCTTTACATCATCTTCACCTCTGGCAGTACCGGCAAACCAAAGGGAGTCATGATCTCACATGAAAACTTCACAACCGGAGCAATACCGAGAGCAGAGGCAGTCGGCTACAAATCGCACTCAAGAGTGCTCGATTTTCCGTCATATGCTTTCGACGTGAGCATTGATTGTATGCTGTGCACGCTGGTCAACGGGGGATGCATTTGTGTCCCATCGGACGACCAGAGAGTCAATGACCTTAGTGGAGCCATCAAGGCGATGAACGCAAACATGGCCCATATGACTCCTTCCGTGGCCCGCCTGCTGTCACAAGATGCCCTAGAATCTCTAGAGGTGCTTGGTCTGGGAGGCGAGTCGCTCTCAGCAGGCGATGCCGCCGTCTGGAGCAAAATAACAAAGTTGATCATCGCCTACGGCCCGTCCGAATGCACTGTAGGTTGCACCATCAACAACGAGATTGATGTCACAAAGCCGTATACAAGTATCGGCAAAGGAGTTGGAGGCGTGACCTGGATAACAGACCCAGACGATCACAATACCTTGACTCCTGTTGGAGCGGTAGGAGAGCTGTTGATTGAGGGCTCAGTTGTGGGAGTGGGATACCTGAACGACCCCGAAAGAACAGCTCAGGTTTTCATCGAGGATCCAACATGGTTGCTCGCAGGCTCATCGACCGTCCCCGGAAGGCGCGGGCGCCTTTACAAGACCGGTGACCTAGTCAAGTATGATCCGGCTGGGTCCGGGAATCTGGTGTTTGTCGGGCGAAAGGATCGCCAGGTCAAGCTGCGAGGTCAACGAGTCGAGCTCGCAGAAATTGAACACCACATACTAAAAAAGCTGCCGGAAGGGGCCAGCGTGGCAGCCGAGGTGATCACGCCAGGAGGAAAAGATCGTGAACCCAGTCTGGTGGCCTTCATAGCAGAGGCAAAAGATATGCAGCCTTCAGACGCGGCTGAAGCCGGTGAGCACATATCCTTCTCCAGTGAGCTCCGTCGATCGTTACCAGCCATCGAGAACTATCTTGCTTCGAATCTCCCAATCTACATGGTGCCCACGGCATATATTCCACTGCGCAAGATGCCACTTCTGGTGTCATGCAAAGTCGACCGGAAGAGGCTCCAAGACATCGGGCTCGCAATGACTCCCCAGCAACTGGCAAAATTCAGGATGGAAATGGCCGATAACCATGAACCCCAAACAGAATCAGAACAGATCCTGCAAAAGATTTGGAAGCAGCTCTTGGGTTCAGAGGCGGACATTGGCGTCAAGGACAACTTCTTCGCACTCGGAGGAGACTCCCTGAAAGCGATGAAACTTGTGGCTGCGGCGCGAGCAGAAGGGTTGTCCTTGACTGTAGCCCAGATCTTTGCTAACCCCACTCTCTCACGGATGGCTTCGATGGCGGAGCGTGTCAGTGACACTCCCGAAACGGAGATAGCCCCATTTTCCCTTCTCCCCGGCTGGAAGGTAGAAGATGCTCAAGCACAGGTGGCAAGTCTATGCAAGCTCCCGCCATCAGACATCGAAGATGTCTATCCCTGTACTCCGCTCCAGGAAGGGCTCATGGCACTATCGGCCAAGTACAACGACGCGTACATTGCCCAAAGAGTGGTCGATCTAGCAGACGCCCAGTCAGCTCATTTATTGAAGGCGGCTTTCGAGGTCGTGTCAGCGACTTGCCCAATCTTGCGTACTCGCATTGTACAGGTGCCGGGCCATGGGCTAGTTCAGGTTGTGGTGAAGGGCAAATTGCCCTGGTACACCAGCAACAGCCTCGAAGAGTATTTGCAGGTTGACAACGGCAAACCGATGGGTCTGGGAGACGCCCTCGCCAGGTTCGGCCTCGTGACGGACAAGAAACAAGGCCCCGCCCATGTTGTTTTGACCATTCATCATGCTTTGTATGACGGCTGGTCAATGCCATTGATCATTGATAGGGTCAACAAAGCCTACCGAGGCATGCAGACCGCCCAACCAACTCCCTTCAAAGCATTCATCAAATACTTGACTGATCGAGATCGTCCCAGTTCGGAGACCTTCTGGAGGGAGCAGTTGCAGGGCGCCACGGGGCAACAATTTCCAGTAATACCGTTCCCGGGATATCAACCGCGTGCGGATTCATTGCTAGAGCATTACAATCAGTTTCCCAGCTCTGTCAATTCCAACACGACCGTTGCGACTGCTATACGCGCAGCATGGGCCCTCGTGGCGGCGCGCTACACGTCCGAAGAGGATGCAGTGTTTGGCGAGACTCTTACCGGACGAAATGCACCTATTCCAGGCATTGCCGAAATCGAAGGACCTCTCATTGCCACCGTACCAACACGAGTCCGGGTTGACAGGAATATGCAGATTTCGGAATATTTGCAGAGTGTCCATGAGCACACCATCCTCCGCATCCCCCATGAACACATCGGCTTGCAGCATATAAGGCGCCTGAGTGCTGATGCGCGGGAGGCGTGCGAGCTGCGGACGGGAATCGTCTTGCACCCGAATACTGCGGATGAGCAGAACGATGCCGCTGCCGCGAAAGATTGCCCAGCCAATGGCTTTGTCCCTGTCAATGATGTTGAAGCTGCGAAAGAGGCGCTCAAATTCAATTCATATGCGTTGATGCTGGTGTGCTCTCTGGATTCTCATGGATTCTTGACCATGGCAAGCTTCGATTCAAAGACTGTCGATAGGCCTCAGATGCAGAAAGTGCTTGAAGACTTTGGGCGCACTGTCCAGGAACTTTGCCAGGACACCAGCAAACTCATTTGCGACCTCGAAATCATGAAAGATCCAAGCCCAGCAGATTTACTGCCATTGACTGGTCTAGGTGTCCGCAGTCTCTCTCAGGCTACTGAACGAGACATAAGCGCTGCCTCTGGAAACACACGGCGGACTTGGATTGTAAATCCTGACACACCGAAACGACTGGTACCAGCTGGCGCTGTCGGCGAGCTCTTGCTTGAAAGCGTAACCAAGCTGCCTTTCGAGCTGGTTGATAGACCTGACTGGATTCCGGAGACAGTTGACACGCAGACCGCTCTTTACAAAACAGGACATAGGGCAAAATTCAACAGCGATGGGACGATTGTTTTCCTAGGTCCGAAAATCATTGAACCAAAGGAACACAAGGCTGTTCAGGCCAAGATGAAGAGAGAGGATAACGCAACCCAACCGATGACTGCCAAGCGCGAGCAGCTGCGTCGGCTCTGGAGCCGAATTCTAGGGATTCCCGAAAAAGACATTGGTCCTGAAAGCAGCTTCTTCGCTCTGGGCGGAGATTCAATCGGGGTCATGAAGCTTGTGTCAGAGGCTCGTCTGGAGGGTCTCGAGCTGAGTGTTGCACAGGTCTTCAGTCACAGAGTGCTGAGTACTCTGGCCGACGTGATGAAGGCATCGGCGCCTCAGGAGACAACCTCTCAGACCGCGGAGCCTTTCTCGGCCTTGGAGATCAGCGATGTGGAGAAGTTTGTATCGCAAGAAGTCCGGCCTAAGCTTTTGCGTCTAGAGTGGAAGATCAAAGACGTGCTGCCCGCAAGGCCTCTGCAGGAGATTGCCGTCAAAGGAACAACCAATCTGCCCCGGTACTCGGCACGATACGAGCTCTTTTATCTCGACACCCCGATTGACCGAAGACGCATGTTCAAGAGCTGTCAAGAGCTTGTCACACGTAACGAAATCCTCCGCACTGTTTTTGTCAACATACAAGGCAGGTGTTGCGGTGTTGTGCTAGAAGACTTGGAAGTCCCCATTGTCGAGTATGAAGTCGAAGGAGACTTGAAAGAGTTTGCAAAGAAACTGTGCGAATTGGACATTCAGACCAAGATGGCCGAGGGTACACCGTTTGTGAAGTTCTTCTTTGTGCAGGGCGAAGGCGGCAAGAGTTGCTTGATCCTGAAAATCTCGCATGCTCAATACGACGAGATCTGCCTGCCTCGCCTGTTGCATCAGCTTGCTGCCCTATATGAACAGAGGCCAGTTCCAGAGACGTTGCCTTTCTCGTCGTTCGTGTACTACGTTCTCCGAGAAAACATTCCCAAAGCCATCCCGTACTGGCGTGAGCTTCTGAAAGGCTCCACAATGACGGTACTGCGCCCGAATATTGCTCTCAAGTCAAGGAAGCCTGCTGCTATTTCCAGGACGTTTGACATCTCGGGTCGGGACAGAGAGATCACCATTGCCACTTTGCCAACCGCCGCGTGGGCGCTTTGCCTCGCACACCGTTTATCAACAAGAGACGTAACATTTGGAGAGGTTGTCAGTGGCCGGAACATCGGGCTCCCCAACTGTGACCTGATAATGGGGCCGACATGGCAGTATGTCCCGGTCAGAGTGAGATTTGGTGATAGCTGGACCGGACTGGACTTGCTGAATTTTGTCCAGCAGCAACACATTGAAAGCTCGCGGTTCGAGAGTATGGGATTAAAGGAGATTGCACAGTTCTGCACCGACTGGCCAGAGACGGTCAACTGGTTTGACTCGGTTGTGCACCAGGATGTCGAGCATGTCGAAAGTTTATCATTCCTTTCAGCAAACAGTCGGATGGAAACTGTTTATCCCCATCTGGAGCCACTCCGGGAGTGGAAAATCCAAGCATTCTTGAAGGACAACTCTCTCACGCTGGAGATTGTCACCTTCGAGGACTGGTTGGAGTTTGGCACAACTTTGCTTGAGGAACTTGGCGCGTGTTTGGAGCTGCTGGTCAACAAGCCGCAGTCACCAGTCTTTCAGTCAATTGCAGATCCTGATACTCGAAGTCACGAAGTGCCAGTGTTTCAGCCGAATGGTCATTCGGTCCTTGACGTGAAGACAGCCAGCAATATTGATACCAGCGGCGTCAACGGGAAAGTGCCCAAGTCCATGACAGTGCAGCTGAAAAGCCAAGCTGTTTGATGTAGGACGGTCTCTATCGGATTTCGGGATTCACGCGACAAAGGTGTCAAGACTCAACAGTGGAGCTAGCTTGTCCGGATGTCAACGGGGTATTTAGATTTCATAAAACCATGGATCCGTGAGGTTGACGAGAATTTGTAGTCATACTGAAGGCGTCCTGGTGACACCTTTTGGAAAGGACGTTCCGGCTAATGCAAAGGAAGTTCACATTTGAAGGGTGCCTGTATCTAATGAGATTGCACCCACCATCCTGACAAGGTATTTCTGCGCCTTCTCACGTCTCGTCCAATAAGTAGTCCCGCAAACGACGTCACCATGGATGACTGGGGCGTCCGGATTAGAAAGGAATCTCGTCAGTGTCGTGTCTCAGCTCTAAGCTCGTGCCAGCCATGGAAGTCTTTGACCTTAGAGACGGAGAAAACATCTGCAGTCAAGTCCGCTATCTGCTTGGATCGCTTCTCGATCTCCTCGGTAGTAAGGGTACCGTCTTCACAAACATAGTGATCGATATACTTGTAAGGTACCCATTCAAAGTAGACGTTTCGCACCGCAACCATCTGGTCCCACAAAGATGGTTGAGACTGTAGGTTCCAGCCGCTGGCGACCTCAACCTGGTCGTTGTCCTCTTCGGGGTGGTCGGCGGCAGCGCCCGGGGATGCGATTTTTTCGGCTTCGCTGATGCACACCACCCTTGCGGCGCCATTGGTGACCTCCTTGCACGTCAAAACGGCCGGTAGTGATCCAGTCTTGTTGCTCACGTCTCCAGTCTCGGAGATACGATCGGCGCCAATGATGACGAGGTCAACATTCTTGCTGAGCACACCTACAGACGCATCGGTTGCGAGAACGATTCGCAGACGATCATGAAAACCACGGCCTTCACGCTCGGCGGTTTGGCGTTTCTGAGCTTCCTCTGTCAAAGCTTTTGCCAGGCTCACACCTTCGCAAAGTGGACGTGATTCCAGGATGCGAAGTTCGACCATAAGCGAAGGATTGGTTTCAAGCGCATGTATTAACGCTGCTTTGATTGTTGAAGAGGAGCTCAAAGTCAAAATATTGAGTACTTGTTTCTCCTTGCCATCTGCGGGCTGCGCTGGGAATTTTTCTCGAAGGAATGCTGAGAATTGATCGCTCACTCGTTTGGAAATGAGGCTTCTTTTGGTGACAGTGGCTTCGAGGCTCTCCTTGACCTCATCGAAGATACTCACTTGTGCTCCATCTATTTGCTGTCGTGCATCTCGCAGAGCCGTCACAATGGCGCTCGATATTGCTGCGCCCATGCTTGGCCTAGCATTGACAGCCAAGTGGAAGGCTTTGAGCCGAAAGCTTTCCCACCATTTTGCCAGATCTTGAGGGGTGTCTGCCTTTGCGGTTTGCTGGTCATTCTCCACGATCTTGATTAGACTCTTGACGGCCATCGTTGCCAGCTCTCTCGCCCCGTGAACATGGTCCAACCGCAGCTCCTCGACAGCCTCATGAAGGACGCTTTCAGGACCAATCCATACCTGACCCAGCGTGATTTCAAGTCTAGGCACACACTCATCCAGTATCTTGCCACTCAGTATGTCCTCGACATTGTGCCACTCGCAGTTGAAATGTTCCCAATCGAGGCGCATGACCGAGGTATTCACATTGTTGTTGTCATCCACCAACTGCGTCTTCATTCGGAAGGCAAACGGATGGACTGTCCATATCCGACCCTTCTTCGTGTTCGGACCTTCTGATCCAGTCACTGCTTTCTCATCAGTGAACTCAAATCCAGGGCCACGCCGCCAGAGTTCAATTTGTTGCGGCCCAAGGCCTGTTTCTTCACCCAACTCCCGCCATGCGGCGTCCAACGGTGATTTATCGTCGATTTCAATAGAACCTGCGATAGGCGCCAATTTCCTCTGGTAGGTGCTGACCTTGTCGGAACGCCGGAACAGGAGGAGTCTATATGGCTTGGAAGCATAAGGATGGAAGGGAAAGAGGAGGACGGAAACAACAGAGCGTCGTTCAAGGCCGGCTCCTATGGAGGATAGTTTCTGTGCCATCAGGTAGATTGTATCAAGAGGCGTCAGAGTTAACTAGCAGTCAGTTCAAACAGGTGGCCATGCAGAGGCGCTGCTCATATACAGATAGATGTACCGGGCACAGCCGAGCGGGGGCCGTGGTCATTGGATCAGAACAAACCCTTGTAACGTTATAAGCATTCCAATATCACGCTGGCATCAGGAGAAACCTTCGATCTATATCAGTAGATGAGAAAACAACCTCCGAGCATCCGGTGTCTGGTCGCTTCCCTCCGCGGGCTGCTTGATGATGAATAACGAAGCGCATCATTGGTTCAGATGCTCATCCGGAGTCCTTGGAAGTAAACATACAGAGGAGCATATACTCACTCCATGCGCAGTAGACTTCGTCGTTTCGGTACACTTCATCCAGGTTGCGACCGGAAACAGTATGCGTTCGTTGTCCACGTTGTTTTCCACGATCACCTCAATGCAGGGGACTGCTGGCAGGGCGAGCCTTTAGTCGTTTGCATCTTTGGATGGATTGCAACCACCGATAGCGCCTCGTGCGCACACTCCAGCTTGAACACCACCCATCCAACATGATCGAATTCATGGACTACGTGGTGCAAGCATTCCACGCCGCGACGGACTGGAATCCAGACAACAGCTATTCCTCCTTGACCGCGACATCCGATGCATTGCTGTCCTTCCCGACGCCGTCGACTCTGGCATTACACGTTTCATCCCTGGCGACCCCGAACTTTGCAACATCATACACTCTGTCGACATTGGGACAGATAGATGGGTCGATATCCTACCTGTATTCCACGGTGCCTCTGGGACATATTCCGTCACAAGCTCCGAGCATTCCATTAAGATGCCTTGTACGAGGATATCGGGACATCAAGCTCCCGCTCCCAGTCACACTCGGTGAGAAGCGAGCAGCAAGAGAAGCAATAGAGAACAACGGGAAGCCGACACTACTACATGCGACACTTGCACTCCCACCACCGTCTGTTCTTACAGCCCTTTATGCGCGGCGCATCAATCCGGAGACCTTGGTTTCCTTTTCTCTCTACAGCAAGAGCGTGGCGTCACCGGCGTTGACCTCTGGCCCTCCGCCCGCTGCGGTCTTGGCCCACATCCAGCATGATACCGGGCGGTACTCGATTGAAGGACTGGGATCGACAGACAACGCGCTCCTGGGTGTACGAGGGCTGTGGAATTTTGGCTTGTCTCCACAGGTCGATGAAGAGGGACCCTCGATTCCTCTGTACACACCGGAAACTGATCCCCTCGGTGGCTTCACTGAGTTCCCATCGGGCCTTTCACTTCCACTTCCACCCTACACCGACACAAAAACAATATATCGCAACCGACTCGCCTCCAAACCGTCTCTACTCTCGGCCGGCGCCGAGTTCTACTACAGTCCATTTTCACACGTCATTGGCCTCTCCACCGGTCTCCGTTTCACCACGCTCGCGCCACACATCACGCCCACGGAACCAGACTCCTCTCAATCCTCTCCTTCGCTCACAACCAAGGAGCTTCTGTCTTTTCGGGGCAAACCTCTCGCCGGGACATCTGCATCTTTACTGTCCACAGCGGGACACACTCTCTTGACGCCATCCAACGTCTCGCACTCTTCTTTTCCATATACCATGACGTTAACTCTAACACCACTCACGGGCTCCATTTCATCCACATACTCGGTCCGCCCTACACCTACGCTGGCGCTATCCTCGCAATTCGACTTCAACTTCTACTCCTGGGAGTCGCGGTACGTAATTGGCGGCGAACTGTGGCGTCCGTACCGGCGGGACCAACGTTCGCGAACAGACAGTGCTGATGCAGAGGGGGTTTTACCGTCCTCCGACGACAAAATGGCGTGGGTCCGTTCAAAAACTAAAAACTGGTTCAGTCCCGCCGAACAGTCCCTCAAGGACGAGCGGCTGCAACGTGAGGAGGAAAACGTCTGGAAATTCCGCCTCGATGATTCCTGGAACGTCAAGGCCTTGTGGACGGGTCGCGTCAAGAGTCTGCTTGTATCCGCGGGAATCAGCGTGAGCCCTATAACAAAACACCACCACACGAGTGCGGCGATGCTGTCGGCCAGTGACGGTATTGGCGATCTCGCTGGACCTAGCACCAGCAGTGTTAAGCGCTGGACGGGGTCGGTGGGCGTCAGTATCGCCTATTCTACATGAGTAAAAGAACGTTGTGTATAAGGTTATGATGTCCAAATCCTCGCATTGAGAAAGAGGTACGATTTTTCATTTCGATTTTTTCTTAGGGGGTGAGCGAAGGCGTTGTTGACGACGTATGAACTCTAGAAGGCCGGTACCGGATCTAGAATTGGATAAAACCCGAGTGATCATCCATTCATATTATACCACCCATGCATGACCTGATCAACCTCACCATCTCAGGTACCAGCAGTGATGGTACAGGACCAACCAGGATTGCTGTGCTGCTGCTAATGGTTCTCTTTCTACTTCTGTTTCTGTTTCTGCTTGAGCTTCTGGACCAGACTCTTGAGATCTTCTGCTCCACCATCTGCTCCAGGGTTCTTCTCTTTCCGATCTTTGCCCTTGTCTTTGACATTCGCATTTTGCTGGCGACCAGGAGCGTCACCGACAAGTTGCTTTTGTTTCCTCTTGCGCCCTTCTTCAAGCAAGGCTTTCATGGCCTTTGTACCCTTGAACTTGGGATTTGTCGGATCAATAGCATACTCATGGCTGGTGAAGAGTCTTGCGAAACGCGGGTCGGCGGCGTCGACTTTAAATCCGTCGTCCGCGGCCGCATTCGCGTCAGCTTCCTCATCGGCTACCTTCTTATCTTTGGTCTTGTTCTTCTTCTTGTTCTTTTTCCGCGCCAGCTTCTCGGCCTTTTCAATCTCCTTCATGTCAAAGTGTCGGAGTTTGGGCGCCCCATCCTCAACAATATTGTCGTCGGCCATGAGTAATTCCAGCTCGGCGCGCTGTTTGCGTTCGGCTTCTTCTTCGGCTTCGCGCTCACGCTTCTTCTTCATCCGCTCCTCCTTGCGTATCTTGTTGCTTGCGGCCTTTTCTGTCTTTGCGGACGGTTCGTCGGCGAAGAATGGATCATCGAAACCGAGGTCTGCATCTGCATCTGCAGTCTTATTGTTGTCAACAGTACTAGTAGTTTTGTTGCCGGCTCCAGTAGGCACGCCGCCATCGCTATGATCGCTGTCAGCTTCCGAGTCGGCAATGTCATGTCCTCCTTCTCTGGCAGCCTTGCGCTTCTCCTTGCGCTTCTGCTTCCTCTCGCGTTCTTTACGGATGTATCTTTCGACAGTTGTCTCTTCGGGCTCGGGCGAATTCTCAAAGACGGACCGCTTCTTCCCATCCTCCTTGGTCGGTGCCAGACCGGATGTAAACGTGACCAGCATATCTCCCACAGGCGCTTTCTCCTTCTTGGACTTTTTCGTCGGCTCGGGCGCCAGTCCAAGGAGAGCGCGCATCCGCTGCCTTTCAGCCTCTTTCTTGGAACTTGCACCGTCAGCGTCTTCATCCTCGTCCTCGGAGCTGTCAGAACCAAGGTATGCCTTTAGGTCATTCTCGTCAATCTCCTTCCTGCTGCCCTTAAAGGCCCGCGCTACTGCCTCCTTTCGACTGCGGTCTTCGGCGTCCCAAGTCAATTTGACTTTACTGTGCTGGAGGGCATCGGTGACAAAGTCGTTGGGTCGGTAGTCGTCGGGAATCTTGTCACATTCCTCGCGAGGCACGTCGCCGGAGAAATCTGTGTCGTCGGGCACAAAGCGGAGGTCGAAGAAGTTGGCGGTCCGTTGGTACTCGGTTCCGTCGACCGAGTCGTAGATGTGTTTGGCCACCTCGGGCGACGAGAAGGTTAGAATACAATAAAAGTAGCGCAGGCGTTCGAGTTGGTAACGACGTAGGGCCTTTGAATCAAAGTCGGCCCCGTCATCAGGCTTGAGGATGGATTTTTTGATAGCCTCTTCGCCGTCTTCTTCCTCTTCTCCGTCCACATCTTCCTTGGGGCTATTGGCAAAGATCTCTTTGGGCGGGCCTTCCAGCTCTTCCCGCTCCAGTCGCTCCTTGCCGAACTCGCTGGGATAGATGGCCACTTTCAGCAGCGAGCCATTGGGGGGCAGAAAACTGCTAAACACGGCGAATAGATCCGCCGCCCGGATGTTGTCCCAGTCCAAATTCACAATTGCGATGCGAGAAGTCACCTCGCCAGTGGGCACATCAGCCTGCTGGGACGGTCCCACGCCGACTTCTTCGTCTATGTCTTCTTCTTCTTCTTCTTCCTCATCATCATCGGACTCTGAGTCGGAATCTTCGTCGCTTGAAGAGGTTTCATCGGAGGACGATTCGATGTCTTTGCCTTCTCGCAGTGGATCGTGGACTTTGTTCACTCGGGCAAGCTCTTGTTGAACCTCGTCGTCATCATCAGGCTCATCGCTCGATGACTCGGACCCTTCTTTCTCTTTTTCGTCCTCTTCATCTTCCTCAAACTCGTATTTGCGCTTTAGTCTCTTCTTCTCCGCGTCCGACGCAATGGGGCGACCGTAGCGGTCGACTTTGGCTCGCCTGGTGAAATCCTCATCTTGGAGAGCCCGACTGAATCTCTTGTCAAGCTTGACCTTGTCTTTTTTCCCTGGTAGTCGGTATCGCGGGTCAGATTGGATATTCGCGAATCGAGGGTCGGAAATCTGAGGGCCGGTCGAGGCGGACGGAGGCTGAGACTTGGGCTTAGAGCCTGTCTTCTGCCTCTTTGACGACGGTTCGGCCATCTTCTGTTTTCTCACAACCTATCTAATAGGTCGTGACAATGTACAAACAAGATTCAAGCAATTGTATCGACTCCCAGTACCATAATTGACGGTGGGGAAATGTCGAGATGATGGTGTTTTCAACTTTTTCCCGCAGTGGACAACTTTTTTTGGTGGTGGCCGCTCAACCAGTAACAACCCGCAGGACTCGGAGAAAGCAGAAAGTGGATGCAGACGCAGGATCAAAGTCGCCAGACGGTCAGATCCGGAGCAAGACCCCAGTTCGTCAATCAGTCGTGGATGGTGGGATGGCGTCGTGTCTGTAACTGAACCTTGTTGCTCGCAAGTCAAAGTGGTGTGAGTGAAGCTGCGAGATCAGCGCTCCAGCAGTAAACACAGTCCTTTCAATTGTCACCGTGGCATTGAGGCATTTGCACCTCAAGACTTGCAACCCGTCGTCCTCAGTTCACTTCAACCATCTGTCCGCAGCCTCTCCGTCCTCTCCTACTGCGTCCTGCCCTTCATAAGACACTTTAATTCTCTGCAGAGACAGACACCGTTGCACAACTGCATCTAGCTCGACAACGACTGAAACCGACCCAGGCTGAAGCGGAAGAGCAAACAATCAGTCCCTTCAACAATCCGTGCCCCTCCTCCCCCACCACCGCAGTCTCGGATACCAACCGCAACGATATTCACAATGCCAGCCGGCTCGTGCTTGATCACAGGGTAAGAACATGCGCCCTTGAAACTCCCTTGCATTGTTCTTCCGCTCTACAATCAATGCCTTGAAACATGAACATAACAAGCTGATACTGTTACCAGTGGCACAGGCTACATCGGCTCGTTCACAGCCCTCGCCCTCCTCGAAGCCGACTACAAAGTCGTGATCGTCGACAACCTCTACAACTCGTCCGCCGAGGTCTTGAACCGGATCGAACTGATCTGCGGCAAGCGACCAGAATACTACAAAGTGGACATTACGGACGAAAAGGCACTTGACGAAGTCTTCTCCAAACACCCGGACATCGACAGTGTAATCCACTTCGCAGCCCTCAAAGCAGTCGGTGAATCCGGCGAACGACCACTCGACTACTACCGAGTCAACGTATACGGGACACTATGCCTGCTATCTTCGGCGGCTCGCCACAATGTCACCAACATCGTCTACTCGTCATCGGCGACCGTGTACGGCGACGCGACCCGAGTCCCAGGAATGATTCCCATCCCTGAAGAATGCCCATTGGGTCCGACAAACCCATATGGCAACACGAAATTCGCATCCGAACTCATGATCACAGACCACATCAACGCGGAGCGGGCGAAAGCCGCGAAGCAAAACGCAGGCGAACAAGAAGTCAACAAATGGAACGCCGGCCTTCTTCGTTACTTCAACCCCGCGGGCGCACATCCAAGCGGCATCATGGGCGAAGACCCCAGTGGTGTCCCTTACAATCTACTGCCGTTATTGGCCCAAGTTGCCACAGGCAAACGCGACAAGTTGCTCGTCTTTGGCGACGACTACGCATCAAAAGACGGCACCGCCATCCGCGACTACATCCACATTCTTGATCTGGCCAACGGCCATCTCAAGGCTCTTGACTATCTGCGCCAGCACCAACCCGGCGTGCGCGCCTGGAATCTAGGAACGGGTCGCGGCTCAACCGTCTTTGAAATGATCAAGGCGTTCAGCAAGGCTTGTGGTCGTGATTTGCCATATGAGGTCGTCGGTCGGCGTCCGGGAGACGTTCTCGATCTTACTTCTAACCCGGCCCGTGCCAATAGGGAACTCGGCTGGAAAGCTGAGCGCACCCTCGAGGATGCATGCGCCGATCTCTGGAGGTGGACGGAGAACAACCCCGAGGGATATCGTCAGCCTCCGCCGCAGAAGTTTGTGGATGCTTTGAAAAAGAAGAACTAGGACAATTAGATAGACATACTAGTACAGCTACGGTATTTCCCACCCAGGTTACACGAAAGAACAGTTTTCTTGACTGCCGACATGTATTAACGACTCGGACTGCGGGAATCCACCAGATAACCCGTAGACAGGGGTCATAGTGTACATACAGGTACCATGCAGTGCAGTGCCGTGGGAAGCGAAAGAAAAGGAGAATGATGAACTTCAATCCCGTCCAATGTATTTCATTTTTCCGTTTCATTGAACAGAACACCCACGCTCAGCGGCTGTCAAACGTGATTTTGCACTTCGAGTCCACTGCACTGTCTGCAGCTTTTTGGAGACTACCTACCTGAGAAAGGCAGGCAAGTCACATTCATCCGTCCCGTACCTGATCCCCACATACAACTTGAAGCCCTTCGCTCATTTAGGGCTCCTTGGTTCTCCATGTCACTCAAAGGCACACACATCCAAATTCATCCTTACCCGCATGACATGCCATGACGGGACTGGAGGGTACATGACAAGGCCATGCAGTGCATGGGCGGGTTTATCGCATCCACCATTCGTCCTTGCACACTCTCATTCTTTGCGGCATCATCTAAAAGGCGGCATGCCTTCGTTCGCACCCCCTCTGACCCCAGCTCCCCGCGGCCCGAAGTTCCCATACATTTCCATATATCCACTATGGTTCATGCCTGGCGGAAGAGGAGGCGGAGGAGGACCCGGTTCGCCCGGATATCGGCCTTGGACGTTCAAGTTCGCCGGCATCGCCGCGGATCCTGGAAATCCAGGCGGAGGACCTGCGTTCATGAATCCCGGTGGCGGATACATTCCTGGAGGAAGGGTCGGCATACTAGGAACTCCTGTTGGCTTGGTTGGTAGTGGACTAAGGTCTCCCGTATATTTGCGCTGATGTTGTTGCTGTGGTGGTATTTGCTGCTGCGGTTGTTGTGGTCGCTGCTGTTGCTGCGCTGGTTGTGGAAGACCAGTTTGAATATGTAGTTGGGGAGGTAGGCCGTATGGTGGTGGTGCCCCTGGCATTGGACGAGGGACATTGGCCAAGCCCGGTGGAAGCGAAGGCTGGCGCACAGGTTGTTGCTGTTGCTGAGGCGGTGGTTGTGGTTGTTGCTGAATTGGCCACGCCTGGGGTTCCTTCAGACCCGGCTGATGTAGTCCAGGTGGTCTCGCAAGCCCAGGAGGAGGCCCTTGAGCTGGCTGCGCAGGTCTCGCTGGTCGCTGCCGTACGTTTTGGGCGGCCAAAAGCGCCATCAACGGATCATCGCCTAGTCCAGGCTGGGATTCAGGGACAGGTCGTCCAGCAGAAACTCGGTCACGTGTGCCGGGCTCGTTCTGGTACATTGCGACAGGAGAGTCGTTGTACATTGCCCGTCCGCTATCTGCTCGCTGATCCATAGCTTGTTGCATTTGCTCGTTAGCAGTCATCTGTCCTCGAGCTGTGCCTATTCGCCCGCTGGAGTCGACCGCGACACCGTACATGCCCGCTCCACCTCGGCCCTCAACTTGCTGGTGCGGAGCCTGTGGTTGAGGTTTCGGCGCGAGACTAGCCTGCCGAAGCAGGTTCAGAAGCACTTCGTCTTTGTTGATGCTTGATTGCTGTCTGGTATGACTTGGTGGTTCTGCTGTAGATCGCGGATCCGTAACACCCTGAGGACTGTCGGACGGTTGTGTTCGTGTTGGCACTGAAGGCTGAGGGGTGGTGCTCTGACCGGCCAATAGAGTCAGAAGACTTTGAGAAGACGGTCTGGAGCTGTTTTCCGGCTTGACCTCGGTGTTGCTGGAGCACAAGGGGGTCCGGGGCTTAGCAGTATCTTGGGACTGCGGCGTGGGGTTGCTACTGCGAGTTTGCAGCATTTCAAGGATACGCGCAAACCCTGCTTGGTCCGCGTTTACGGCAGGTCCTGGCTGCGATGCCGAAGCAGACGATGGTCGCTCCGCCCTTGGCATAGGGGGAGCAGACTCAACTTGTCTGCTTTCTTCGGGAGGAGGACTGAAGATAGAGGCAAATCGTGTCTTGCCGTGAGGCTTTGTAACGCCAGGCTTCGGCTCCATCGTCTTGGTCTTTGACTCGAAGCGGGCAAAGAACTTGTCCATCGAATCGTCTGGTTCTGGCAGAGCAACCTTCTTGAGCGGCTCGGCCTGGGGTTCCTCTGAAGGAGCAGCCAGATCCACCTTTCCCTGGGCCGTCCCTCCACCCGCCTTCATTCTCTCTTTCCATCGCTGGAAATCTTCCTGTGTGCGCACTTGGAAAGGTTCTTCAGGTTCAGTAGAGTCCATCCACTCTGGTTCTGCCTCGAATCTCTGAGACCGATCGAAGTCTCGATCCCTTCCTGCATCGTTACGCCGCCACTCTTGTGCCCGGTCAGACTCCCGACGTGGCTCGTCTTGGGCATCAGGGGCGTCCTTTCTGAACCACGATTGAGATAGCTTGATTCTCGAGTGCGTCTCACGCCGAAACACCACGCGTGAAGATTCTTCAATCACCTGCTCGTCCTCTATGTCTTGCTCATTCCTATCTCTTCCTCCCCATTTTGGCTTGCGGTCGTAGTTCCGGCGGTATTCGAAATCAGGGTCCTCGCTTTGTTGCCGATTGTGGCGACCATTTGTCTGCGTGGTTCTCCGATCGTAGCTGGGACTTTCTTGGGCATCACCATTTCTCGACTTTTCATGGAATGACGTTCCTCGCTCTCTTGCAGGAGTTTCGTCTGAGCCATCTTGTGCCTTTCCAAAGGTGCGCGCATTCGAAGAGGCGAAAGAACGACGTGGAGGCCCGAGTACTATGCGTTCAGGGTCTTCCATGCTTCTGTTAGTCATTAGACAAAGAGATTGGCGAATATGAACACACCAGTGGTTGTGCGACGCTGAGAGTCGACTAATGCTGGTCTCTTCTGAAATGTCTCAGGCTGCGCAGGAGGAGGTTCGTCTTGTTTTCCGCGGAGTGTGGGCCTTCTGGCTGTTGTTTCCTGCGTTCTAATCCAGTATCAGCGTATGTTTTCATGGTAGCCTGGGTGCAATCCATACCCCATCCATTCTTCGATTGGTGGCAGGTTCGGTGGCCTGCATATCAACGGCGACGCTCGAAGCTTCAGTAGATCCTCAACGGAGTATACACCAGACATGTTTGAGCGGTCGTAAGAGGAGGAGTGCTAGCATAGGCACAAAGCGCAGTGTTGAAGAGGGCTGGATAGGACCATGAGAACGACTCGTGTGGGGAGAAGAGACAGAGGAAAGAGGAAAGCCACCAGAGGTGATGGTTAGCAATTCAAGAAGTAGTGCACAGTTTCAGGTCAGCGTCGAGCGAGTTGCCAGTGGTCTGTTGCCTCGAGGTTCTGTATGGATCTGTCGTGCAGGTGTTGGTACTGTAGATTGCGATGTGGTTGAAGTCGTGACTGTGGTTGGATTCAATTGCAGGTGCTGTTGTCGAGGTGGAGCTGGACTTGAAGGTGATGGACCTCGCATGCGCTGCAGCAGCCAGAAGCGACCCTCCGATACCTTAACCAGTCGCAGCACGGCACACGCCGCCAGTTTTATGCTGGAATTCTAAATGCAGCCTTCACTCGATCTGCAGCGTTACCAGTCAGTTACAAGAAGGATGAGCAATTGCCACTACTTATCATACAGGAAATCCAAGTTGTAAAACGGTCGCGTGCAGTTTGCCCGCATCAATTTGAATTTGGCATTCAACTTGATGGCGGTGCAAATAAGGGTTGCATGCCGCTCTAAGCCGGGAGCAATTGTTTTGATATGCTGCTTTAGCTGTGCATGAACTAGCCAAAGATAGCCTAGTGTGTTCTGTTCTCGATGAACTCGATATCAACTCCAAAAGTGGAATCAATTTGAATCAATTACTAGTATTAATGAACTTCATGTTCAGCTCTGCTCAACCACTACCATAGTAGTACCCAGTCCATTGTCATCCGTGTGACCTTCTCTCTCTGCTCACTCTGTTCGCCCCAAACGACACAAGGTAGTTTTGTTGATCCGTGGGTACCAACTGTCTGTACAAACAATGTCCCGCCCTTTCACACGCGGCAAGTCCAAGTCCAAGGCCAAGGCACCGGCTTGTCCCCGTGGGTTGCATCCCACAGCAATTCCCTCTGGCCGCAATTTGGAGAGAACGGTCTTGGGTCCACACGCCATATCCTCTTGATGTTAGGGTTGCGTGTCAGCGCCGGCATCTCAATCAAGGACCATATGCTTCCGAGCGACCACTTCCCACCCGACTTGGTGAACAGGTATGCATCCGATGCCAGCGCTGCAGCCGCCGCCGCCTGAAAGTAGCAGTTGTTGAAATTGTCCACGGCCGATCGGCTCCTGTCCCAGGGCTGGTTGTTGAGGGCAAATTCGATAGGATGGTCTTCGATGAAGCGTTCCTGTTCCATCTGCCATTGACGATTCATCCCGTCCCCGACATAGTAAGACGGAATGCCTTGTGCGATCATCCATCCCCGGCACCACCCCAAGATAACGTCTGGATCCACCCCGCTGGTCAGGATGTCGAGGTTGGTGTAAAACCAGACTCTGTTTTGTGGTGTGGCTCTTCCGCCGTCGTTGATGTCACGGAAGCGGGCGACGAGCTGATCGAGTGTGGGGAGGAGGAAATCGCAGTCGTAGGTTCCGCTCACTGGGTTTCGCACGCATTGGCGAGGCTGCAGTTCTTTAGTGGTGTTGGTGGATGTGTTGGTGAATGTCGCGGTGCCAGTCGCAACGACAGACCAAAACAGCAAGATCGCGAGGATCATCTGAGAAACAAGCTGCGAACCCATGTTGATGAGGTGTTGGATGAAATGTTGCACAAGCTCAGCAATGAAGGAGAGAAGTAGGTTCTTGCTGATTCCTGCTGTGGTTGCAGCTGGCTGGGTGGTGCGGTATCCAGAGAGGAAAAGTCGGCTGCGGTGGTTGTGGAGAGGTCGAGATTCTTTTGAGCTTCATAGCCTCGCGACTGAAGTGACGCGAAGAGTTCCCTCTTACCACGTCGCCAAGCATCACCAGTGACATACTTGATCATCGAACAAGGCGACAGTCACTACTACACCACGCATCACCATCACGGTGCGTTGAATCACCAAACAGGCTTGGCGTCTGTAGGTGACAACTATAAGATGGTGATGACCAGGTACGGCGTCTTCTGCCTTCTGTCTTCACTGGCCTGCGCCTCCGGGATATGATACATATCTCGTGTTGTGCCGAAACCATACCTCTCTTTCCTGAACCGTCCATTCTGAGCCCTTTGTTCCGTCTTTCAGGTTCGGTCTCACTCTTTTCTCTCGCTTTCGGCCCAAGATGAACTTCCCGGCCCTGGCCTTTGCCCTGACTCTGTGGGTGGTCATCGTCCACAGTGCCGCAGACAGTGGATGGCGTGGGCAACTGTTGAACCGTGGTGCCGCAGATGCCAGCTGCGCATCCTGCAATGGGGGATCCTTCAGTTATTGTGAGTCTTTGTTCTATATCATATATAACGGCCACTAACTCCAATCAAGCCACGAGCAATGGGAGCCATGGGAGTTCTGGTCTGAATTCTGCTGTTTCTTATGTCAACACGACCACAGCTGGCGAGCAAACGACCACAACTTCAGCAACTGCGTCTCCCTCCGCTTCTTTTCCCACCTCGAACTCCACCGTTTCTACACAACAAACAGCATCTGGCACTGAATCTGTTGGTACAAACTTTACGTCCTCCGTTTGGTCTGCTGGGAACAATACACAATCGTCCACGGATGGAAATACTAGCAATGACTGGTCTAGCTCCGCTGTGGCTTCCTCAAGTACTGCTGCCGTGTCTTGGTCTAACTCGACCTCGTGGGGTTCTAACTCGACCTTGACCCACACGACTGGTATGTCTTCTGCTGCATGGACTTCGGTCGCTACGCTAGGAAGCTCAACAGGAAGCGTAAGCTTAGGGAATGGGTCTTGGTCCGCCTCAAATGCTACGATGAGTCCGACTTCGAACGGAAATGCCAGCTCCACCTCCGAATTCGCATCTGGATCTGCTTTTCTATCGGGCGACTCTCAATCGTCCTCTGCTTTCTCCTCAGGCACCGCTTCACCGAGCGCCATGTCCAGTCAACAGTGGACGTTCTTTTCCAATACCTCTGGCACTGGAAACATGAACGCGACGTCGAGTCCGGCTTTTGGAAGCTCAGGCTTGCCTTTCGGTACCGGGTCAGTCAACACAAACTCCACAGCGACGAGTAATGGCGGCAATTTTCCCCTGGCAGGAAACTCAACGCAGCCGGTGCCAACCGCTTCAGTGGGGAGTTCTGCTGCTATTTCAAACTTCTCTTCGGTGGCAGACACTTCAGGTTCTGCTTCAGACTCCCAGGTGGTGTCCTCCTTCACTAGTACCATGAGCCAGAACTCGACTACATTCGTCACGGTCATCCGTACTACTGTTGTCGTCCAGATGTCATCCTCAGGCTCCGACGCGGCTACCACATCGGAACTTTCTTCAGCATCGTCCGCTGCCTCTTCTTCTCAGGGATCATCCTCAGCGGCCTCGGCCACGAATGCGGTATCTACTGCTTCTAGCGGGTCAACGTCCACCGCTGCCACAGACGCAATGAACTGTGACTTTGGTGTCAGTCCAGTATGCGGGCCCTCGCCAACAACCCCGGCGGCAAGCAGCGAATATTGCCTGTGTCCGTTTTGCTACCTGGGCAATGACTTGTGTAATGCCACCAAGCCAACTGGAACAAGCTGTCCGGACGGTTGGGCTTGCTCCATCACCATTCCTTCGGGCAGTTCGACGGTTTGGTTGAACCTCCCCACCGGAGTTACTTGGGCTACATCAACCCCAACGCCATGGAATGAGACTTGGCAGACTATTACCAGAACCGACGGAGTGACTGGCACAACCAGCGTGGAATGGACTGCTTCGCTTTCCACGAGCACATTGTCTCGTGACGACGGAAGTTACATAATCTTTCCTTTCCGAGTCTGGTCATGCCAGGGCAGTCAATGTGGTGGTGGTGGACACTCCGACTCGTTTTCTTTGTTGAAATGCCTCCTTGCGTTCCGTTGCAACACTCCCGACAACAACGGATGGCAGTTTCCCCCAGTAAGTATCTCTGATCAAAGCCAAGAGAAGACAGCCAAACTGACTATTATGTAGATTCCCGTTGTGCCACCAATTGGCCCGCCTGGTGCTGCGCCCGAAATTGCCCCGAGCACCGTGAGCCCTAGCGAAGGACCGACTCAAACTCCGTCTGATTCCAAAAGTGCAACTAGTTCTTCGCAATCATCGTCGACGTCGGCAACCTCGCAGGCGTCCACCGCCGTTTCCAGTATTGGATCGGTGACTTCTTCGGCTACATCAGAGTCTTCAGGATCGTCATCCTCTTCGGAGACGTCTTCTTCAACAAGCTCATCCACAAGCTCTTGCTCAGAGTCGCCTGTGACATCCTGCACAGTCATCTGTTCAACAGTGACAATTTCCTCGACCGACACGCAAACGTGCTCAACGTCTTGTACGACCAGCACGCAATGTTCCGGAACAAATACAGCCGCCACCAGCACCCTCGCGTGCTCTGTCAGTCCATGGTGGAACGATCCTGTTATTTCATCCTCGGTGTCGGCCTGGCTGTCTCAATTCCCGTTTATTCCTGAACTGGATCTACCTTCCAATATTACAGCGTCGATATTCTCGCCAAATGCGACGATGATGACTAGCAACTGCACCGACGCCATTTGCGCGCTCACACAAGGCATCACATCGACGACCTTCTCGATACTGTCCAACACATCGTCCATCCGAACGGTGTCCAGCTCTGCCTCTTCCAGCGTCATCAGCACAACAAGTTCCTGTACTGACGCAGTATGTGGACTTACACAGGGCCTGAGCTCGTTCACATCCTCCACTGTGCACGCCAGCAGCTCGCCAGACGCGTCTCCGCCTTTTGTCACGCCCACAACAATTACACCACTGAGCACCACGACATCGTCATCGCCATCGTCGCCGTCGTCTTCATCATCTTCATCTTCATCATCCGTGGATCGCGGCACTCCCGTGACCATCACCAGCACGACACGAAGCCTCAGCTCGCTGTCCGTGTTTGCCTGTGCCGGCATTGACCAGTCAAATTCTCTACGGTGTACCGCGTCCGCGACCCTCGTGACTGTCCTGCCCACCGTCCCTCCACGATCTGAACAGAGTGAAGTCTGCGCATCATGGACCGCTCCCTTCTCGACAACCAGTCCCGCCAAAGCCGGGGTGCTCAACTGCGCAGCACCCACGGACGCCAGCTCGACCAGCGACGACCTCCCATGGCCTCTGGTAATCGAACCGTTCCATCCAGACGAGGCCATAATCAAGGATTTCTGCCAATTCATGGTCTTAGACGACATCACCATCAAGAACGCAGATCCGAACGGCAACACTTCGCCCGCTCAATGTGCTCGCTACGCGGCGTCAACCGATCTCCTCAATGTCCAGGAGCCGGTAGCAGATGGTAACCAATATTACTATGTGGTCCTTGCTGTGGCATTTGACTACAATGGCTGTTCGTCCCCGAATGACAAACATAAAGATGGGATTTCGTTCAAGGATTACGGTGCTGATAAGTGTCGTGACGTTTTGTGGAAGAGTGTGGCCAATAAATGTATGTGGTTACAGCCTCTGGGCTTCCTCTTTCCCCTGCCTCTTCTCTTCAGAGGAAGATTCAAGAGGAGAGGATACGGATACCAATGTGACTGTTGTGGCTGAAGTGATTGCTGACAAAATAACTGGTGCTATCTAGGCAAATTCGACCACGCCAAAAAGATGGGTATTTCCTCATATCCCGCCATCGGCGGGATGTACTGGAAAGACTGTATGCGCTGGACGGTCGTCGCTGTCGTCGATGATCACGGTCCTCCTGATACTCTGAAAGGGCATAATGGATGGGCTGGAATCCCAACCTAAACGTGAACACAGGTACAAAACGTTGTTCTCTTGACAATACTATCCGCCACTACCACTGCCGCCCGTCGAGAAATGCTGCGCTAAGGTACTGGTACCCTAGATTCTGCGTCGTGAACGTCATGAGGGATGATGGAAGGATGGGTGGGTGTCCCATAGCCACCTATGTAGGTAAATGAACACATGGAACACACAACGTTGTTCTCTTGACGCAGAACCAGGCGTCTCTGCCGTAGCCGCTCTTCGACAAATGGTGTCATGCCCTACTATTATCCCGGGATCTTTTTTTCCAGGAACTTGAAGGTCCGGTTATAATAGATGATGAATGGTGCCCTACTGTACGCTACCCTAGATTCCTCTTTCCAGTCTTCTTAAGGTCTTCTCATGATGGATAATGGCCGACTGCAAGGCTAGTGTCACTGCGGTATCACACACATTCCACTCCGCTGGCACTGATCGTAATGCTAAAGAGCCGCCAGCGCCCGCGGTCGTACTAGGTAGTCTATCCAAATAATAATACCCGACAGACACGCACTGGTCTGTCTGGTCATGATGACTCGGTACTAGTTCAGTGACTAGGTGATTTCGTCCGTCAATACTAGTATGACTACCTACCTACAGTAGAGCCACTGCAGTGGCAGTGGTATCGTCCTTGACCATACCTAGCTAAGGCAAGGAGACTCGCTGATGCTCTCTCTACAAGTCGGCAAAGCCTGACTAAACAAAAGCCCGACCCCCCAAACACTCCCTTCCTCCGGCCAAAAGAAAGGACCAAATGTTTCCTGTTGTCATAAATGAAATGTCATTGTCCCCTGGTATACTAGTACTCTCAGGACATGACCTATACCTATACCGTCTCACCCGCAATGAACGAGCGCTGCGAATGATTCATATTCCCCAACTGAGCAGCTTCCTTCTCCGCCTCCCACGTCCCCAGAAAACTACCCAAATCATCGATCGCGGCATCAAGATCAAACCCAGACCCACCAACATCACCGCTCCCAGTACATACCTGGGACTGAGATCCAGCCTCCACAGCCATAGCCCTAAGCTTTACTGGCTGTGGTTGCGCGTCTTGCCAGTGCTTTGAGGAAGAAGACGATTCTCCCCCCTTAACCGAGGAGATTCGAGCCCGAACCCCCAAAGACGAAGATGCAGGAAGAGGGCCCGAGGGTTTAAGAATGCTTTTCGGACCCGAGTTCGAGTTCGAGTCCGGGTTACGAGCCAGCCGCCCTCGCCCTCCTTCATATTTTGAAAAGCGTCCTGGTCCCATTCCCAAGCCCCCGCAAGGTGTTGGTGTCTTTGTCTTTCCCGTGTCATCGTCATTGTCATCTTCCAAAGACTTAGATTCAGACTCAGACTCGGAATCTGCCAATGTGTATTTGCCCTCCAGTTTCACCTCATTCTGATTAAGATGAAGTGCAGTAGCAGGCTTCGCGATTTTCATAGCTGATGTGATTGATCCTTGAGATGTCGATGTCCCTGCTGGAGACCTTTGACTTGTTGTATTAAAAGACGTTTTCTTTGCCCTTTTCGTCTTCGTCAGTCGGGCTGCTGTCGCTGCACAATTTTTCATGTTCGTTGGCGAATGCGAATCCCCTCGTACAGAATTTGCAGCTCGCTTTCGAGCAGTGACTGGCTCGAAGGATTGTATTGTAGTACCAGCCGACTTCGCGCCCGGTGTGTTATCAGTCGTTGGCATTTTGGGCTGCTCTCCACCTTTCGGAGTGGCAGAGTCGTGCTCAGACATTACGTCCAGGAAAACGGCAACTTCGTCGGTCAACTGGACCTCGGTCGCAGCCGGTAGAGCCTGGATAGTTTGTAGTTCAGACATCTCGCCGTTGCTGGAAAGATCTGAAGGACCAGATGGCAGAGTCTGCTGAGCCGGAACTTGCGCAGACGGAAGGCTGTGAGTTTTGTTGGTATGTACCCTGTCTTCGGGGCTAGCAGCGAATGACTTCGTCACGGGCGATGGCTTGAGTACTGCTGCATGTAACGACGTGGAGTCTGTAGCCGCCTCTGTGGTGAGTTGTCCACCGTGTTGATCGAGGATATTAGATATAGTTGGTTCGAGTGGAGAGGCGAGTGCCCCTAGGGTATTTGGACGGGGCTCGCGCGTCGAGTTAGCCAGCCGGCTGCCGCGAGGAGAATTGGGTGTAGTCAAGTCAGCACTCGGTGCTGCATGTATGTTTGCAAACTGTACGTGAGTCTCCTCTGCCGGAAGTGGATTAACATGCACAGCTGTATGTGCCGGAATGGCGACCTCCTGGTGAGCTTCAGCTTGCCCTGAGAAGCTCCCTAAACCTCTGGTGGTAACCGGTCGCTTAGTAGACGGCACCCCTGACCGCAAGTCCTCTGAATGCTGACCATTTTCTTGCGAACCCGCAGAGACAATGGGACCTTCGGTACGAAGGCTTTTCACCACTATGCCTACCAACGGATCAAGCAGGGGCGGAGCCTGCATCGGTGAAGATTCCCACTTCTTCGTTCTCCGGTGTGGGTGTGGGCTCTTCTTCGTCAATGGAGAGGAAAATGATACTTGGGCGGCGTCGTCAGCTTGCATATAAGAATCGTTCCTCTTGAGCCAATGTTCCACCTCTGGCTTGATGTTTTCTTCCGATCGAGCCTTGCCTCTCCTAGATGGGGACGCATGGGTGGAGCCCTTAGTTGCAGAAAAGGGCTCTCGCTTCAACGCCAGGGCATTCCCTTTCGAGGACTCTGGCCGCACAGCTTCATCCGCGTCTATCTGCGGTGATGGTGGTAGACTCTTCCTCGGAGGGGCACAAGATGGTCCCTCATTCCGCACCGCAGCTTTACGAGCACCAGCAGTCTCATTGACTGCCGTTGTCGTCCGATTGCTGGACCTCGTGGACCGCTTTGCAGCGGTTGTGGTTCTCGTTCCGAGTCTCCTCTTTTGTGCCCATGGATTCTTCCAGCCCTTGTCGAAAGGACCCTTCAGCTGGGCCGTAGCGATAAATAACGACTCTCCCCGGCGGTAAGCTGCAGCGTAAGTCTCGATCCGACGTCTTTTCGCAGCTCTGTGCTCGGGATCCTCTTCAACGTCTTTATTTCCATCGTAATATATTATTGTATTGTCACAAACGGGTATCTCATCGGCGCAGATGGGCGAGACTGGTCTGGGGTATTCGGGAATTTTGGGTTTGGTCACTGGCAATGGCATGCCAGGTGCTGCTCCAAGGGCCCCAGTGCCTTTCCCGGCCCTGGAACCAAAGATAATTCTACGCAAAATAAGAGACCAAATGCAAAGGCAAGAAGAGGAAACAGAAAAAGAACATAACCATCCGGTCAATTGCTGAGGCTGGAAAAATGGTGCGGAGATGGTACCAAGGCAACCCGCCTCAATCGAGATTCGCGAAGTGGCACGCGTCGCGCGTTGCCGTGGATGCTCATCACGTGCAACATAGTAATGACGATTACTTGAGGAATCGGCTGGCATTCTAATTGGACATAGGAAGTACTTGATGGACGATTTACGAGACTCCTGTGTTTGATTTTAATTCAGCTTTTGCTATTCTCTACACACTGGCTGATAGTAGTGACTCAATACAAACAGATGCCATCCTGCCTCTGCTGAGTGATCTTGTCCCTCCAGACGAATATCACGAAAAGCCTTTTCGTGATCAACAGCATCAACCACAGGCAGGCAGGCAGCTCCCCTCATCCTCCACATTACGGGTTGCATGATCGCCAAAACAAGGAAAACAACCTATTGAAACTCCGCCAATTGGGTATCAAGAAAAGCTCTGACGATGGACTGGAAGTCTGGGATGGGTTTCATCAAACGATCAATAAAGGCCGTCTAGTGTTGGGTAACACCGTCATAGAAGGTCTTGTTGGTACTTCCGTTGGTAACATTCGCGGATCCGTTGGTTCCTGAAAGACCACCCACTGGCTTCTGGGTATCGAAGGCTCGATCAACTTGGTTGCTGAAGCCGCTGGTGGCTCCTGGATTGTTGTACCCAGAAGTTGCGCCAGAAGTGTTGTAGCCAGTTGTTGCGCCGGGGTTGTTAGCGCCAGCAGGGCCGGTCGATCCGTAGCCTGACGAACCGTAGCCCGAGGAGGCGGAGGTATCAGCGTTAGGATGGTTTCCGCCTCGGATGACAGCAGGAGTAGTGCTGTGCGGCTTGCGGGTGACTTGTCTGGGCTTCGGAATATCGGTAGACTCCTTGGCACTTCCGATGGTGAAGATTGGCGACTCCCAGCGATCACCCTTGGCAGCAAGTTCCTTGTACTCGGTAGCCTTGGTGGAGATGCCACCAGGCAAGGAGATGTGCTTGAAGATGGAATCCTGCTTGGTGACAGCCACGTTGACGTTGGTCTTGGAAGCCACTTCCTTGGTCTTCTCCTTCTTCTCGGTAAGCTTGGCCTGAACCGCGTTGACATAGGATTGGAAGATGTTGCCGGCATTTTCGGGATCTTCCTTTGCAGCCTCCTTGGCACGGTCAACTTCCTTCTGGACAGAGTAGGCGAAAGCGTCGGCCTTCTCAAAGTTGTCCTTAATCTGCTTCTCGATGAGTTTCTGGATGACAGGACGCATGACCTTCAACAGCAACGGCTTCGCGATCTTGAACAAAAGCTTGTGGTTGGACTGCTTGAGCTTGATGTTCAAGTGCTTGATGGTCACATCAACCTTGTCAACAGCGACGAAGTGGGTGCGATCAGTCTTTTGGGCGTTGCGAGCCGCAATCTTAAAGCTGAACCCTTCACCGCCCAAGAAGATATCCATGACGCCCTTGTCGGTGATCGAAGGGAAGCCTTGCTTCTTCTTAACGTAGTAGGCGACATCACGCAGATCCATCTGGATGCCCGAGCCGGCGATCGTGATCTTGTTGTCCTTCTTGTTGGAGATGCCCTTGCGAGCCATGCGGAAGTAGTTGTCACTGCCAAACTCGAAGATGTTGGGGAACAGGTTATCTGTTTCAATAACCAAGTTCTCGACCACCGCATCGATCATCGGATCCGAGACCTCGATACGAGGGATGGGGACATAGCGAGTGTTCTCGAAAATGCCGGGGATGATCACTTCGGTCAAGTCCTTGACCAAATGCTTCTTGAACACTGGCTTGCCGTTTTCATCCTTGCCAAGATCATTGAAGAGCTTCTGGACAGCGTCACCAAAAGCCTTGTTCTGTGGGTCCTGGTCGAACTGATCGGCAAGGAACTTGATCTCATCCAACACGCGGTCGGTGTGGTTGCGGTAACGGTCGCGGAGCAGGTAGCGACCATGGTCCTGGAGTCTGTTCCACTCATCGGTGGCTTGATCCTGCAGGATGTATCCCTGTTCTTGCAGACACTTGCGGATGTATCGGTCGACAGACTTGAACCAGTCCTTCAGTTCTGGGTCGCGGTCCGCATCACGGTAGATGGCATTCAGAGAATCGAAGAAGTCGTCGGTGCTGGTGAAGTTGGCAAAGCGCTCGATAAGAGTCTTGAATCTTGTTAGTGCCGATTCGTTGTTTTTGAGAAGTCCTAAACTCACCTTCAGATTAGCTTCGGCGCGTCTCAGGCTATCATCGCCATGTGCACCTTTAACAGTCCCGGCGGACTGGTCCTTAACATTCTTGGCATGGTCACCATAGGTCTCGGCGAGGGAAAGGAGGGTCTCAATGGCCTCCTGGTCTGTTGATTTGTCAGTAATCATAATGCCGATTTAGGAGCAAACCATTAACTTACAGTCCGAGTGACCCTGGATCTCGGCGACCATCTTCTTCAAGCGCCAAATGGTCTGGTCACGACGCTCCTGAGGGATCTTGTTGTTGAGGTAGTTCTTGGTGTGTTGCTTGGCAGCATCCTTGGTCTTCCTGGCATTCTCCTTGTGCTCATCAGGGAACTGCTCTTTTGCTTGATCCTTGATGTTGGCGGCGGTGGTTTGCAATCCTGACAGACCAGCCTGCCGAGAGTCATCTGTGTTCTCCGACTTGGCAGTGTCAGCACCCTCTCGAGCAGCTTGCTTGACTCCCTCGGTGTCGAGCGGCTTGTTCTTGTCAAATGTGGAGCGAGCTTGGTTCTTGAGTCTATCCTTGGACAAGTCTGGGGCGTCGTGCCAGGTGTTGTCCTCCGCAGGGTGATCAATCTGGTTCAATTGATCTTCGGATGGGTTGACACGTTCGGCTGCGCTCTGAGCAGCGTCACCAGCCATGTCACGGAGGAGAACAGTGGCGTCGTTCAGCAACTTGCGGAATTGCCCGTTCGAGAGGATGAGTCTGCCGAGAGTCTTGAGTCCGTCGAGGGCTTGTTGGCCGTGTTGTTTGGCAGTGTCTTTGTCGGTCGGAGCATTGGGTAGGTTAGTACCATTAGCGTCTAGATGTTGGGCATCCCAGATGAACTCCTGGAGAAGGTTGCCATCGTTTTTGCTCAACAGCAGGATCTTCGCCTGTTGGACGACCTCTCTCACATCCGCAACGAGCTGGCGACCCTCGGACGAGAGCTTGTTCGGCGGTGATGACAGAGCCTTGGACTCAAGGAAACTGTTGAGTGCGACATCGATCTGCTTGTTCGAGGGTACCTTTCCGTTGGAGAAGGCTTGGAAGATACCGTACAGCTGAAGCTTCGTGTTGATGTCTTTCTCCTTGACTGCGGTGTTTGTCGGACGGTTTACTGAAGCCATGATGGACGACGACTAGGTTGCGTTGAAGACGATCGAACTAGCTGGGGGTATCACAAGAGTAGGAGATATTAAGATACACAAACTCAGCGGGGTATCAAAAGAAGAATGCTGAACTAGGAGTGTATGCGCGGGTTGTGTGGTGTGTGAGAGTGTAAGGGTTGATTGGGTTTCGAGTGGTATGAATGAAGAGTGAAAATGGAAAGTCCAGGGAAGGGGAAGGGAATGATGTATATGAGGTTGAGCTTGGGCTGCAGTGATGAGTGAAGGCTGGGGGGGAGTGAGTGGAGGGGGTATGTTGTAATACCCTGCGCTAGACTGAGGCCACACATGCGCTGCACTGGCACTGGCGCTGGCAGGGGCACGGCTCATACATCACTCAACAGAGCAGAAGCCACTGCATATTACCAGACCATACTACTAATTACTCTACTACGACTGCTACTGGCAACGCTTCGAGGTCAGAGCCCTGTTCACGCGCGCTGCGTGCCAGTCAAAGTGGCACAACTGGGACAGCGTCAAACGGCGATTGGCAGCCGCCCACTTCTGGTTCCCGGTTTGGCAGCGATCTGGCCATGATCTGGCTGGATTTGATCGCGGCGATCGGCTGGGAACTGTGGCTCAACGCTACGCTCTACCCTACAATGATACTCCCACCGTTATCTCTCCCAATCCACAACCACAAGATGAGGCTGCGATGACATACATCATAGGCACAGCCAATTAAGAGGCTGAGTGGAGACTGGCAACTGGGGAACTTCAAGATGAATGAAAAGAGATAGCGACAGTACTGCGCGCAGCGAGTGACCGGGCGACGACAATGGAATGGTGGTGGAAATGATGATGTATGACGATGATGTCGTCGAGGACAAAAATATTAAGGTATGTTGTGCTATGACATCAAGTGACCCCGTCTCCGGCCTAGTGTCCCGCAAACTACGAGTATTAGCAGCGCTAGCGCCAGGTACTAACGCCATCTGCTGGCAATGATTCCGCGTGAATCTGCGAACGCAGCGCCAATGCAATAATTCCAAACTTGGCAGCCGCGCAGGTTGCGTTGCCAGGTGTCAGGCCCAAGGCAGGCGCAAGGTGCCAGAGCAGCCCAGAGCGCAGGAGAAACTTCAGTAGAACTCTTGTTCGTTTCCCAGTCTCAGACCACTCTCATGTGCTTGCGCAAGTCGCTACGACGACCATAAGAATAGTAGCCCTGAACCATGCACTGGGAAGCCTGTCGGAGAATCATTCCACTCGGTGTTTGCTATTATTGCCAATAAATCTGCCTCCCTTGAATCTGGGTCAGGTACATATACGCTTGTACAATCAAAAGCAAGCCACCGCTTTTCGCGAGATTTCCTTCTCCCTGCCTCCTTAGTAGCCACAGCAGGGATAAACCTGTCTCATCCCTCGCAGCTGTAGATTGCCCAACTTGTCCTGGGTCCATCACTATCAACAAACCTGCGCAGGGCCTGGCTTCGCCGTTTTGGCCGCGCGCACACCAGTTCCTTTCCCCAGAACATGAGAACGACCCACAAGCCACTGACGCCACTTCCGAACTGCCAATTTTCTTAGTTCTCACAGTGTGTGCCGGCTATACTTGTCCTCCTTTCTGGAACCTTCACTCTGGTGCTGCACTTGGATTTGAAAGGAAACGCGACGTCGTCGTCATCATTACGCTTCAGGAAGGTATCTGATCGCGACCGGGGAGCATGACAGAAACTGGCGAAACAGATCGTTAAAGGGCCTGACAATGGCGTTGCTCTCCACAAAATGACGTGAGGAGCCAAAGGGCGCAAAACAGGGATGAGACCGATAGAAATGGATGAGAGTCCCACCCAGTCACCTCAGGCTCACTCTTCGGCTCACTTTTCCTGCTATTGCGATATTGGATGCAGTCAGTCCTTCAAGTTGATGATAACGCAAATTGTAGGGCGCTAGTAGTCGTTGCGACCACTGCCAGCCTGAATCGCATCGTAGTTCGAGTACACAGTACAATGTACAGTCAGTGGTTCCTCCAATGGGTTCGACTTGAAGTTGGAGGTGGCTGGTGTTGGTTTGAGCGCCTCAATAATTGAGGAGGCAACGCCTCAACAAAAATCCCCTGCTGTGGCTGAATTTGTGCCTACAACTACCTAGGTAGTTCCAATGCAGGCATGTCGCACGTGACACCGCGAACATTGCAGCCTCGCATAGCCGCGCCAAGGGACGCGTTCTGCACCGCAGCCTCGCCTCACTACGGGCAGCGGGATGGCAGCCTGATGAACTTCAATCGCGCATCGTTAAGCCAACAGTGGCAGTGAGAACAAACAACTGCCGACTCCGGCAACACTTGCATATCATGTTTTATGCAATATCTGTATCTTGATAGCATCCTTTCTTTTTCTCAAGTTGACTCGCGATCCTGGACTGTTCGCGCAGAACGTGAGTCTTAATTGGCCTCTATCTTACAGTCCAGCATCATGGCAGGCCGCACCGGAGCCAGCGCTCCACGACGGTCGGCGCGAAATCAAAAGAGACAGACTACCCTCCAATTCTCGCCTCTGCCATCTTCATCCCCTGCGAAGTCGGGGTACAGTCCCGCAGTGCAGAGCAGATTGGCTAGTGTCAGATATCAAGGCTCAAAACACGCCTCAAAGACACCGCAGGATGGGGAGGACGACAAGGTGGGGCTCACTGCAGCCTTACCCACACCTGAACCCTCCTCCCAAGTTGGGGAATCCCATCATGGTATGTTGAAAACAAACATTCACTACTGCGTTAGGTGGATCTTAACATCAGATTTCTAGTGACCGTTCGGGGCCCAACACGTACCGCATCGCCCTCGTCTTCCCACGCGCAACGGGTATCATCATATGAAAATCGGGACGATGAAGAGGATGACTACGAAGATGACTTGGTGCCGTCGGCGAGGAAGAGAAGGAGATTTTCGCCCATTGGAAACCCCGTCCACCAATCTGGCTCCCCTCAGTCGCGTCGATCAGGGCGTTTACAGTTCAATTCGGCGACACTGCCCGAATACTCCTCCAGAGCGGACCGAACGATACTGGCAGAACCACAAAGCTCGCCCTTGAAGAGACGATCCGGTAGAAGACGAGCGCATCAATCTCCTTCCCGTACTGTGCAGTCACCTGATTCCGAGTATCGATCCTCGAGCCCAGCAGTATCCAACCGTGTCTCCTCAACGGCACGACAATCAACATCTAGACTTTCCGATCTTGGTTCTCCCGAGGACAGTGATGACGAGGATATCGTGATGGCTTCCAGGCCGACCGCGAGACGGCAGCGGCAGTCCAAGCCCGCGGCGTCTCGCGATCCTTTCGTTGTCAACGATGATGACGTTGAATACATATCGGACAATGACCGGCCTATGAGGGCGCACAAATCTCGGGGGTCGAAAGCGGATGATTTCGTCGTCGATGATGACGAGGTCGAGTACATCTCTTCTGACGACGGCACATCGCACGTCGCAAAGAACAATGGCCGTAGCCGGAACATATCGGCAAGCCACAAGACCCCAAGCAAACGGCGCAGGTCTCGGAAGGAACAAGAGGAATTGGACAAAGACCTGAAGGATTTGCAAGATTCCAACTCCGAGCCAGAGATTACCGAAGCAAAAGGCCGTACGCGGGGCGGTCCGGTAACGACTGCACGCGATAAAACGAGGGCCCAGCTTGAGCTACTAAGGAGGCGGCGGGCTGGAAAAAGGGCTCCTCGCGTGGAAGACTCCGATGAAGAAGAGCCGGAGGAAGATGGGGTTGATATCGATTTCATCGGTCGTCCAGACCGCGACATCAGCCCTGAGGGCTCCGTCCATTCTTCTGTCGACACTGACCAGGAAGGAGAGCTAAACCAGGGCCTGCTAGACGATGGAGACGAAGACGATTTCATCGAGGATGATACAGCTGGCGGCGGCCGACTGGGACGACCACAACTACACCCTGATATTCCACTGGAATTCACTTCATTCGCCTCGGCCAAGCCCCGGGAACTATTTCCCCATATAATCGAGTGGCTCGTCAAGAACAAGATCGCCCCGGCATTCTCGCGCGACGACGAATTATACAAATTGGCATTTGCGCGCGTCGACGACCAAGTCAAGGCTCAGGCCGGCAGCCGACTGATTTCGTCCGCATGGGGCGACGACTTCAAGCGAGCCGTGCTAGCCAGACCAGACATGAAAGTCCAGGCTCTTCCCGGCGACGACGAAGACAATATTCGCAACTGCGACGCTTGCAACCGCAGCGGACACCCTGCTCGATATGAATTCGTGCTCTCGGGCCAACCGTACTATAGGGAATCATTGGAACCTGTGGAAGATGACGAAGACGATGACCAAGACGATGGTAGTCAGAGTCGCGATGAGTACGGTCACGTTCTGCCCCCCTCTAATCGCAAATTCTATCTTGGTCGCTTCTGCGCCGCCAACGCCGAAATGGGTCATAAATTGACGCATTGGAAATACCATCTTAACGAGGCTCTCATGTCGTACCTCGAAGAGCAGGGCGTTTTGTCCCCCGAGGCCATTGTCGCCCGCGACAAGATGAACAAGAAGAATCTCGAGAAGCTGGCCGAGAACATTGTCGACAATATGCAGGAGACGGGCGTCATTGCCGAGTTCTGGGCCGATTTTGAAAATGATCTCAATGATGCTAGGTTGGGCATGGAGGACTTTGATAGAAAGGGTGGTCGCTCCAAGGGTCGTATTGGTGCTGTCAGGGCAAGGGGTGGAAATGGTTCTATTAGAGAATGGGGAGACGATGGCAGGTACCGCGTCACGAATGCTGTGACTGTGGATTCTGATTCGGACTGAAAGGAACGACGACTGGCAACAGAGGAAAGGTTTTTGGATCACTGCTGGTATCATCGAACCAGCGAGCAGCCAGCCAGCCGTGGAGAGGCAGTGAGGATTTCTCTCACAAGTGGTCTTGGTCTCCGACTGGATATTAATATGCATATGCAGATGAGACAACAGCAGCCCGAGCAGGAGCAGTAGCTGCAGTAGCTCTGGTACTTTCATGGCTGGCAATTGCCATGATGTTTACTCAGTTTACTCAGGATTGTATGTCTACCGTTTGCTTTGTGTCCTCCAACAGCCGCCTTGGAGTGGCTCTCATTCGCTGAATGATAAGTACTATGGTAGTTCAAGTTTGTTATGACTATAATATTTGGTTCTATTATACAAAAAGAGATCCCCATCTTCCTAAGTACCTGTGCGCGGATGGGCCGTCGCATAAGACATCGTCCGGTGAGGGAGGAGTAGAGATGAAGCCAGGAATCGAGAGTCAGAATTCAAGAACCAGGGGAAGCGTAAAGACACTGCATTGAATAAGAAGACACCATTGATACACCGGCCTAGTATGGCCATGTCGAGCACGGGGAACAGGCACGCCATGCCGTGCCGCACTGCACTGCCTGCCCTCGCTTCCTGTCCGAGTTGCTTCGTTGGCTTTGCTCCAAGGCAACTCGAACTTGGGTTCGAAACTCCGCCAAAGGTGAGAGGCAGGGGTGAGACCAAGTGGCAAAGATAACCATGCCGTTCCATGGTATCGTTTACCTGTTTGCTTTGGCTCTCGAGAAGAATAAGGAATAGCCTCTCGATAGCCAGGCCAAGCACAAGCCAGCCGTCGGTCTTGGGCAAAGAAAGCGGCCCAGATCCCCAAAGAAAGATGCGATGCGGCAAGGATTCTTCCCACTCCTAGTGCCCCAATTCTTCCATTCCTGAACCGAACCGATAAAATTCTTCTTCTCCCTTGGGTGTTTACAACGCCGGCTTGGCTTGTCCTTGAGCCTGACCTTGTTGTGCCTGACCACTTTGAATCAGTCCCTGGGCTCCCTCCTGCATCACAGCCCGTTGTCTCTCTTCCTCCATGTACTGCTGTTCTTCACCAAGGGCAAGCGCATACGGGATGCCGAGCAACAACACACTGGTGGCGATCACCCAGAGGCCCTTGCCGGAATAATTGATAGTGGAGGAGGTCGCGGAGGCGATGGTGGAAGAGATAGACGAGATCTTCGCCCGGGCTTTGGGAGGGATGATGTCGCGGAGTGCGCTGAGGCGGTCAATCAGGGACTCGTCGAGGGCGCCAGCGTCAGAGGCGTCGTCGGAGATTTCAGAGTCTGAGACAAATATGATTAGATTTGGCCAACAAGGAGAATGAAGCGACAAATGCAAAATCGTCATCGAATCAATGAACATGTGCATCAGCAAGGAACAGGTCAGGAAGTACCATTGGCGAGCAACAGGAACACTGGGCAAGATTGGGCATGCCCTTGAGCAGTAATACACGTGAGAGCAAACTTGGTCGTACCCCAAATGTTCATGCATGCGACAATGAGGAAGCCTTGCTGCCTCCATCCGCTGCGATCAACGGAGGGAGAAATCCCGTAGTCCGGCTAACAGTAACAGTGTCGCCAACAACACCAAATAGCCAGGCTAATCCACTGCTTTTGGGATGCTAGCAGTTCACCCCGTTCCAATTCCTGCTCATTCAAGTTTTGCCAGATGATTGCAAACAGCAAGCATGCCTCAAGTACACAACGCATGCAGGCACGAAACCAACATCAACCAGAAAAGAAACATGCGCATCGCATACATACCGGTATCAGTATAATCATCGTCGTCATCGGCCAGCAGAGCTCCGTCAGACGTTGTCTCGGGCTTATTCAGGAAATGCTCGTCTTCGAGTTCTTCCAATTTGACCATTTTGGCGGTTGTGGTTGTTGTAGATCTTTTAGTTCCGCTTTAGACTCCTTCGATTTCTGCAAACCCGGTCTCGAATGGGGCAGCGGTTGGGGTCGATTTCGTTTTGCAATGTGGTGATGAATTGGACTGATAACCTAAGCTCGTGCTTCAACTTTTTGGACCGACTGCAGACTGCGCTCAGGATCAAGTTCAAGTTGTCGTTCGAGTAAAGATGAGCTTGGCGCCTCACGTGCCAGACTTAGTAAGCATATGTCACGCCGCCTTTAACAATGCTGTACTGATCATGGACAAACCCTTGATAGATCCCATGCGCCGGGTCTTCAGCAAAATAAAGGCATAGTCACATAATACTATTGTTCATCGTAACATTATATATCTCTCTAAAGCCACTGAATTCCCGGCGGAAGGCTCGCTTGCTACCGAGCAAGAAAGAAAAAGACAGGATTTCGTTCCAGTCGGCTGCTAGAACACAACACAGCAGGATTGGGAGAAACTGTACGAGCACAGCTCTCTCCCTGGCCTGGCTGGTATTTTGCATGGCTCCTAATCCTGATTCGCCATAATATATCATAAAGAGGCGCTCGTTGACCCCATAAATCGTAAAAAAGGAATCGATCAATCGCCCCATTCAATCAACATCCCATCCTCCCCTCTGAGCTCACCGGTGGCAAGCCCGGAGCGCCCTTCACCATCACCGTCACCATCATAATCCACCTCGACCCCTTTCTTCGGTTTGGGCTCCTTCCGCACCACGATGGTGGGCGGTGGCTTGTCCCGTTGCACCTTGCGCAAAAGACTGGGAATGTTCTGGCGGCGCGACAAGCCGACGCGGTAGGTGACTTTCCTGCCACTGGACAGGTTGAGGGCGTTGATGGGCGAATGTTTTGTTGGCCCCTTTTCCGTATCCTTTTTGGACGGCGTTACCACTGCTGCTAAAGTCTCCAATGGAACTTCTTTCTCTTGCCCCTTCCTCGGTGATTGCAAAGCAGGCTGCGGGTCGTAGTCTGTGATCGGAGACATGGTGGGCGCCCGGGGTTCGTCGTCCTTATTCGCCTCTGTCACCGGTATGTTGGACGACTTCTCGGCAAGCGGTGGCCGAGTCGTGGATGATATGTCTTGAGCTTCGTCTTTGTCTGGCTGGGCTGCTGCTTCCTTTTGTTGGGCCGATTTTTTCGGTTTCCGGCCGCGTTTCTTAGGCTCTGCTGCATGGTCCTTAGCCTCTACAGGCGCCGGAATTGCGACAACTATTTTGGCCTCTCCCTCCTCTCTGGTCGTGCTTCGCTCCGCACAGTCTGACTTTTCCTGTTCCTCTTGGTCTTCCTTTGGCGCATCCGCTTCCTTCTTCAGCACCTTGAGATCAGGGGGAAGATCTAACTTGACCGGAGCCGGTTTGGAGTCCATCCATACTACATCGTCCTCACCTTCGCTGAGCATTGGATCGGTCTTTTTCAGTAACGCTGCCGCGGATGTCTTGGCACGCTTTACCTTGCTTTTGCGCCCCGGTTTCTTCCCGCTGGCTTTGGCTGAGGTTGTAGTAGGCGTCTGCTCCTTGGCTGCCGTAACGTCCACGGCGTTGGCTCTGGCAGGCGTCGCTTGAGCAGGCACTGAAACTGGCGGAGGCATCAAAGCCTCGTCCTCGTCAATGACTCTCTTCGATCGAGAGCGACTTGGTCGTGGCTTGTATTGCTCCCTTGGCAACCCAATCAAAGCCTCCTCGACTTCACTTGTCGGTAGCTTCGCAGGCGACGTCTCTGGAGGAGGGAAGCTCTGCTGATCCTCGTCTACTGATTCCACGGTCCCCCGTCTAGCTCGAGAGGGAGGCGACAGATGATTCGTCAGCGCAAGTTCGTCCACATCATCGGCCACTCCGGGTGCTGGGGACAGTGAAGCAACCTTTGCATTCTTCGGTTTGCGGCCGCGCTTTTTCGGTGGAGGTTTCTCCTGTTCCGCCATCACAGCTTTCGAGCGCGCAGGCATATCAGAATCGGCCATTGCCACAGCCGGAGTAGGATGATTTTCAGCCGGTGCAATGTCAGATGCGGCTCCATCGTTTTGCACAATCCGAGCAAGATCAACTGTCAAGGCCTGGTCGGGCGCTATCTGCAACACCTCGGACAGGATGTGATTTGGCAATGTACCTTCAGAATCAGCCGGGTTCCGCTCCAGAAGCTCCACGTTCTGTTCATCCTCGATAGGCCGGAACATGCTTGCAAAGCGTTCCGTCTCTGCAGGATTCGGATCCTGGTCCAGTGACACCTGACTCAAAGCACCAAATGGATTGCTGTTGACATCCAGACCTTGGCCTGAGCCACGAAAATCAAGGTTGAGACACTGGTACTGCCCCATAGAAGCAACCGACGTCGTCAGGCGATGAGATTCGTCCGTCGTTGATTGATTGAGAAGGCTGAGGATGCCACTCGGAATAGTGAGGTGGGTAGATGCAGAACCATTGGTAACGATTGTTCCCTGGGCTTGGTCTGATGTCGGCTGCGCAGACACATGTTCATCTGCAGCAAGCGAATCTGTATCTTGTAGTCCAGTAGAAGACTCCCCAGCGGCCGCAAACAAATCAATGTCATGGACTGTGCGAGCCCTAGACGGGTGTCCGTAGACTTTGGTCTTCTTTGACGCAGAATCTTTGACATTGCCGCCGCCCTGTACTAGCTCGTGTGAAGTCTCCTCCAGAGCACTATGGGCCCGCTTTCTCTGCCGTGTGGTGGTGGCATGGGCACCTTCAGATGTGCCGTCCAAATGGCTTATAGAGCTCCGAAGCCGCATATCAGGTCTGTCCTGAATTGGTGACAGAGACGAAAGCCTTTGAGTGGGAGCCAGAAATTGGTCAAAGTCGTAGCCGGAAAGCGAAGCCTGACTAGGGCCTGCATCTCCTACAACTACCTGGGCATCTTCGAGTTGCTTGATGGGCGAATTGAGATCGGACTCATCGTCCGAGTCAGCGATCTCGCGCGGCATAGAGACAGACTGCTGCCTGGTGGCGAAAGGGCCGGGATGATGTTTACAAAGCGTGCCACTACACGACTCGACGTCGCCAACGAGTCCATTTGTGCCAGTCGCGCGAGGAATCGACGCGCCCAGCGACGCGTAAAGCGTCAATCACGTGGTCTGTATGTTGCGCGAAGTCATGTGATGGGCACCATTTTCTGAAGTCGCCTGGTATGGTCAGCCTCGCGTGTTCAGCCTTGCGTGACGTAAACAAACTGGCGGTGATTTTGATCCTCCACCATCAACACGCTTCGGCCGGACACGGCAGTCTCTCACACAATACGCGCTCTACTACATGCGCTTCTAATGTCTCCTCTGTTAGACTGGCTCGTAGAGAACGAGCCTGCATTCCGCAAGTGCGTGTTCCGAGCCCCTCTCTGTCTGCTTTCCTTTTGGGTAGAACTTCTGTCAATAAACCAACTCGCACATGTGCCTGGTGAATTGGAATACTGACCAGTCGTTTTTTGATTCTAGGACACGTCTTCCCTCCCTCTACTCCGACCTTACTGTGCAAAAGACCTCCAACCCCGAAGGCTATGCAGCCAACGTAACGGCATGGGAATCTGCTCTCACCCGCGCGGCGCTTGTCGGCAAACTTCCCGTTGAGCAACGTCTAATACTCCAGACTTCCGAAGACCTACTTAATGCCCTCGCCAGCCCGCAGTATGGCCGACCATCCGGCCTCGGATGTGTGCTGGACGATGCTGTCCGGCACGGCAAGATGATTGATTTGAAAGACTTCCTCACCAGCGACAAGAGCATCTACAACCGCTCATGGCTACCTAGCCCTTGGGCTATCCTGCGCTGGAGTCTACGACAGGTCGGCATTGTGGGCGCTCACAGCTACGAGGCACCAGGAGGTCGATTGAGGAACGGTAGTCTGGTGCTCGTGCCGGCGTTGGAAGAGATTTATAAAAAGATGCAGCCTGTGCGGGACCGACACACACAGAGTCTTACGGATAGAATTCTGAGCCGAGAACTTCTCACGAAGGAACTGAACGATCTAGTGCCGGGTGACACGCCTCTGTCGGAGGAGGACGTCAATGTCGTACTACGGTTTCTGGCCCGGGACAAACAGGTGCTCAACTACGATGCCACCACCATTAAATTCAAGGCTCCCGCGGCGTCTCTACCCGAACCCATCACACTTGAAGACCGATCTATCGCATCCCTGAAGACTCTCATTACAAATCTCACGGCCCAAATCGACAATCTGACCGCGCGTGTCTCCACGCTCCAGAGCACCGCGCAACAGGCTGTCAAAGCAGGTAATAAAACGTCCGCCCTTTCTGCGCTTCGCTCGAAGAAGCTGGCGGAACGCTCCCTACAGTCGCGTGTCGACACCATGCATCAGCTTGAAGAAGTGTACGGCAAGATCCAAGCTGCGGCTGATCAGGTTGAGGTCGTGGCTGCGATGGAGGCCAGTGCGGGCGTGCTCAAGACGCTGAACAAACAGGTCGGCGGGGTTGAGAAGGTCGAAGATGTGCTGGAGTCGCTGCGCGAGGAGATGGGCAAGGTTGATGAAGTCACGGGTGTGATTGCCGAGCCCCTGGATGGAAAGGCCGTCCTGGATGAGGGAGAGGTCGACGAAGAACTCGAAAGCATGGAGCGCGAGGAGAGGATCAAACAGGAGGAGAAGGAACGCGAAGTCAAGAAGCAGATCGAGGCCCAAGAGGCCGAAGCCACCCGGAGGCGGTTGGCGGAGCTGGATCAGGTACAGGCTGCTCAAGCCGAATCTCAACCACAGGCAAGGGAGCGGCCGCGGAACGATCAGGAGAACGTTCCGATGTCCGACGCTGCACTGGAGCAATCATTGTCATCCAGCATGGAGAAACTTCGGAAGTTGGACATCGACGACGTGCGGCAACAACCCAACCAGGATCAGAATCGCCTCGAGGCGGTGCGACAAGCGCAGCATAACGAACAACAAGAGAGAATTATGGGGGAAACATCATAAACCATCTGTTGGCAACGCGAGATGAAAGAGACGATTAACACGATTTCAGTTATGTTCATTGACAACAGGCTGTGTCCAAGAATGCCACAACGAGGCCACGGCCTCCAAAGCGAAACATATGCCTTAACAGCATGAGCTCGTCGCTGTCATGTCAGATCAATTCATGACATGTAGCTCCAGGGCCGACTTTGTACAATGCAGTCAGCCTACTCGTCGCCACGGCGTTCACTGATAGTCGGGCTTAACAGACACAAGGCGAGACACACCAAGTAACGAAGCCTCAGACCAACAACATCATTACAGATCTACGCGGCATAGCCATTTGCCGGAGTGTCCGGAGGCTCGCCCTCGGACCCAGGCCACCTTGAGGGGATCGAATCGGACGGTGATGGAGCTTGCTGTTCGAGAGATGTGTCCGCAGGCAAATGGCTTGGCTTCCCCCGAGGAAGTCGATCGTCGGTCCCATTCAAGTGCCCTCCTTGGACAATGTTGGGTGACTCGGGCATGATGATAGATGCGATCGATGCGCGCCCGTCTGGCTGTTTCACATGATCCTGGGGTTTGACTCCCTGATCTGAAGCACCGTTGTGCTCTTCCGCTGCACTAGGAGTCCCATTGTCTGCTGTTGGCGGAGGCCTATCGGATGCCACCGCCCGTCTCTGCCTCGCCTGTTTGATGAGATCGTCGAAATTGCTCTTCTGGTTTTTCACGTAATTGTCACGGTCGAAGTCTTTGGCCATGAATCCCGAAGCTGTCCCTTTATCACCCTGCCTTCCTAGAGTATCTTCCCAGACTTTCAATTCATGAAGCAGCTGCCGTTTGGACACGGGATTCGTCGAGTCGCAGTTGGCATTCCACAAATTCACCCATTCGGTGTGCCGCCGACGCATCAACTCTCGTGAGCCGTGCGTGGGGATCCCTAGATCCCTTAGTTTCTTGCGTAATGCATTATCGGTCAATAGTGAATAGTTGATGAATGGAAGGCGCTCATTCTGTTTCGCCGGCTTTTTCTGCGTGTAGGCGATTGTGCCTGGGGCAGCAATCTGCGGTGGTGTTGGTGCTGGGCCTGGTGCCGGAGACGATGTCCTAGTTGTAGTACCGCCACCGCCATCCACAGGCGTGGTACTCTCGCCCAAGATACACTTGTCCAAGTGCGAATTTATCAGGGTCTCCTTCATCCTGCGATGACAACATGGACATGCCACCAGCCCGTCGTTTGGCTCAGTGGCAGCCGAGCCGTTACCGTTAGCCAAAGACGGCGGACTGTGACTCGTTGTGGGCCTTTGTCCCGTCTCTTCGTATAAACTCCCTTCTTCCTCGCTGTCCTCAATCACATCAATCACAGACTCGGGCGTCGACGACGGCGCCGCAGCACTCTGTTGGCTTTGGCTTGCAGTCAATTTCTTGCTCTGGCTCCGTGTACTCCGTCTCTCCGTCGTTCCATTGGGTACGGTGTTGTCCTTGTGGTCATTCGCCACTTTCCGCCTCTTCTTCGGCCTCTGTGATTCCGCGGCACCACCGCCGTTGTCGTCGTCTGCTAGCGTCTTCTCGGCTGCCCTTCTCGCAAATTCCAACAATCCCCTCCGCGACGCCGTAAAGTTCGCAACCAACTCTTCCAGAACCCAGTTCCGTCTTAATTTGATTTCCTGGTCCGATTCCCGACATGCGGGACACCGCCCCTCCTGAGACAAGTACCGTCGAATACATAGGCTGCAGAACGTGTGCGAGCAACTCGTCATCATGGGCGTTGTGAAGAAATCCTTGCACACTTGACAGCGGAGCGAAGATTCGAGGGGCGCCAGAGCCGCGAGAGGCGTGCTGAGCCAGTCGGTGCTGTCGGTGAATTCGTATGGTTCCTGCATGGTATCCAAGGATGGACGTGGCGACGGGTTGATGATGGGGTGGTGGGATGGGCGTGGAAGATGGGAGGGTGCATTCAACACCCAAGCTGCTGTCTTTCAAATCATGAGTTGGCGAAGGTAGGATGTTTTGCACAGGTATGGCTTCAGAACGAGGTAGGCATCTAAGGTCTGTACCGGTTCCCCAGCGCATATATAAAATGGACAATGTAACTTGGACGACTTTGCGAACAAGGCTCCCACTCGCGGTGGAGGTTCGTGTCATGGCACGTGATCAGAATCTTCATCGACGCGTGTGGACGCGTAAAGTGGAAATCTGGTTGCCAGTGGTTCAGACAGAACGATTCAAACAAACATACAAGTTGTAAGCTGCCGTCAAATTCGCCTTCTTACTACTAGCATGCTAAACAGTTACCATAAAGTCGTCTAATTCGAATTGTACATCTCAGAAGATATGCAACGTCCCTTCCGATGCATTCAAGTTCCCGCTCACTCGAAATCATCATCCCCCCGAGACAGCGGGTCCGGTCGACTTAATCGAACGGGACTTTGGGGTGCTCCAGAGTCGATAGGGTTGGGCAATCCTGACGCAGCTCCCACCAGACTGATCCTGTTAAGCCTGCTGTCATGCTTCTCCAGAGGGTTCATCTCCTCTAATGTCTCATCCTCGACTTCACCGTCGCCCCGCCCATCGACTTCTAACTCGAGTTGCCGTGTGGCGCCGCTGAAGCCGCGTCTTCTCGCTTCTCCCAGCTTGATCCGCACAGCAAGACGCAACTGCTCCAGATATGCCGCGAGTTCTTTGAACTGCTTGATCGCTTCGCTGTGATTGGTTTCGTTGTATAACTCCTGCGCTTCGTCGAGCCTTTGCGCAGCAATCTCTGCCCTTCCTAGTTTCATCCACTCATCCGCGGCCATCACACTCCAAAGGGCAGCTTTCCTTTTGCGCATTCCCCAGCCAGTGTTGCCAATGCCGATCCGGTCAGCGTAACAGGATGCCACCCGTTCGCTGACAAGTACGTGTCCCACACTGCCGACGAGGCCAAGTTCAAGACCTCGAGTCGCCCATTTCGCCGCAACCTCGCTTGCCGCTCTCCCTCGCACTTTAAGAAGTTCGAGGCCCAGAAGGATAGCGCGCAGTGCCAGTGCAGGGTCTGAACATCTGGTCAAGTAAGAATAGCTCGCCGTTTCCAGCATCGTGTCGAAGCTTTCAAGCTTGAATTTTGAACTTCCACTGCTGGTCAGGGGGTTGAGGAGGGTTGCGATGCAACACATCTCGTTAGCGCCAGCTAGATGCTTCCAGGCCTTATCATTGGAGTAATCGGAGCGTAGGAGCTCGTAGGTCGAAGCAGCCAATTTGTAGTCCCGCAGCATGAACGCATAATCCGCTAGCTTACGCAAAAGGCTTTCGGGTGCATCCCAACGATAAGTTCCCTGCAAACTGTCATAGTTCCCGCTTGCTCCAGAGCCGGACAGGTTGGTGCTCGATGATGAATTGCGTGAAGATACCCCAATTCCAGTCCACCGCTTCGAGAGAGACATGAACCGGCCCGAAATGCCCCGGCGGCGAGAAGCCACTTGGTCATTCCAGAGAGCGATCCTTTGCTCCATATGGTAAACTATGGATTGTGCTGTGAGTTCACGAACAAAAGAACGCAGAGCCGATGCATCAGAAGAGAAGATATATGGGGAGGTCGGGATATCGAGATCAATCAAGTCGGCAGTATCCTTCAACATGGACAACTGCTCTTGAGCTGATAGCCACTCGCCGGCAGGAAGCTCCTCGGCGTCATCATCAGACTGAGTGCATGATGCAGATCGCAATCGAAGTAGGTGGCAATGGAGACCAAAATGCCTCTTCATTTGATCGAACAATGCATTGGATTTGCTTAGATCATCTTTGTCCTCGTCATGGACCAGGACATAATATCTCAGGTATTCGGGATTGGCATACGCAGGCAAAGCCTGTGCACCCTGCGCTGTTTGTTGATAGAGATTCCGTAGTGTTTCGATAGGTTGTTGCGTAGAGGAGCTGATGGCAATAACAGCACCTACCGGGTGCCGAAAGGTTTCATGAGGACTCATCGGTTGGGAGCAAAGAAGTCTGGAGAGGAATAGCTTGTACAAGTGAGAAACTTCGCCTCGTCCGGGTGTGTCGGCGGCCTCATCAAAGCCATCTCCCACAAAATGATCCATCAATTCCTCCAACTTCTCAAGATTATTTACTTCTGAACCCGACGACGAGTCCGTCCTCGCCAGTTCGCCGAGATCAGTGAAATGTACGCCGAAGTCATCCCACGTACGACTTGCGCCTGTACTGTCTCGGACCACCACTTTGCCGACAATCCGGTCGCCGAATGGCCGCACTAACTCCACGAATCCATGTTTGAGCCCCTTCCGAGCGGCAAGCTCGTCAACCTCTGCAGCGGCATAGATTGCGACGGTGGGCGAAAACGCCCGGACGATCAGAGACCTTGTGTCATCGTAGCCCTCTACTGGGTTTCCCAATGGACTGTTTATCAGAGATTTTCCAAATCTTGCAAACGACAATGACAGCCTTCCATTGGGGGAGCCGGAGCGGGAGAGGACGCCAGACAGCGCACTCGACCGCCGCGAACCTAAGGCAGGCGGACTGGAAGTGCGGATTGGTAGACTTGTAGTGGAGGCCTCCGGTGATTCTTCGGTCTGTAACGGTCTTGTTTTGTGTACTTCGAGGGGTGGAATCGATGGTAGGTCGTCCGACTGCAGAGGATCTCCATTACGCGGCGAGGTCATGGACAGCGGTTGGTTATGGGCAAGATTCTGGATGTCGCGGTCCATTGTCGGCGCATGGGGTGGCAGCGTAGAGGGATTCCGTGGCTAGTACTGCTCAGCATGACAAGGAGGTTGAGTCTCAGCCTGGTTACGGAGCATCTCTTACAACTCATATGCGGACTCAGCGTAATAATATTGCAATGAATGACTGGGAAACGACCAAAGTGATTGTATCTGCACTTCAATTGCGAAATGTACTGCCATATGAGGCCTTATGCCTTCCCGTAAAGAACTCCGAAAAGGTACGGTACGGCACTCAACTCCAAATGCAGTATTAATCAGCAAGGCTGTGCAATATGTGTCCAGGTCCCGGACATTGGCTTCATGCGTATACACTGGTTCCACATTACAAATCCATCCCGATAAACAAAGCCCCGAAACAGAGTGGTGAACCACTTATTTAACCCCGGACTCCCCTTTACCTGAGATCTCGTCCAGCTGAAACTCAACCCCTCTTCTTTCGCGCCATTGCTTTGTACGTTCACAGGATGGATCTTCACAATATCTACACGTCTTACATTGCTCAGATCAATGCCGGCTGCGGCTCGGGCGCGTTGAAGAACTATGTCAATGACGGTATAATCCACAATGACTCCAAGCCAATGTCGGTAGACGAGTATGCGCAGATGATTCTAGACAGCCAGGCTGCGTTTCCCGGTCTGTTTTTCGAGGTCGAGAGGCTGGTGACCGAAAGCGACAAAGGCGAGCCGGGCGAAAAGGGAGATGGCAATGTTGCAGCAAGGATCAAGCTGTCCTACACAAGCAGCCAAGTTCACTCCCAACAAGGAGATGAAGCAACTTCCTCCCAATCGCCAAAGGAATTCTTCTACGAGCACGTCTTTTACCGGCTAGAGGGAGGCAAGATTTCGCAAGTCTGGAGTCTGCTGGACGGCGCAGGACAGAAGTGGAATGAGGAACGGACGGCCAGATGAAGGACGTATGGCAGGTCAAACCATCCAGGCCCTCACATGTCTCACAGATGGTGGTTTTACGAAGCAAACTCATAGAGGCAAAGTCCAGCACTACCAGAATAACTATACTGTACCATGACCATAGGCCACATTCGAGCTGCAGTACAACAAGGTAACCCTGTTCACCGACCTTCAGGGACAGAGAACTTTATGCAACCCGGAATGATTCAATATGATGGTATACCACCAAGGATGACCCTAGGACTCGATGACAGCGTGGAAGGCATGAATCCAGTGCATCGCTTCATGCAAACAGGCCTGCCACGAGATACGGAGCGTTCCGTTTGTCTTCCGTTACGGATTAGCAGCTCACTAATCGGGCGCCATCTATCCGTGAGGACCTTAAATACGATAACCAAGCTTTTGGTTGGTGTGGAGTCGCGACGACCTCTGGGGTCGGAGACTTTGTCTTGCGGAGACTTTGACGATACCAGGGGTTGTTTGCATTCGTCTCGCTGAGCATGATAAGAAGGACTCGTTCGCGTGGGATCTGTCAACCGGACGCTCGAACTTCAAACTCGCTACAGTTCTGAGCACACAACAGCCGAATCCTCTCGCCAGCCAAAATGGCCGACCTTACCGCCCGCAACCGTGAGCACTTTGAGTAAGGAAGCCCTTTAACTCCCCGGACATCTTCACGTCCCACGAGTCTCGTTCTATCGCTTAAGGGCACACAAGATACTTTAGGAGCACATTGCTGATGTTACTATAGCCAGCATGCATCGGATCATCTGGACGACTTTGGAGCTTTGATCCAAGCAGCCATTGACGAAATCCAGGCCAGACGCTCCAGGATTTCCACCAAACTCACCGATGCCAAAACCCAAAGCGGAGCCAGCCAAGAAGTAAGACTTCTTGATTATGCTTGTGGCTCGGGAACAGCGACCAAGGTAAGTGGCATGTTGTTTCGGGCTTCCTGTGTCCTATATTGATTCAACTGTCGCAACCGCATAAGCTCACAAGAAGCACAGGCGCTTATTCCATTTGTTACTCAAGCCGTTGGACTTGACCTGTCCCAGGGAATGGTGGACCAGTATAACAAATGGGCCAAGGAGCAAGGCTACAGCCCTGACAAAGTGGTTGGATATCAGCACGACTTGCTCGGTGAGCCTCAGGCTGGAGAACAAAGTCCACCTCCAGAAGCTCTTTCCAACTTTGACATTGCCGTGATTTCCATGGCATTACACCATGTTTCAGACCCTGGGAAGATGCTAGAAAAACTCGCCGGCTGTCTCAAACCTGGTGGCGTCTGCGTGGTGCTAGACAGGGTGCCCTCGGACCACAGACCCGAACTCGAGATCGATATGCCCGAAGAACGGAAGAAGGTTCTGAGCACGATCAACAAGCACGGGTTTGACGGAGAGGAATTGCGAAAATTGTACCAGGATGCTGGACTTGGCCCCAATTTCGATTATGTCGTGGTCGAGAAACCTTTCGAGATCACTCTCCACAACCATAAGCTATACATCAAAGGCTTCATCTCAAGGGGTGAGAAGGAGTAAACCTGGACGATATATACCGTGTTGCTTACGCTAGGTTGCTTTGGCTTGCGGTGACTAGGCTGGGGCGGTGGAGTTAGGAATCGAGGGTCTTCCTCTTGAGGTCAGCTGTCCTTGGTACACAGCCGCTTATCTGCTCATGTACAGTATGCCTCGAGATTGCTGACAGACATAAATGGTACCACGTACCTGGTATATCGTCGAGCGTCGGCACCAAGCGGCTATTTAGTTGATCCACACGACATGAGTTAGAAATCCACATACACAGATGTTAGCACCTTCAAATAGATCAACTGAATCACCAGAACTGTTAATGTTTATTCAACTTTCCTCTGGTTGGTTGTCGTGAAAGCACACGGCAAGGGGTTGAGCAGAATATCGTTATCCCGACTCAGCCGCGGCGCAACGAACCCGCAAGGCTACGTGATCCAGGGGCTTGTCTCACTCACCAGGACCTTGGCAGAACCAACTGGTACTAAGCGCTTGAGAAACACCCCTCAGCTCAGAGACCGCTTCCACATGCACAACGAGTTGAGAACATTGAAACAACCTCTTGTCTCAAACTTCAGTAAAAAATGTGCTCGTTAATGCCCGATCGTCAAAAGTCTCCGATCTCGAAGAAGTCTCCGCAACGCATGTGCGCCCCACCAGGCTGACCGTTCCGAGCAGATCAAGCGACTATTTTGTCCCAGACCCAGGGATTTTCCAAGGAGCTAGCAACTCTGAAAACGTGCTCTCTGGGTCTTCATGCAGCCTTACACTGGTATCTCAACAAATCGAAAAGGGAGATGCAGTGGTCCTCCGTGAGCCATTGGTGCCGGAGATCATTGGGCTTGGCCTGGTCCCCGAGCGAAAACATATGCTCCGGGAAATGCCACTCGTACATGTGATGGTGGCTACTGCAACGTAAACAGAAAGGGTCCAATCCTCGCGTCTTGTTTATTTGGAGACTCTCTTTTCTTTTCTTCCTTGAGCAGAACTTTTACTTCAAGCGTTTTTGTGTTTCGTTGTGCCAGTGCTTGTAACCGCTGCAGAAGACGAAATGGCAGAGCATACCCTCTACGATGCGTTGATTGTTGGCGGCGGTCCTGCCGGCCTTTCGATCGCACTTGGCCTATCTCGACTCAACCGAAGAAAGGTTGTCTTCACCAAGCCCCAAGGTGCCGGCTTCAGGAATGAGGGTGCGCATGAGATCCACAACATCCTGACTCGAGATTGCACGCCACCTGCAGAGTTTCGAAAGATTGCACGAGAGCAAATCGAGAAATATGGCACTACCGAGTTCGTGGAAGCCGAAATCGTGTCTGTGAAGAAGCTAGAGTCAAATGATGGCTTCAGCAGCTTCGAGGCTGTCGACAGCGAAGGCCGCAAATGGCGTGGCAGGAAGCTGGCTTTGGCCATGGGCTGCGTTGAGGTCTAACCCACAGACATACCAGGATATAAGGAGAACTGGCCTCAGAATATGTGAGTTGCCCCCGAGGGACGCCGCCTCGCCAAAAACAAGAGGGTTTAGCCAAAGCATTAGGACAAGTCAAATGCTAACCACCGACGGCACAGCTATCAATGTCTGTTTTGTGACGGTTACGAACGGACTCACCTTCCAGCAGGTGTTCTGGGGTTGTCGCCCGTACACGCTCATGGCGCACAGATGATGAGCCTCCTCGTTACGGAATCATCGGGCCCGCCCACCGTCTTCACCAACGGTCCGATCCCAGACACAGAACCGATGCAGAAGGCGCTGGGTGTGGTGAAAGCCCTTGGCTGCAAAGTTGAAACCGCCAAGGTCACTGAGTTAGTGCCTGCCAAAGCGCCTGAAGTCGGTGTCACCGTCGTCCTAGAGGATGGGAGACAGTTCAAAATGGGGTATTTGCACGACAAGCCACCTGTTGTGCTCGCAGGCAAAGAGCTGATCAAGAGCCTCGGTCTGTCCATTGATGCACACCCGGTCATGGGTGAGCACGTCAAGGGGGTCGAAATGATGGGTAACACCTCCGTTCCTGGAGTGTTTGTTGCTGGAGACGCCGGAACCCCAATAAAAGTCGCAGCCAACGCCATGAGTTCAGGTAAGTTCGCCTCCATATCCGTGAACATCATCACAATTCTTGTTCAGGACTATCTTTAAGTTGCAAGAGACTCTCAGCTGACAAGTCCTCTGCAAATAGGTGCCACCGTTGCTGCTGGCATAGTTGGCCAATTGACTGGAGAGGACGTTCAGAGACGCCTAGCATCGACATCAAAATAGTCAGAGCGTTAATAGATAATATACAAGCAGGATTGTGGATTTGTCTGACAATCAAGACTTCAACGTGCTTGATCGAGAGTAGCTTAAGAGATGAGCCCCAAGTGTATACATGGACCTAGCGTACCCCACTACATTGCCAGGGGCAGGGATAAGACAAGATGGGAGCTTGTTCCGTAGTGACCAGCCGCATCATTATTGTTAACCCATGCAAACAAACCATGGTGGAAGGATTGTCTAATGTTCAACTTGAAGTCGATTTCGGCTGATAGGACCGAAGTAGAGCCGAACGTCAAGCGCATCACGTGCCCGGGCTGTGAGACGGCCATGCACGTGATTCCGCTGCACGTGAGCCCAGGCTTGGCGCAGGTGGACTCGGATCGGATTCGAGTTTGGAGAAAGAGATGCGCGCAACTTTCTGATATAGCCGAGTTGAAGTCCAATGCGCGGTTGAGTTCACAGAATGGCGCACATATCTGCGCCCCAGAGCCTGCTTGGGCTTGCAAAAAATCTCGGAAGACTCAATATTGCTGATCCATTAACGGTAAGCACTTGGACAATTCCAATGTTGGGTCTTGTGGACTGATTGTCTGTAGCAATGCCTAGCACCTCGACTCACACGACATTTTGCCGCTCAGACCCAGATCCCAGTGACTGAACTTGGAAAAGGGATTGAATCAGGTCTGGGCGCAACCCACGCCAAAGATCATGCAGCTCAGCCCTCCTCCTCATATGCAACTTACACCCTCGATTCTCCTATTCTGAAAACACTATATTCTTGGCCAGACCTTGAGCCAAAAAGATACGCCTGGTATGAGCAACAATTTCTTGATGCCCCTATGCGACGGGACATCCTACACCGCGCGGTGATTTTCGAAGCCGATGCTACGAGACAAGGCACGGCCAGCACAAAGTGGCGGGCTGACGTCCATGGAAGCAACCGCAAATTGTACGCACAAAAAGGCTTGGGCAGAGCCCGTGTTCGAGACAAGAAATCGCCCATTCGAAGAGGAGGAGGCGTGGCTTTTGGACCCAAGCCCAGAGATTTCTCCACGGAATTACAGCGCAAGGTTTACTACCAAGCCTTCAAAATCGCCCTAAGCTACCGGCATAGAAAGGGCGAGTTGACGGTGTTGGACAATGGTATTGCGCTGCCATCAAACACAGGGGCCAGGTTTCTGAACAACGTTTTCGAGGCCAACAATTGGGGAAAGGCTCACGGCAGAAGTCTCCTCGTGACCAGTACACCGGAGTCACAATATCCAGAACTATTTGATGAGATGGAGCAGGTGGGCGAGCACGGGTCTCTCAAGGACATCGACGACGTCGATGTTAAGGATCTCCTGGAGACCGGCAGGATCGTGATTGAGAGGACCGCGCTGGAAGCCTTGTTGGGAAAGCATCTTACATTCTTGTCCGGTCCTGAGCGCGAGGCCGAGAGGCGTCGCATTGCACAATATTTATAGAGGGTGTCTCATAACTCGGCATATTCACCACCAGAACCTTTTGGACGCTGTCTGCTTTATGTACCTTCTGGAGACGGGGGATCTCGTGGTTCTTTAGGAGTTGTTGCGCATCATATTGCTTCTCTCTTGCAATGTGAACTGTCTTTGCGTGGGCAAGCCTTTCCAGAATATCGTCCAGCAACATGGATCTGCGAAGCTGAGAAAGACTTTCCATTCCCCTGATTGCCGGTCTCCCCATGGGCAAAGATATTCTTCTGCGTCTCTGATTCATTTTCAGACCCATTTCATAATGCACTTCGAGTCGATAGGGTGAGAAATGCACGGCCTCCGTCAGGCAATGACATTGGATTGGGGAGAAGGCGTCAGATATGGCCGCGTCAAGCAAGAAATTGGTTGAAAATCCGGAGTAAGGACAGATCCTGGGATTCTAGGAAAATGATGATTTTCCATACTAGCACATGTTCAACCCGACGTAGAACAGTTTGTTGAAACCTAATTATTGTTCCGGGTTCAATGGCCAGCTTTCGGAGCAATTTTGAATATTGTATTAAGTGGACAATGCCAGAGGAGACCGACCATCACTTGTAGACCACATCCTGCCATGGGGGGATTGTCGCGTCAGCTATAGGACACCAGAATTTCGCTGGATTACCACAAGTAAGGTGTGCCCCTCAGATTAGCACAGTAGATCGACTTGACAAGGCTGAAGTCACGAGGCTGGGGTGGCGAGGCTGAGAATCGGCAAAACTGTCATATTAGGACTATTGCACTTGCGGCAACCTGAAGGCGGTGAAAGACTGAGAGACTCAGGGTCCGAGTCTCGGGTGGATTTCTCCCGCACTTGGCGAGATTTTTGCCTGCGTTTGGAGCCAAAGTCGAGGCCCTAAGTTTGGGAACATTTTTCAATCCTTGTATTTTACTGTTCAAACCAGAGCAGTAATCGGTCGCTGGGAATTTTGCCGGTTTTTGAACAGGCTGCAAGACCTGGTCGGCTTGGATCTTTGCTATCATGGCGATCCAGAAGAAACACGGCAAGGGCAGACTCGGTAAGACAATTCCCTCCGCCACCGACTTCCAGTCTCTCACGCTGGCATTGTATTCATACACTAACTCTCCGCAGACAAGTGGTACAGACTCGCAAAGGAGAAAGGTTACCGAGCCCGAGCAGCCTTCAAATTAATCCAACTGAACAAAAAATATGGCTTCCTTGAGAAGAGCAGGGTCTTACTGGACCTGTGCGCCGCGCCAGGATCCTGGTGTCAAGTTGCAGCAGAGACTATGCCGGCACAAAGTCTGATTGTCGGAGTTGATTTGGCGCCCATCAAGCCTATACCCCATGTGATCACTTTTCAAAGCGACATCACCACAGACAAATGCAGGGCCACGATCCGAACACATTTCAAACATTTAAAGGCAGACACCGTTTTGCACGATGGAGCACCGAACGTGGGTGTTGCATGGGTTCAAGATGCTTTCTCCCAAGCCGAGTTGGTGCTGCAGTCGATGAAACTTGCCACGGAGTTCTTAAAAGAGGGTGGCACCTTTGTGACAAAAGTCTTCAGGTCCAAGGACTACAATGCATTACTATGGGTGTTCAAACAACTGTTCACGTCGGTCGAGGCTACGAAACCCCCTTCATCACGAAACGTCTCAGCAGAGATTTTCGTCGTGTGTAGAGGCTTCAAGGCACCGAAAAGGATTGATCCCAAGTTTTTGGACCCCAAACACGTCTTTGCAGAAGTGCAGGAACCGACGCCGAACAACGAGGCAAAGGTCTTCAACCCAGAGAAAAAGAAGAGGAAGCGAGAAGGTTATGAGGAAGGCGACTGGACACAGCACAAAGAGATTCCTGTCAGCGAATTCATCCATACTACTGATCCTATCGCCATTCTCGGTACGGTCAACAAACTCAGCTTCGAACAGTCTCCGAACGGTGACTTGGCACTAGCAGCACTAGATAGACTGCCCGAGACCACCGAAGAGATTAGAATGTGCTGTGCGGACTTGAAAGTTCTAGGGAAGAAAGAGTTCAGAACATTGCTTCGATGGCGGTTGAAAGTGCGGGATAAGTTTGGCATGTCTGCCAAAGCAAAGAAGGAACAGGAAGCCGAAAACAAGGAGGAAGGGGAGGAAGTTGCCGAAGTCGAGTCGATGGACGAGGAGCTCAAGATCCAAGAAGAGTTGCAACGGTTGAAAGAGCAAGACTCGAAGGAGAAAAGAAAGGCACGCCGGAAGGAGAACGAACGAAAACGAAAGGAAATCATACGTATGCAGATGCACATGACGACTCCGCATGATATCGGATTGGAGCAGGAAGGCCCAGCAGGCGAAGGAGCCATGTTTACGCTCAGGGCCGCCAAAAAGGTCCAGGACCCAGCGAAGATTGACGGTGCTGGCATGGACGAAGTTGACATTGAGGAGTCGGAAGATTCGCAGGCCGAATCGGAAGATGAAGATTCAGATGACGATGGAGACAGGCTAGAAAGGGAGCTCGATATGCTGTACGAATCGTATCAACGAAGACGAGAGGAAGCGGACGCAAAACTACGTGCGAAGCGCGCCCGCAAGGAAAAGGAGACCGACGAATGGGGCGGCTTGTCAGACGAGGACAAAGCCGGCGATGCAACTACTGACGGAGAGTCCGACGTTGACGACGAGTTTCCTGCGCGTCCGCTCCCGAAGGCCGAAGGCCTTTCTACTCAAGCAGCCATGTTTTTCGACCAGGATATCTTCCAGGATCTTGGTATTGAAGATGACAACGACAACGACAGCGCGATCGCCTTGGAAGACGAATCTTCCGACCAGGCGAAATCACAATCCCCGCCAGCCAATGGTGCCGGTGCCTCTCAGGACAAACAATCCAAAACACTCAAGTCAGCTCTGAAGAAACCAACGGCATCCACTGCCCAGCAACAGAGACAAACAAAAGTCTACGAGGAATCAGACTCAGAGTCCGAGTCGGAGACTGTACCGAAATCATCAGGCACAGCCTCTCGACCAGAAGACCCTCTCCTGCCCAACGGTCAATTAGACATTGACATCATCACAGCGGAGGCGATGACGTTGGCACAGGACCTAGCCACAAGGCGCACGAAACCCGGCGAACTGGTAGACGACAGTTTCAACAAATTCTCGTTCCGCGACGTCGACGGCCTGCCCGAATGGTTTCTCGAGGACGAGGCACAGCATTCCAAGCCTCAGCGACCGATCACGGCCGCCGCAGCCGCGGCGATCAGGGAGAAGCTACGTGCTCTGAACGCGCGACCGATCAAGAAGGTTCGCGAGGCCAAGGGCCGCAAGAAGATGCGCGCCGCGGCCCGGCTGGAGAAGTTGCGCAAGAAGTCGGCGCTGCTGCTCGAGGACGAGGGGATCAGCGAGAAGGATAAAGCTGCCAGTATCAGCAGGATGATGGCGCGTGCTGCCAAGAAGGGCCGTCCGAAAGAAAAAGTCAAGCTCGTTGTTGCAAGAGGACCGAACAAGGGTCTCAGCGGCCGCCCGAGGGGTGTCAAGGGGAAATATAAGATTGTGGATTCCAGGCTGAAAAAGGACGTGAGGGCCGAGAAGCGGTTGAAGAGGAAGCTGAAGAAATGAGGCATACCTAGCATAGACACTACTGGCAGCTCACGTCAGCTGTCTGGCATTGGCAGAATCTGATCTTTACTTGGCTATATCAAATGTAAACGCTTTTATTCCCGGAATAGACAGAGTACGAGATATGAGATTGCCGCAACATACGAAAGCGTACCTGGCGGGTGCCTGCGTAAGTCTCATTCGGCGTGTAAGCTGGAGCGTACCTAGGTAGTGTATGCACTGCTCTTGATCGTCAGCGCAGTGCATGATTTCCACAGCCTCGTCCCCTATCCTACTACTCGATCATTGGCCTTTTTGTCCGTGGCCGAATCTTAGAGCGGGAAGTTCTCGTTCTCAGTGAGTATTATGATCTGCTTGGAATATACCTATATACGCTGAAGCCAATCACAGCTCCTTATTAAGTTATTTGATTTACGCTCGGAATTGGGTCCAGCCCATATTGTTAGTTTCGATCCTTCCACCACCACGATATTTGTTTCCAACCGGTCCAACCACAGCGTCTTGATCGTCTAGGCTACTGGTATCCCATCGTCGGTTGAATGCCAGTACAGTGTGGGACGTCGCAAAGCGGTAGCTGACTCGTAATGTTCAGTCGGCCAAAGGCCATTCCGCTGCAGACTCGAATAACGCACGGCTAGCCAGCGGATGCTTGATCTCTTCTGATGATCTTTGTTGAGCCTAGCACGGAGCAGTGCCTGTGTGTAGGGCAGAGGCACGATGCCATGAAAGGAGAAGCCCTTGTGTCTGAAACCCGTGGGACTTTTGTTGGTTGTTGCGGAGCCCGTGGTGTCCGAGTCCGAGTGCGAGGCTGTGGGGCGCTGCTGTCGGTGCACTCGGTGCTGCCCTGCCCAGCCTTGCTGACTGTGTGTGGAGGCTCCCCAGGGCCTTTTTGTTCCACCTCGATATACTTATGATGGGAATCTGCCCCAGATTGCCATTGCTGTTGTTGTCCCCGCTGAAAGCAGTCACTTGTCCAACACTCAACCTTTGCTCCAGCCAGCACTCAAGCGACCAAACCAGCCACTCTTCCCCGAAATGTCCTTGTCATCATATTTATCCAACTCACTGCCATCGCCCGAATATCCAATATAATCTCGATTGTCGTCAATGATGCGGCCATATTCCAAGAGCAGCCGAAACATATAAACCTCGATATCTTCTCTTCTGAGGACTTTGTTGGCCCACTCGCGCCCTTGGAGGGCGAGTTTTTGAGCCTGTTTGTCATGTCGTGCAATGCGCACGTCCGGGTTGGTCTCTTCACCCTCAGTGGCATACTCGACCCCAGGGTATCCGTACCCGGTAAAGTAGGTCATCAATGCATATAAATCGTCATACCGGTTGTCGACCGGCACAAAATGTCTCCAGGCGAAAAGCCGACTATCGTGCCATTCACGGAAGATGGTTGCTTTCAACCCCAGGCTTTTGCTCTCTAAGAACGCACGCCAGCGGCCCGAGAATGAGTGGCCGTCCACATCGATCAAGTATTTGGACTTGAATTGTGCGCCGAGCGAGACCTGTGGCTTCCACGAGAAGACGGTGTCGTAGAAGGAACAGTCGGGCACGCATCCCCAGGATTCAACGAATCCAATGTCCGAGTGCTGCTCAGCGTATTGTGATGGCTGAAATTTGTCATAGGGTTCGTACGTATACTTTGTATTCCCATTCCCCTTCTCCCTCAACACCTTTACTTCTTTGCCCGACTGTGCCAAATGTGTGCCATTGAAGAGCTGCACCAGCCTTTGTCGATGCATCGTCTGCCAGTTGTCTGCTGTCTGGACTCCGCCAGAAGTGACACCGCGCCAGATGATCCGGTTCCGTTTATCCTGCCAGTCGAAGTCCTCCGAGGGATCATAATCGTACCGGTCGTCGTGTCGATAATACATGTTGGCAGGAAACAGGATGTCACTGTTGACGTTCACCTTACATTCCCCAAAGATGGGCACCAGCTTGTGGGAGGCGATGATGCTGCTGGCTGAGTACAGCAAGCCATGGAGGTTTTGGATCGTTGGTCCGACCGTGCAAAGATCCGACGACAGATTAAAGTTGCTGACGAAGCCTACGGTTGATTCTTTGTACAGCTTGTCAGTCTCGTCAACGGTCATGTGTGACCGAGCAGGAGATCCTGGCGGGCAGGCTTTCGCAGCGATATCCATGTACTGCTTGCCGGGAGCGAAGAACCACCCATAGTCCGGAACGGTCGAACTGTCCTCTGTTTTATCTTCGGGCACGACATCCACGGGGTTTGATTCTTCTCTTTCCATAAATTTGGTGTCGGCCACAGCAACCAGCGGCATCACTTGGTCCTTGGAGAAACTGTCTATCGCTTCAGGAGGCATTTTGCGAGCCTCGTACTCCTGTTGCAGCAATTTTTGCATATCCTCCCACGGCACCACGACACGCGGCTGATCCAACCTGTTCATTGCAATGTCCATGTCCGGGAGGTGCTTGATGAAGGTGTTGATCATCTCTACCATGGTCTCGGACCTCCAGCTCCCATTGTCGACGCCGACGACTTTGTGATTGCGGATATGGATGACAGCGACGCCGAACTTGGGATCATCTGCCATGTGCGCAGCCTGGGAGCGAATCTCGGCTGGGGGAATGGCCCAAAATGGACGAAGGTCGTCCATGATCTGCTCAAAGTCGTCGAGGTTGAAAACATCCTTGTCGCGCGCAAAATTGTACCAATCTTTGAAGCCAGGGGGCGGATGTCTGCCATATTTGCTCCTGTATTTCTCCACCACCTGTCCGAAGGTTGTAGATCTTTCAGACTCGTATGTCCTCCATCGTTTATCGGCTTCTTGCATCAACCGCTCGATAGGATGGAGAGGCCCCTGCTGCGCAGGCTTGGGACTGGGAGAAGGCGAAGATTCCGCCTCATGATCCAACGATTCGTCGGGCTCGGGCTCGGGCTCGGGCTCGGTGGGAGGCTTATGCGCGGTCGGCCTCGATGGCTTCGGAAGGGAAATGTGAGACGCGGCATCTTTGAGGCTATTGCCATCGAACAGTGTCAGGCCATGATATAAGATAACAAAGGCTAGAACTGCCGCCAGCAGCAAGAATGTTCGTCGCTTGTTGATCTCGATGGGACCCATTGCGCCGGGGGTGGAGTTGGGTCACTGATGCATGAAGACCAAACCGAAATCCAGGAGACGCCCAAGATCCAAGAAAAATACGCCAATACGGTTATGAAGACATGGATGCCATACAATGCTGGTGGTTGAATAGAGATCCAAGATATGGCAGATAAATCGTAAGGGGCCTGTGCTATGTGCTGCAGGAATTAACCCGGTCCAAGTTTGCCTTCCATGTGCGAACTTGCAGTTAGGTGGCAGCGAGCTCCCAGTTCCCGTTGCAGCGCGGCAATCTGGGAATTTGCGCCGTGTGCCGCGCGTGTCAAACCGTATCGCCAGCGCCGCTAATGAGCATACGAGTATCTTGCGTCAGCCGCTCAGGCCATCAGTTACCATTCCAAAGTACCAACCATACTACTCTACCACTGTAAAACTATTTCAATTATCATCAACGAAGTGAAATACCACAAGGAGCAGCTTCTGGTTCAACTTGAAGTTGCAAATCTCGTCAGGAAAGGCGCAATTTTAATTGGAACATCCTCCCTACTACTAGTATCGATTGTTTGATTCAGACCCAATCAGACACGCGCTGATTAGCACACAGATAATTCTTCTGCCAGTGCTTTTTGGTCACCCTTCAATGGCTCTGCCCCTAATGATAACCCCTTGATGTAACATCTAACATCTGCTTGTACATGTACATTATTTATTTACTGTCTTGCACGGTACTTCAGTCGCTGCTGGATTTGACTGGAACGTCTGTTCCCTCCTTCGATGACATGGAGAATAGTCGAAGCGGAAGTGCTAAATTGAATGGCGGATATGTCCCGTCCCCAAGTGTGCTTCAATTTCTCGAATCCTGACTCTACTGGGGTCCATTTACATGAATCAGAACCATGACGCGCATCAGCACTAATTCCAGCAAAATTTAGAATATACAGATGTCTGACCCGACTGTCTGGTAAGCGACGTCGCTGTACACTTGCCAGGAGTATCACGACAGCTGAGGCTCGGGGAATTTGCGGGGTACCTTTCCCTAGTTGTAAGTGTTGATGCCATCCCGAGGCACATTGAACACATCGGGGGCCACAACTACTAAATGTGTACTAATTTGACAATTGAACCGCGCGATCGTTGAGGGATTCTCGAACTACCTCCGAAATTCTTACTGACTTGTTCGAGACCATGGCCACCACGAACCAAGCAAAGGCTGGCCAGTTGCACTTCCTCTTTGTCCGCCATGGCGAGACCCAAGACAACATCGACCGTGTGCTCCAAGGCCACCGAGACACCGACTTGACCGACAAAGGACGTCGCGAAGCAGAAATATTAGCAGACAAACTGCGTGACCAGCATATCGACGCCATATATTACTCGCCGCTCAGCCGCATCGTGACGACCATCACGCCCATTCGCGCAGGCCGGGCAAACGTCCAGGTCTACCCCGACGAGGATCTCAAAGGTCAGGCACTGGGCCAGTTGGAAGGACAGTCTTACGACACAATTGACATGGGCAACCCGAGAAGTGCGGACGGTCAGCCGGGGGTGGAACTATTCGATGATTTTGTCCGGCGGCTCAAGAGGGTGTTTGCGCGTATTGTCGGCCAACAGGCTCTCCAGGTCGGATCACAGGATCGTACCGTCATGATCGCCACGCATGGGGTAGGCATCACCTCCCTTTTCAAGGCTCTCGAGGCCAGCCCATCATGCCAGGGCTTTAATCCCAAGCTCGCCACTCGAGGTCCAAATGCTTTTGAGGTTCGGTGGACGGACAGCGACGATGTTGCTCGGCTGGTCGTTCCGGACCCAACAAGTCTACCCATCAAAGATGGTGAACTAGACTGGTCCAGCGTTAAGGGTCAGCCGTTCTTGATTGAATATTGGGGCAAGAAAGAGAAGGCATTATGATCGCTCTGCGGTTTACATACCTAGGTATACATTTAGAGTACAAATCGGCCATGGCAATGCGGAGCACAGGACATGTCTCCTCAGTGTCGGTAGTTTCCAGGTCTCACCTAAGTCCCTTCAAGTCCCGCTGCGATCACGAGTTCGTCGCACATGTAAACTGTACAGTGCATGGGCCAGAGCAGGCATTACAACTTGAACAGTAAGGTCATGAATGTGTCGAAGCTGGTAAGGGACAGGGCCGTCGCGGGTCGCGGCAGGTCTGGAGAGCTAAGAGCGGCATGATGATTAATCCTGAAGAAGAAGAGGTTGAGGTTGAACTGCGGCTTCAGTTTCCAGCTGCAGCGAGCGATCTTCAATTTTGCTTGGCGCCGACTTCGACCTCAAAGTTGAGGTTCAATCGTCGAACCGGCACAACTGGCCCGGGCAACTCACGGTTGCGGTGCTGCATTCGAACGCTGAAAAGAACCCCCTTCTTTCCAGTGTCTGCAGCGACTATGCCGCCACGATTGTCGTTGCGGCTCCTGCAGCCCAGACCGGCCCCTTCTGCCTCGAGATCTCTATACGACACTATCGCCTCTGTAACAACAATTCCCTCCTTTCTTCTCCCGTTCCTCCACGTCCAATCCCGAAATGCGTCCATCCTCAGCTCACTCTCCGATACGCCAGGCGCATACAACCGACGCATCAGACGCGGACGAGGTCCGGCTTCAGGCAAAGGAGGGAAGTCAGGGCGTGGCTCGGACGGACAGAAACAGCATGGCAAAGTACCGACGGGCTTCAATGGAGGCCAGACGCCCGACCACATAGTCCATGGCAAATATGGCTTCAAAAACTTGTCAGTCACGCACAACATGACTCAATACCCTTGAACGCAGTCATGGCATTGCTAACATATAATCTAAATTTCCACAGACACGCGACGGAAATGTCCCCCATTAACCTTGGCCGCATACAATCCTGGATTGATCAGAAACGGCTCGACCCTTCACAGCCCATCACATTGTTGGAACTTGTCCGGTCGCGCGCCTTACACGGGATCAAAGATGGCGTGAAACTTCTCGGCGACGGTGCCTCCGAGCTGAAAACGCCTGTTCATATCATTGTGTCCAAGGCATCGCAGTCTGCCATCGCGGCCGTCGAAGCTCTCGGCGGCACGGTCACTACGCGCTTCTATACTCCCCAAGCGATACGCCGGATCCGGCTGCAACAGATGCACCCCTTCATTTCATTGCGGTGGGACCCTCTGGCGCTGAACAAGCCCTCTTTAGCCGTCCATGGAGGCGAGTCGCTGAAAGACCGCGTTTCGGGCATGGGCTACGAATACCGCCTACCGGACCCGACGTCGCGTAAGGATCTCGAGTATTACCGAGACGCCAAGAACAGGGGTTACCTGAGCCACACGGTGAAAGAGGGCGAAGGTGCAAGTCTGTACTTCAAGCCGCCTATCAGCGAGGAGGAGCTGAAGGCGCTGAAAAAGAGAAGCCATTCAGGCAAGGCTGGCCAGGCTGCCAAGGCCAAGGAGGAGAACAAACTGTGGTAAATGGAGATCTAAAGATGAATATCAATGGCGTTTCATGGTTCTGTGTGGTCTAAGTCTGCGCAGCAACCTCTTCCGAGTTGCTTTGTTTCATCGGCAGTGGTCCTCGATATTGGATTCCGGTGCGGTGGACATGGGAAAGTGAGGGTTGTCGGTTGTCTATCGAACACCAGCATCCCACGGGCAAATTGTTTGACCGTGTATCACACTGTTATATCACCCTTTCTTCATCCCCGCCATTTCCCCGCCGTCCGGTGCATGAAGATCTCGAGACTTGGAAGAAGGTATCAAAAGAAAGAAGAAAAGGTGTCTGTCAGACCAGAGCGCGCTCTTATTATACTCTCTGCTTCTTCTCTTCGCGGAACAGAGCGTGTAAGGAGGCCAAGACTCAGCCTTTGCCGGACTTTAACTCGGCGCAGCACGAACTGTAATGGCCCCCAAGTGGTTTTCTCATCCTTGTGATCATGGCAGCTGCAGACAAGACCAAAGCCATACATACCATACTACCGTTTGCCATGCCTATCTAGGTATATTTTGATGGTCTTCGTCATCCACAACTGAGGCCGCAACAACGATGGATTCATGCTTGAACATCAGAACTAGGGTCATCTCATTCTGCTATGTCAGAATCTCCTTTGGGCTACCAGTACTACTGCAGTGGTTTCTAGTACCTGGCCCAAACTTTTCAAATGCCTGTTCTTGTACTTACATATCTAAGGCTCGGGCCGGAGAAAAGAAGCTGGATTCTGATAGTGTTGGCTGGGTAGGGATTATAGGTACCCACCTATCTACCTAGGTAGGTAGTCATTAAATTTGTATATACGTCTGTACAACGTTGTACAACTGAATGTATAACTGGAAGTCAATTGAATCACAGTATTATACTAATGGTTGTTTCGCGAAGCCCAGTAGATTGTACTGTGCTGTATATTAAGGTCGTGGACCAACCCAATATAATAAAGCCTGCAGTGAGGTGCAACCAGTGTGGACATCCATGTATTTCGTGTGTTTTTATTATATCTAACAAAATGAACCAGATCACAATCTTGTAAGCAACCACATCCGTACAACGGCCACACTGCATCCCACTACTGGCATCGATTACATTATACTACCCTCGCAGAGTGCGAAAATAAACAGGTTCCAGATTGGACATGGACAGTAATACGTATGCATTGACTCAGACAGCTCAACCTTAGGTACTTGTTGGTTTCCAGCTTAAGCATACCTAGTTAGGTCCATAATACCACAACCCCAAGTCCAAGACCAATGATACTACAGGTGTCTGGATACCACTGCAGGTAGTAGTTCTCTGGGAACGCCTTCAGATTAACCTATAAAAACTAACGACAACAACCAACCATCCTTCAACTCAAGGGTCTTGGAATCACTGCCGTGCCACCCCAAGCCCGAGGAGGATCAAGATCACACAACCGACGCTCTTCCCATCCCGGTCCCGTCCCGACTTGGACATCAACTAGGGATGATAATACAACAAAATACAAGACGGCAACTTGAACACCCAAGCCAGGCTGCTGCGGACTGCAAACCAGTGGCAACACCATGAATGAAATCATGGTGTGGGCCGGCTTATAGGTAGGTACCTAGGTAGGTACCTTAACTAGGTAGGTATGCTTTGATTTTCTCATTCTCTGGAAACATCACGGCCAAAGAACTTGGCCTTGGTCCAGTCGAAAGCGACGAGGATACGGTTTCGCGCTGTAAAGAAGATATCAAGTCAGCAAAGAGAACTTGGGTATAAAAATTTGTGAGAGTGCAAGGGCAGGATAGGGCACTCACCGCTGAAGCACATGCTCAGATATGCGCTCTTCCAGAACAGATATGTCAGCGTGCCGCCCGAGGCAATGTTGCCGCTGAACCAGGAAACATCGGCCACTGCCTTCTCGGCGCCAATGTACGCCAGAGAGCCCTGGTGGGAATACTGGAAGGGTCCAATCTGCTTGATGCGCCGGAGTTGTCTCTGGCGCTCGCGGATTTCGTTGAGAATGGCGTTGCGTTCGTCGCCCGTGGCAGCGGCCTGTTTGGCGGAGAGTTCACGGAGCTCAGCTTCGATGGCGTCCGTCTTGGCCATAGTATTAAACAGCCTGGCCAGGAAAGCACCTTCCTGTGCCGCCACCTGGGCAGTGGGCGCGTAGTTGGCGACAGCACAGTCACCCACAGCCCAAATGTTCTCGGTGCCGTTGACGACTAGGTACTCGTTCACCTCCAATCCTCGACGAGCTTTGGCCTGAGCTGGAATTTGGGACATCAGGTCCTTGACCACGGGGCGCAATGCATTGCCCGTGGCCCAGACCAACAAACCATAGGGGATCTTCTCAATTTGCTTGGTGCCGTCCGGCTGCTGCACTTCCGCTTCGATGTACTTGTCAGTGACGTTCTTGACCATGGTCTTTGTGCGGATTTCAATGTGCTCTTCCTTGAAAGAAGACTCGGTGTATTCAATCAGTTGCTTGCTGAACATGGGCAGAAGGTTGGGCAGCGCTTCGACGAGGGTGACGTGGAAATCGTCCTTGATCTGAGGAACCCATTTGAGAAGATCTTCCTGGAAGAAATCCTGCAACTCGCCAGCGAACTCGACACCGGTTGGACCGCCACCCACGACCACCATGTGCAGCAGACGCTTGACCTCTTCGGGCGGTTGGTCCTTGAACGTGGCAGTTTCGACACAGTCCATGATACGCTTGCGGATCTTCTGGGCATCCCCGACTTCCTTCAAGAAGCAAGCATGTTCGCGAACACCCGGGATGCCAAAGGTTGCATTTTCAGCCCCGACGCCCACCACCAGCATGTCAAAAGGGATCTCTGTTTCCATGGTGTCGCCCTTGATTTCCGAATTATCTTTGACATGGACGACTTTCTTTTCGTAGTCAATTTTGGTACATTCGGCCTCGTAGAATGTCACCTTGGCCTTCTTGTGTCGCAGGATATTCCGGATCGGCTCCATAATGGATCGATGCTCGATGGTACCAGTGGTGCAGGACGGGAGGAGCGGCGTGAACAGGAAGTAGTTTCTGGGCGAGACGACCACGACATTGTAGTTTTCCGTATCCAAGTTCTTGAGCAGAGATACCGAACCCCAGCCAGTACCTGGAAATGGGTCAGTCAGGAAAATCAGCGGCACAAAGGCCAGTCACACACGCACCGAGAATCACCAGTGTCTTCTTGTTTGGGTCCGGATCGGCTTGCTCAATGGGATTGTTGTGCTCCCAGATCTTGTAGCCGGTATACCCAGCCGCGGCAAGCAGAGAAAGATATGTTACGCGCCATATCGTGCGGAAAAACCTGAAGCGCTTCTTCGGCTTCGCGGCCGGGGACAGGATCGCTTGAGGGGCTTGAGGGGCGGCATTTTCAGCATACGTCCGCCGAAAGGATTGCCGGAAGACAGCTCGAGGGAGGATAGGTGATTGTCGCGAAACGAAGGGAGAAGAGGCTGTTTTGCGGACGGAGCTGGAAGCTAGAGAAGCCAGCGACCTGCGTGACGCACTTGCGAAGCTGGCGGGCTTCATGCGCAGGGGGAGTTTGCTTGCCATGACGGCAACGGGTTGGTGAAGGACAGCTTCACGGGAGGTTCATTAGGGTAAAAAATGGTAAAGAAGAGGTGTTGAGATAAAAGGTAGATGACTCAGGGAATTGAGATGGCGTTCAAGTTGATGTAACTGATGGAGATATTTTTTCTTTGCGCTGCAGCTACTTTTACAACAATAATAAAATAATGACGCTACGCGGCAGTATTTATTAGAGTTTCTTTCAAGGTGAGCGACCACCAACTCGAACCGTGACTGGCACACGAGGCGAACGACTTGGATTCGACATTATTCAAGCTTTATTATTCGGCCCACAGGAATAGAGAGCTGCCACGGGCGCGCTTCCTTAGGCGGTCGAGTGGCCCGTATCTGAGCTGGGTATTTTATTCACCCGGACCACGTCTTCCGGCCCATAGTAACGCCTTACTAGTAGGTAGTAGTAGCGATGCTGCCAGCAGTATCGACGTTCAAGTTCTGCGCCAGTCCGGTCGGCGGACACCCTGTGGGGGCTGAAATCAATATCGGCGCTGCTCCGGTGATACGGCGTAGAGGTCTTTGGTCTCGGACATCGATTCGCGAGCCTCAAGTGGCGTCGATAAGCGACCCAGCGCAGTCCATTCATCATTTGCAGTGGTCGCAGGCCAGCCGCGCCGGGCGATGGGAATCGCCCAACAACACAATACAACTTAGTTTGAAACAGGCGTAACTATCCGCAGGTGCTTGACACCTACCAGTAGCTTTGCCTGGTGGGTAGCCGGGCCGGTGTAGTAGATAGGTCCTGTTATATAGCAAGGCACAAGTACAATTGTACAAACAATAGCTCGATACCTCAGGAGTGTCGCCATATGGCCCAGAGAGGAGTGGCGCCATCGTTAACAGAGTCACCGGAGAGGACACAAATTGCGCCTAGGCATGCCTAAGGTACCACCTATTACTTAGGTACAAGAGCCAAGTTGAAGATGGCATACCTTTTCGGGGCCAGTCCGTGGTGCTCCTTACGCCTGTCATAAGCCCAGCCTGAATAATAGGTAATGCCATCTAGGTGAATGCTAGGGGCTATTGAGGCTTGTCTTTTTCTATTACGATAGGGGCATACTAGTAAGGCGCCATTTCGGAAACATGGAAGATTCTGAACACCCTAAGCTCTGACAATAATCACGACGATATACGACACACGGCTCTTCAAGTTTGTAGGGACCTAACCCCCTTGTACCTACCTACAACGTTCCGAGCTGGGCGAAAGGAAGGCATTTGGTCCGCCGGCTCAGGTAGAGGCTAGGTAAGAACACACTACTTTTAGTAGTACTAGTATTGTATGCATCTCCTCAGTCGGAGGGCTGTAGGTAGGTCGTCTAGTACTACTGTACACCGAACAGTTTGGTTTGTCGTGGATATACTGTATAACCAAGCCTGATCCAGCTCTACGTACTTCCGGATCTACCATCACTGCACCAGAAATATGCTGCCAAATCCCCCCAAAGAATTATCCCCGCCTCTATCCTGGAAGGTGTCGAGTATTTTGAACAGGTTGATATGTGGTATGGATCAATCGGTCATTCAAGAACTAAATCAGCCAATGGGTCATTCATTCACTCAGTCAATCAATCAATCAAGCCATGCCTCCGCCGTGTCCGGCCCTTTTCAATGTACCTAGCAAGCCTTGACCCATCATCCAGAAACCCCAGAAATCGGCTTATGCTGCCTTGCCTGAACTTGCAAGAAATCGGAAAGGTTCCCATGCCTCGTCGAGACGTTCGACGTGACCAACGTGCCGGATTGACACTTTTTGAATGCTGTTGACCAGATCTCCTACCACCGTATATCCAGGCGGAGTTGCTCCATCCAAACATACCAGGGGCGTATCAACAAGTCTCTCATCAGCCCTCCAGCGACGCCGTTCGACATCCGTACCCGAAGTAGTCCAAACTTGCATCAATACAGTGTGTTCAAAGGGAGTCTGCCGCTCATTCTAAGTTTCATCAGTTTTCTCGGCCTTCTCCTGGGTCTTGTGGGTCTGCTGTGTTTCCTGTTGGCTGTCATGCGTTTCGGGAGTCTTCTGTTTTTCTTGAAGAAGCTTCTCCGCCTCGAGTTTCCCTTCAGGTGTGAGTTCAGGTCCCGGTTCTTGGTCCTCTTCCTCCTGTTCTTGGATCACCATATCTCGAAGTTCTTCCGAATCTTGATCTGACACGGCTCCCTCTGCGGCTATGCCGGAGTTGCGACGAGCTTCTCCAACAATCATCTCGACCTCGCTGATTGCTGTCTTGTCTTTGGTTGCCTCGCTTTCCACCCCAATGTCGATCTTGGTGTTTTGCTGCAGTTTCTGGGGGTCGAACCGGACCACCATGACCGACAAGTTATCGGTGGAAAACCGAGCCAGAGCGTGATCGACCAGGATTTTCGAGGCAGCCTGAGGGTCTTGGACATTACGGATCAAATCCACTGCCTCTTGATCGGAGCAGACATCCCAAAGCTAAGATCACAGGTCAGCGAATGGCACGATTGCAATCCGGAGAGACAAAAACTTACCCCATCGCAAGCCAAAATCAGGAATTCATCTTGTTCCGGTTGGATGACGGTCTCAGTAGTGTAGGGATGGCCAGTGACCAAATCTTTGAGGTATGAATCACCCAAAGCCCGAGTCACAGCCAAAACTCCGTTGACACGGTTGTTGAGAATCAAACCGCCTGCTTTGGAGATACGGCGGCCTTCATTCTCATCCATTCCTTTATGGTCGTATGAGAGACGCAGGGCTTTGCCATTTCGACATAGGACAATGCGTGCATCCCCTACGTTAGCCGTATACAACACCCTCTGCCGTGTAGCCTTCTGCTTCGCTTGTTGAATCGCCGCCGCCGCCGCTTCGGCCGTCGAGTTGGACCGCGGTGTCGCATCCTTATCCTTGGCTTCCTGAGGATTCTCGTTCTTTTCCGCTTCTTTTGCCGCGGCTGCAGCCAATGCTGCAATGGCTTGAGATCCTGTTGCCGAGTGGTTGGTGGGCACCCGATCTTCCCAGCGCAGCACTGCAGTAATAGCCGTACATCCACTGTTCTTCAGGGGCAGCCTCTCCAATTGGTTGTCGGCCATGGTATACGTCTGATCCAGTAATTCGGGAACAGGAACATTGGGATGCTTGCGCATGAGGTCTTCCAAAAGGACGTGGAGTTTCTTTCCACACCATTCGGCCGCGAAGGTACCAGCATGTCCATCGAAAATGGCAAAGTATCCATTGTCCGTTTCCACCACATGTTGCTCCGAGTCCGAGGGCACGGTGGTCAGACTATTTCGAGAGTCTTTAGTTTTACTCCTAGACAACGATGTGTTGGAGGAGGCCAACACAGGCGCGGGAGTGCCCAGGAAGTTGTAGAGGTAGGAGTGGGTGTCTTCCATCGTGCGACGACATTTCTTGTTCTTGTCTTCCGTAACTCCCACCAAGAAGGAAGAGTTGGGGGTCGGTTGCGACTCGCCGGCGGAATTGTTGTTGGAGCCCTGGGGAACACTAAGCGCAGGATCGGTCCTGGCGAGTTTCTGCATCGGTGTTAAAGGACCGTCCCTGTCGCCGTGGATCAGGGAGTTTTTGGCCTGCGTGAATATCTCCTTCGCCTTGGAACTGCTACTCCGTCGTTTCTTGCTCGCCTCGGTATTCGGCGACGGTGCCTTCTCTTCTTGTGCGCTGACGGGTGACTTCGGGCTCAGATCGCTAGTCTTGACTGTAATGCCGCTGGTCGGAGATGATGGTTTCTCTCTATTGCCGTCGGCGCCGGTGCCAGCAGGTGTGCTCTCCGAGTCCGCATCCCGGTCTTTTCTGCTTCCAAACACGCTTCTCAAGAACCCTCCATGTGTGGAGGTTCTCCGTTCGGTTGTGCCAGCCAGTTTGAAGGTTTATGCGTCTCACAGGCACAATGATTGATCGAGAGGACTCGGGCGACGTGACCGTACGGCTGGAGGTGACGCGAGCGACAGCGCAGGCAATTGACTCCCCGCCTGACTCTGCGGAATTCGGCCGAAAAGGCCAAGGCAGTTGTCAAAGGAAGAACCCGCCACAAAGAAGGTCGTGAGACGAGAGCCGTAAGCGGAAGAGGAGTTTCAGAATGGAGGTGCGAAAGGATGACGGATACTGGTTGACAAGAGTTGACACCAGATGAGAAGTTGGTATGAGGGGTGGAGAGGTGACCAGCGTGTGTATCAGTGTGGTCAGTGGCGCGCGGTACAGGACGGTTGATGATGGCGCAGGAGGGTCTAGCTCTGAAGCAGTAGTGGGTGTCGAGCCAGGTATGAAGGGGAGGCGGCTAGACTGCTGTGTAAGGAGGGTTGGGATGGCACTGGCAGCAGATGAGGATGGTATGGTGGTGCTGTGGTTATGTTGGAGCTGGCGGTTGAGTTCGAGGCGGTGGTTGAGGGCGGAAGGGTTGGCGCAGTGCAGGGCAGGGCAGCGCAGTTGCAGTGATGGATGGCTGTGGGGGAGGGGAAATGATGCCTGCAGCTGCACAAACTATGGAGCGTTTTAGACAAGAGAATTGCTTAACAAGGCGCCTAAAGGCAAAATGGCCGGGCACGCAATTATGGCAAATCCAGGGTCCAACAGTGCCTATCAGCACTAGGCTGGTGCCTACACACACGTAGTACATTGGCATCTAATTAATTGTGGTTCCTCAGCCGCTTGCCTACAAAATGTACATTGTCCTACTAGCACTGCTCCTACTTCGGCGAGTGAGCTCTGTGCCGTTGTATCGTTCAAGTTGTCCGCTCACTGCTCTTGTGATGGGTTGCTTCATTCGATGACCAACCACCTACTCTCCCCTTCCTTCAGTCTCCGTGAAGTCGCTAGGTACCCTCGACTTGAACCCTGTCAGGCCGGCCTAAGCCCCAAGGACGTGGGAGGGAGCCCCCTCGGCCCTGTCAAGAAGCTCTGATTGCTCCGCCTGCGCTAGTCGTGCCTGGCCGCGTCCACCGGAAATATGTTCTTTGGCGCCGGGGAGAGAGGACCCCGTTCTGGATGAATGCGAATACCTATCAGGGGCGGGTTCAAGTTATGTACAAGCGAGCTACCCGGCCGAGGAGATTGACTTTCACCGGCACGGCTACTGTTAAGACTCCACGTTCACTGCCACGCTGGAGGGTTCGTCTTCCCTGCAAGAACACTGGCTTCGGCTTCGGACCCTGATATCCCATATAGCCTCGCCCACATCGTCCACCCTACGTGGGCCTCTTTACGTCTCGCCTCCGTAAAATCCGAGACTTGGCTTAATACAGACTCCAAAGCATCTTCAAATATCCAGGATGATCAATTGCTACATGGTCATTCAAGTTGTATTCAGTATCTGAAAGAATGGAGAGAGCAAGTGGAGAGAATGAAGCACTGCCAGAAGACGCTCGCTCAACCCGACACTCCGTCACGCTCAAACTCACAATCTCATGCCGCCTGCGAAAGGATTATGTTGCTTTTTCTTCAGCTTGCGTATGCCCCGACTGCTCCTGGCGGTCCTTCCAGGTCGATACTCGCGACTCTCCGCCGTGTTTCGGAGGAATCGCGAACCAGGTTTCCAAAGTACTTGCGTGCCACTTCGCTCTCACGCTTGACCTTGGTCACATCTTCCTTTTTCTGCTTCAGCTCCTCTACCCCTCGGGCAAGATCCGCCGTCAGTTGTTGGGCCGGATATCGGAGCACTCTTCGAACTTCGCCGGCTATGCGGTGCGCATTGCTATGTGTATAGTCCATCTCTGCCAGAGTCGCTGACAGTTTTGATGCCAGTCGGGGCGGAAGAGTCTGAGGAATGGTGGACAAGACGTAGGCGACGGTAAGGACGGCTGCAATGGCAGTTAGTATAGAGGACGACGAAATCTTTCAAGGCTGGCAAAGGACACGAGTACTCACCAGCAGCAACAACACCTGGCAAGATCAACCTTCTCAGATTCCGGTTACCAAGAACCCTTGCTGCCCCGAAGGCACCATCAATCCACCCGACGCCACCCATTGCTCTGGAGCCCACGGTTCCAACAACGGTAAGTGCCAGGCCTGTTCCAACGGTCTTCTCCTGCCGCTCCCATATGCTTGCCAAGTCGAAAAAGTCCCAAATGTCTACATCGGTGTCGACGGAACGCACCAACGCGTCTTTCCGGCGTTGGAACATCTTGTCCGCTTGGAAGTTCAGTCTCTCGTAGCTGTCGCCCACGTGTAAGAGACCCAGGGATTTGATCATGCTAACCCCTTCGACGGTTTTGCTTCTCCCGTAGGCTTCGCAGCTAGTGACTGCAGCTGAGATTTGGTCGAGCATGGCGATACGGAGATCTTCGGCAAACTGGAAAGCGGACCATATGCCTGGATACTCGACGCCGTGATCTGCCTTGCCGACATTGGCGATTGTACTCGACAAGGTCGTACGTGTATGGTTGTAAACGTCGGTTGAGGTGGCGTCAATTTCCTTCTCAACCTGCTCCGTTACGGCCACCCGCTGCTTCTGTCTCTCTGCAAACTTGGGCTCGATTTCGGAGAGTTCTTTCGCCACGCGTTCAAGTTCCGCCTGTGCAACGTCCCGGTTCACCGTGGCGAGGACGTTCAGGTCGCCCAAGCAGTTCATTAGGTAAGTCTTGGCCGGAGCCAGCTTCGAGCGCGCTCTCTTCTCCAGGACGAACCTACGTAGAGCTCCCTCAAGCACCTCGAAATCTTGGATCTTCTCCTTATCCTTGCCTTTGCCCTTATCATGGTCGTTCCCACCATCATCGTCGTCACCATCTGGAGGATTCGAGGGCCCGGATCCGCCCGCATCGGCCCCCGAGCCGCTGGGGGCTGGTGCTGGTGCCATGGGAATGGCATTGCTAGACACAAAATGTACCAGCTCCTGGGCCTCTTTAAAGGTTTGGGGACTGAGTTTGGCCAACTGCTCGAGAATCAATTTCTGACATCGCTGCTTATCTCGGATGTTGTCAAAGCCGTTGACTACCATGAAGATGTAGGACTTCTCATGGGCGGCTTGCCATATAAACTCCTTGGCGGATAATGTGAAATGATTGGCGGCGGATACCACGAAGACAACGACGTCGATTTCTTCCTGCCGCGCGAATACTGCAGTTGTCTTGACCGAGTCAGAGTTCAGCCCTGGCGCATCAATCAGTGCAATATCCACGACGCCATTATTTAGTAACGACCGGTCAATGCTCCGGACGTCTCTAATATAGACTTTGCACTGCATATACCGTTCATTATCCACCACAATCTTTTCCAGCTCCTGTAGGGAGTAGCTGTCATATGTGCTTTCGTCATTCCGGTCATAAATTGAATCTTTGTGAACAGCATGTACCTCCTCTACGCCACCATTGTCTTTGGCGTCAAGGACCTCACAGAATATGCTGGTGCATGGCTGTTGATCTTCAGGGAGGATCTTGCGCCGTAAAAGGGCGTTGCAGAATGTCGACTTCCCGGCATTGAGATCTCCGGTCACTAAAACTTTGCTGGAGGTGTCCTCGATGCGGTCCCGTAGAGCAAGCAGATGCCGAACGCTTTGACTGATCTTTCCGTCGAGCAACGAGGCAATTGACTTCTTTTCCAAGGAATGAACAAGCTCCGTCTGAGATAGAGCGCCCACTTTGAGATCCAGTTTGAGGATGGAAAACTCCTGGGCGATCTGTGGCGTGATCAACCGTGGCTCAGCAGTCGACTTCCGCTCAGCCTGCGCGCTGGATTCCGCAGAACTGTCTTCTCCAATCGATGTACCAGCCCTCCGCAATGCTCCAGGTCGGGGGTGTCCGGCCTTGCGCTGGAAGGCTTCCCGTGATAGATCACCCTGGTCTCTCGTCGACTGTGCCTGCGTGAAGGTCGGCCTGCTGGGGTGTACTTCTTCTTCCGGGCGTTGTACGGATGGATAATGAGCTGGCCACTGGGCATTCATTTCTTGTAATTGCTTCAGGAGTTCCATCGTCTGGCCGATCGCCTTCGTCAGCGCGACGCGGTTTTGATTGTAGTACAATTGGTGGACATGGCTGGCCAGGGCACGTTTCTCTGTGTCCGACATTGCTGACGGCCTCCCGTCGACCTGAGGGGTATGGGCGGGCGTAGGTCTGTCTCGGAGCAATTCATCTTCCCATGCGCGCATCTCGCCACCGCGTTGTTGCGCATCGCCCGCCATGCTGCCGTAGCCTGAGTCTCGTTCCAGTTGTTCCATAAGGGCTGCTGCATGAGTGGGCTGTCCTCCAGTGCCCACCGTCATATACTGCGGTCGATATGAGGCGGGCTCACTCGGTGGAGGAGAAGGCATTTCGTCCGGGTTGTTGTTCGGTTCGTCGTATTGGTGTTCTCGCCTCGAGGAACCCTCGCCGGGAAAGTAAGACTGGCTCATCGTCGAAGCGTGCGCGGCAACCTTAATCGTTGAGGAGGGCCTTTAGGGGAAGAATGGGGACATGGACGCCATAACAATGACAGTTGATCGAGTAGGGATGGAATGGAATGGGTTTAGTTGCTGTATGGATGGTGGCTCGCTGACTGAAGTTGGGGGAAGTAGTAATAAAGTTGAAGTGGCTGCAGCCGAAAGTCACGTAACCAAAACTTGCACTTGAAGTGAGTGCAGCGCAGGCCAAAAAGAAAGTATCGTGATCCGGCCGCCGCTCGCCTTTGCCCCGTTTTCCAGCCGCCGCAACTTAACGTCACTGCAGCGACTGGTCAGGGCCGCATCAAGGCCTCCATCCAACACCAACAACTGAACGAGGACATCGTCGCTGTACCGGCACCACTGCGTTAATTGCACCACCATTATTTTTCCTCGGGAGGCTGTGTGATCATCCGCGTGTTTGTGTCCTGCTCCACGCCGTGTGGTGCACCACTTCTTCAACATGAATGTACGCAAGCCTCGCTGAACATCCGAAAGCTGCACCTCGCTGACTTGACTTCTCTCCACAAGATTATAGAATGGGCTTTCGGCAAGCGCATGACGCCGGCGGAGCGACTCCGGAAGCACCAGCGCGCACTGGAAAAGACGCAACGAGAACTCGACCGCGAGCGCGTCAAACTTGAAAACCAAGAGAAGAAACTGGTCGCCGATATCAAGAAGAGCGCAAAGAATGGCCAGATTGGGGCCTGCAAGATCCAGGCCAAGGACCTCGTTCGCACTCGGAGATATATCCAGAAGTTCTATCAAATGCGGACTCAATTACAGGCTATCTCTCTACGAATACAGGTGGGTTTCACATACGGACGGCCGTGCTGTTATCGCGCAATGGTATTGACCGAGAGGGTGATGTGCAGACCGTACGGAGTAACGAGCAGATGATGCAGTCGATGAAAGGAGCGACGATGCTTCTGGGAAGTATGAATAGACAAATGAATCTGCCCGCGCTTCAAAGGATCGCTATGGAGTTCGAGCGGGAGAACGATATCATGGACCAGCGACAGGAAATGATGGATGATGCCATTGATGATGTGACGGGTTTGGAGGACGAAGAAGAAGGAGAAGAGGTTGTCAATCAGGTCCTGGACGAGATCGGCGTGGATCTCAACAATGCTGTAAGCGGTCCCAAACACTTGCTTCTGAGGACAACGATGCTGACCACCTTTCAGCTTGGGGAGACGCCAACTGGCATACAAAAGGCTGCGGTTCCTGAAGGCCGAGTTGCCCAAGCTATAGGCGGAGGAGCCGAGGACGATGATTTACAGGCTCGACTCGACAGTTTGCGACGATAGTCATCACAATCAGCCTGTACTAGTCTCCTTGCATTCTACGAAGCACGGCGCCAGGCGTTGGATTAGAGAGGTTGACACCTGTGCATGAAATTTATTCTGCTTCACCACAGCTCCAGCGAGGATCCTTCCATCAAGTACGCTGCTGATGAGACAGTCCATAAGCAGGTTTGCATAAGGTAAGGTGTAAGGTTACCTTGCTCAGGCAACTACCTATTGTAAAATATAAGATAAATATCCTGCCTGTTCCCTTTCATGAAATGCATGTCCACATCCGCTTCTCCGATGCTGACACCGCCAAAGGCAAAAGAATCCCGAAATGGTCCCCATAATGAATCTAACAATACAGATGCTGTCGACGTACAGAATTACCCCTCCAACAATTCCCTCGAATGCGTAGGCAACTCCATATTCTACAAGAGATGCTTCTACTGCGCGATAACGACAGTGATGGGCTCACCAAGGGGAGCACCGACGTTGGCGTATGCGCCAGCGATGTTTCCTGGTGGATGTTAGTCTAATCAGTGCATCGGCTCCGGTGATGGTACTTACCAGGAGGGTAGTAGTTGCAGACAGTGAAGTACTGCGCATAGGCGGCGTTGGTCAGGCCGTTGGGGCAGTATTGAGTGGCACAGCCGACTTGCTGAGTGCCCTTCCAGACAATCTGCGAGAAGTGGCCCCAAGAAGCAAAGTTGGTGGTATCCACGTTGTTGGAGTCGTATGGGCCGGGGTAGTTGGGCATCTCACGGTTGTACATATCGTTGCCAATCATGCCTGGGACCTGGAGAGGCGTGTAACCAGCACCGATGTTTTGACCATAGCCGCCACCACCAGCGGTGCTGTAGATTATTTGTTAGCAATGATGATCGTGTGCGCTATGACTTCGTTTGTACACTTACATGTTGTGGCCGTAGATGCAGGTTGCGGCAATCTCTCCAGCAATGGTGGCCAAGTTGGTGGACCATGTCAAATCGGTAGCGGAGTGGTTGGCACGGTGAAGGTTGTGGGCTTCGAGAATGCCGGAGATGTAGTTGGTGCCGACATTGACAGTCTGGATGGCGGAGGCTGCTGAGGTGGTGGTGGTGGTAACGAGAGCCGATGTAGTTGTTGTGGCAGCGGCAGTTGTAGTCACAGCGCTGGTCGTGGTGCCAGCAGCACCGGTGGTCGACGACGTCGTAGTGGTGGTCTGCATGATAGGAGATAACACAGCTGTAGTGGTTGTCGTGGCAGCAGTGGTAGAGCTTGCGGCGGGAGTGGTGCTAGAGCTGGTGGTAGTCGAGCCGCCGATGGGGCCGACACCATTGCCGCTGGATGTGGTGGAAGTCGTCCAGCCGGAGGACGTTGTTGACCCACCGATTGGGCCAACGCCGTTACCAGACGAGGTGGTGGATGTAGTGCGAACAGGGTTCGACGTCGCCACCCAGTCAGACCATGGTTCGGGGGTATCGCTGGTTGGAACAGGTCCCAAGACCGTGGTGTACTCGGTGTGAGTCCTGGTGAGCGTGGCGCCGTCCGCCGCATCGTCGTCAGTCCAGTCAACCCAGGCAAGGTCGTTCGTCGGTTGGGCGCCAGTCCAGACGGTCTTGGTAACGGTAGCCCCAGGAGCACCTCCGGTAGGGATGAGCTCAATGGCAATACCGGTCTTGGTCGTCAGGTATCCCTCGGTGGTGTAGACAACGACAATAGGACCGGCCTTGGTAATGGTCCTGGGACCAGTTGGGGCGGCATTTTGGGCAGGACCGACGCCGCCCGTCTTGGTGTAGATCTGAACGCCCTCTGCTGGAGAAACAGGAGTGACGCGAACCTCCCCATTGCAAGGGCAGTACTGCACTGTCCTTGTCTGGGTCTCGGTGACGGTGGTGTCCTGTTCGGCCGACCAGTCAAGCCAAGAGGCAGCCGCGTGCCCGCTGGCGGCGAGCACAACGAAGGCCGATGCAGAGACCTTCATTTTGAACTGGCTGGATCGAAAACCAAACAGCGAGTCTCGAGAAGGATGAAAGAGGGAGGGTGCGAGAAGCGAAACAGCGAAAGATAAAGGCACAGTAAAGAGAGCGACTGTGGTGAGTGTCTGTGCAACGAAAGAAAATAAAAGAGTGACTTCTTGACGATAAAGAACCAGTGCGACAAGCTAGAAGTACATGTTTCCCAGGCGCCATCATCGTATCCTTATAGTACGTGGTACTCCATGAGGGCGCCATGTTCAGTGATGGGCTCGTGGAGGGCCTGTTGTCGGGGTGAGTCGAGGGAGATTAGACAGCCCGATGGACTGCTGTCAGAACGACGGTTGAAGCCTGGATCATGACAGTGCTCGAGCAGCCATTAGAAGGAGCCCGGACCAACTCTTCAACAAACCATGGCCTGCTTCTTTCTTTCGGCGAACATGTACTATCAGACACTTGACTTCGACTTGTTATATTGCTACCAGACCATCGGGATTGCAAAACGCGTCTGTGGCAGTAAAGATGCGAAAAGGTGTAGAAGAGGCACCTACCATTGGACGAACCCCCTTTTTGGTAGGTACAGTCACGGGGACTCCTAATAGGAGTCCAAGGGAGACACAACGCCTGGAAGAGAGCGTTCGAGGATGTGCGAGTCACAGCCTAACCTGGAGCTTACCTGTAGCTCCCTCCGATGTCAGGAGTAGTTGTCGATGTGACACACCACTTGTAGGGAGGTTGGACCCGTTGCTATCACGAAAACGCGTAGTAGTTGCTGTCAAATGTGTCAACCCACAACATCAATTTCTGCCCTCTCTCCCCATAACGAGCGATCTCGTAACCGTGAATTATAACCTTTGGCCCGGGAGGCACACACGTGCTTTGAAGATTGTCCCTTGTCGAGCAATGCGCCACAACTGCAATCTGGAGTATTGGGAGATGGGAAAGTGCCACATCATCTGGCCGTTTACTGTGTACGCTGCATCCACCAAGCTTCCCCAGCTCCGCGAGATTCGCGACGTACTTCAGAGGTCTGTGTCCCTCTTAATTGCCAAATTGAGCAGCAGTCAATGCCGATCTGTTGACGAATCGAGCGGTTGTAAACGAAACAAAGTAATTTTGCGGGATGAGGACTTTTGATCAACAAACGGCGCCGCTGAGTTCAACTGCTCATGCGACGTCGAGATCAACGAAGAAGCAGCGCAGTTCCGCTCGTCTCGGGAAAGCTGCCTGTTGAGTCCGCCGGCATTGCTTTCCGACACAATGTCCCCGATTAGCTCATTGGCACACACGAGTGCACTATACTTGTACTAGCGCTCACTAACAGCATTTCAGTGGTAGTTTGGGCATGCTACCATTAATATTGCAGCACTAGTAGTACTAGCACTACAAGTACTACAACTTACGTAGTGCGACTTCCACGCGCGGTCGCAGACGCTGACGGTCGAATTCACATCATTATTGTCGCTCTCCACTGGCAAAGTACAACAATAAATGAACAAGCAATCCGGAGAGCACGGCCCCATCGCAACTCTCGCTCAGGCATACCTGATCTTGCATGAGTTAGTCAATGCTTGCAACAAACTTTACTCTCCCGCATGTAATACTTCGCCGTCACTTTGCTGCACTACTGACATTCGCATCCATTGCGCTGGCTTTCGCATCGCGATGTGTCGGCCCACCGCTGTAAGCAATGGCCGAGCATGCTGATGAGTCCACTGCTGCCGCAAAGGCTCGCAATGAACGTCCATTCCTGTATCCATGGGTCTGTGTACTCCTTTGTCTGCTCCTCCACGTCTCGCCTGACATGACCATACACTAGAACCGTCGCCTGCGTCATCTGCACGGGGTCTCTCTGCGCAATCTCCATGTTACAGCACCCAGTCCTAGAAGACATGCAAAAACAATCACCGACGATGATGCGCCTTACAGCCTGGCGTCTCCCGCCAAACGAGCCTTGCACAGCGACACAAAGCCGCTGACCCAGTCCCGCTCTTTCACCGATTTGGCCTCAGCGCTTGACGATGCCTCGAGCCAGTCACGCCTGCATAAGGCTGCCACCTCCTACGAGAAGAATGAAATACAATCCAACAGACCAGGTGGAGGCAGGCTTCGCAGAAGTAGCACCTTACATTGGGGATCTGCGAGCCCACAGGCGCGGCAGTCAAAATTGGAGGATATCGTGGTGAGCCGGCTGGCCGACTCCTGGATATCGGTGCACTGCCCTGGTACCCCAGAACCTGTGTACATCAGCGAGGAAATCGAAAGATCCATGAACCCAAGCTTCGCGTTCTTTGACCTTGACGGCAGCGGGCCTCAAGTTTTAAGGTCCGACGAGTGCACCATCCGGGTGTGGGCCAGACGCGCGAAGACCGAAGGGTACTGTCTACTCGTCGAACTAGACGTGAATTTAAGGTCATTGCAGTTCATTGGGCGGAAACTTGAGAATTTCCATCATCCGCTACCCGAGAACTGCATCCTGCTACACTTGTCCGACGGTATCTATACCAGCTTTACGGACCTGCCGGCGGACGCGCATACCTTAGTCGATCATGCAGTAGACCACCGCGATGGATCCAGCAAACCAGGTTCATCCTTTGACGCCCTCATGCAGCTCGCAAACCTCGACGACTGTATCCAAGATGCAATCAAAGTCCGAGCTCAGATCGAAGACGACATAAACAAAATACTGGCAGAGGCGCATGTTCTCAAGATCGATGACGAAGCAGACCCGGGTCTTGATGATGGCAGCTCTCAAACCAAAGCTGCCCTCGCTGCGGAGAAGAAGCATCTGCGTCAGCTAAAGAAGCGACGAGAAGAGCTGAAGGAGCAACTGGGACAAAGAGGTCACGCCCTTGACGTAGGTCGGGAGACGATGTCCAGATCTAGAAAGGTTTTGGAAGAACGGACCCAAGCCTGCAAAGACCTAGAGGGGCAGCTGCACCATATTGAGTCTGAGTCTCGAGGGCAGGTTCGACGCATATGTGAAGCGCTGCTCACGATATTCCCGATTGAACCCCTGAAGAGTCGCACGCTCCAATTCACTATTCGCGGCATCCACCTTCCGAACTCTGTTTTTGACGACACAAACCGTGACGAGATAGCAGCTGCGCTTGGCTTCACCGCCCAGTTGGTTTACCAATTGGCGCTGTATCTGTCTACGCCCTTGCCATATCCCGTCGAGCCCTTTGGGTCTACTTCGTTTATCTCTGACCCAATATCAATTGGGCTGAGTCAGCGGAGGTACCCTCTTCATCCTACAAGCGTGCCATACAAGTTTGAGTATGGCGTATTTTTGCTTAACAAGGACATCGAGTTTCTCATGAATCGTGCAGGACTACGCATGCTCGATGTCAGGCACACGCTACCCAATCTCAAGTACTTGCTCTATGTCTTGACAGCGGGCAAGGGAGAGCTACCTGCACGCAAGGCTGGCGGAGTAAAAGCACTCATGGGCGATGGTGCCAATGCAGACGTGAGGCCTTGGATTAGCCATGACGGTGTGCCAAACGCAGCAAGTCCAAAGATAGACACCACACATATGGAGGCAAATGGTGGCATTGGGCTGAAAGAAGGAAAGGACCCCGTGGACCCTTTCGGGTCGAGCCCGCCAGCACAGGGGCTGACTCATGCCTCCACGCTCCCTGCTTTGCAGACGGGCAGAATAGATTGAGAATAAGGACCAAATGAACGGTTAGAATTCATCCTGCCTCTCTACTTCAATGCCTGTTTATGGATGTAGATAAGGTTGCTGATCCGGTACAGTACACGACAGTCCTCGTAGTTTCCACCTTCAGCAACGTGGTAGAGTACCTAGGTAGCCCAGTGTACCTACCATTGGTACCCACCTCATCTGGTATCATTAGTCGGTGTGGACTTCCTTCTGACGAGGCTGAGGACCAAAACCCCGTGGCTTACATCAGCGACGCTTGACCCCGGACTGCCCAATGTGCTAACCGAGAAGGGTTAGTAAACGAATCCGCAGCCTCTACGGCCGCTGCGGTTGATAATCCTGTGATCCCCTTCACGTCGGTTATTTCGGGCCTTTGCGCTTCAAACAACCTCGACTGAATGTTTGTCAGGATCCCAATTGCCAACCATCACAGTGCCTAGCATGGGCTACAATGCAGGTGGCCAATTGTCTGGAAGCAGTTTGACTGATTCCTCGCTTTACAAGAACGAGTCTGCGTCGCCCGACTCTTCAGATCCTACGGCTTCTCTACCCCGCGATGGTCGCCCCCATCGTCGCGGTTATCAGGCATGTCAGCGCTGTCGTGAGCGCAAAGTCAAATGTGATCTAGGCAGTGAGTGCGCACCATCGGGTCGCGAAACTACTACTGATTCTGCTCATCAGGTGTCGACGCCCCTGCCGATCCTCCTTGCAAGCGTTGTCTCCGCGAGCGCCTAAAATGCGAGTTTGCCCCGACGAGGAAAAAGCAAAAGAAGTTGGATGGGACTGCGAGAGATGTGTCGGACCATGAGGTCTCGAAGGATGCAACTCCTTCTGTTATGAATGGTAGCTTGCCACCTTATGGCCTCAGTCAAACGACCGACCAGCTGGCTTCACCGTTGGCTACCGCAAATGGGCTGGTCCGCGACGCTTGGTCGCCGTCTACATCCAAGCGATCATTGACCTCTCATCCCCACGACGAGTCTCTGCAAACACGCAGCGCGTCTATATATGGCAGTTCACCAGCGCCGAAAAAGGACCTTACAGATGTTCATCTACATAGTCAGATTGCCGCAGCCAAATTACATGCCCCGGTCTCCAATACTCAAGATGCTTTAGGCATCCTAGTTGATGCCGCCTTCTCCAACAATAATGCACACAACCCAAACGACCGTGCCTTCTCCGACCGCGCTGAAGCCAAGCGTAATATTTTCAACCTCGACCATGCCAGCCCTGAAACCCTCGGAACGACCGGCGTCAGCCCAGAGGAGCAGGCGGAGCGCCAAGCTGGGCTGAAGGTGTGGTCGGAAGTGCGCTTTGTACGGAATGGATGGTTCACAGCCTGGGAAGCCATGCAATATGTCGAGTACTTCTACGAGAAGCTGGCTCTCATGACTCCAGTGGTCTTCCCTGACTATAGGTCACCATTCAAGCATCGTGATCTCCTGATCAACGAACCAATCCTTGCGCTTGCAATTCTGGCCATCGCCTCCCGCCACATGCCCCTTTCCGGCCACGCTGCAACGACTCGATCACATCACATTCAGGCCAAGCTCTGGAACAGTTTGCGCCGACAGGTGGAGAGGCTTTTATGGGGTCAGGAGCAATTCGGCGGGGGGTTTTGCGGAGGCGGCAACTCTGCAAGAATTCGCGAGTCCGAGACTGGGCAGATCACCTGGAGTGGGAGTTTGCGCACTTTTGGCACGATTGAAGCACTTCTCTTGCTTACGGATTGGCAGCCCCAGGCTCTTCATTTCCCGCCCAATGATGACGAGACTGGTCTGCTGGACCAGAATCTTATCATCTCCTGTGAATCATCTTCATACGCGCCGGCACCAGAGGATGAACCTAAAAGAAGCCGCGATTATGATAACCTGCCCTACGCAAGCTGGTTAGAGCCCGCTTGGAGGTCGGATCGAATGTCGTGGATGCTGCTTGGGCTCGCTCAGAACCTGGCCTTTGAGCTCGGCGTTTTTGACACCAATCATTTCAACTGCCGTCACGAACATGGACCAGATTCGGAATGTGCGCGAAAAAGACGCATCAAAAATCTCGTCCTCGTCTATGTCGCCCAGACTAGCGGCAGGATGGGCATCCAATCGTCTCTCAACGTGGAGGAATGGGAGACTGACACGATCTGGGACCAAACCCAACGTCCAGGACAACCTGGTCATCCCATTGACATTATGCAAGCTTGTTGGCTGCACATAGCCAGGATCCTCAACAGAGCAAACCGCGAAATTTTCTCATCACCACAATTTACAAGAGACCTCACATCCAGTGGCAGGTACAAAGATTCCATCAACACGTTCACGCCATTGCTGCGTCAGTGGATGAATGTCTTCGATCAGTCCAAGGCCTATATCCACCCCATTATGCAGAGTATCTTGCGGATGGAATATGAGTATACACGTCTCTACGTCAACTCTCTTGGTCTCCAGAAAGTGGTCGAGTCGTGGGTCGAGGGAGGATCCAACATTCGCAAGACGACGCTGCTTAAGATCGCCGAAGACAACAAGCCGTATATTGATGAAGTGACTGATGCTGCGCTGAACATTCTGAGCATTGTGGTGGATGATTTTGCAGCCAAAGATTACTTGCGAAATGCCCCTGTTCGCATCTATCTTCGAAGTCTATCAGGCATGATGTTTACATTGAAGGTATGCATGAGAAGTCTAAGTGGCACGGTTGCATGAAGCTAACATATGCTGCAGCGCTTCAGCTTAGGTACGCACGAAGCCCTGGTCCGCAAATGTCTCCAGCAGCTCGAAAAGATCATTGTTGCCATGTCCAAGGAGTATGTCGATGACGTCCACCTGTCCTCCTCTACCTCAAGGCTGGTCGGACACATCGTGCGGAATGTGAAGCAGTCCTTGATCCGTGTCCAACAGGGAGGGACTGGATCTGCAGGTCCCAGCCGCGAACAATCACGCGCACAGTCCCCTCACGCTCACGATCATGACAGTTCCAGTCATCATCTACAGCAGCAGCAGCAGCAGCAGCAGGCTGATCACGCCATGAACGTGCTTCAGCAAAGCCCTGGATTCTATTTGAATGATCCTCTTGCAGGAATACAGGCGAGACCTATGGCGGAACTGTCATCGCAGACTTTTGTCCCGCCGCCAAACTTCCTTGGCAGCGGAGACGAGTTAGACTCGGCGCTGGACGAGACTAGCCTCGATCCGACGATTGCTAACTTCTCAATGGATTGGTTTGCACTGCCCTTGGACAACCTCTGGCACAATGATGGCATCACTGTAGATCAAGGCTTGGGCGGAATTGGCCCAACCGTCGGGGCCCGCGACATGCTAGAGGTCATTACAAACCAAGACTACAATCAGATGCAGTGGAACGGCGATCAGCCATTTGACTATAACCATAGTTGAGGCAGGGCCGGCAACACCTGTTATGGAATCATCACGTTCGCGCTCTGGCGGCACGATGAAGCAACGATTGCGGGTTTAACGAATGAGGATAGCGCCATATTCCCTCGCAGGGCCTCCTATACGCGAGGCTGGATCACGATTTATGACCACAGATGAAACAATGATGTTGATTAGGTATATACCTTTATAATGTGGTGTACACCCTGAATGTTACAATGTAGACCTGGACCTGAACCGTGTGCGGCCAACCGGAGGCGGCCATAAGGATTAGCTAAGGATTGATCCCGCGGTCCACGAACTTCGCTCAGTCGCTCTCATCATATCAATCCATTTCCTCCCTCCCGCCCTCCCTCCCCAATGCAAGGTTCACATCGTCAGTACATACCTGACCACGTACGAACGCATCGTCCCATCACATTGTATCCGTCGGGTTCATGCCGCGCTGCTTCCGACGCGCTCCCGCCCGCTTGGACCGACTCCCACTGAGCACTTGGCTGAGCGCAGTCTAGAGATATGCGTCTTTGAATACGATCGTCGCATGACCCTCTCCCAGCGCACCGAGTGGGAAACGATGTCGGCCTCACAAGCCTTGTCCAACTCCTTGCATAGGTAGCCAAGGCATGTCCCACAATGCTCAAATCACCGCCCGCCAACTATGGGGTCGGTTGAGCACGCCCGGTGCGACTCAGACAGCGTCCAGTGCTTGGTGTACGCCGCTCATCTTACCGAGTGGAGGTCAGTTACATATCGTGCGTTGGTCCGGTAGACGCGCCTGAATGCTAACAAGAAGTAGGCGTCCTTGTCTTTGACGGTGACCAAACCAGCACTTTGAGTGCCCAGGTCACCTTTAAGCTGCCTTGCCATAACCCCGATTCGATCATCAGCCCCGACACCACCGGCAACTCATCGGTCATCGGCTTTCAGGATCCCTTCTATGCCTCGATATCACCTCAAGTATTTGCCCTGGCCACGGCGACGGTCATCAGTTATATCTTGGTCATCCTCATTTTCATCACCCCTCGGACGTTCTTCATGGGCGGGCCTGGAGGAGGGGCTAGACTTCTGGGGCGCCGCGGGCCTATACCAGGGACATATGGATCTTCGTCCATCGTCGGCGTTGGGAGGCGGCCGCTCCTACAAAAGATCGCGACTATCACAGTGGCTGTTTCTCTGACGATAGCGACCGCGGACACCTTTTCGGTCGCCGAAGACCAATATAACCAAGGATACATGGATTCTACCCTTTTGGTGGACAGCGTTGTAGGGAGCCTTGAGATTCGCATTATCCGCGTCATCTCCGAGACATTCCTGTGGCTCGCCCAAGTTCAAACCCTCATTCGCCTATTTCCGCGCCACAAAGAAAAGGTCACTATCAAATGGCTCGGATTCGCTATGGTCTCGTCGGACACCATCTTCAGCATCCTGGATTCTTTTGTTGGCGGCCACTCCAGAACTCGTCCGAGGAGCTTCCAGGACGCCATTCCCGCCCTCAATTACTTATTTGAACTGGCCATCTCTCTGATCTACGCCTCCTGTGTGGTCTACTACTGTCTATCAAAGAGGCGTTTTGCATTCTGGCATCCCAAGATGAAAAATATATGTCTTGTTGCCTTATTGTCGCTTCTTTCTGTTGTTATTCCAGTGGTGTTTTTCGTGCTGGATATCTCCCAACCTAACTTGGCAGGCTGGGGCGAGTACATTCGCTGGGTTGGTGCTGCGGCGGCGAGTGTTGTTGTCTGGGAATGGGTCGAACGAATAGAGTCCCTGGAAAGGGATGAGAAAAAGGATGGGATTCTTGGAAGGGAAATATTCGATGGGGATGAAATGCTCAATATGACTCCTTCCGACGACACAAGCTGGCATGGCCATGACCGCGGCACCACTAAAGACGGCGGCCTCCGCAAGACCATGGGCGAGGGCGTCGCGGCGAGGTACAGGCGACTCCGGAGCCGAGTCCCTTTCCGCAAGCGTCGCAAGATGGCACCTCAAGATGGTATCAGCACTGGCGCTGACGCAATGGATTCAGCCGGGCCACGGATGATGACTCGTAACAATCTCGTGATGCCTGAACCAGTTATGACACCTCCAGATAGAAGCGCCAGCGGAAGTGTTGCAAGTACGGTTTACGCGATCCGCTACCATAATCCTACAAGCCCAGCACCAAATCTTCAGCGTGATGGGCGTCCGGAGCAGGAGACTGAGGCAGTCCTGCAAGTCCCAAAGGACGACTTGTCGGAGAGTTCCTCGTCGGCACCACCGCTTTCTGCCACAGAGAAGGAGATGGCCGTGCAACCGAGAGCCTCAGTGACGAATGAAGCGCTTGGTCGACCGAAGTGGCACTCTGTGACTCACCCTTTCAAGCGCCGTAGGGCCGAGCCCCCTGCGGAAGTGGTGGACGCTCAAATCGCCAGTGGCATTCGGAGGTCGCCCATCGACAGCAACCTGAACCTGCGTGGCCGGTTAGGGGCCTTCGCGTCCGCTCAGAAGGAGCGCTTCGCTCGCCGAGGAAGTGTCCCAGCTACTGCTCTACCTGTGACCCTCATCCCGGCGCCGAAGGGGAGCGAGCGGACTTGGTCCCCAGATGACCTGCGTAATGGTCTAGATATTGAAGGCGCGATCCCCATGAACACTATTGCTCCAGCTACACAGCAGACAAGCGCCGCAGCTCAACGGGAGACTTCTGACACTCTCCAAGTGGTTCACATACCGGCCCCAACGCCCGGGAGGACTTGGTCTCCGGACGATCTGCCCCAAGCAGAGGGAAGTGTTTCTCGCCCAACTGACCCGAGTCTGGAGCAATCCCGACCTGTAGGCATGTCGCCTGCAGCACCGGATACACTCTGTCGAAATGTTGGAGGAGGAGCTCCAGCGAGAGAAGCAAACTCCAGCCCAGGTGGGAATGCTGCTTACTCCGTCCCGCAGCCACCAACTGCCCACCTGTCGGATTCGAATACTGCGCCAACCGCTAGTGATGCTACAGTCCAGTCCGCAGGTGAACATCCTTCTGACCCTGACTCGTTGCATGGAGATGCAACCACATCCGCTCTGGCGGTTCCGCAGAAGGGGGCTGGCGCAGAGCCAGCCGATGAAGGACGTTTCAACGCCGAGGCTGAAGTCAAGTGCACAACTGCTCCGCCTTCGTCGGGCGTTTCAACAGAAGCAGCCCATGAGACAGCTGAAACTGGGCATGTAGTGCAGAGTTCGGCGGCGTCGGGAGATGCCCGGGATACTGGTGGGACATGACCCCGGATGGTGACAGCCCTCTATGTTGACAGACATGGAATCGATGTTGTATGTTATGATGTTCTAAGTGGTGTCCTGGGATTATTCTGTAATCTGCCTTTAATCGATGCTGCTCAGGAGAGTCCTACAACTATAAATCAGAGATTAATAGCTACCTAACCATCTATATATGTTAATACACCCGTGGCTACCTGGCACTGGTACCACAGCAAGTACAGCGGATCCTACGATGCCGATATGCAAGTCTTGTCCCGTGCCGCCCGCCGCGCTCAAAAGTTCTGCCTGCGAGAGTTTTTTATTACGCCTCGCAATGTCAATCTGAATGAGTCCAACATGCCGCATACTCACTGTCTTTGGTGTCGCCGTTCGCCCGGGACCCTTATCTATCGTTTCAACCAGACCCACCCTTCGTGAAGGAGCAGAAGATATCGAGTTCGTCTGACCTTGGACCACGGCACACGCCCTCGCTAAATGCCAACCGCAAGCGTCATCCTCCCACCGTGACCGATGCCGCCGCAGAATGACCCCACGAGCCAACCATCTGTACAGCAATGGCCCTGATATTCAACGCGCGTTTGGAGTTGATAGTCTCCCTCTGACGATCGTCGCCCATATCATCTCCTACCTGGAAGACGATATCGCATCTCTCGCTCGACTATGTCGGACCTCACGTGTCCTCCTCTACATGACCCTACCACATCTGTGGAAAAATGTGAGGTTAAAATCATACAGGGCCATCCGCTACAAGGATGATTTGCCTGAAGGATTTGGCGGGGCGAGTCCGTTCGCAATGGGCCTCAACACCTTGCTCAACAGGAACGTGTCTCGCTTGGTGCATCAATTGAGTCTAGAGGGCGAGTTTGGCGTGGGCGACGTGGATGAATATGCGAAAGCCGGTCGTGTGCCCGAAGGTGCTATGATCCTGAACATTGCCATTCGCGCGGCTCTGGAGCAGTGTACACAACTCAGGAGTTTGAGGTGAGATTCCCGCGCAACCAAGGTCGATCCCGGGCAGCGTGTACTAAACTGTGCTCACAGATGGGATCTAAACGTCCGGCGACAACCCAATGTTTATGCAAGCCTTGCAACCCTGCCCATGCTGGAAAGTCTGTGGCTCAGGTTTCCAAACAACAGGTCGCCGCAACCGCTGGTCGAGGCGCCTGCTCTGCCGAACCTCAAGTCTCTCACCATCACTCATTACGATCCTCTCTGTTCTCCCGACGACCTCGCGAACCTGTTCTTCCATGCGACCAACCTGAACACTCTCAACTTACACTTTTCTCCCCGGATGAGGGAGCAAGGCGAGACGTCCGTGATGATTACTCAGTTTTTCAGGAAGAATATAGCGGCCAAGAGGAAGCTCCGGCTCAGGAAAATCGGTCTTTACAACCTCCTTCCTTACATAGATATGCCGGAATGCTTGGAAGCGCTCGATCCTACCGTGTGCGAGGACTTCACCGCCTTGAATACTTTTGGTATGGACGAAGACCAATTGGGCGGCCGCCATCACGCTACCCACTTCATTGACCGAGCCTGGATGGTGCCACTAGAAGCGAACTCCAGACCCAAGAATCCGAAATCCCTCCGCCTGGACCAGCTGCACAAGCGCCATGCTTTGGACCTTGGCGCTTCGGCCGGCCTTGAACGCTTGTATCTCATCAATGCTCGCTACAGGTCCGAGGGAGCGGATGGGGCTGTTCATTCAACACCGAACTCCACAGGAACGTCCCCTCGGCATCCTAATAACACGTCTTCTGTTACGCAAACGGCAAGGAACACACCATCGCCCAGCACCAATCTTCGTGACCTGTACATCGACAACATCTGCAACGTTTGCGGCCCGACGCTAAAACATCTGATTCTGCCCGCTCGATGGCTGCTTCCCACCGCCGTCACCGCTCGGCTCATTAGAGCATGTCCCAACCTCACGCAGCTGAGCGCGGCCATTCAATGTGCGGACTACGATGTCCTCCGCATTCTTGTCCCGTTCCTGTCCAAACTATGGGCGATACGTGTGCTCGCTCCTTATGGGGACATTGAGTGCCCCGAGGACCGCGACCGGGTTGGCACAACCCAGAAGCAGCAGCCATGGCGGAACGCTGCCATTGACCTGACGGACTGTGGGCAGCAGGAGCGGATCACCCAAGTGTTGGGACGGAGCCTTGGCGGCGCAGAGAACGATTTCCCCAAGCTGCGGTACATTGGATTGGGAAACAATGTCTTCAAAGTCGGCGGCGTTGTTGAAGAGGTGGTGCGCCTACCTGCTCACACGACATTGCAGGATTGGTATGGGGACTGCGACGGTACACAGCGAGCGGTCGAGGGTGACGACGGCACAAACGGCACCACAGCAAACGGCTGGCGCGAAGAGGTTGTTCGTACACGCCTAGTGGAGCGGGTCACGGAGGAGGAAGTCAAGGACGTTGAGATCTGGAAAATGGATTCGATGGATGTTATTTAACGTCCAAGTTGCTGTATCTGGTCGGGCTGCCACATCTAGACTGTATATTAAACGTCGCATAGAGCAGGGCGGTTGGCGCGGGCAGGAGTTTTTGGCCATGCATCTAGGCCCGGCGTTTCATTCCAGATGGCTTTTCATGTAGATGAGCATATATGTACCAACAGAAAGAGGTATGTTTAGGCCTGGGGAGGACATCCAAGTATAGAGCATGTCCAGTGAAAATTAACGCTATTGTGAGGACCCTGAGGCTTGTCCAATGTGTGCTTACTTGGAAGCAACGGGTCTTCGGTGTGTCAGAGCCCTCTATACATCTACGGCACGATAATCCATAGAGTATCACATTCATACAAATGCCCCTAGAGATGGACAAGCGTTCCGCAAGAAGATAACCACCCAAGTAAAAGTGTCCAGCCAGTGAAGAATGCCCATAAATAAGCAAGGCCGGGGAAGATGGAGCCCGGCGGTGAAATCCGCGATTGGGGTGGAAACGGCATGTGTTCGCCAGCGAGAGCAGAGCCCGCTAACCACGGGAAGATTGGGGCAATAATGAATATAGGTAGAAGGTGTTTCCGCGGAGTGTTCTGTTGCTGGAATTGGTGGCAGTAATTAGATTGGCGGACTTGGGGTCAAGGCGTCGACAACAATTGGAATCTGGGGTAGAACAACGGTATAGTTTACAAAGGATTTGATCACAGTGTTTGAGATTCTCTATCCGCTGGGGCTCGGCGAGAGGTTCAAGTTTTGGATAACCAAAAAGTACAGCATGAGCGTCCGAGAGATCTCGGCCGAAGAAATCGGCAGACACAACCGGGACGACGATGCGTGGATCATTCTGAACGGCGACGTCTGGGACATCAGCGGATTCGCGGACAAACACCCCGGAGGCCGCGAGGCCGTCGAGGAGTTCTTTGGTCGGGATGGAAGTGTCATCTACAACCAGCTGCACAGCCCGAGGCTGGCGGAGAAGTTTCTAGGGTTGGAAAAGAAGGTGGGAGTGCTGGAACAGAAAGCAACAGACAAGACTGCCAGGGCCGCCGCAGAGCAAGAAGCCAGCGACGAGGAGTCTCGACCAGAACTCGAATCAATCGTCAGCATCCACGAGTTCGAGCAGATAGCGCCCAAGGCCCTACGGCCCAAATCGTGGGCGTACATCGACGGCGCGACGGAAGATGGACTCACGAAAGCCGCCAACGCAGACTGGTATCGACGCATCTGGTTCCGACCACGGGTGCTGACGGGCGTGGGCGAAGCCGACACCAGCACGACCATCTACGGGAGAAAATGGGCGTCGCCCATCCTCAACAGTCCGACGTCGTCGGCGATGCTGGCGCATCCAGACGGAGAACTGGCGTTGGCAAGGGCCTTCTCGTCCTGCGGGAACCCAATCATCATCCCCACCATGTCGTCTTACCCTCTGCAAGACATTGTCGCCGCTCTCCCCAAAGACCACCCGTTCTTTTTCCAGCTCTATGTCCATCGCGACCGAAACGAAATGGAGAAACTCCTGGACGAGGTTGTTGCCTTGAAACCTCAGGGGATCTTGGTCACCGTCGATCTGCCCGTCATGTCGAAGCGCGAAAGCTATGCCAAATATCTCGCTCAGGAGCGTCTAACCAAGAAGAAGCTGACCCATATCCACATGTCCGAGAAAGCCACCGTCGTCACCATCGACCCGAAACTCAACTGGAACGACATCAGGTACATCAAGGACCGGACGGGGCTGCCTACTTTTGTCAAGGGCGTCCAGTGTGCCGCCGACGCGAGAAGGGCGTATGAACTCGGCTGTGCTGGCATCTATATCTCCAACCATGGCGGCAGAGCGCTCGACACAGCACCGCCGCCGATTTTGACCTTGCTTGAAATCCAGGCTAATTGCCCAGAGATCCTGGATCATATGCACGTCTTTGTCGATGGAGGGATTCGTCGAGGTTCAGACATCCTCAAGGCCATCTGTCTCGGCGCCTCGGCCGTTTGCCTCGGGCGGCCAGTGCTGTATTCCTTGACGTACGGGGAACAAGGGGTCAAACACGCCATTGAAAGTAAGTCACAACTTGAAGCCTTGGCAAAAGCTATACCTTGTTTCTTTGTGGACCTTTGCTAACGATGATGGCGGACAGTTCTCCAAGCCGAGCTCGACAACGCCATGCAACTCAATGGCATTACGAGTCTAGATCAGGCTCACCCGGGTCTGTTAAACACGACCGAGCTGGATCAGTATATCTACCGTGGCGATCATCATCCCTGGGCCCGGAAGCCGCAGCGGTCCAAGTTATGACGAGGGAAATGGATGCATTGTAGACAGTTGAAAGCAATTGTTCAACTTTGTTGTTGTGATGTACTCCTGAACCGCGTCGGGCTGCCACGCCAAAGCCAACTTGAACCTTGAATGCATGGAACGACTTATAGAGAGTTTTGGCGTAGCGCGGAAATGATGGCCAGCCCTGAAGTGCTGCTGTCTTGGCAGAGTAGAAGAGGTCTAATCGACCGCTGGAAGATAATTTCACACACGCGTTTTTCAGATACACAAACTCTCCTTCTCATCCGTTTCTCCCTCAACTTTTCATCATCATGGATATGTGTCTTTGATAGGAACCGACCTATCCTGCTAAAGAGCCGAGGAACTCTCTTCGTGCACCATCGCCGCACTCAACTTCCATCCTCTGACGGTGGCGGTACTTTGCTGTGCTCGGCCGAGTAACTGGTTTTCTCACCACTTGAATCAATGGGCCTCTTGAAACGTGCCAACCCCTGGAACAAATTCTCTACCCCTTCACAAGTTTTACCCATAGCCTTCTTTCCTATTGCTTTGATTTTACCGCTTCTATCTATGCTAGAGCTGGCCGTTCAAAATGCCCCAGAGCGAGCCAGTGTGGACAGGGAAGCTAGAATAGTACCCAGCCTCGATCACGGCCAGGCCTGTATGGTCTGGTCGCGAGGCTTCCACGGATCTCTACTGCTGCAGCCTCGTCTACCGAGCTGCAGGCTGATATATGTGGAGACATTATACATGCGAATAAAACATATTCTGTCAAAGATTATGCAAGCAGACGCACCATCCTGTCCGGGGTATCTTCTTCCTCTGAGCTATTTGAAGTCGCGCTCCTCCTTGAACTCCTACAGAAGAAAATCACTGGAACACGCCCGCCCGCGTCATAATGGCCCGAAAGTCCTCCATATTGACGCCTCGTCCGATGCCCTTTCCCCCATTCGCCTCGAGAATCATAGCCTTTAGAACATCGTCACTTACATCCTCCTTCAGAAGCTTCGCGACAGCCCGTAGATCTTGCAGGCGGATGACTTGCTCTGCAGCAGCCTGGCCGGGGTGAAAAAGGTTGAACGCGGTTTCAACTTCTTCGGCTCTGGTTTCGTCCGTTTTGGACTTGAGCTGAATGGCGCACAGGGCTAGGAAATGCGGATAAGTCACGTAGCCCGACTCGTCTGGATCTAGAGTCTCGATGAACTCCTGCATCTGTGACTGGTCACTCGGAGCGAGTCCTTGGGCTCTGCAGTGGCCGAGAGAGAAGCGAGTCAGTTTGCGGCCAACTCCGTAGTCGTCTGGGTCGGGTATGATCACATCACGAAACAAAGCACGAGAGGGAATGATAGAGCCGGGTAATAAGGAAATCAATAAATGAGTTGCTTCATGTTGTGATGATTGAGATCTGTGGGAGGAGCTTACTTCAAGACATTGCGCACATCCTTTGTGCGGATGACGCCCTCCTTCTCGTCTTCGTATTCCTCAATATCATCGAGCCGGAAGAGATTCCATGCCTGCTTGATCTCGGCCTCTTCCTCTGCCGTCAGGTCGTTCTCCTTGGCCAGCTTCGAGCGTCGCGGTTTCGAGCTCGAAGGTCCTGCCTTGGTCGATGCGGCCTGTTTGCCGCGAGACGGCGTTTTACGCGGTGGCTGAGAGACAGATTAGTCAATGCACAAACAAAGCCGTAAGACGTGGCGAGGATGGGATAAACCCACCATGGTCGGATCTGGGTGGCATCGAACTGCTGGAGACCGGGGGTAAGGCTTTACTGGTCAAGAAGACCAAAAAGACATTGCAGTCACTGTATGTTCGCGGAAATGCCACAGGCAGTTTGACTGGTGGGATGCTGGCAGATATCGTAGTACTGTTGTATATAAAATAACGTCGGAATATATTTTCGAGGCTGTGCTGACTGACGTACCGTTGCCGCCTGGCACGCGATGGCAATTCTTCTCGCAACATCGACGACAATAACGGTCAACTTCACCTAAAGACCCCAAACTTGAATCCCTATGGCACCTCATCCTTCTCAAACGACCCTTTGATAGTCGTTGACCTACACGATTACCCTGCGAGTCAGTCGCCCTGCTGGTGATAATGGACGTTCAACTCTACGTATACGACCTGTCTCAGGTTCGCCTCCTTGATACTCGCATCCATCATCAAGCGCAATACTGACAAGCCCAGGGTCTTGCGAGACAGTATTCTCGTGCTTTGACCGGCGTCCAAATTGATGCCATCTACCACACGTCCATCGTGGTCAACAATGTCGAGTACTTCTACGGCCACGGTATCCACCGAAAAGTGCCTGGCTCGACCCATCATGGCCGGCCCATGTCCGTCGTGGACTTGGGCAAGACAGATCTCCCTCTAGATGTCATTGAGGAATACATCGAATCTCTGGAGGAGATCTACACCCCGGAGTCGTACGATCTGTTCGTCCACAACTGCAACAATTTCTCCCAGGATCTGGCCATGTTCCTGGTCGGCCAGAGTATCCCGGACGACATTCGAACGTTGCCCGAGACGTTTCTGCGCACGCCCATAGGCCAGATGCTGCGTGGCCAGATCGATCAATCCATGAGAAGAATGACCCAGGCTCCCGACGCCGCTGCTGGTCAGAATGTGTCCAGGACTTCTGCTTCGAGGGCTGCCGCCCAATCGACCTTCAACAAACTGGCGTCGAATGGCACGACGACGCTCGCAGCACCAAATGGAACTACCGTACACCGACTTACTCCGACGGCCATTATCAATGCTAAACCTCCTCCCCAGTCTCCAGGCCACGTCTACAATATCTCGTCGCTCACCGAGCTTGACAGCCTGCTCGAGGCAGCCAAACAATCCTGCGCCGTCATCTTCTTCACCTCGGCAACCTGCCCGCCCTGCAAGATCGTCTATCCCACCTACGACGAGCTGGCGGCCGAAGCAGGTGCCGAAAGCGGCGCAAAGCTGATCAAGGTTGACATTTCCGTCTCGCCGTCCGCGCATGCCGTGGCACAGAGATACCAAGTCCGCGCCACTCCAACCTTCATCACATTCCTCCGCGGTGAGAAGCAGGACGAATGGTCTGGCGCGAACCCGGCTCAGCTCATGGGCAACGTCCGCCTGCTGTTACAGATGGCCAGGCCGCCCCAACACCAACACGCGACACTCAAGCTGCCGACCTTTCAGCGCATCATTGAGACTCCCATCATGTACACACGCACTCCTCCCCTCGCTAAACTTCTCGCCAAGATCGGTCCCGAATTTTCGCAGGACCAGTCGGTGCAAGATCTCGTGGCATACATCAAAACACGCGAAGACAAAGGCTTGGCCGAAGCGCCATTACCGAATCTGCACTCGTTCAGTGCCCATCTTGTCGCCAAGTCCGCCTCTGTTCCCCAAGAAGCACGTTTCGCAGTCATAGACCTGGTACGCGTTGCGGCTGCCGACCCGCGTGTGTCAAGTTTCCTTGCGACAGAGCATGGAGAAGAACATGGAACTCTCAATACCGTGTTTTCCTGGACGACCGGCAAGACGTCCGACCCTAGCGATTTCACCGACGCGCCGTATAACATACAGGCCGTGTCGCTCCAGCTGGCCTGTAACCTGTTCAGTTCGAATGTGGCTCAGGAACAGATCTTCCACCGCCACAACTTGAATGCAGGTGCAGGGTCCAGTAGTGGCTCTCTTCTGAGTCTGAGAGAGGCAACTGAGTGGCTCGCGGTGCATAGTCTACTTTCGCCGCATGCCAATGCCCGTTCCATGGCTGCCGCGCTGGTGTACAATCTTGCCTCGTATACCCACAATCGACGGATTCATGCTCAAACTGCTACGGTCCCAACAACAGGAGGCTCAAACGAAGACGAAGATGCAGCCACACCAGGTGACGACCTGTCCGCCGCCCTGCTGGAGTCGATCACTTCTCTGGCGTCCGTGACGAGCTTGACGGACACCAAGACTGGGAACAGCAGTGGGAAAGGCAATACTACCAGCACGTCCAAAGAAACACTGCACGCCCTCCTCCTCGCACTTGGTATGTTGCTGTACGCTGCGCCGCCGGAGAACATGCTCTGGGATCTCTGTCGCGCCATGGACATCCGAGAGGTCTTGAAGGATATCAGGACTACCGGTGGTGGCTTAGGCGACGAGGTCAAGACTGAGCCGCTGCTCAGGGAGATTGGAGATGAGTTGTTGGGCAAAGGAGGTTTCTGAACATGCATGCGTGGATTTTCTTTGCGTGGTTCGCCTGGGAAGATGTTGTGGTTTAGCGGAGGCGTTTGGGACTCCTGTAACAGCAGGACTAGAAGTACATCTTATTAGACTGGCTCCCAAGGTAGACTCTATAATACTAGGATTCAGAGGTTGGGAAAACAGCGCAGCAAAGCCATGTGTCTACTGTCAACCGGTTTATTAGCCCGAAATGCACTGGCTGCTACCATACGCTCGATGTCTTCCCTCGGGCACGGCATGTATCGATACTGCGAAGGAAAACATGATAGGAGCCGAGAAGTAATACAGCTCTTGAAAGGCATGCATGCTTTTGTTTCCTTGATGTTCGATCCGAGCTGAATCCAAACTGTTCATGGTCGTCCCGTGCAATGCGTGTAAGGTAAGGGTCGATCCACGCCAGTGTACCGTGAAAACCCCTCTTGACCATCTCCCTCCAAGCATTAAAATCCTTCAGAGCGGTCATGCTCGCCAAATGGAGAGCTCTGGCCGAGATGCAATGCATCCTGATCTGGAGAGGAACATGTACAAGTAAAATGCAATTAAGATGATCATCATGCAGAAACGCGTTGTTGCAGCTTGTTTCATCGAGTAACCTCCTTGATGCGACATTCCCAACCGCTTTCTTTCTCGAGTAGTGGCAAGCTCGCGCCGAGACACCAACCCAGTTCATTCCCTTTGATCTTCTTGGCGATCTTGACCTCCCGATCAATGGGCATCTCGTATCCGGTGTGGAGCAGCGCTGACATGAAGTTCAGATCCAAGCACCATTCAGGCCGGTCATGGAGATCGGCAATTGCCCCTTCAACGCCCTCAAATGCACTCCAATGTTTCTCGCCGAGGCAAACTTTCTCCGTGAGGTCGAGTAGTTCGCGCAGGGTGAACGACTCGGGCATGCCCAGGTCGTGGGTCCGATCGTAGAAGTAGGAGAAAATGTATACGTCTTCGCGGGAGAAGGTCTTGTCGAGGGACGGCTGATGGACACCGTTGAACGAGCAAGGATGGAGGGTACACTGCTTGTCTTTGTAAAGAATGCCCTCGGCCAACGCCCGGCATTGTGCAGGTAAGGCGTCGATGGGGCCCTCCATGATCACACTGTGTTCTCCTGCCAACGGGTGATCGGCCGGCATCGTCACATTGACTCTCTTCTGCACACCTGGCGTGATGCAGCTGTTCGGGATAGGTTTGGAGAGCCAGGCTTTGGAGTCAGGGTTCTGCTTGTGCATATGGTCCAAGACCAACGCGTGAAGAGCCTTGCGAGCGGACATGAGCCCGTAGCCAAGATGAGAATGCTGGTACAGTTCGAACTCTCGGCCGCCGAACTTGAGATTGTATTTGTGGTCTCCGTCGGCCATCTTCTCCGGCATGCCTCCGTGCGGACTGTTCTTAAAAGTCGGCTGAAAGACAATCTGGGTTGACCCGCCTCCAAGATCCAGAATCGCGGCCGTGGGAGTGTCATCGGGACCACCAATCTTTCCTAGCAGATAATTCGTGGTGATCCAGGCGTAGACGCCTTCGTCCTCCCCTTTCATGATCTCCACGCCACCCTTTTCCCTAGAGACGACGGGGAAAGGATATTGGGTCTCTAGCCGGTGACGGACAGCTTCCAATATCTTTGCGCTCATTTCTTCTCCCAAGAGACGCAATCCCGCAGTGGCTTTGACGGCCACGGGGGTACAAGACTTGTATTCATCTGGAACGGTTTTCATGGCGACTTCCATGAGAGGATCCAGACTCTTGGCCGCACCCTCTGCATCGGACTTGTATGAACTCAGCCCAGACCCTTCAGGCCGCTTCTCGGTCATTTTAAATTCTTCATTCTCCAGCTCAGGGGTCGGCCCACAGTTGTTGAATCTATAGACGTGTATCCTGCTCCCCGTGCTCCCGGCGTCAATCATAATGGCATACTGAACAAGCGGTTTAGAAAGGTCGTGAGGCTGCGTGCATCTCGTGGTGGGGGAATTTTCAGGCGTGTAGATATTGCTGGTGCTCGCATGTCTGCCTCCGCCCGAGAAGAACACATATAACAGGAGGATAAGGGTCAAGACCCCTCCGGTCTTGAAGAACCGGGCCTGTCGACTTTGAGTCATCCAGGCGTTTTGTAGAGACTCCAGGGTGGAAGGGTGGCTCGCGCCGTTCCCGCCTGTTCGGCGGTCTGATTTCTCAAAGGGGTCCCAAGGAGCGTTATTGGAGTCACTGTTGCCCGTGTGTCTCAGAGGGAGACCACTGGACACTGAACGGCGGCGGGGAGAGGAGCCGAAAGGAATGTAGGACCAGATTCCAGATCGGTCGGTCGGCTTATAGGAGGGGGACATGGACGGAAACGCGACAACAGGAGAAGGGGGCGCTGCACGCCTCGAGGAATTTGACTCCTATGTTACTAGTATGTCAAACAAAGACAAGGGAGGGGTTGAAGAGAGAAAAGATGGAAAGTCAGGAGAAGGATCAAAGACCGACAGGACACGCAGCCACAAGAATAGAATATTTTTGGAGGCGCATCCAAGTCGACTTTGAAGTAAAGTTGGCGTCTTGGAGCGTCGAGTTCGAGTTCGAGTTGAGTTGGTCCCTGCGCCGCGTGAGGCAAACTCGGGCAGCGAATCGGAGTTCAACCTCTCGGGACTTTCAAATTGTTCGTGATTATTATGGGCTTCAAGTTGAACTCGGAGTCTGGGGAACTCGAATGATGATAATTGAAGGTACCGAGTTGTAAAAGGGCACCGAGTAGCAGCTGCCCGTACCGCCATCGTCCGTTGTCTCCTGTCCCTTATCCTCCCTCTACCTCTTCTGCTGCGCAGCCCCCTTCTATAGTGGATGCAGCGTGTGTCCGTTCTACTCAGGCCGGTGCTGCGGGCGACGGCGCCTGCTCGAAGGCCTCGTCTCTACCAGTCCGAGTTCTGCCACAGACCGTTCGGCACCTCACGTCCATGGCTTGCTGTTGACCAGCGCCGAGTTGCAGGAAAGCTCCAGATTGTCACAATCGACGATAAGCTCGCACAGTTCAACCTTGACGAAAAGATCGATACCCGCCAAGTCCGCGTCAAGACTGCCGACGGCAAGATCTCGCCTCCGGTCGACCTGCGGCGGGTGCTGGGTTCTATTGACCGGACGACAAGCCACGTTCTACAGCTCAGCAAACCAGGCGAACATGACTATGCCATAGTACAGGTGGTCGAGCGGGCGGACCTTATCAAACAGATCAAAGACAAGGAGGCCGCACAACGTCGAGTGCAGCATGCGCAGAAAGACAAGAAACCAAAGCAGATCGAACTGAACTGGGCCATCAGCCCCAATGACTTGCAACTCAAGTTAAGACAGATGGAGGATTTCCTACGGAAAGGCAAGAAGGTGGAAATTCTGCTCGCATCCAAGCGCCGTCAGAGAAAAGCCTCGCAAGAAGAGGCAGAAACCCTCTTGAAGACGCTCAAGGAGAAGATTCAGGAACTCGGCGCCGTTGAGGTTACACCCATGGAGGGCGGTCTGCTCAGACAAGCGAAACTCACGGTCAAGATGCCTTGACCAGTTACGCCAGTTCTGGTACACCCACCCACCTTTAGCAGAATAAGTCTTGTCACCCATGACTTCCGCTGCATACAGCTTGAATGTTCGATATGGGTTCCGAAAAGGCCTATCTGCGCTCTCAAAGCCTCGAGAGTATGCCGAAACGGACGAGCTCTCCCATGAACTGCTGCTGCTCTACAAGTTATTGCAGCTGTTACGGATTTGTAGCGCGATTTAATCGTCCTTTGCTCTCTGCGCCCCTTGGCCTAAGATAGCTTTTGCTGGCGCTCTGGATTTCGAAGGGGCACGTCATGACTTGCAGCGATATTCGGGACAGAAAGAATTGGGCATCGGCCGAGAGTTATCGTCCGCCATGAAAATGCCGTTTGATACAAGGATACAGTAGGCTGAGCATGAATGAATATTGGACATATACAGTCGTGAAATAGAGAAACAGACTCGGCATCACCCAGTCGTCCAGCCGGGCCCGGACAGGAGATGGCTGTGGCTAGCAGAAAAGGCACTGTCCGTCTCGACCTTGAACTGTACGCTGACCTCCCACTTTTGGCCAGTGCTGCCTTGTCCGTAACCGCCGCTGAGGTGATTCCGAATCATGCTGGCTATCCGCTCCCTGAGCTTGACCAAATTCTCCTCCGTGCCAACAACACGCAGCCTTAGATTCGCCATACCCATCCCGTAATGCGCTTGCCAGAATTTGGCCTGCTCAACGCTGCGCACCAGAGGCTCAGCTTCAATCGCCTTGACGACCTGCGCGACATTGTCTGATTTGGCAGGAAGAGACATGAGGAGCATGGCACCGACATTGCGTCCCAAATGAGCTCCTAGAAAGAGCATGCTCAATGCAATACTCATGGAAAGCACCTTGTCCACCCACTCGTACGTATGCAACGACAGGAGCGGAAGCAGGAGCATAGTGGCGGAGCAGGACAAAGTCAAAAAGTGCGAAGGGTTGCTTAGCAGAGAAGGAAGGTTCTCCATTGCCGCAAACCGCATCGCCTTGCCAATCCGCGCGTGATTCTGCAAGCCGACCGCCGAGATCAATGTTGCAACCAGCGCAAGCATGACAGTCAGATCTACCGTGCCTGCTGACACACGCTCGTGGGCATGAGGATGGTGCGGCTCGTGCCCAATGCCTTCCAGAGCGTGCTTTGCATTGTGCGAGATCAAGTCGAAGCCGAAAAAGATTGATAACACCGAGAGAGCGAAGCCAGCCACAACTTCCATTCGTTGCAAACCGAAAGGATGCCTGAGACTGGATCGTCCCCAGACCTCAAAATTCGACAGAACTTCCACGAAAACGCAAAGCAGCGCCCCCAGCGAATCGTAGAATATTAGATGTGAGAGCGCCTCCATGGCAGCTGATCCGTGAGCGTTCCACATCGCATACCCTGCAACGGCCATATGGCAAATACTCCAATAGAACCGAATATTCTGATCTTTTGTCATGCTGGCTCTACACTCCGCGAAGGTCGGAATCGGCAGGGAATTTGGAAGGGCCAACGGGGCCCGGGGCGGAGGTTCGAGGAAGATCTGGTGCGAAACACTGCTGTGCTTGTACTTGTGGCCACGTCGTTGTCCGATGTTCTGAAGGGGAGAATTCTAGGTCAGCGATAGTACAGTGTGAGAAATCGCAGGTCGCGAATTCATGATACAGAGCCGGAAGACACGTAGGCTGTACACACAGATTTCACCACAGGCGACTTTGCCAACGCCGCCGGCTGGAAATTGAAAGGCCCTGCCCCGTTCCCATTTGCGCTTGATCGGTCAGGAGTTGACGGTGGAAAGTGTGATGCAATAGGCGACGCCATAAGCTCACGTTGTTCGATGTGAAGAGGCGACAGGGTGTTTGTGTCGATTGGAGTATCGGGATCGAATACGGGCAGCCTTTGAGGCGATGCCGGCTCATCTGGGGGAGGCGTGGGAGTGCGAGGGGGTTGAGGAATTGGCATTGAGTCCGCCATGGCCACAATATGACTGCTTGTCGCTGTTGCTGGCTTGCAATGCTGTATAGAGATCGGCGAACTGGAATGCAGAGCTGGTGGGCGTCCCCCCTGTTCACCTCGGTGGAGCGACGCAGGCGAAACTCATAACCTGCGCGAGAGCGGCATACAATGCACCCGGCAGCAGGGGAAAGGAGCACGCTTAGAAGGAAAGATTGAAATCGCAGGATGCTCAATCAAGGAAGCAGACGGCCGTGAATGCATATCGTGGGTACTTTTCTCATACGCGGTGGTCAAGATAGCCAATTGCCGAATTCGGCGTCTGCCAACCATTCGCTGTCACTGCAGACTCGAAATCCGTACACCTTTGCTTCTTGGTAAATATTAACATCTAATCCCTTCGTCATTTCATTACTACTACTGGCAATTCCTTGAGAGCCTGTTACTGATTCCGCGCTTGCTATCTATACGCCCATCACTCTGCAATGAGCCTGGGCGGCCTGCAGCCTGGTGGATGGAAGGTCCACGCGTTGTGTTCTTGGTCGTCCTTCTCCTGTTCATCTTTCTAACTCCCGATCAACCAGGCCGCCGCCATCTGCAGGTTGACACGGAACGGATTGAACGACAACGTCAGGCGGAACTGGAAATCTTGACCAACTCTACCTATGGTCAAATCAATCCCCAGTCGGACAGCTGGCTGAATCTGACTGGATTCCGCCATGACGATGGGTACCGGTGGGAATTGCTTGCCACGGCCCAAGACGTGAGTCGGAAACAGTACGACCGCGCCTGGAAGGGCGTTGATCGCAAGCAAGCACCACCGATTTATGATCGGCTTAGTGGTGAAGTCCGGGGGAAGTTCTCCAGGAAAGATGTCTCACTTCCGCCACCCGTGGTCAATTTGACCCTCCTGGATCCGACCAAGGAATATATGTCCTCCAGCTTCGAGAGGAATATCACGGAACAGGAAGGCGAGCTCAGCCTATCGATCTTCGATTCATCTGATCGCAAGAGTGGCAACGCCTCCACCATTCGGGCTGATCTTTCAATGTGGACCAAATCTTCTCCTGGCAACGGGTGGCAGGCCCGAGTCCTGGGAGTACATCTACCGTCAGGCCAGATCGTCATGTCGACGGCCAGCTCCAAGTTCAACGCTCTCTTCGCACTTCCGCATTTCACATTGGACGTCGAAAGCTTTAACGCTTCCAGGAAGGTTATGAACGAGACCGTACAGCAGATATGGGAGAAAAATTTCGAAGATCAAGTCGACGGCTTAGCCTTTGCACCTCGATGCGAACTCATAGTATGGTTGCAACCACTGCCGAATTTGCCAGGACCCGTGGATCCCGCCGACGCAAAACGCTTTCTTCGCCAGGTTGAACAAGAGCTAGAGCACCCTGAAGGTGCCCCCATTGGCCAACCACCACCACTGAGCTTCTCCGCAGTCGTCTTTTCGCCGGACTGTGGTTACCTCCTGGAGTCTGATGTTGTCTTCGGTCCCAAAATCGAGGCGTATTGGACGCTTGCACAACGGTTGTTGTTCTCCTTCATCATGGTACTCGGGCTCCAAACAGCTCTGCTAAAGCGCCAAATGGACAAGGCCGCGACACCATCCACACGGAGCCGCATTGCCTATCAGAGCATTGTCATTGCCGCTCTAGGCGACGGGCTATTTTTGTTTGCTCTCATTGCACTTCTTATGATTGATGAAGCCGCCTTTTTGATGGTTGCTGCCGCGGCGTTCCTGGCTTGCATCCATGTGGCCTTTCTCGAAGTCAAGTTTATTTTCGACATCTGGACCGTTCAGGTTGGCGATCCAGCACGCGCAGAGCATGAGAGACAGAGAAGGGCCGGAACAACTACAGCTACTGTCCCGACTCCAACTCCAGCCCCTGCTTCAGCCTCAACAAACAGACCGGCCACAGCGGACGAACTACCACTTCCTGCCACTGCAACACGGCCTGACGGTGTCATGCCGATCATCATGCCCTCGGACCAGGACAACCCTGGTCCAGCGGAGATTCCCAGCACCCGGACTTCATTTGCGGCCATCTACAGCCGGTTTTATTTCTCCCTTGTCATGCTCATGTTCTTCTCATTGTGGGCAATGTCTTGGCCCCGACCTCTTCGTTCGGCTTATGCGAACCTGCTTGTCTTTTGCTACTTCTCATTCTGGTGGCCACAAATCTACCGCAATACCATGCGGAACTGCCGCAAAGCACTGCTGTGGGAGTATGTCTGTGGGACGAGCCTGCTCCGCACAGTTCCCATTCTATACTGGTACTTTGCAGATAACAACATCCTCTCCGTTGACACTAGTCCGAGCACAGCCCTGGTGCTGCTGGGATGGCTATGGCTCCAAGTCTTGATACTCGTGAGTCAGCGATTCCTGGGACCACGTCTCCTTGTTCCCGAGTCGTGGTGTCCTCCAGCCTACGACTACCATCCGGTCCTTCGCGAAGATGACGTCGAGGCAAATGGAATGTCTATCGGCCTTCTAGCCTCGGCCTCGGAAGCAAAGGACAAAGACAACAAGACGCGTAAGGTTTTCGACTGTGCCATCTGCATGAACGAGATTGACGTGCCGGTGGTGTCGAAGAATGACGGTGGTCGACCTGGGGTCGTGGGAAGGGGCGCCGGCGCGTCCTGGCTCGAACAGGGCAATTACATGGTCACCCCTTGTCGGCATATCTTCCATGCAGAGTGTCTGGAAAGCTGGATGAATCTGAGACTGGTTTGCCCAGTGTGTCGGGAAGCTTTGCCGCCAGTATAGGGCGGTTGTGCACGAATACGGGCAGGCTGCCATGGCAGGTTTCCCAATTACTGTTCTCGTGCTACTTCACTATTACAGCTATAGTGAATGTAGCTGTGTGTGTCTCAAGGTAGTTAATGTACCCGAGTGTCAATATCATTTGGTGTCTCGTCACTTGTACCAAAATGTCCAGTGACTGGTAGTGACAGTTACGCCCAGCTACAAGCCACCATTGACTTCTCCATCCCCACCTCTGTAGATGTACAACGTTGTATAAATAAGTAGTACCCCGCTACCTCTTCTTCTCGCGCAACCTTTTGTTCTCTACCCACGATCAACTTGCAATCCTGCTCAAAAGCCAACACCAAGCTGTTCTGCGGTACATCCATACTCCTTCGCCCACCCAAGCGTCGTTCGAATCTTTGGATTTGTTCAGCCAACGCAACCGACTAGAAGAACCAAACTGATAGATTCGTTTCAAAATGCCGTCATCCAAGCAGTCGAGCTCCGCGCCATCCAACTCCCAGCCGTCGTACAACCAGATGGCCAAGGAATCCGGGTTCAAAGACCAATACGACCTCACGACCTCTTACGGACTCAACCCTCATAAGAGTGATCAGGCCGCCGAGGGCAGAGCTATCTCTGAAGCACTTTACAAGGCCGGCTCTAGCTCTAAGAAATGAGGACCTACCAAGTAAGTTCAAGCCGAGGTTCAAGTTGTTGAAGCGCACACTGCCAGTTGCAGCCTCACAATTCCGGAATCGCGGCAGCTGATCGCCGCAATGAATTCTAGATCGATGTGAGGACGCATCCATGACCCGGACAAAACACATGGGGCGAAAAGCACAGCAGTGAACCCGGAGCGAACTTGTCTTCAGTATTACGCGCATGCTATCGAAGCCGGTGCGTGCGGATGGACAGACTGATTCCTGAGATACTATGGGGATCAGTCAAAGGGCTGTCACCGTCAAGGTTCTGAAGTGGTCGCGAGGTCTGGAGCCGACTCGGATCATAGCTAGATTACTGCAATTCATCCAATATCATGTTCCAGCAGTCTTCTCTCGTTGTTTTTGAATCCCATTTGAGCACAGCTACTAGATACTGATCGCTGGTGTCGCCGTGTACCGAAATAGTACTTTATTAGTACTAGTGATTAACATCATAGACCCTAATTCGACCTCCTCAGCAATTCAACGCCCCTGTGTCTCCCTTGTGGTGATCGTTCCAAAGTCCTTTTCATTGCCAGGCACATCAGTGCTGCGGCATGACAACCAGTGTATGCTGAGTGCATGTCTTCAAACTTGATACAATCGCTCGCTGTTAATTGGTTCACTCGATATGAAGCGGTCGGCAATCTCATGCGCTCCTTGCTACTGGACCACTGTTATCTTCGAGGTCTGTCGGATATCGCGACTGCTGAACCCTACATTGACCCCGATGGAGCCTGACGGAATCACCCACTCCTGCAACCCCGTCGACCAGTAACTCAGATCACGTCGGGTCAGGTCAAACGACACCCACCGACTCTCGCCGGGGTTCAGTGTGACTTTGTCGAATCCGCGCAACACGTTCACCGGCGTCGGCCCTTCGCCAGGGATCTGGGGTAGGGACAAGTACAGTTGCGGTACAGTAGCTCCCAACTTATCGCCAGTGTTGGTCACGGTCACGTCGGCTCTGTACAGCACGCCCCAAAGTGAAGGATTGCCCCCTGGTACCGGGGCAACCGGGTCGGGCAGGGCGCTGACATTTCCAGGCACTGTGCTTGTGACACTCAAGCCGGATAAGTTGAAGGTCGTATATGACAGGCCAAACCCAAACTCGAACGCGACAGACTGGTTGTAATAGTCAAAGTGCCGATAATCAATCAACAATCCTTCGGTGAAGTTGGATTGCCACGCATTGGGGTCTTCAGTTTCGACCAATTGCGTCGAATTAGTGATGTCTGCGAAGGTATAGTCGCTCTCGTTCCATGCGATAGTGTAGGGCAGTCTGCCACTCGGATTGACTATACCGTAAAGAATATCGACCAACGAGTTGCCCGATTCCTGGCCCGGCAGGTGAGCAGCCAATATGGCTGTCACGTTCGGGTTCTCCGCCCATGGCATGACATTGAGGCCGGCCGAGTTTGTGATCACTATTGTGTTGTTGCAGAGAGTAGTGACAGATTCCACGACCGCTGTGCTGTTCCAGTCTGCATCCAGGCTAGTGCGATCGATCCCTTCTGAAGCCCAAGACTTCAGAAAAACAAGGCAGACCTCTGGTATAGGGGCGATGAACTGGAGACCCCCGGGGCTAGCGACCAGTGTGTTGTTCAAGATGTACTGCAATAGTGTACCGTCTTGGATGGCGCGTGCTTTCAAGGCTTCTAGTGGCGACACAAGGTACGTTAAACGACCGGTTCCACTCCCGCCGGCGACAGGGAGATTCCCATATTCTAATTGCGTTGTTAGTGATGATTGGTTTTACGGCGTCGGGAACGAAAAAAAGAGTGTTGAGCGCCTTACCAAAGCCATATTGATTGTCGAAGGCGGCTCCAGAAAAGTACTCTCCATTGACTAGATCGCCGGCGTCGTTCCCAAACACCCCGATCGACTTTGGACTTTGCAATGGGAGAACGTTGTTTGTGTTCTTGAGTAACACCGTGCCTGCAGAACCCAGCTGGCGGATGAGCTGAGCATGGTTGTCCCGGACGTCGACGTTGGAAGGCCCGAGAATAAACTGCCCAGAATAGGGTGGAAAATTGTCGTTCAAAGTCGGCTCCTCACCGTCAATGGGAGGGTATTCAGTTTGTTGGAGGTAGAAGTAGGGTGTCATAATACGCCGAATCATGTCATCAACTCTCGCCTCCAGCAGTGTGCCGTTGTTGACCGCTTCTGTCAAGTTGCCGCCGAAGAAGGAGGAATTTTGAACGGGACCAAAACCAATGGGACCTGAATGTTACTGTCAGCCAAACAGTGACCTGTGATCACTGCTTCTTGTAAGTCTTACCTGGCATGTCCATATCTAGTCCACTGTTGATAGCACTGACTCCGGAATGAGTGGCGCCCCAGTCTGACATAACATAGCCTTGGAACCCCAATTCCGTCTTCAACAGGCCGTTGAGTGTCTTGGAATTTTGACAACCGTAAGAACCATTGATCCTGTTGTATGAGCACATGATGGACGCAACGCCCGCATGAACACCATTGGCGAATGGCCACAGGTACAGCTCATGGATGGTTCGGTCGTCAATATTCGAAGACACAGCTTCAATCGTGACATTATCAGGAGACAGTGAAGGGTTCCGCTGTGTTTCCTGTTCGTTGCCGATATAGTGCTTGAGACACGCCTGAATACCGCTTCGCTGCATCCCTGAGATCGTCTGCTCAACAGCTACACCTGTGAGATACGGGTCGGGAGAGAAGCCTTCCCAGTTGCGCCCACCATAGGCGGAACGGCCCAAGGGCCCAACGACGGGACCCAGTGCGACGTGGCTTCCTTTGCCCTTGAACTCGGCTCCCAAGTACAGTCCGCGAACATACATGAGTTCCCTGTCCCAGGAGGCAGCAGTTGTGAGTCCTGCAGGGAAAACAGACGCGTAGGTGGCTTGTCTTATTGCCAGAGGTCCATCTTGAAGACACAGGCCGTTAAAGCCCAAACGGGAGATGGCAGCAATGTTCCCAACACAAGGACCTGAAGTGCCGGTCACGAGTTGGGCCTTTTCGTCCAAGGTCAGGTTCGAGACGAATGCTTCCGCTTGACTGAAGGCGCTTTCCCAACCGATGCCGGACGTGGGAGGGCTAGGGTAGACCGGAGGCGAGGTGCCATAATCTTGAGCACAAGCTGAGTTCAACAAGGCGAGCGAAACCGTCCAAATAGCGAAGGGCTTCATTCCTGCGGCGTGAACATATGCAACCAATCCTGAATAGAACGAAAGCAAGGCGGTGTAATTATAGTGGTCCACCTCATGTACTAACCGAATGCTTTTACCTTTCTGCAAGAATCGCAACGGCAGGAATAACAGTGTCCAGGAGACCTCTGGCAACAGCAGGGGGGCTATGCGCATATAGTAAACACAGCCGATGATTATTTGCTTTTCTGAAGGGATCGGTGCAGTGGTAGCCGCTACGTAGGTTATCACCCCAGCAATACCGGGCAGGAACCAGGTGTTATATGGCACATCCGCGAAGACTGCGGGGGAGTGTAGATGACGGTGCCCTTTGATCCTAGTATCTTAAACGTTGTTGACAGATGCCGTAGAGGCGAAGGCTGAGGACGAAGACCGGGGTCCAGTGGCTACTTCACTGCATGTCATGCGATGTTACCTTGACTCGGTAGTACGCAACCCGAAGGCATATTTCTGAGCCTCACGAGAACGGAGCCCCCATTCCCCTGGCTTCAAACCCACCTTTTTGCTTCCCTGCCTGCGGCCTTCCTCATTCGTTCGAGGTCGTTGATGATCGACTGCATTTGTCGCGGCACCCCGCATGGCAGTGGAAGGGACAATCGGGAATCGGCAGTGCTTCGGGTCTGGCAAACAGGAGGACACGCTACCGGCCTGGTACACGCATGTCTGGAGTGAAGTTTCAGTAGGGTCTCCTCCACCGCAGCGTGGCTGGTGTTGGAATGGATTGCAGTGGTGGCTGGTTCCCACCGCTCTATGCCAAATCGTGTGTGGAAGATCACGGAGAGTACAAGCTGCAACCGCGCGTGAAGTGACGGAGAAGCAACACGTCCTGCCAGTGTCACAGAGCCATTTCACGCTCGAGAAAGCGGAGTTCGATCTACTCGAATGCAGACGACATGAACTCGGGGTGTATGGTTGCAGGCTGGAACAGTTCCAGGAGAATGTCCTGGATTGCTAGAATTGCTGTTGTCAAGTCATGGATATCGCTGGGTGCCAGTTATCCAGTCTGGCTGGTTGAACCTCTGCTGTACGTCGTCGGGACATTTTACAAACTGTAACGATGGACGTCGATTAGAACTCGAACAGAATGTCTCGGTACCTATGATTGAAGGTTTTTTTTTTTGCGCGCGGAGGGAAATACTACTGCGAAGTGCTATACTACATGGTCTGTGCTTCCGCTCCGCTGTAAACTGCTGCGCCTGCGTATATGGCTTGCTTTTGTTATGCGAGAATGACGGCGTGTTTACTCTGGGGCCGCACCACGTTATACTATAAGTCTACTAGTACTGCTCACGAGGGAACATACTCGTCTGGCTGCGCAGCCAATTTTCCCTCCCGCAATATGCACGTCGGGCTTTCAGGGCTTTGCCATGACTGGCTCGATACATGGCCTCACCGAGTCCACTGAAACGCCCACCCCGTTCCCCAAGATCGAGGACGAGGTCAACAGCCATGAGAAAGAACAGGGCGAGGGCAGCAAGGTGAAAAGGCGACCCGAACTAAGTGGCAGGAGGACTGTCTCGGGGAATATCCTCTCGAGATTGGCATTTCTGCGGACACACAGTAGTGATCAAGTCAAAAGCAGCGGTGCAAAAAGAGATGGCCTGGGGGCACAACATGCCGGCACGGGAGCCATGGTGGAGGCTCAGGCCCACGCGAAGCGGAAAAGGAAAGGATCTCTCCGGAAGACAGTTTTGGGCAAAGGAAGAGACAGAAAGTGTTCTGAAGTGAAGAGGTCACCGCTGGCAGGCGCAGACTCTTCTACTGCGCAAAGCCCCGAAGAAGAACAAGCGCCGCCGGCACCAGGAGTCGCCCAAGAGCTGTCCAGTCCCACCTCTCCGGAGTCTCCTCCCTCATGGCCTTTTCGAACTTTGTCGCGGGTTTCGATTCCCTCGATTCGTAGCAGCATTGCGTCCATCGATCCCGCCTCATCTTTTGCTTCGGTGACCAGCCCGACCATGCCACCAACCGATGCTTCAACCGACGATGAAGACTTATCACTCCCTCAAATGCCCCTACTACGGAAACTACCCTCCTCCGCATCCTCGATGGGCGACTCTTACTTCTTGCTTCAAGATCCTGTGCGCCGCATGTTTGGTTCTCGTGCTCGTTCACCGCTGGCGACCCAACCTCAGTCGGTCGCAGGCACACCGCCCGAGGACGAAGGCTGGGATTATTCGGAAACCGCATTTTGGGGTTATGTGATACTGATTGTCACATGGATCGTTTTCGTTGTCGGCATGGGCTCATCTTTCGGCGTCTGGTCTTGGGCTTGGGATGTAGGAGAAACGCCGTACGCGCCGCCAGAGCTGGAAGATGATCCAACCTTGCCAATTGTAGGCTACTATCCGGCTTTGCTGGTGCTGACATGCGTGATGGCTTGGGTGTGGGTCGTGGTGGCCTGGGTGGGCATGAAATATTTCAGACATGCGGATTTCAAGGGCGACGATGGATAGACTCTGCCGCTACACATTATGCGGGTTGTGAGGCCGAGAATCAGAAAGGCCACATAGAATGAGATTGTTGTACATGGGAACTCTGATCGCTGTTGCGCCTCCAAAACCTCAATCCGACTTCTCTGCAGCTCCGGGTATTCATTCTGATCTAAACGCCGACCAACTCATAACCTGCCCGTTCCTCTCCCAAACTCCTTCAACTTCGACACTACTGTTTCACGACACCTAAGCCCGGAGTGGCTCATTTCTTCCGCTTACGATAGCTCCATTCTGTAGGTGAAAGTTGGCCATTCTTGAATGAAAATCGGCTAGCTTTTCCTTGACGATATAGCCACCGGCGGCGGCCTCGACTTCGTTGCGGGGCACTGGTGTTCCTGCCATTGTCGTGGGAGTTTCCGTACCACCACCTGGAGCCTTTGATACCAATCCCTTGGATCTCGCAAAGCCGGTGGAGCGCTCCGTCGATGGATCCTCGTCGTAAAATTCGTCCTTGATTGGCCGCACATAAACTGTCTGGTTGCAAATTGTCACGATCGTGTTCGTAGGAACGGACAGCCAGTTATGCCTTTCAAATGTCAAGGGCTCGCTGGCGACCAAAACCACATCCGATGCCTTATCTCTCCGTTCCATTCTAAACTGCCCTTTGGTCTTTCCTTCCACCCAGGCCGTACCGGAGGAATAGTATAAGCTGGCAGCGGCGTCGGTCTTGCTGCTGACATACCTCGTCACAATGACTGAATGCCCATCTGTGACAGCGAAATTCAGCAAACTTCTCGTCTCGACGTCGTCGAGCTGGTGTTCGGTGGAGACGGCTTTGACAAAAGCATTGATCTTGGCAATCGTTTTCTTCATGGCTCGTCGAAGCACCTTAGTTTCAAACCCGCCTTCAGGTTCCGAGCTAGGATCAACTCCTTCCCGCTCCAAGGTGTCCAGGAAGAGGGCGAATGCCCACTCAGAATCAGTGCCACCTTTCACACCAAGGAACCATTTGTCCGCGAGACTGGCAGCAAGTGGTCGTTTGACATACTTCCACGCCCCGACATTTCCATTATGCATCCACATCAGGGTATTGTGCTGGAACGGGTGACAGTTGTTCTCCGCCAAGGAGCCTTCGGTAGTCGCTCGAACATGAGCAAATATCAAATTGGACGCGGTCTTGGGTGCTATCCGCTCCAGGTTGACACAGTTCCATGCCGGCAAGGTGGAAGTGAAAATACATGGATCCGGGCCGAGCTCTGGCTCGGTGTACCAGCCTACCCCAAACCCATCTCCGTTGACCGGACGTCGGCTGTCAAGACGGAGACGACTGTCGTAGGACTGGGTCAGAATGCTGTGAGATGGTTCGGTGATGAGCTTGGAGAGTATGATAGGCTTGGAGCCTTTGTAGACCTAATCGACGTTTAGTATCCTATATCCATGTCAGGTCTGCTTCATTGTACGCACAAGAAATCTACACATATTGGCCGCAAAGCGACGAAACAAGGGTATCGAGTCTGGCAATAGAGAGCAGAGAGGTCATGTGTTCACTCGAGGACATTCTTTCTCAGTCAACATGAGTGGCGAGGATGATGTGACTCAAAGAAGCGTGAAGCTTCGAAAAGATACTCTCAAAGTCCCAACACCAACAACGCCCATAGAAAGTGAGAAAAAGAGAGAGACGGTGAGCCAGAGAGGGACATATATGGTCTTAGATTGCCATTGTGAAACCTGCAGGGTTGTCTGTTGCAATTGCGATAAATCAATCAAGAATGAGCCTGGGACCTCACCGCCATCTGCAGCACGGCACCATCCACTGATATCCGAGCAGTTTCTTTGTAATTGTGCCTGGCGTGAAGAGTTCCGCCGTACCTGCGTGAAGCTGGTGGATGCTCCCATGTACTCGCGCTCAGTCCTCCGCCTGGTGGCCAGTGCAGCTTTGCCGTGCAGTGTATACACCCTGGTCTGCAGCCAACCAAACCGTCATTTCCTCACTCTTCGCCATCCGAGATCTTGTTGCCCGAACGCATCGAACCACCGAATCTTCCTTTGTTGAATTGCAGTCTTTTTACATATCGCGACCTCGCATTCATGCTTGATCCGGACTTGTGATGAATGGTAGGCTTCTCTCTGCGAGGGTCGCACCGTTGTTGCGCCGGCCAGCGGCGCGTCTCTTCAACAATTATGCCCGATCCAGAGCCGGTGGCCTTCTGAGGCCGGAGGCACGTATCCCACAGCAAAGATGGCCTCCGGGATCTAACTCTATTCACAATGTACCCGCCGTGCGTTCGATATCCTTTGTCAGAATCCTTCCCAAATTGGCCCTCAAGATGGCACGACTACCTGCTATGTTTGGTGCTAGTATGCTGGCGGGACTGGCCTATATACAATATCAGGCGGCGCAGGCTGGTTCCTATGCGATGGATGTGCTGAGAAATGCTGGGGATACCGTAACGGGGGCTTCATCAGCCATCTTTGACGGAGCCAAAGGGATTGCGGATCAGATCGGTGCAGGTTGGCAACGGACGAAAGAGGATGCACATCTCCCCGAATGGCTCCAACAAATTTTCGAGAAGAAGGAGGAGTCTGGTGAACAAGGCTCTGGCCCTGACCCGGACCCGCCTAAAAAGACGACACATGCCGCTGCGCTCGCCGGGTCGGCTGCTGCCTTGGGCTTCGAAGTGATAAACGAGGAAGACGAACGAAAGGAGGCCGAAGACGATCAAATGATGGTGCTGACTAGAAAAATGATTGAAATCCGAAATATGCTGAACACCGTGGGTCAAGGTGGTGCGCTCACGCTGCCCTCCATTGTTGTCATCGGCTCCCAGTCTTCCGGGAAGAGTTCAGTGCTGGAAGCAATCGTCGGGCATGAGTTCCTGCCCAAGGGCACCAATATGGTCACCAGGCGCCCGATTGAACTGACTCTTGTCAATACTTCTGATTCCCAAGCGGAGTATGGTGAATTTCCGACTCTAGGTATGGGCAAGATAACCGACTTCTCGCAAATTCAGCGAACTCTAACGGACCTTAACCTTGCCGTTCCCGCTGAACAATGTGTCACTGACGAGCCGATTCAACTCTCCATCTACTCTCCTCACGTTCCAGATCTCTCTCTCATTGATCTGCCCGGGTACATCCAAGTATCGGGCAAAGACCAGCCACCCGAATTGAAACAGAAAATTGCCGACTTGTGTGACAAATATATACAGCCACCTAATGTCATCTTGGCTATTTCAGCTGCTGATGTTGACCTGGCCAATTCCACTGCTCTCAGGGCTAGTCGACGAGTCGATCCCCGTGGTGAAAGGACGATTGGAGTCATCACCAAAATGGATTTGGTGGACCCGCAGCGCGGTGTCGAAATACTGTCCGACCAAAAGTATCCGCTACGTCTAGGATATGTGGGTGTCGTCTGCAAGATTCCACAGACGGCAATGCTTTTTGCCCGAACAGGCCACAATCTGACGGACGCCATCGTGAAGAACGAGCATGCGTATTTCTCATCTCACCCGTCTCAATTCGGACCCGGGTCGCAGGTCGCTGTGGGAACAACCACGTTACGGCATAAGTTGATGCATGTTCTTGAGCAGAGCATGGCAGCAAGCCTTGCAGGCACACGAGACGCCATTATTCAGGAATTGGAAGAAGCCACGTACGAGTTCAAAGTGCAGTACAACGACAGGCCTTTGAGTGCCGAGTCTTACCTGGCAGAAAGCTTGGACAGCTTCAAGCACGCATTCAAAGAGTTCAGTGAACAATTCGGCCGGGCCCAAGTTCGGGCCTTGCTGAAAGAGGTGTTGGACCAGAAGGTCATGGATCTGTTGGCCAAAAGATACTGGAATAAGCCGCTCGAAGACCTATCTCCGGCTCAGCCCGAAGTCGACCCGTTGTCCAATCTGCCCAAGGCTGATCCGAGCTCATTATATTGGCAACGAAAGTTGGATGCCTCCACGTCAGAACTGACCAAATTGGGTATCGGCAGACTTGCTACGACTGTTGTGGCTGCAGAGTTACAGCGCCATGTCGACAGGTTGATTGCCGCGTCTACTTTCGCCGCACATCCATATGCACAGCGCGCCATCGTCGATGCATCTTCCAGTATTTTGAACGACCGTTTCTACAGCACCAGTGATCAGGTCGAAAACTGCATTAAGCCTTTCAAGTTTGAGATAGAGGTGGAGCCAAACGAATGGAGCAAAGGGCGCGAAAACATCGGCCGCGTGCTCAAGAGCGAACTCAAAGCCTGCGAAGCAGCGCAAAGACGGCTCGAAGACAGCATCGGCCAGAAGAGGCTGAGAGATGTGATGGCATTTGTGGACCGGGTTAGGAAAGGGGACGTTGTCCTAGAAGGGAACGGCACTGGTGGTGCGGGAGGGTTTTCGGCAGATCTCTTGCAAAAAGGTGAGCATGCTCAACATAATTTTTGAATTCATTTCAACTGATGTACACAGGTCGGGAAGCCGTTTTCCTCCGTGATCGAGCCGACATCATCAAAATGCGCCTCTCGGCGGTCAAATCCAAACAGTGCGCCAATCTCAAGAACAAATACTATTGTCCGGAGGTATTTCTCGATGTCGTCGCAGACAAGCTGACCTCTACCGCCGTACTCTTCCTCAATGTTGAGCTTCTCTCCGAGTTCTATTATAATTTTCCGCGAGAGTTGGACATGCGGCTCGGTCGCCATCTCGATCACGCCGAAATCGAGCGGTTCGCCCGCGAAGATCCCAAAGTCCGCAAACATCTCGACCTCATCAAACGCAAGGAGATGTTGGAAATGGTGTTGGGGAAGATCGAGAGTTTGCGCCAACTGGAAGGTCGGGTGAAGCAACATGCCCAGGTGCCGCCGCCCGTCAAAGAGAGAGGGCGATGGAGCTTGTTTTGATGATACACGATACCATAATGTAGCGGGCGTTCGGTTGGGGTATTTGATAGACGTAAGACGTATGAAGCTCCTCTCGCGTCCATTATATTGAAACAATTGAGCGCAATTTTCGCCGTGTTCACTGCGACAAGCCTCTCACCCACTTGGGCTCGAAAAGTGCGCCGGACAGCCCGTCTGCGCTTTGTGCTGTTGAATTCCAGGGAATATCACCCGTCTGTTCCTCGATCGCACCATTTACGCCACCCAATTTGTCGCCAATCTTGACCACAGAAAACCGAATCATACGCGGGTCGAGACTCAACATCCGCCGAACTTCTTGCTGAACCTTGACTGGAGCGTCGAATTGCATGATGAAGTAATGCCCTTGGTGGTGCTGGGTTTGATGTTTCGTCGTTGGGCGAGGGAGATCGAACTGTCCCCAGTTCTTTAGGCCACGAATCACACCTCTATTATCGAGAACTTGCTGGCCTGCAATCCGAGCGATTCTAGGTATTGTTAGGACATGTTCAGTAAGCGAACGAAAAGGACGGTAGAGACGTACTCTTTGACATGAGAAAGGTTGCCCGGCCGGACCTGTATCGGGTCAATCAACTATTTCCAAATTCTCTTCCGCAAGGGTTGAAACATACCACGGCTACCAGTTCGTAGAGCATCGTCGTCACAAGGCTGGATCTCACTTGAATGATAACGGACACTTGAACTTTCAATGGCAGTCCTTTCGCGGTGTTGCAAGTTGCGCATGGAAAAGTCGATACGTTCAATCATTTGCGGCGCCGGTGTAGCGGTACGGGGGAGCATACACGCCCGCCTTGGCCCGTCACTGCAAGATGTGCGTAGCGGGTTTGTCGCCGGTCACTGGCCTGGGGGTGCGCCTTCGCCCGTCTGCGGAGATGCCAGTAGTATATTGTAGTTGTAGTAGTTCTACAGAAAGAAGCCTCGCTTGGTTGACCGCCGCACTGCTCTGGATTATCATATTTGCAAGCCCTTTTTCAGTGCCTGTGTATCTCTTTTCTTTCTCGAGGTCCATTGCTGAGTAGACTACCCGGACGATGAGTTCCCCAGTTTTGGCCCGGCTGTTCCCAACAGTCACCCGAGCAGCCAGCCGCGCAGTCACAAAGTCACACCCGTCGCGCATCTCCTCGTCATCCCAATGGACACTCTTCTCGAGAAGACCTTTCTCCTCTAGGTCGCCCTGTACGTGATTTCCCAGCGGACCTCAAGTGGCGCGCTGGTTTTAACTGAGGCGGACTAGTGTTTGTGAAGAAATATACAGAAGACCATGAATGGATTGAGTTGGACGCAGACGGCAAAACTGGTATGATCTAACTGCAGTTTTTTCTCCTGCTACACAGCTCTTACGCGGTCTTGCAGGCACCATCGGAATCACAGAATATGCAGCGAAAGCGCTTGGTGATGTTGTCTATGTCGAGCTCCCGGAGATAGGGATGGAGGTGTCCAAGGGAGACACCATTGGTGCCGTTGAATCAGTGAAGTCGGCGTCGGATATCCTGACACCTGTTTCTGGAAAGATCACGGACCATAACAAAGTGCTGGAAGAGAAGCCGGCTACGATCAACAAGAGTCCAGAGGCGGACGGTTGGCTCGCGAAGATTGAGGTGAGCGATGCAGCTGAGCTGGACAGCTTGATGTCCAAAGAGGACTACGACAATTTCGAAAAGGAATGAGCATCTACACACCCAGGACGATTTCAACATCACAGGGATCATGCCTCTCCAACGGTGTTCGAATATAGGCATATTGCATGCCTGGTACTGTATACAATAATGTTTGCCGAATACATTGGGACAAATACATTTTGGATATGGACAGTGACCATTCACCCTCAAGCCCAATTTCACGAAAGCCTTCCCATTACCCAAGCTGCTACATTGCTCCCCATGAGTCCTCAGGCCCATGAGTCCTCCTTCACTGATCCAGCTCACCCACCTGTCCATGGAGTCCGCTCGGAGACGTGTCTTCCAACTTATGGCTGTGCTTTTCCGGATGCACCTCCACATCTGCCTCGAACCCATCGTCGCTGTCGGCTTCTCCCAGGAATGCTGCATTGCGAGCATCCAGTGGTTCATGTTTATCTCCCTCTGCCGCTTTCCTTGCCTCGAAAGCATCGTCAGAATCTGCCTCTCCCAAGAAAGCAGCGTGTTTGGGATCCAAAGGCTCATGTTTGTCTCCTTCTGTTTCTCTTTTCACCTCGAATGCATCGTCAGAATCGGCCTCGCCCAGAAACGCGGCATTTGTGGCGTCTAATGGTGGGGCTGGGGCGCCGTGACTGTCTCTCAGGGCATCGTGGCCGTCGTTGCTGTCAGCTTCACCCAAGAATGCTGCATGTTTACTGCCGTGCGAATCTTCCCTCTGACCTGCCACGGTGAAGTCTGGTGGTGGCTGTTTAAATCCCTGACCCCCGGCGCCAGCTGCAGTGCTTGCAACACTGGGCCCAACTCTGCGAAGAGACTGATGTAGGCATCGACGAGCAGCCGGATGGGAACCGAAGCTCAAGGCTGCCACCCTGGAGGCTGAAGCGAGGCCGAGCAGGAGCGGGCGTGCTGGCATTGTGCTAGATTAGTTACGAAACAAAGCTGTTGGATTGTGGGATATGTGTAACGGATACAGGCACTTGTTGATCACAACTGGAGGCAGCTTTGAAGGAGAGAAGTCACCGATTTCGTATACCTTGCTGATGCTTTCAGACGCAAGAGGGGTCTTTGTGCTTGTGCCCCATCACCTGATTGAAACTTCTACGGAGAGCTTGCGTCGCAGCTCCTGGATGGCCAATGTATATCGCTCAATCATCTGCACCGCTGCACAAACATTGACCAAAATCCGTCACTCCATCTGCGGGGGACCCTGCAAAGTCTGGGGTTCGAGCAAAGATGGGTGCTCTAGCGGTCCAATCATTGAACGACGCATCCGAAGATTCCGAGCATGTGTACACACTGCCACTGCAGTGGCACATGAAAGAGACAAGGGCTCCGAGTTCGAATAGCAAGGTCAATAAGCTTATAGTATGAGCTCGCAGACTGAGGCTCAGTGGCAAATTGCTCCGTATGGAGAACATGCCTGAACCATGCCTACCTTAGGCCACCGCACACCACATTACGCGCAATGAACTCTGAGCGCTCCCCATAGAGTCAAACGTGCATGCTTCTTAGACATGTCGATGTATCCAATGTCCATTTGATTGAGATTGCAGTTGAGTTGTGCTAGGCTTAAATACAGCCACGAGAGCTACTGTGTAGTTGCTCTGAAAGACAAAGAACCCGTGGAACAAGGTGAATTCCCACGTCAGATGAACTTTTGCAGGAGAGGGCCCAACTCGTCCGAAGGTAGGCATATCGCCTTTGCAGGATCAGCATTGCGAAAACTGCAGATGAATTTGCGCATGATTTCAGTCTGACCTTGGCCCGGCCACGCATCATGCAGTACTGACTGCTTGCCGGGTTTTCTCGTTGTCGGCTTGCTTAAGCTCCCTGAGAATCTTCTTGCGCCGGGTCCTGTCCGCTGTGGCCGCATGATCTCCAAAGACACGATCCATGTCCTCGAGGCTTCGTCCCTTGGTTTCAGGCACGAAGAACCACGTCCAAATACCGCTCAACGCACAGAACACTGCGAAGAAAGTGTAGGCTCCGAAACCGCGAGTGTTCTGGATTAGCGGAGGCGTGATCAAGCCGATGATAAAGTTGTTGAGCCAGTTACTGCAAGTGCTCCAGGCAACGCCTTTGGCTCGCAAGAAACTGGGGAATATCTCAGACGGCATGGCCCACGGCACCGGCCCGTAGGTCATGCCGAAGATAAGCATGTAGACAAATAGAAAGGCGACGGCAACCCAACCCTTGTCCTTATGATCTGCCCATGTGTCAAAGTATAGGCCGACGAGGACCGCGATGATTATGTGGGAGATGGTCATTCCAATGCTGCCCAGGAGAAGAAGAGGACGGCGGCCGAATTTATCCATGGTGTAGAGCGATGTCGAGACACCCACGAGCTGAGTGACGTTCAGGACTCCCGACAAGACTAGGCGCATGTTGTATCCGATACCCATGGTCTCGAACAGCGAGGGTGAATAGTATATCAGTGCATTGATGCCGACAAATTGCTCTGGTGGGATCACATGTCAGCAACGGTGAAAACATTTAGGAGTCGAGAGCCAAGGTCGGCAGGATAAAGAGGATCCGGCGCAAAAAGGCGACTCACGAAAGAACATCAGCCCAATGCCAACCATGGTGCGGCGCCAATAGCCCTGCCTGAAGCAATCGACATACGCTGACAGTTCGAACTTGATCGCAGCCCAACGAGACCGCTGACCTTCAGCAGCCAAATTTGGATGTTTCTTTCGGCCGACCTCTTTGTGGAATGCCACTTCCGCCCGAATGTCGAGCCATTCGGCCTGCACTCTCGGATCATCTGCCGACACCTGGCGTAGCTTGACCAGGGCTTCCAGGGCTTCTTGATCTCTGCCTTTGGATACCAACCACCTAGGCGAGAAGGGGATGAAGAGGACTGCTATTCCCAGCAAAATGGCAGGGAACATCTGAAGCAAGAATGGGAGGCGGTACGACCATTCGCCGCCAATGTACCGAGTCCCGAATGTCAGCCAGAAGGCACAGATGATGCCAAACACGATGGAGAACTCTTCGAGCACGAGGAGCGTGCCTGTACACCGTCAGCGCTGTCTAGAGGTACACGGGGGCACTTCAACCTACCTCTAATTTCGGGAGGCGACACCTCAGCAATGTACATTGGCACAACCATGCTCATCCTACAGCAGTCATTAACCATGGATTGTCTCGCTTGAATGAAAGTCCAAACTCACATGCCGACGCCAATGCCACCGATCAGTCGACCAACCACGAGCATGGCATAGTCCTGCGCCGCCGTCTGCAGCACGGAACCCACTACGAAAATGCAGACCGCGACACATATCGAATATTTGCGTGAAATCTTCTCCGCAACCCAGCCTTGATTGAACGCGCCTTTGATGGGAAATGGTCAGAAAGGAAAATATCACGGAGCAGGACATCCTCACCGATAAGAGCTCCCAGCTCAATCATGGCCGTCATGAATCCTTTCCAAAACCCGCCTCCACTCGCGGTATCGGAGACGCGAGGAAAATCGTCTAGGAATTGGTCCATGACGAGAATGATAGAGACCACTCCTTGGTCTAAGGGTACGATCGCATTCCCATATCAGCACAGTGCGCACCATGTGCTTTGCGCATGTTTTCTCACCGTATCCGAACAAGAAGCCGCCCAACCGGACGACGAAGGCACACAGAACAACATATTTCGACTGAAAGGTCCCTCGAAACCCTGTGGATGGCCCCAATCAGCAAGCCGCCCCTGTCTTTGGGCCTTTGAGGGTTCGGCCCCGAAATCTGGACCAAATCCGCGCAGACTGCTCGACTCACCTGGCTTAACGTAGGTATCCTGCAAAACGACGAGGGGATCGTCTGGGGTTATGTCGTCGTCGGCCTTGCCATATTGGCCTTCCAAGTTTTCCGTCATCGATGTCACTTGTACCACAGTTGTTGGTGTACGGGGTGGGATTGAGGTTGCTTCGTTTGAATTTTGCCGAACCACACGACGCGCGCACTGCTGCTGCTGTTGTTACAATATCTGCCCACAATCGGTTATTATATGTGCGACTTTCCCCATTGAAGCTTGTTGATCTTTGACCTTTTCAATAATAGCCCCAATCATTAGTGGGGGGATGGGAAAGTTCCGTATTCACGTCTAGTGAAATTGCTGACTGTGGCTATCTACATTGGCTGTGTTACTATGTACTTTCTACTCCGGCCTGAGCCGCGATCACCGATGCGACAACGTAGCGCCGCCTCCGCGCTCCACGGCGAGAGAGGCCGCAATCAATGTGGCGGAAACCGACTATGTTGATGGTCACGAGGTCTGTGTGGGATCCAATCGTTGCACAAGACTGTAAAGACGCCAATGCCAAAAGGCGGGGGATCTCCGACCGACAGTCTCCTCGCGTGCCACATCGCTTCGAGTTCAGATCGGGCACTGGAAGTGGTGGAAGGATTCTTAACGTTTCCAACACTGACGTTGCCGTTGACATTCAGGAGTATAATGCCTGAACTGGCGACACAGGCAGACGTTGCACTAACCGAGCCGAGAGCCCGGAGGTGACGAGGATGCTGAGGTCCTTTTCAATGTTGTACCTGACAGGCTGTAGCCGCTGTACAGGACAAGTCTAACCTCTACATTCTCAGAGAGTCACCTCACTGTGGGCAATCCGCTGTGATGAGGGCTTGAACTTGAAAGAAGGGAAGCCGGAGCGGGAGACGACTAACCTCCACATCTGCTAGTAGTGAGCTTTGAGCTGGTGTTGATACCCGGCGATACTTGTGTACGATTGGGCCCTCAGGAACCATGCCATGCCAGGGGCTTTCTTTGATTGCGCTTGAGGACCATGCGAACAGAAACGCATAATCCATGGAAAGACAGCTTCATTGTTTTGACCGATTATTGAATTCTCTACTCTGGAGCCCAGCATCCATGCTCGTCAAGGTCAGCAATGGTTACAACGCCGAGTCTTCTTACTTGTTCCTGGCCAGCAGCTTGAAACAGAGGGGTCTGAAAGTCTGTGCTAGCCACATTCGTGCAACGATCGATGCGCTGCCGTTCTCATCAAATGTGGTGCGACGAGGCTCAGTTTTCAACCACCAGAATGGCATACGGTACATTGCAGGGTTGGGTAGCATGCCTTGTATGATTGACCAGCTCACAAGCAGGGCTAGCTGCGTGTCCACTCAACATGTCCATATCGCGATCCCGCCTCCTGATGCTTTGACACCCTTACCGAACTGTTTGCGTTTACGCGTTTCAAGGTGGCAGGCGCCGTTGCACTGCATGAATTTGTCCATAGAGAGTTCCACGGCTCAACGACGCTTCGTGGGCAATCTTACCATATACGTGTCGAAAGGGCGCAACGTGTGGAAGGATCTTCAAACAATGCTCACTCTTCTCCACCTCACACAGTGGCCCTTGTTCACGGCTTTAGCTGTTGAGCGCCGAGAATGTAGCAGGCTGAGACGTCCACCAAGTCCATCGACTGCAGCCTAGCGTATATATTTTCCTCTCCCGATCGTTCTGTACACAAAGGAGCCATGAAGGGAGCGTCTCAGGCCGCGGCGGTCTCCCGATGGCGACGGACTCTAGGCGGTCGCTTGTAAGAACGAATGTTCGGACCGGCATGAATACGGCGGTAGTGAGAGGGCACGCAGCGCAGCGGTTGATCGTTGATCCTGAGCATCGAACTCTGCCAGTGCCAAACAAAGCACCTACTCGTGTTGACGGTTCCTTGCTGCGAGCTTGACCACGGAACGCAATACACAAGTAAATCCATCGTTGGTTGAAGGCTAGGGACATTATTATTTGGTAAATAAACTAGATCCCGCAGCTTGACATTCAAGTTGCTTCTAACTTGAATGTGGGGAAGCAAATATGGCTGCGTGCACAGGTCTTCGGCTGCAAAATATGGATGTTTAATTCTTTCGGCGTTTCCCCCTATTGTGACTAAAAACAGTACTACAGCTTCTGGACCTTTTGCTGGGCTTCGAGGTCTGAGGACGGGAAGTCAGCAGCTTCAAGCTGTTCAAGTTCCATTCGCTTTCATTAATGGCTAAATGTATGGTAGGTCGGGGCTAGCCAACAAAAGGCATCTGCCCTGCATGCGAAATATATGATGATCTGCTCAGAAGACGAAGCAAGAGCAGCGAATCACCTTCGTGGCTCTTTTACCACCCAGCTATTTCTGTCGTTCCAACGCAGGCCTGCGTTGTTGCAGGTGATGCCTGGTAGCAGCTATCTGATAGGTCACACAGATGGCGACGTCTGTTTGAGCTTCTCCGCCTGCAACGTTTCATGGTCGCAGGTGTGAACTGCATCGCTATTGATCAGCTTATCCAGGAATATCGAATTCGCAGAGATGGCGGTCTCAGGGAACGAAGCCGACACGAAAATGACATCCTGCAGTCTGTTCCCCTGGTGGAAGGAAGCCACAATCTACCAGGTTTATCCCGCAAGCTTCAAGGACTCCAATGCAGACGGATGGGGTGATATACCTGGGATCATCACCAAGTTAGACTATTTACGCGAACTAGGCGTGGATGTCGTCTGGCTGTCACCCATATTTGAAAGCCCGCAGGCTGATATGGGATACGATGTGTCGGACTACCAAAAGGTATACGCACGGTATGGTACGGTCGAAGATGTTGGCCGTTTGATCGAGGGTTGCCACTCCCGAGGCATGAGGCTTATACTGGATCTGGTGGTCAATCATACTTCCATAGAACACGAGTGGTTCAAGGAGTCAAGGTCATCAAAGAGCAGCTCAAAACGAGATTGGTATATCTGGAAGCCCGCCCGGTTCGATGAAGGTGGAAACCGCAAGCCGCCCACCAATTGGAGGAGCTATTTTGCCGGAAGTACGTGGACGTGGGATGAGACAGCCGGGGAGTACTATCTTCACCTGTACTCACCAGACCAGCCGGACCTGAATTGGGAGAACGAGACCTGTCGCAAGGCGATATACGACACCGCCATGCGGTTCTGGCTCGATCGTGGCGTGGACGGCTTCCGTATCGATACGGTCAACAAGTACAGCAAGCGAACGGATTTTGTGGATGCAGAGGTAACCGATCCTCACAATGAGTGGCAGCCTGCCTCTGAGATGTGGTGCAATGGACCAAGAATCCACGAGTTCCTCCAAGAAATGAACCTAGAAGTGCTGGACCACTATGATGCGGTGACCGTGGGTGAGTTGGCAGAGACGCCAGATCCCAAGGCTGTGCTTGAATTTGTGGATGTTGCCGCAGGTGAATTGAATATGGTCTTCCAGGCCGACATAATGCGCCTAGGAATGGGTGACGGCTTTGGAGGCAAATACGACATCAAATCCTGGACATTGCCTGAATTGAAGACTTTAGTGGAACGGTGGCAACAGTTCATTGAAGGCACCAGAGGCTGGACTACGGTCTTCTGTGAGAACCATGACAGTGGGAGAGCCGTTTCAAGGTTCGGCAACGACGTCCCAGAGTATCGAACGGCATCTGCCAGATTGATCGCTCTGTGGCAGGCGACACTGACAGGGACGCTGTTTTTGTACCAGGGCCAGGAGATCGGCATGACCAACATTCCGAGAACATGGCCTATCGACGAGTACAAAGATGTCGAAAGCAATAACTTCTATCGTGAAGCCGAGTTGCGTGGCAATGATGACTCGAAAGAGAAAATAACGGCCGGCCTTCAGCTTCTTGCGCGAGACCATTCCCGGTTGCCATTCCAGTGGGACACGTCTGCACATGCAGGCTTTACCGCTGCGGAAGCAATACCATGGATGAAAGTGCACGACAATTACCACGAGGTCAATGTGGCAAAGCAGATCGATGATCCTTCGAGTGTCTTGACGTTTTACAAGCAGATGTTGCAGTTGCGAAAGCAGCACGCCAGTGTGTTCATACATGGTGCATTCAAGATTGTTGATGGAAAGCATGAGAAGATTTTCAGCTATCTCAAGATCAGTACGGACGAGCAACAAAGGGCTCTCGTGATCCTCAATTTCACCACTGCATATGTTCCTTTGTCAGAGGAACTGGTGACATTGTCAGCCATAACGAGAATGCAGTTTCTGGCCGGAAGCTATCCAGAGCCAGCAACAGAATCGCAGGTTCTGAGGCCATACGAAGGGAGAATCTACGTCTCCTATCAGCCAGACACGAAAGGAGTCTGAAAGCCTGGTACACCAGTGCCCTCTGCCTTCCGACCATCAGGCACGGTTGATCGGTCCAGTGAAATACGATTTCCTATTAGCAGCAATTTCTGTTGTTAAGCATATCATACACCCATTTCAGTCACATCCAAAACCGTCACGCCATCGCTCATGGTTCCTTTGCCCTGATGGGATCATAATCGGCATCATGGATCTCTTTCAAGAACTTCTTTGCTCCTTCCTCATCATTGGCGAATAGATGGTCCGCAACCATCTTCTTAGGTGTCTCGCCCAGCCACTGGAAGAGGGAGAAGTCTTGGAACTTGTCGGCGCGGAAGATCTCGAGCACTTCCACGGGTTCTTCGTCACTGAGATTTTCAATGAAGTGTCCCATATTCCGTGGGATCACGCCAACATCTCCCGCCATGAAGTCGAAGGTTCTGGCCGTGCCTTCGGCACCAAAGACCGTCACTCGAGCGCGGCCTTTGATGAAGAACGACCATTCATCAGAATTTGGGTGCCAATGCATCTCGCGCATTGCGCCGGGTTGAATGTCGAGATGAGCAGCGGCAATGGTCTTTGAGATTGGAAAGTTGGTCGAGTCGGTAATGCGGACCTGGCCGCCCGTGGTATTAACCGGTTCCTGGTCTAACATCTTGTGGGTAAACTGGAGCTTGGACTTCTTGACATTGCGGCCATCGGGCTTCTCCTCGTCAATCGATCCAGGCAGCGACCCCTGGAAGATGTACTTGTCAGACTTTGGTATCGTCTTGAACACCTCGGGCGCAAGCCGGAAGTTCTCCCCTAGGACAGCCTTTGGTGTATGGGCTGGACATAGTTAGCAAAGCTCTTGGAAGCCAGGTCTTGCACAGTGAGCTCACCCAGCCAGTCTGTCAGAAGGAAGGTTGATTCTTCATTGAAGTTTCCGTCGTCGAAAACGAGCAGGAATTCGGTGCCATTGGGACTCAGACCCTGCAGAGAATGTGGATGCCCTGACGGGAAGTACCACAGGTCACCTTTTTGCAGATCATCGATGAAGCTGCCGCCCTCGGTGTCCAAAGCAGTAACCCGCACATTCCCTTCGAGCACGTATGCCCATTCGGCCTCCTTGTGCCAATGCAGTTCTCGGATTACCCCATAGTCAAGCCGCATGTTGACGCCGGCGATCTCCTTGCTGAGCCCCAATTCTCGGACGGTGGTCTGTCGAGTCCAGCCTCCTTCCTGCAGCGCATAAGCATCTTGTCTCTGTTTAGGTTGCAGAGAGTGTGCTTACCTCAATTCTCATGTGCGAGTCAGCAAAGCTCCAGCGCATATTGGGCATGCTACCGTGATCCGTGCTAGGAGGGCGAATCATGTCTGGGTTCTGCCTCTCGCGGTCCCTGTTTCGAGGACCCATCATTGTAGCACCATCGCCATTCCTCCAGGGAAGTGGCTGCCAGTCATTTCCATACGAGTCGACCTTGTGGTCGTACGGGTCCCTGTGTTTTCGTGTGTACGGACTATGGCGATCGAAAGCCTTGATGGGCTGTTGCTCCGGGTCAGTGATAGGTATGCCCAAACAAACGGTGGCAAGCAACGACCACAGGAAGAACTGCATAGCGGCGGTACGGGTTCAGTAAACAGCTGGTGAGGAACTAGCGACCAGCAGAGGCTCTCGTGAATGAAAGGCAGTGCAAAATCGAGATTCCGCTGAGATATGGGATATTTGTAGTCAGATTGGGGGTCCTGGACAACCAAACTGCCGTTGGCGCCGTTGTGCACACTTCTGCCTGTCTGGACTCGAAGGCGAACACGAAATTGCCTCGAAACAAACGAATATAATACTAGCTACTCCATTACCAGGGTGTTTGCTCTGCGCCGTCGACATCCTTGGACAATGGTACTTTGCCCTGGCCAGAACGTCATGAAGCAACCGGCTTAACATTTAACCGCCACGATCGCTGCTAGTATTCGTCCAGCCCCTCAAGATTGATTCATTTGCTTACCTACTGCTTCCGTCTTCGTCCTCCCATCATCGTTTCGTACGTCTTCCTCGTTGCGCCCTGCCCGCATCATGACGCCGTGAACTCGAAGCTCTCGAGGGTGAGAAAAACACCTTCCCAAACCATCCTAACTCTCGGCTGATTGTTTTGTTCCTCGACCAAGGTAATGCTTTTGTTGCTGATCAGTTTCTTTGGTTACTTTCAATTATCATCGACTTACAGCGGCCTGCCCTAGCTGTCTACTTGAATTGCTTGAAAACCGGACAGTATCTTGCCTGGCGCTTCTCTTGAGCCCTATCTCGCGTTTTTCTCGTCTCCGTGCTCAAGATGTCTGCTGGCACGTACGGCACGATCGGGACTTCCAATTCCAACCAGGCTGCAGGAGACTCTCATGACGAAAACGACGCACTGCTGGTAAAGCGCCGCGCTACAGCATCATGGGACGGTTTCCGCCAGTATATGCTGGACGACATCGACCGGAGATGGGCTGACCTGTTGCTCCTGATGTCCTACGTGATCACCGGTCTCCTCGACAGCTCTGCCGTGTTCATCTGGGGCTCCTTCGTGAGCATGCAGACCGGAAACACGGTCTATCTCGGCCTGGGCCTCGTGGAACCGACCAAAGGGACGAGATGGATTCGTTCCCTGACCTCAATTGGCTTCTTCTGCATGGGCTCCTTTTGCTTCAGCCGCTTCCATCGTCATTTCTCACCGAAACGCCGTTGGGTACTTGTCACCTCATTTGCGGCTCAACTACTACTGGTCACAACGGCAGCTGTTATAGTCATGATTGACAGCGAAAGGGGGAGCGACCTCCGGTGGGAAGTGCTGGTTCCTTTGGCCCTGGTTGCGTTCCAAAGCAGTGGACAGGCGGTGACGAGTCGAGCACTAGGATACAACAGCCTTACCAGCGTCGTGTTGACGAGTATCTACTGTGACCTCTTCTCAGATCCATTGCTTTTGGCCGGCATTATGCAGAACCCGGAAAGAAATCGCAGGGCGGCAGCTCCGGCTTTGCTACTGATGGGTGCGATATTTGGAGGAATGTGGGCTCATAGTCCTATCGGTCTCGCGGGGGCACTGTGGACAGCGGCGGCACTGAAGCTCGTTATCATGCTGGCATTCTCCCTGTGGAGGAAAGAGCCGAAGACGACAACGACCTAAGAGATGCAGGTAGCCCTCTGTTAGATGCAGTTTCTGAAACCCGTTGGCAACAGCACAATGGAACTGAGAAAGCCTATTGATCATGTGGACGTCGAACATTTTTATTATATGATAAAATATCTAGATACGCCAGCGTGTTTCTTCTACGGGACTCCGCGACGAAACAAGGCCGTGCTGCTTGCACCACTATGTCATTCACAAGTACTTGTTGAAAAAGTTCAACAGCGTCTGGTAGGCCTTCTCATAGGCAGCTTTCACTTTGGGATTCTCCAAGTCACCCCTTGCAGCCATGAAGCCATGGATTTGGTCATTGTACCATTCAATCTGCTTGGGCACCTTCAAGTTGGCCTCGTACTTCTCGACAGCGGCTTTGTCTTCGTCTTTGGATGGAATCATGAGCATGGGGATCGCAACATTGGGAGCGTCGTTCGGGTCAACCATGGCCGGGTGGCATGCGGCGGCTGCCTTGAACGGCGTTCCGGCCTGAGAAACCAAGTTGACAATCTGAAGATTGCAGTAGTTAGCTGCAATCGCTCGTTGTAGTCATTCCAGGATACCGCACTTACTTTACCACCCCAGCAGTATCCCATCACCCCCCATTCCTTGAGGTGGGGGTGCTTTGACTTTAGTTCCTCCATGACCTTCTTCACTCTTTCAACGGTCTTTGGAGGAGCAGCTTTCGTCTGGAAAAATTCGCCCAACTTCTTGCCTTTCTCTTCAGTGTCGGGTGGATACCACGAGATGTCTGCTGGCTCTCCTTCAAAAAAGTCTGGCATGAAGATCTGGTATGGGTGGTCTTTATCCGCGTAGGCAAGGATATCGACGCCTTGAATCGTCTGTGGGAAGAAACCGAAGATATCGTAGACGACCAGGATCCCCTTCTTTGCCGAGGAGGGTCCTGTAGTATCTGTTCACGTTCTCTGTCAGCATCTGTTCGGCTGGCGACTGATCACGCCTTGTGGGAATCACCTACAGGTTTTCAGTCCATCGACGGTGGTGTAACTGCCTTTCTCTTTCTAGAACGATGTCAGTATTTTCCGACCTTGTGAGATATCATGAGAGACTCGGAAACGTACGTAGCCTTTGCTGACGACAGCTGGGGTGTTGCAGCCTGCATAGATGTCAGATAGAGCCCAGCGGAGAAAGGTCTGGCGCATGTTTGCTTACAAGCTGCTGAAGGTGTCTGCGATTGCGACATGCTGGCTAGAGTTCTGGTTTGAGACAACGGTTGAAGCACAGATTTGGAAGACGATGAAAGCTGTTGCGCAAGAGCAGAGAGTCTACGTGCAGTCATGGATGAAGAAACAATCTCAGTTCAAGTTGCAGATGTCCTCTCGACTTCAAGTTGTACGTGGGGCCAGCAGCGAGTTTGGTCGATACGGAAAGAAACATCATGAAAGCAGCCATCGTCATTATTATTGTTCCCCCGGACTCGGAGTGGAAGGAATGCCAGTGCCAGTGCAGTGAGGGGCAGTTCCCGGCAACGTGTCAGCGTTCGGCCAAATCGGCAGCGGCCAGAGAAGTCCATCGTTGAGGAAGTGACGTGAGGCTGCTATTCGTACGTGCAAGGGTAAGCAAGTCTAGCCTTAAAGGGCTAGCCAAGCAGAACACCAAAGCCGAGGCTGATAAACGAACACACGGGGGAAGAAACTGAGATGAAATGGTCTTCCAGTAGTACCACTGTACTTCTACAAAATTGTAATCCGCCTCAGGAGAAAAGGTTCCTTTTATGGCCACGACGATTGCGGGTGATAGGCTAGTGTGACTCTGTTGCACACAGCTATCCCTGCCGTTTACGGCTTTTCAGCCGGACGTTGAAGTCGGACTGCTTCAGAAACCACGCATTGTGAAGTTTCCACTCTTTGGACGGATCCGCGAGCTCAATCTATAATGCAATTGTCAGCTTCACGTTTCGAGGTTGGGCCGATGCAATGCAGCGCTGGACTTACCTCAAACCTCATCAGGACTGCCGGTACCAGTTTGTAGAGCTCCAACAGGCTCACATTCTTGCCGATGCATGTCCGGGATCCTGCTCCGAACGAGAAGATAGAATTCTCCATCAGTCTTCGTTGTTCTGGTCCAGCCTCTAGCCAGCGTCGTGGACGGAACTGATCTGTATGGTCGCCAAATAGGGGATGTCGGTGCACAGTCCACGCGTTGCAGCCCACGATAGTCCCACCTGGAATGAATTGCCCACAGATTGTGACTCCTCCGGGAGGCACTATTCGCTCCAGCATGAGAGCAGCCGCTGGATGGCAACGCAGCGATTCCTTTATGACAGCGCCCAAGAACGGAAGATCCTTTACGACGCTCCATTCCACGAGCCCTTCCTCGTTGGTAAACAGCCCTTTCTCCTTTTGCGACCACAGTTCCTGCATCAAGCTTTCCATGTCGTCCGGATTCCTCAGCAGGTTATAGAATATGGCTCGCAGCGTGATGGCGGTCGTGTCAGACCCGGCGAACATGTTGGCTACTGTTAGGGCCAGCACTCTCTCCTGGGTGATGAACTCGGGGTCTTTGCGGTGTGCCTCATAAAACCTGGATAGGAAGTCTCTTCGGCCTGGTCTGCCGTTGAATGGCTCTGCAGATTTGTCGCCAACCTCTGCCGCGTATGGACGACTGGCGATGCGGGCGCGGGCAAAGTTCGCCACCGGCGTGTTGGAGTTGAGGAGCCCATGCTTGCTCGCCATCAACAGCAGCGGGTTCTTGAGAAATATGTTGTCCAGTTCTGGCATTTGACCTACCTACGATCATTCGGTCAGAAGACGGCCATTTTCGAGGATTTGCCTCAGACTCACCACTGACACATAGTTCAAGAGCTTTTCCAGATCCCCAATGATGTTGTCCACGTCGACTCCTTGGTCGACGAAGCCCAAACGTTGTGAGTATGTGAGCTCTCCAATCACATCGAATGCATAATATTGAAGCCAGGTCCCAAAATCACACACCCCATCCGGGCCCGGTCTGTCCGCAAACCGCTTCTGCAATTGATCCAAGAATGCCGAGGTGGTGGAGTCCACTAGAGGCTCAAACTGAACCAAAGTACTCATAGCATATGCGCTGGAGACAGCCCTTCTCAGTTTTGCGTGGAATTTCTCGTCGGTGGAGGTGAACAAGGTATACAATCGCCGTCCCTTGGCAATCGTCTGTTGGACAGGGTAGAAGCCGGACTTGACGAACCCAGAGTTCAGGGCGTAGATGACCTGGATGGCTGCTGGGTCGGACACCGATATTGCTTTTGGACCTAGGCGCACCAGAGGTCCATGGATTTCGTGTAGGCGGATATGTTCGGCCTCTGGTCGACGACCCCAGACCAGGAATAACCGCCATAGATCGGTATATGCAGCGAAGGCTGGTCCCGGGATATGGTTGATTCCGTGTCCATACTTGTTGAATAGAAGTCGGGTAACAATCAAAACAGCGGAAATGCACGATAGGTACAATATCGGGCTGCCCTGCAGCCTGGCGAGGACTTGTTCAAACATGCTGGTGGTTATGGGCAGTTCTTGAAACTCCTGGCATGTCCCGAATGAGTAGCAGTTCACTTTGATTAAAAAGAACTGAACCCCGTGCGTCCCCCCACAAACCTTCCCAAGTGGCCAACTGCCGGGGTGGTTATTTGCGGGGATCATCAACCCCGGTTATGGCCAGGCGGAATGTGACCGCGTTTGTTGTTCGAGCGCCATCAGGTAGCCGTGGGTAATAACAATGCGGAAGTACCTAGGTGCATAACTCCTTATCCATGATAGGTGGGTTGTTGTAGGGTTGAGATAGCTGAAGGCCATTGAGATATTGGACCAGTCACTACGAGGGCGTGTCGATGGCTGTCGGGCGGTCATGAAGCACGAAATGTTGACGGATCACGTCTCTAGCCACAAACGCTGGAGATAAGAAGGAACAGCTTCGTGTGTCCTTTTGTAGAGGACTGGTAGCCGGTGTACCAGTAGATAAGCTGAAGGGACACTTTCCTTTTTGACAAATTCCTGGGGAGTATGAGTGAGAATATCATATTTGACCTCGAGGTACGCTGGAATCTTTCGAGCCGAAACGTTCAGGATCTCATTTTCGTCGGTGACACCGGATATCTGGTCGGACATCGCCTCCACCGTTTGATCGGCGTGGCATGGTTTCTCGCTTGCAACTATGCGCCGTTCGGGATAGGTCTTTGACCTGATATTCGAAAGCCGCGGAGATAGCGAGGCTCACTCAGGTTCCGAGCGCCCCGCGGCGAGTGCTAAACTTTAATAGCGGGTGAGCGACATGTGCTGGCTGACCACTACAGGCGATTATGGTAAACAGACTTCGAGAAGATCACACCACTTTACTGGCCAACTTCTAAAGCACGATATATATTTTGACACAATACTTTTCCACGGACATGTCGATTTGAAAGCTCAACCTCAGAATTATCACTGCCGTAAGCGATTAATCGAATCATCTCACTATGAAGCCATTCAGCGGCGCTGCCCTGAGGGCACGCCAGATCTCCCCTGTGACCAGTCGTTCGTATACATCGACTGCTCGGATGTTTCAACCCACTGCCATCCACCGCGCCGAGGCTGAAGCAGATCGTAAGGCTCACCCAGAAAGCCAAGCTACACAAGAAAAGTTGCCCGACAGGAAAGGCAGCCACCACTGGGACGAATCGAATGCTACGCCGAGTGAAGCTGATGTATGGCACCTGAGATTTGGCTAAGGCTGTTGCTAACCCTTGTTTACACAGGTCAGAGCCGACCGTGAGGCTGAAAAGAGGCGAGAAGAAGAAGCTAGGAAGCAGAAGTGACCGGTTCACGACGAAATGTTGATTGTCCTTCCAGTAAGAGGTGATCCACCAAATTTATTGCCAGAATGCGAGCGGGCTTCCCGGGATGGCCCTGAGAACGTACTGGAAAGCAACCAGCGCGCGTTGGAACTGTCTGCTTCCTGTCAATTTGGCAAGCAACGACTGTCTGAGAACACCCGGCAAGGATGGCAGATGGCGTAAAGTTGGAGAATGATAACACTCTTTGGCATAGGAATTTGTAGCTCATTGGCATCTGAAATCTCTGAATTATGACAAATACAACTCTCCTTGGTAAAGTTCATTCATCCAAGTGTTGGGGCGGAAGTTTTCTGAGTGAGCAGATCTGGAGAAAACTGCCCTATCCAGGCCGAAAGAGTCAGCTTCAAGGCCTTGTTCAGCATGAGTCGAGACAGGCGGCGTGGTAATGACGGCTTAAATATCTATTACTTGTAAGTCTTGTGCCCTACAGAGTATGTTACCCGCGTGGTCTCATGTCAACAGTAGGCGAGTACAGCAATCGAGGGAGATATGTATACAAGTGGCGATAGGCACGGACGGCGAAAAGCACATAAGTGCGGCTTCCTCGCCTTCGTGTCATTCTTGACGCGACCTTGAAATCATGTTCGAAAGCGGAACTTGCGCATGCTTTGGTAGTAACCTGTTCATATCATGTCTGGGACTTCTCAAAGTAGATATAACAGTGACAATAGGCCAGCGAATATAGGCCCACGCCTGACAACTAACGTGACGGCCCCGCCTGTACTGGAAGCCGACGCTGCTGAGCCTGCTGCGGTTCCAGTTGAAGATGCGCTGCCTGAGGCTGAAGTAGTAGAGGCTGAAGCGGAGGCCTCGGAGCTAGAAGCCGAGCCCGTGACGACTGTACTGGATGTTGCAGTCGTGGCAGACGAGGTGCTAGGAGTGATACTCGGGCCCGGCCCAGCTGTAATCATGCCATCGTTGCCTCCTGGATATGTCCCACCTGCTTGTGCCGTGAAATCTTGTGGTACCCCCGTATGGTTGCTACCGAAGTAGTACATCGCAGCCGCAGGGGTTTGGCCCAGTTTTGACTCATCCAAGAAGGCTGTGAGATTGAAATTTGTCCGGTTTGTAGCGTTATAACCTTCAAAAGACTGCGGAAAGCTGAAATTGTCATGCTGGAAAAAAGCATAGATGATGTAGCGATGCGCTGCGGAATCTGTAGGAGGGGACGGCCCTAAGTAAGGTACACGTGCCGCAGTCGTGTTCACCAGTAGACTGGTGCCGTCAGAGGATTCAGCAGCAACGCTCATGTCCGTCTGAAGCCAGTGGAGGAGGAATCGTAGATTGGGACTAGAGGGATATCTCGCATCGGGATCGACCATGATAAGCACGTAAGAGCCATTGTAGGATGAGATGGACTCGTAGTGTGCGGTCTCCACGGCGACAGCAGGTGCTTGGGCAGTAACTGTGATCTATAAGCCTTCTTCAAGGTTATGGTAAATGGCAGTGCGAGGACATACTACCAACTCCGAAGAGTTCGGCTTCAGACACGACGATGGAATTCCCATTGTTCTGGTATGTTATTGAGAGCTCTGTATGGTTTGGAGCCTCTGGAAAGCCAAAGTCCGGCGGAGGAATAGCCAGAGCCCGATGGAGGGCGGCTGCGACGAGAAAGGCGAGGGTCGAAATCATGTCGAAAGGCATCTTGATGATACTGAGTCACGGAAGAAAGTCATCGCTATGTACAGCGTGAAGATGAACGGATCTCCGAGTCGCTCAATGCGGGCAGTGCGGCTGAGGATTGTGCGACGTCATAGCCGGGCGGTCGTGGTCGGGTTTCAGCATCTTTGTTGGCACCCAATGGGACCTCGTATTCATCAATGCACGCAAAGGCATAAGGAGCACAGAAGTCTGGAGAGCCGTTGTACTGTTTCACATGTACTGTACATGAGGTGCAGCCATCTGGAGAACGGTGCAAAAGGAACGAAGCACATTATTGAGACAAAACGCAGACGACGGTTAGCACACCGTACCCTCCACCGTATTTCGACCCGAAAATAGGTTCCGGAAGTCTTCCGCTCACAGCAGACTCGGACTAATACAACGTCGTATGTAGAGGGATGTCCGAATCCCACCCATAGTTACCTAGGTACCTAGGATGCTATTTACGAAGTGATCATTGACTGTTTGTCCAGCTTGCCTCTGTTGTCTATCGTTCGCGAAATTTGTACGATTGATCTCACAGGGTAGGTTTCTGTCAACGGCTGGCAGAATTTTTGAACTTGGCTATTCTGGGCAGTCACACCGTGCTCCCAAAACACGGGTTCAACCAGCTGCTGTCCCCCGTGGTCTCCCTGCCCCTCTGTGGAGGGTACGGTATTCGCTTGTTCCAAGGGCATCGCCTAGAAATGACAATTGACCGAGGCGGGCATTCAGCCTCAATATGGATCGTCAGACAGCAGGCCAAGCCCTCAAAACAGCCAATATATCATGGATATTGGCAGTCAGACATGCAAGCAATATCGGTAACCCAATGGAGGGCGAGAAAAATTGTATCAGATAAGATTGATCTCCCCACTCTCCCGACCTCGGACGGTAGCAAGTTGCAGTGGGCTGCCTCGCGCCGGCGTCGCCTAAATAACCGCCATGTCTTCGTTGTGAAGCTGCTGATATTGAATGGGCGATTTTGATGCTATTCCGTCGTTTGCTGGCGTTCTCTGCTAAATTGCCCAAAATGCCGTCCAATGAAGGTCTAGGTCTTGCTGGCCGGGCGAATCCCTTCAAAGTGTTGATTCTAGGAGGCTCCTACGGAGGTCTCGCGGCGGCTCTAAACCTGCTCGATTTGTGCAATGGGAGACCTGCTAGATTCACAGCCGCAACTGCTGAGCCCGTTACTCATGGAAAGATCCCAGTGGACATCACCATTGTAGACGAGCGAGACGGTTACTGTTGGTGATTCTCCGCCTAAGCTTATTGGTTCGGACTGACAGTTCCCGATATCAGATCATCTAATCTCATCACCCCTCGCATTGGCTTCCACCGAATATGCGCGGACCGCATGGACCAAGTTCGACCAAATCCCTGCCCTGAAGAACATACGCTTCATTCATGGGAGTGTGAGAAATGTCGACCCCAAGAGTCGGCTGGCAACGGTGGCCGAGACCGGCACGCAGTCGCAGAGAGACTTGAGTTACGACTTCCTGGTGGCTGCCACCGGGCTTCGGCGCGTATGGCCTGTTGTGCCGCAAGCAACAACCCGGGAATCCTACCTGGCAGAAGCTGATGCGCACATCACCGAGTTGCGAAATGCTCGGGAGGGAGTCGTGATCATTGGCGGAGGTAAGTCTCCAAAGTGCGAAGCTGTGACCGCAGCGACTGACGCTGTTCAGGTGCGGTTGGGATAGAAATGGCGGCAGAGCTCAAAATGGTTATGCCCGACTTGAAGGTCACACTTGTCCATTCCAGAGATAAGCTCTGCTCCGCTGAGCCTCTGCCGGATGACTTCAAAGACCGGTGCTTGACCACGCTGCAGGAGGCTGGTGTTGAGACGATAATGGGTGACCGTGTGGTGGAGACAGAGAACGTGGCTGAAGATGGGTCTACGGTCACATCAATCAAACTCGGCAGTGGGAGGACTATTCGTGCCAGCAAAGTCATCTACGCAATTTCCAGAAGCTACCCGACCAGCCAATATCTCCCAGCTACTGCATTGGATGAACAAGGCTATGTCAAGATTACGCCTGCGTAAGTGTGCTGAGGAAACTACGCGCAACACGAACTAATCTTTTTGTTAGCTTGAATTTTCCGGAGGCCGTGCCGAACTCCCAGTATCACTTTGCCGTGGGTGATGTAGCTAGATGGCCTGGCATCAAACGCTGCGGTGCTGCCATGCACCATGGGCAATACGCTGCTCAGAACATCCATCAACTGATGTTACAGGAAACACAAGGCACAAAACCCAAGTTGACTGAGTTGGTTGAGGCTCCACCTGGAATCGGCATCGCGGTAGGCAAACAAGGAGTTGCCTATTATCCAAGTGAGGGAACGAAGTATGGAGAGGACATCTTACGCCTCTTCTTTGAAGACGACTTAGCCAACAGAAGTAGGTACATTAAAGAAAGTGAACTGAATTTCTGGCTAACCTGTGTCCGCAGTATGCTGGGATTATTTGCAACTCGGCAAAGAGTTTCCAAAAGCGGCCAAGGTATAGATGACCAGGCAATGGCGAGAGCCAGCTGGCAATCGATACCGAACTCCAACCAAAGTCGCATAAAGAGCAGCTACAAGAACATAATCGAAAAGGTTTGTCAATGGGGAAGCCGTCCTCGCACAGTCGAAGTGTTCGCTATCCGGGGCTGCGCACATTTCTTGCAGAGAAGAGCATACATATCGTGACCCAGCTGCAGTGATATGTGACGCAGTCCGCTGAATCTTGACACGGATAGGCGTCATGAGAGGTGCCACGATAATGTACGGCATTCTCACGTCTCGGTAGACGATTGACTTTTGATGTTGGGCAATTTGTCTCAGTGGGTGATAATATCGTTTCTTTCTATGAGCGTAGGGATACATAGAACTGAGGAATAAATTTCCAGGCACACTAAGTGCCTGAAGAGTTGCATGTCTATACTACGATTGCGTATAGCTAGATGAATGGCTGCAAGCCTGCTTGAGGTTCTCGGGTGTCGTTCCTACATCGACAAACTCGCCTACACCAGCATCAATCCTTGTCCGATATCGCGATTCAATGCCAAGACTGAGTGATCCTGTCACCTGGCATCATGCATTGCCCGACACTGGTAGTGCATTGGCATGGCTCATGCCTGTCGTTTTGTATCGTCCGCGACGGATTGATTGGACATTATCTTATCAGATGAAAAATTTTCATCTCCTCGGGGAAGCAACTGTGCCTGACTGTTTCCCTAGCCTGTCTGGGCGGAACCAGTGTTGCAAGATCGACGGTAAATCGGTCGATGGCAGACTCCTTGTAAGGCGGTGTGGCTTGCCAAGAATTTCCCGAGCTCCATCCGTGTGCAAATAAAGTTATCTGATTTAGTTGCGAAATTATCAGATCCGAAACGGATGGATTGCCAAGCTGGTCCAAATACGCCGAACGGTACGCCGGCGTCATTTCGAGTGCGTTTTACCATACCATACAAGTCTGAAGGTACCAGGGAGGAGGGTGGAACACTCCTTCATATGCAGTCTTCGGCCAGGGTCTTGTGCTGGTGTTGGCAATAATGATAGGGTGTGATCGTGGCCCGCTGGCTTGGTTTTAACTTGCTCGTAAGGTGAATATCTCGCAAACTCCAGCGACTCTTCCTCATAGTCAGACTGATCCCCATACCCTGGCCTGTGACCATTGTGAAGTCAGTATGGACTCAGGCATGAGCGCGCAAGATGTCCCTCTCGACTTACTTTGTATCGGATTTGGAGCTACCGCACTGTCAGTGGCAATCGCTTTGCATGAGAAGGAAGCAATCGACAACACGATTTTTCTCGAACTCCAGCCAGCGTCTACCTGGATGCCATGCTCTGGCTCTCCTTCTGGTCGCTTGAGGACATCCTTCTTGCACGATCTTGTCACCTCAGAAAACCCCCGGTCGAAATTCACCTTTATGAACTATCTACACGCAACCAATCGACTAGTTCTCTATGCGAACAGTTCTCAAATTAACCCTCCACGCGATATGTTCAACGACTACCTGCAATGGTGCGCAGCCCCGTTCCAGCAACGTGTCAAATACGGCCAGCGGGTAGCTGCGGTACATCCTGTGCAAAATGCCCAGGGACTTGTCGAATGCTTCAAGGTGGTGTACGCGGATTCAGCCACGGGGCGGCAGGATGTAGTGACCGCAAAGCAAGTGATCTCGGCAGTGGGATTGCAGCCATATGTTCCCAGGGCTCTAGCAACTATAGGCACGTTGGTAGGTGTGGCTCATGCTTCAGATTGCCCATCGCGGATCTCATCGACGTTACGAACCACGAGCGGGAGGGCTCGCTTCGCGATAATTGGTGACGGCCAGGCCGCCGGTGAGATATTTGAATACCTCCACGGGATTCGGGGCGAGCACAAAGTGGTCTGGTTCACGCAAGATCCGGTTTTGAGGGAAATGGATGATAGTCCTTTGTAAGGATCTGTTTGAAACTGCTGACTGTGCATTTACTGACTGTGTGAACAGTATTATGGACAACACCAAGAGACCAGAGTCTAAGATAGGGCAAACCTTACCACTGGAGTTGAGGAGGAGAGCCATTGGCGAGGGCTATAGTGCACAGACATCGTCGGCAATTGACCGCCACCTCCTGAAAAGCATCTATGACATACAGTACACCGAAAGTGTAAAGTGTATTGACACCACTAAGTGGAAATGCCAAATCAGATTTCAACACCGATTGACGAAGGCGGAGAAGACTGCGAGCGGACAGATTCAGCTCTTATGTCAGCCAATTGAGTACGAAGACGACCAACAAGTCATTGATGTATTTGACTTGGTCATTGCTGCGACGGGCTACGAACGAACTGAGTACAAGAAGATCATGGAGCCTTTGCTACAGCTGCTTGACGGCCGCCAGATCACCGTGAACCAGGATTACCAGGTAAATTTCCGGTCTGGATCTTTCAGCGCGGGATGTGGTCTATGGCTCTTAGGGGCAATAGAAGGAGAGGATGTGAGTGCTCGGCCTCCTGTTGCTGTAAGTAACTAACCCGGGTTTAGGTGGATGATCATCTCTATCCTATTCTTGCTTCAAGGAGTAGGCGTGCTGTGGAGTCAATCTTGTGTCAGAGAAGGCAGCGGTCGACAACTGAGGCTGCAGCGGAACAAGTTGCACGTTTGTGAATGATGTACAATGCCGGCACATTCTAGAAAAAGTAGAATAGCTTGCTATACTTGGAATTTCAAGTGAAAATCATTGCATTAGTGGTATCGAGGTAAATGATAATTGCCCCTGAGTTGGCTTGCGCATGTTGATCAAACAGGCAAATGTCGACAACCCTTCTCGATCAAGCTATGAAGACCGAAGTGCAACTGCATTTATTCAATGTATCTTACCGGGTCTACAGCTTCGCCCTGTCCTTGGAGACGAGTTGCTCTGCCAATCGTGCAAGCTCAAACTTCCTCACTTTCCCGCTGCCGGTCAATGGTACTGTGGCAGGAATGCCATCTTCTCCCAACCAGAAGACATATGCAGGAGCTTTATGCCTTCCGAGCTTCATTCTGACCCAGTCACGGACGCCTTCATCACTCAGATGAGCATACCTCCCGGTGGCGTTCTGTGCTCGCTGAAGGAATGCACCCACGACTTCTCCGAATCTGCTATGTTTGATGCCCACCACTATAGCTCTGTCAATTGCCTCATGCGCAACCAGCCTCTCTTCTATTTCCAAAGGATATATGTTTTCACCTCCTACGAGTGGTTTTGTCAGTGCGGGTGGATAATTCAAGGGCTCTGCAGCACTTACCTCTAATGATAATGTCCTTGAACCGTCCTGTGATCGTACAAGTGCCATTTTCGTGGAAAACAGCTTCATCTCCAGTGTGCAACCATAGCACTCCATCCTGGTCGCGGATCATAACTTCCGAGGTTTTCTCAGGGTTCTTCCAATACCCACGTTGTAACTGATAGCCGGCAATGCATAGCTCACCGCGCTCTCCGATCGGGACGATCTTTCCATGGCGGTCGACAATCTTCGCATGAGCATGTGGCATGACATGCCCAACGGTGGCGAGCTTCAGCTCAATTGGATCATCATGAAATGCATTGAAACAAGTAGGAGAGGCCTCTGTCAAACCTTCAAGCTTGTTAGCAAATGATAGTGCAGTGGGAGGACTACATACCGTAGCTACTTGTGAACTCAGTCATTCCAAGCTCGTTGAAGAGAAGCTCCATGAGATGTTTTGGAACCGGTGCGCCTGCGATGATCCCTGTCCTCAGACGGTAGCAATCAAAGTCTTCTGGTCGTGGGAGGCTGAATATGGAATCAAACATTGCCGGGACTCCGTGAAGTCCGGTACATTGTTCCTCGGATACTGCCTTCAGGCACGCAGCTGCATCGAATGTCTCACTTGGGTACACCACTTTACCACCATGTGTTATGATTGCAAGAAGACCGAGGACGAGGCCAAAGCAATGGAACAAGGGTGGTGGACAGCACAGCACATCCTCTTCGGTAAGTGCCATACGGTCACCTATAAAGCGACTGTTGTTGACGAGAGAGCTGGAGACGGTTAGATCTCGCGTAATGAGATACGCCCACCAGAAAACTCACTAATGCGTCAACATTGCGGCTTTGGGATTCCCTGTGGTCCCGCTGGTGAATTGAAGGTTGCAAACGTCATGGGCGCTGAACTGTTGAGAGAACTGATCCAATAACTCAGTTGACAATGTAGTGCCGTTCTCGATGAGGCTCATGTACGACGTGAAAGAGCCCGGGTATCCTCTGAGGATAACAATCTCCTCCAAAGACCCGGGTGATTCTTTGAGATTCTGCAAGAGCCGCCGATTGTCATGGAAACCGATCCTGGGAGTGGTGAATAGCATTCTGCATTCTGACGGGGTTAGCATGCAATGACAACTCCATCAAGTAAGGCATCGACTCACCTGTGAAATCAAGAGCATATCGAGCTTCCGACGGAGTGTACGTGTTGTTCAAGATGACCAGAATGCAACCGATGCGCATGCAGGCAAAGAAGACTGACACGTAATGCTCACAATTCCCAGCCATGATACCTATCCGATCACCTGGACGAATCCCACGGGCGGCCAGTGCTTTTGCCAACCAGAGACTCTCCTGTCTTAGGTGCTCGTAGGTCCATCTTGCTCCGGTCCAGGGCACCACCAAGCACTCATTCGAGCCATACTTTGTACACTGAAAGTCAAGCAGCTCTCCAAGCGTAAAGTCGAGCAAAGGAACGTCGGCTGGCCCATGAACAATGGAAGGGGTAGATGACGGAAAAAGAACTGTCTCAGTGCTGGATTCCAAAGCCATGGTATTGAATTCTACGGACCTGGGCGACAAATGTATCCGAAGGTGGTTGATATTGACCCTTCCTGGACACCACGAGTACCTGCTGAATCATCTTATCCAGGAAAGAGTCCCCTGGTCCTCGACCTGAAATGATTGCTGCTAGAGCCCCATCGATTTGCGTAGTATTTTGCATGTGTGTTGATCCGATTTCGGTCTGCATGCATGCTTTCTGCCAGCTCCGATCTTTCGCGACGTGATGGCATGTCAGACGCCGGTGTCTTGGTGACGCTCGCCTGTTTTACGAAAGTACCAAGATACAAGCTCGTACCGTAATAAACCGGGAAGCTAATTGTGTCAGTGGCTTGGAGTGTCTGAGAGGGATTAGACGGGTCGTTTCGGCCCACCCGTCAAGATGCAGACACGGACTCAACTTCTACTTTCAGGAAACTTGGTGAAAAAGAGATGCCGAGGTAACGGCGACATATGAAAGCCAGGCTTCGCTTAGTCAACAGCGCATACGGCACGTTGTACGGCACTCCGCGCCCAGGTGCCCCGCAGCAGAAGGAACACAAACTTGAATCCGAACGCAGCTGGTTACCTAAACCAAAACCGTTGCTGCCAGCGTTTGATGAACGACTGAAGGATGCCTATAACCTAGTAAAGGTTTCCGGAGAAAATGCGGCACGAAATGGGATTTATAAAGTTTCTTGGCACGGCTATCAAATTCCAATGCGCACATTCCGGATGGAAGATATAACGAAAGAACACTGGAGATGCCCAGCAAATTCTACCCGACGTGCCTCAAGAAGTGTGAACGAGTCCGTGTTTGAACACCCCTTTAGGATCTGCCGTCTCGTTGTCACCCCAAGAACCTTGCCATCCGTGTTCAGCAAGGTAGGCCTTCCAGTTGTCATCCTCATTGTCCAAATGCTTGTCAACATCCTGCAGGAAGAAGAATGCAATGATGGCTCCCAGGATGGCGAAACAGGATCCGATCAAGAAGGCAACCTGGCTTCCCTTGTCCGGGTTATCAGTGTACGCATTCAGGATACTGGTGAAGACCTGTTCAAGGACCAGGTTAGCGATGCAAACTCGTTAAGCGCACCCATTGTCTGGAGTAATAACTCACCTGGGTGCCGATGGCGGCACCTGCTTTGGACCAAGCAGCAATGAAGCCAGTGGTGTGCCCTCTGATCGAGGTAGGGAATGGCTCGGAAGCCGAGATGGCGACGGTGCTAAATCACAGTCAATACGCTAAGGCCGGCGAAATTGTTGCTTTTTGGGATCACTCACGCTCCGGGTCCGACTTCACCGAGTGTCAAGAAAAGACCATAGATCACCACGAACAAGGGGAACACGCTCAAGATTTGTTTGTTTGCACCACCTAGAACGAAACCGAGGATACCTTGGAGAGTGAAACCCAAAGCCATGGTTTTTCTCCGGCCGATTCTGTCCGAGAGGAGCCCTCCGATGAAGGCTCCGGGGATATAAAAAGCATTGATGACAACACCCCAGCCTAGAGTCTTGACCATTGAATCGGATGGGTTAACTCTGGACACAATTGTCGAGCTGAAGATGCCAAAAGGAATACTGATCCAATTGTACAGAAACCAGGTGGCGCCAGCGCCAAAGAGACGCCGCCAGTACCGGCGGACGATCAAGAGGTAAGGAACCTTCTGCTTGCGCAGACTTGATTTACGGTAGGCCGTCGACACCGCAATTCGCATTCGAAAATAGAAGATCGAGAGAGGCGGAATCATGCCAAGAGCGAAAGACAGTCTCCAGACCAATTCGTAGTGAGACTCTTTCTGGTTGACGCAGAGGAGCAGCAGAAGAGGGACCAATGCACCCCAGCAGTAACCCAGCGAGGCGGACAGATCACCCACCAGGGCAAACATGAAGCCCCGCTGCTTGCGGTATTGGGCTCCCTCATCGGAGGCTTCAAGAGCACCGGCACAAGAGACAGGATACTCACCTCCTGCACCGACACCGGCGACACCACGGGCGATCACAAGCATCCACATGAGGCCTGTGTTGTTCGCGCCGTTGGCCGCGGTACTCAGAGCGATCCCGAAGACAAGGAGAATTGTGGTTGCGACCGCACCCGTCTTGCGTCCTAGTTGGTCGGCAACAAAGCCAAAACCAAGCATGCCGATAATCATGCCGATCAGAAATGCGTTCGAGAGCCGCGATTTCATTTCCGATGTCAGCGCTTCTGGATAGAGAATGGCAAAGAGGAGTTCGACGTTTCCAATGACGGAAGCATTGCTAGGGATATTGTCAGATCTCTCATTCAATGGGATTTGTCTTCGCAAATCCAAGTCGGGTTGTGGTAGGGAAGATCTGGGACTTTGCCTTACTATCCATCTGAGCCAATTGCAAGGCCGGAGAAAAGCATCATTAGCCACACCGAGACTTTGCTGTAGTATTTCTCATCAATCCGTTGTACCACGCCAGTCTCTACCTCTCCTTCGTCGAGGCTACGACTGGTGGTGGCCACGACATCCTTGGGGTCATGGTCTGGCACCTGGGACGGCGACTTGCAGTCGGTCCTTGACTCGATCGTGTCGTGGTTCGACATGGTTGTTTTCTACCAGGAGACCCTCTGGGTTGCGACGAGGACTGGAATGGCTCAAGAAGAAGAAAGGTCTCAGGAAAACAGCAGATGGGAGACGGCGCCTTAAAAGTAATAAGTCAGAAGCCGGGACACCACAGGTCTGGTACTCCGTAAGACTACTTCCCCCACAGAAAAACTTGCCACGAGGTCTGGGATCACCCATCACTCCACAGCCCAAAAGAAGATAAGGGGGTAGCAACGAGTCGGAGTGCGGCAGCCGCACATACGACCGGCGCCGAACCGTGAGCCGGTCACATGAGACGGCTGGGGTATCCTCTGATCTACAGGGCCATTACTGATAGCAGATAAGCAGGCTACGAGATTGTGGTCAGTGTGGGCTGGCGTCCCCATTAGGAGCCAGGAACTTTGATTGCTGGTTGTCTTACTGGCCAGATTAACCCGAAAATTCGATAGACGAGGCTCCACTTGCGGCACGGAGAACGATGGTCTATATCCTTTATCAATCGAATCACAATCCTTCGGCGCCGGTTCCGAGTTTCCGATTACCGCCGCTTTGCAGTGTACTCCCTCAATCTTGACAATCCTGAACTTGCTTTGAATCCTCTGAACGTAGAGCACACCATCTTTCGGCACGCCCGTCATCACAAGGAAGGAAGCGGCAACATGTCAACAGGCAATCAGCCCATTCGTATCGACTGGCATGCGACAATACCTCTTTCCGATGGGGTGGTGCTTTCGGCACAGATATGGCGGCCAGAAGACTCGGATACTACTCCTGTGCCGGCAATTCTCGAATACCTCCCCTATCGAAAGCGGGACTACACGGCGCCTCGTGATGCTTTGAACCATCCTTACTTTGCCAGCCATGGCTACGCTTGTGTCCGAGTGGACATGCGTGGTGCAGGCGATTCTGAAGGAGTACTGCTTGGGGAATACCTCAAACAGGAACAGGATGATGCCCTGGAGATTCTGAAATGGATTGCTGACCAGGACTGGTGCACTGGATCGATCGGCATGATTGGTATCTCGTGGGGTGGCTTCAATGGGCTCCAGGTTGCTGCACGTCGTCCTCCTGAGCTTAAAGCTGTAATCTCGATGTGCTCAACTGACGATCGGTACAACGATGACATCCATTATCAGGGAGGGTGCATGCTTGTCGACAATTTCTTGTGGGGCGCAACGATGTTCGGCATGAACCCTCTGCCACCAGATCCAGCTCTTGTTGGCGACAAGTGGCGAGAACTCTGGCTGAAACGCCTCGAGGCTGGTGGCTTGTACATGGTTGACTGGCACGAGCACCAACGTCGAGATGATTTCTGGAAACATGCCTCCGTCTGCGAGGACTATACGTCAATCCAGTGTCCCGTATACTTGGTTGGCGGATGGATGGATCCCTACTCGAACACGATTTTCCGCATGCTCCAAAATTTGACTTGTCCCAAAAAGGGTCTTGTCGGGCCCTGGGCTCACAAATATCCCAACTTTGCGGAGCCAGGGCCACAGATCGGCTTTTTGCAGGAATCTATCAGATGGTGGGACAAGTGGCTAAAGGGAATTGAGACAGGGATCATGGATGAACCACCTCTTCGATGCTATCTGCAAGACACTGCACCACCAAAGACACATTACGACTTCCGTCCTGGCCATTGGGTGGCCGAGAGCGGCTGGCCTAGCCAAGGAGTTATGACCCGGCCCATGGGACTTGCGCCTGGTCGGATCACGGATGCAGTAGCCTCTAGCGACGAGCATCTCTCCATTTGCTCTCCGCAAACAGTTGGACTTGCTGGAGGCCGATGGTGTGTCTTTGGGCTTGATGCGGATGAGCCAGGTGACCAACGCCAAGAGGCTGGAGGGTCTCTTGTCTTTGACAGCAAAGGCTTGACTCAACCATTGGACCTTCTTGGTTCTGTCAACCTTCATCTACGGGTGGCAAGCGATAAGCCAAACGCAGTCATTGTCGCGGTTCTTTCTGAGGTGTTACCAGACGGTTCGGCGACAAGAATTTCGTGGAATCCTCTTAACCTCACCCATCGCAACAGCCATGAAAAGCTGGAACCCCTTGAACCTGGCCGTTTCTACGATGTTACCGTCAAGCTGAACGAGATGGGCCAACGTATCGGCGTGGGAAGCCGAATCCGCCTCGCGCTATCTACGTCCTATTGGCCGACCATTTGGCCCTCACCAGAACGTACGACTCTCACGATCGACTGCGCCAAGAGTAGCTTGGAGTTGCCAGTCCGCTCTGCAAGCCCTCTGGATGCCCAGCTGAAACCCTTCCAACCAGCTGTCAACAGCGGACCACTGAAAACAAAAGTCTTCCGTCCTGCGAGGTCCTCCAACAAAATCATCCAGGACCTGAACACTGGTGAATTCACGGTTCGTCTGGAGGAAGATGCTGGATATTGGGAGAATCAGGCGACCGGCTGGCGTTATGGTAGTGATCAGACCATCATTGAAGTGGTGCATCCTGATGATCCTTTGTCAGCCCGTGCAGAGCAGCACTTCCGAAAAGAGTTCGGGCGAGAAGGCTTGGATCTGCTTGTCACAGGTTGGGCCAAAATGTCCGCCACCAAGACAGACTGGAAGTTGACTGCACGCCTAGAAGCGTGGGAGCAGAAGGAGCGCATTTTCGAGCGAGACTATGCATTTAGCATCCCCCGTGATGGCGTCTAGTCAACAGACATGACAATAGCTTGGTTTCGGAAAATGCAGTAGCTCAGCACCTAAAAAGTATTATTCAACTCAGTCAGTACACACACTCTGGTGTCGCCTCGTGTCTTATGAGCTTGAATGAAAATCACTTGAGCACGAGTTTATTGCTGTTCATCTTCGAAGTGTCTAGAGCACGCATCTTGCGGTGATAAGTTGCACACCATCCAAGATGGTTCTAGGCACTAACATGCTGAAACGGTTCCTCTTGTCAAGCCACCGAGTCACTAGGAGCTTGTGTGTGCAACTACCTACTAGGTAGGGGAGATGGTTAGTTCTCCCTTGAAAGCCTGGAAAGTGGGCACACTAGGTAGGGAGTTAGCAGCACCTGACCGTATCATGTGATCGGACCGGCTCCGGACCGGTTGGGGTTTCCAGGGAAGATGTTTCCTTAAATGGCTTTGAATTGCATGCAAGATGTATCTCAGAGGATGATAACAGGTTGTATGAATGCTCTCGGGAAGTTCGAGCCAAATTTGATCAAGTAGCACTGTGCGTAGCAGCCTTCCACTCACTTTGACATGGTTTGCCCGACCAAGCACCGGTAGGAGCATCAACGTCCGGACAGAGCAGAATAACGACGACATCCTGGACGGTGTAGGGACCCGGGATGCTTTGAGTTTGAGATACTGGCCTCAATGGAGCGTGCCTGGACCGTCATTTCGCAGTGAACTCTTGAGGCAAATCGGATGAAGCTTTCAAAGCATCGCCCATGGACTGCAGTACCATATCTCCCAGCGTCAGGGGGGCTTCGGTGAGAGTGACAAGAACCACAGCCCGGAAATGAGCCACCTACTATTACCGCGGACGACAATATCTTAGAAGCGCCATAAGCCGCCTGCGCTTCTCTGGCATGTTGTCAAGACTCAGATTTCGGCAGGAGGCATTGAAATCTGTTGGCCATCATCGTGGTAAGTTTGTTTTGGCTCAAGCTACAGTGTGTTTATGAGCCATGTAATTATGATGGTGGACCATGGAAATATTGCCCATATGGACAACCACAAGCCTCGGCATGGAGAGGAGAGACTTCACACCTACCATGCGTACGAAGAGATAGACACAACGGCCTTAAAGTACCATTACCAATATGGGCTTGGAAAGTTCGGCCGAGGGAGAAGGCACAACATACCAACGCGCTCTTGCAGAACTTGTGATTTACTATTTGCCATTTGTCTGGTATTGGTTTGGTCGGATGGGACTTCTTCACGCGAGGCGTTGAGGGTTATTCACGATCCGCGTCCCGCTGCTTTACCCGCTGCAAAAAGCAGCGACGGAAGACTTTTCCGGCTCCACGTGACCGATTACTAATTGAAGCTAGTTGGAGTTTCGATTTTTGTGTGGCTGAGGAAAAGGGCCCACCTCGGGTTTTAGGGTGCGAGGGGTGCCCGGTGCCGCATAGCCGGGCAGGTGACTTTCACCGTTATCATCTTCCAAGTTGGAGATAACCAACTGACCTTGTTGCTACCAGTCCAGGTTTGGATATCCGATCCTCAAGTTATCGTCACGGGTTCATTGGTTGATGAAACCAGTTGACTCTGAGCTCTGTCATGGGTACCACCACTACATGAAGCCTTGACCGCTGAACCTACTGTCTCGTTCAATGTCTTCTCCAGTCTTCAAAATTATCAAGCGCGTTCAACAAGCATGCGAAAACTGCAGGTAAGGCGCGCCATTGACTCTTTGTGGATACCGGCATAGTGCTGAGTCCTGCGTTTAGGCGGAAGAAGACGAGGTGTCCAGGACAGAGGCCTGCGTGCTCCAATTGCACGCGCCTGAATCAGCCCTGCGTATATTCCGCAGGCCAGAGCTGGTCTACCCCTGGAAGTTCGAGGGAATCAGGCGCAGGCTCAAGCAGAGATTTGGTACGTTTAGCTTTCATTTGAACTAGGCGTTTATTCCTATATCTAACTACACTAGGAACGTCGAATGTCACAACTTGAAGATGCCATGCAATGGATGGTATCTCGAGCCGGGTTGGCATATCTTTCCTGTGGTCTTACATTATTTCATAACTAATTGGCACACAGATCACAAGATAGTCATCCTGCGTTCAACCTGGTATCCAATCGTGCGGGATCTGAAACTCAGGGAGACCGGAGCGATCATTCTGTAACACCATTCGTGGACGCTGAAGAAGCGAGCACTGTGGGCGATGGGTAAGTCCAATACGAAACTTACTCGTGCGGCCGCCAGTGAGCCGAAGAATTAACTGTTCTCTAGTACATTCCCGCCTCTCGATTGCCTAGAGGAAGTGCCACTTCTTTATCGGCGGCACTGTCATAGGCAGCCTCTTTGGATCTTTGACGAAGGAGAACTTGCAATTCTTCATCAGCAGTCCGAAGATCTCGTGTTGTCAACTTTAATTCTTACCACACAATTCTCGGCCAATCCTTACTTCGAAAGACGTCGGGCCAAGATGTCCCAACAGTTTCGGGATGCCGCGCGAAAACGTGTAATGCTAACGATTGCGAACGCTGCGGTTAGTTTGAGCACATTACAAAGCCTCTGTCTACTGAGCTGGGCTAGCTTCATAAGTACTTGGAATAGATTGCTCCTTGAAACAGCAGCAACCGCTGACCACTTATCACAGCAAGAGACATGGCTCTCGCCTCGCTTTACTTGAACCTTGGCCGGGATCTGCTTAGTTCGGCCGGACTCGATCTACGCGGAACTGAACCCGGGCCGCAGGCCAGACGTGCCAACCAAGCCGGGAAACGGCTGTTCTGGAGCTTTTACATCCTTGAGCAACTTTATGGCTTCCACAACCAGCGGACAATATCAATGAAAGGTGGACTGGAGAACCTTCGTTATTGCCTCAGTGTTGGGGACAGTGCACGGCGCCCGCTGGCATTGGAACCACCTTTACTACCTGATGAAGCCCCTCTACCTCAAAGCGACGATAACAACAGCGACACGAAAGATCTCGGAATCTGGAATTACACTGTATATCTCACAGCTTTCTGGAAGGAGGCGAGGAACTATATCCTGCTCAGTGCTTCTGACACAGAGAGAGCTCCGTGGGCCCCAGATTCCTACTATACTTTGATCGTTTCGTACATGCATGAACTGGAAACTGAATTTCCGAAACCCCATCGGTGGGACTCTCGACGATTTTTCCAATGGTCACCCGAGGCACTGGAACGTGAAAGATCATATTGGGGTCCATGGCTGCTATTCCAATTTACCTACGACGCAATGTTCATCATTATCAACCACCCTTTCTTACTAAGTTCACGATCGCAATCCTCGAATTTGAAGATGCCAAATACCTTCTGGAGAGCGTCATCGGAGTCTGTATTATTGCATTCAACTTGGGTTGCACGTCTACTCACCATGGCCCACGAGAAAGCATTCGATATTTTTGATCCATTCCTGGGTTACGTTGCCGGAGTGGCTGCCAGTGCCCTGCTGTTTTACTGTCGCTCACAGAATGACGAAATCAGAAGGTCCGCCCACGATCATTTCGAAACATGCAGGGCTTTCGTGGATCAAGAGGCGCAGGTGTGGCCTTGGTGTGCCAAAATTGTAAGATCCGCCTGACTGTCCAGCCATGAATTTGCCCAAGCATAACTGACTTATTATACAACCGACAGAAGCAGGAGCTTGATTTGCTCGTGCAGCACGCATTCGGAGGCAGGGACAGAGACTCACCTTGGGAGCCGTCTCAAACTATACGCATCGACACAAATGCAATGCTGGAACTTCTCGATTACACCCGACATTCAACCGCAGCAGCCAGCAATGAGCCATCCTCAGATCTCAGAAAGTCTTTGTTCGACTCAAGTCTCTTGCCGCATGACAGTACGGCGGACAACCAAGTAGCGACAATTGAAATATCAGAGGAAGTTAGTGAGGCTGCCGGTCATCCAGTGGCACCTCCCATCTTGAGACCTACCATTTCAGCGGCAAAAATAGCAAACCCTGCCACAAAGTCAATTCCTTCGAACGTTAATGATTATGGTACCGAATTTCAGCGAAGCAGGAATCAAGAGCACTACCACCCCGTAACGTTCGGATCCTTGCCTACTCCAAGCGATGAACCTGGCAGCACAACAACAGCCACGAATATCGAGGCGTCAAGGGACACAGAAGTCTTTTGCTTACCGGCGGACAATTTTAGCAACGGAATGCTACAGGATATATTTAGCCAAGACATACAGTGGTGGAACATGAGCGGCTAAGATTGCACCAAGTTTTACTCGTCAAGATGGCCGCTTGATTGCGAAATAGCTAATGGTAATGATACTCCTGCTCCTTGGACTCCAAGACATAGCCTACACCAACAGAATCTTCCAGTCATTGTCAATCATGATATCCATCCAGAAGACATTAGGATTACCATCATCACCAGCCTCCCAGGTTTTAAGCACAAGCTCTTCCACAATTTCAATTGAACGGTAGGGCAAGACTTGGCGGATGGCTTGCAGGCGCTCAAGAACTGCGTTGCGAGATTTCATGATACAATTCGTCTCGGCTGAGTCCAAAACTGATCTCTCGATACTGTTTTTCTCGGCTTCATAGCCTGATAGGTTGTTCAAAGCCATGGGTTGATCTGAAGGGCTTGTGGAAAGGGGCGATAGTGGATCGAAGCCTGATATCAAGGGCCCCGAGCTTGAACTACCGCTCCCTTCGGTCAGTTCAAAATGTTGGGAATATGTCCGCTTCTGCAACTCCCCAGCAATGATGATCAACAGAATTTGCTCGATACTGCGAGTTCCCGATCGCCGTCCATTTTGGCAGAGGATGTTGAGTGCGTGAGTGGCAAGCGCAGTCACCCACAGCAATCTTCGCTCGTCGGCGGATTCAGTGATTTGATGTTGGTCTTCTTGGAATCCTAGTCTGCTGTCGAGGAGATCTGGAAATGATCGATATAGTAGAATAAGAGCCGCGAGTCGATAAACTTCCGCGATGTTGATGAGGTGTTGTATAGGAGTCTCCGTATCACCGACGTCAACAAAATCATCCGCTCTTGGCATCTCCAGAGACAATGCTTCCTCCTCTAGACTGTGTGCTTGTTGTAGTGCCTCGTATTCCTTTTGAAGTTGGTTCATACTGGTAAAGGGCTTACGTCGGCACCTTAGCCTTTGTGCATGGATCAACAAACCCACCTGCCCTAGGACCCGTTGCGCCTCAGGCGATACCCCAGCCAGTGGGTGAGGGATTCTCTTTTCCGGCATGTTAGTTTCGCTATGATTAGCAACATCATGCTGGGAAGGTGGAGGTTCCAGTAGACATTCTTTGGTGGTGTCTGTGACAAATGCAAGACCCATCCACCAATATACCAACGCATGGACGAAGAATTGCTGATACTCGCTATAAGGTGCATACGGCCAGCTGCCTCCATATGCTTGTTGGTACAACTGCATTGCTGCATTGTAATGAAAGATACTCGGATTGTTGGAACCGTCCCAATTCGTCGTGAGACCGAACATGATAATAGCCATCAGGACATCCTCGATTTTTGTTCTCGTCGGTCTCTTCAATTGGGCAATCTCGTTGTGCAATCGATACAATATTTCGGCCTGCGCATTTTGTACTGCTAGAGTGGCTGCGGTGTCCACAGCACCAGAGTTCAGGAAAGCCGCGGTAATATAGCGGCATAAGGAAAAGAATAGCAGCGACTCTCGCGCTCGCGACATGGCTACCATTCTGAACGGATTGTTTGTTGAGTCAAATGCTGACAGAGACTTGCATATATCCTGCGTGAAGAGATCAACCTGAATCTGGGTGTTGCTGAGTATGGTGTCCAGGGGTTGCCATGAATATCGACCCAATGCGAGGGATGGTCGGCGAGATGCTGTCGGCGATTGCTGAGTAGAGCTGTCTTGGGGGCTTGGAAACTGCACTGCAGGCAGCGACACGTTTTCTTCCTGCTCCTGCAACGATGCTTGTTCTGCCCACTGACTGAAAGCATCAGTGGGAACAGGGGGTTCAATATTAGTGGTCTCGGTGTTGGGCTTGTCATGATTGTCGTTATCGCCTGGCGCCTCGTCATGACGACGTCGTGGTGAGGTCGCTATCTCTGGATTTCCACCAGAAACAACGGATGAGGCTCTCTTCTTGTCTGGAACAGGAGCAGGTTGAGGTTGAAGACTTGAGCGCCAGTGCCGTTCATGTTTGCTCGACCATTTCCACCTTGTCGCGTATCCGGGACACTCTAGACCTTTGAGAGTACACTGCCTGCAAGATGGCTTGCCTTCGTCACATTTGACCTAAATCTTGAGTAAGCACGTCCAGAAAGGTGCAGTTTGAGGCACCTACTCTTCGTTGTTTGCATGTACTGCAACCAGATCTGGATTTGGCGGTCTTTCCCGCTGCTGGCATGGCTCACAAAAGCAAACAGAGTTTAGCACATAAAGTCATGGCTTGAAGAAACTGCGTTGCGAAATGAATCAGGCCACATATCCTGCATGGTCGTTGGCGATGACTGCCGTATGACGGCAAATGGAAAGAGGAAGGCAAGGCGGATGACACGGTGGGTGGTTTCGTTTATGGGGTAAAATTATCGACTATCTTGGGCGGGGATTCGGTGGAGGTGGCTAAGCCCGGGGAACATGTTCGATTGGTTTCGAGTTGGCGATTGTGACTTCAGCCGAAGGAGGGTCTTTCCTGTCTTATCGCCTATCTCGTCAAGGCGGCGAAATTGAGCCAGTGATGGCAGTACGAATGATAAGCGAAAAGTCACCCTTGCTTCTGCTACATCGGTGCTATCATCGAACGATGTTCTTACTAGCTTTACTACCAAAAGTTCTTGCAACACTGCTTGTTCATACGAGCGCTGTGGAAGAGCCGTCTGGAAAACGTGCCATTTGTTTTATGACTTTCTGTTGTGCTTTGGGATTGTATGAAAGTTATCACTTCCCGAGGATGCAGTAGCCATGATAGGTAACTGCCGCATCGATATCCTTTTCACCATCTGCGCAACATATTTGTCTTCCCTCTGACCTTTTTTGAAAAGCACGTCCACCTCCTCGAAGCCTGCACGCCACGCTTGCAAAGGGAATCATCATTCGATCTGGACGTCTTGACATACCTGTGTGGGAGTCTCAAGCGGCCTTGTCAAGATGCTCGCATGCCAGAGGGGTGCCGAGCCGTAGTCCTGAGAGGCTAGCGAGAGAGGTCGGTAGCAGGCGACAGCAAGAAGTGCGACTTCGATTTCTCTTCATGTCGTGCTCGATAACAACGGATTTCAAGGGTGTTCTTCAAGTATACGCCTAGTCTTAGCAGTCAGAGCTTGTGTGCGATTCAAAAATTTCAAACCAACATAAAGAGAAAACTCGGTTGACATTCCGATTCCCGAAGGCTCTCAACCGTCTGCGGCTGGCATCATAGGGGGCGTCTTACAGCTGATAGCAAAATGAACAAGAGCTACAGTCGAATGTCCCAGCCTCAGCATGGTTGCGTTCCCTGCCATCTTTTATCTGCAACACTCACTGGCAATGTCAGTTCCTTTAACTGTTGAATCAACACGCTGTACATCCGCAGTTTGGAACAATCCCTCTGGAGGGGGATGTCTATGCCAGCATTGGGAACAAAATGCGGTGAGAATTGAAGGCATGTTCCTCACAGAACAATCAGGACACCAGCTGCCGGTTCGCCGACTTGCTGGGAACGCTATCTCCGGCATGCCCCCGCACACAGGGTTCCGGGGGGAGCGGAACAGTAGCGCCGCTGGAGTCGAGCCATGCCTATTTTGGCCAAAAAGTGCGATTGGTTGATCAACAAATGCCGTGGAGAAAATCAAGACACCCCTTGGATAAACGCGTGTCCTTCTGCGCCCCTACTTCCTACAGTATCAACTGTGCTGCGCTTTCGTCGGAGGTTGCTATGTCTCAAAGAACTCCATATTACAACCTAGCTGGCAATCTAGACCCGCACTTGAATGCAATTCCATAATCGTTTGACGAAAAAGCAACGGTGCTACCTCGGTGAATTACGAAGATGTCCCCCTTTGTAACGGTCTCTTTAGTTCCGCTTTCATCCTCCAGGGTGATTGTGCCTACAGACAGTCAGTGTTTATCCGAAATCCAACAGTTCGCCGGGGAGATTACCTTCAATGACAACACCGACCTCGTCGTATTCGTACTTGGGCGGCGTAGATGGAGGTCCTCGCTCGATGCGAAACCAAGAACCGGTTATTGGGTTGGGAACACTCTCGTCACGACTTCCAAGAAAGTCGGCTGTGCCGAGTCAGTGGTTGCCTTTTCTTCTGGACGAATGGGGTGGATCCGGAGCCTGCGGTGTCATCACTCACTGAAGTACACATGGTCCGGCACTCCTGGGATGTTCTGGGCCTTGAACTTCTTGGTCTTAGGCTTGACTTCCAATACCATGTTGGGCCAACAGTGACTGAGTAAAACTTGGGGCGTCTGGGGAAACTCCAAGGCCGTCTGGGGTCAGGTTATTTATCTCAGACTTTTATCACTGTCTGCGAACAAATTGCCCCAATTAGGAATTTCAACATCGCGGGGTACATTCCGCCCTTCACTCTTGCAGGTACAAATGAGCAGACGTAAGTTCTCCCTTGATCTACATTCAAGCCGAGGGTGGTGATCATTGTTCCTACGTTTATTTACCTTCAACTGTAAGTCATCCCTCAGCCGACACACCACCCTGCTGTTTGAAGTATTGCGGCGCCTTTTTTCAACATGTCGAGGTCACGCGAAGGATATCTTTGGACGAAAAGCGGTATCACCACAGGACTTCCCACAAAAGCAGTGATCTCCAGCACCGCCAACATCAAACCCAGCTACGATGTGATAATCGTTGGAGCCGGATTCACTGGGTTACGGGCTGCTCGAGAACTTGTCCGTCACTATGGGTTGAGTGTTTTGATTGTCGAAGGACGAGATCGCATTGGCGGCCGGACCTGGACAGCGCAAGCATTTGGAGAGGACTTTGAAATGGGTGGAACATGGGTACGAGACCTTCTTTTGAATTTAAACACTGCAGAGTCTAAGATGCCAAGGTCCATTGGAATCAACCACACCTCTACGCCGAGTTGCACAGATACAATCTTCATAAAAATCTCAAGTCGTCGGCCGGTACCATCGGAGCGGTGAAGACATACTATAAGACGGCAGAGGGCGAGGTGCAAGAAATCGATGGCCCTACTCAGGCGGAGGTAATTCAAGCCGTCGCCAAAGAGTTCTTCACCATCGATGGGCTCTCCAGCTATGAGCTCATGCCATATCCACATGACCCTTTCCGGGAGCCGGCGCCCTGGAAGAAGTACGACCACCTCACGGTGCGGCAGCGCCTTGACCAGCTTGACCTTCCTAAACTCCACAAAGGCTACTTTGAGAGTGCAGTCAACACGTTTGGCAGCGCACCCAGCACAGACATTGGATTCGTCGAAGCCCTCCGCTGGTACGCGCTTGGAGGTCACAACATGGCCCAGGTTTTCGAGCTTGCAGGCATTTACAAATTGGGCAAGGGTGGTATGACATCCTTTGCTCGATCTATTTTCGACGACGCAAAATGCGACATTCTTCTCAACACGGTCATCTCAGAGATAGTTCAAGACTTCCGTTCTGGCGTGGAGGTGAAATCCAAGGACGGGCGTTCATTAAGGGCGAAAGCGATTGTCTGCACTGTTCCACTGAACTGCTTGGGTGATGTCAAGTTTTCACCACCGCTGAGTCCCTTGAAGGTGAAGGCAATCGAGAAAGGGCATATCAACAAAGGCGCCAAGATCCACTTCAAACTCGCCAAAACGGAACCGGGATGGTATGCATCGTGTGACGGCTACTCGACATCCTCGTTTTCATTCGCCTTCTCGGACCACAACGGCACAAGCCCTTCGGGACCGAGTGGCACTTACTGCATTGGTTTTGGGTATAATGATCGCTTGCAGGATCCGCGAAACAGTAAGCATATTATCGAGGAGTTCAAGAAGGATCTACGTCCTGATGCTGAGGTCGAAGGATATCTCACGCACGATTGGATGAATGACCCTTTGGCCAAGGGCTTGTGGAGTTGCTGGGGCAATCATTCGATGACGAGGTACCTTCAGGAGCTCCAGAAGCCACATGGAAATGTCTTTTTCGCGAGCGCTGACTGGGCTGATGGTTGGCGAGGCTTTGTTGATGGAGCGCTCGAAAGTGGGTTAAGGACAGCACAGGACGTGGCGAAGACGCTCTCTGCGAATCCAGGTCCAAGGCTGTAAGTGTAGATACTGGCATTAAGTTTCATGGCAAGTATAAGTCTATGTTCTTTTATCCCCTAACAATATAATATAGTCTGCGGAGGGATAGTGGAATCGATAACCATAAGAAGGGTCGCAGAGTAGATATCTTGGAGTGCTGTCAGTATCTCAGGCGTCTATCTACCTTGTTGACGACTGTCTTCCCTTGAGCTTTTCGCTCCAGGTTGTATGCAAGAATTTTCAGAACTCGTTCGTTATAGTGATTTGAGTTGCCGCTGCAATGCGGTGTAATAGTGACGTTGGGGGCCTTCCACAGCGGATGGTCCTGAGGCAATGGCTCGGGATCCGTGACATCAAGCGCTGCGCCTCTTATTTTTCCCTGTTGAAGCGCCTCGATCAAGTCCTCAGTGTGGACGATGGCCCCTCTACCTGCGTTGCTGAGAAAAGTCCTCTTTTTACTGAGAATCGTGAATTGCTCGGCCGAAATCATGTGCTTGGTCAACGGCGTGAGTGGTAGGGTGATGACGAGGAGATCTAGATCCGAGTCGAGGAAATCATTCAGCTGCTTGGTACCAGAGAACCACTTCGACGGGAAGTCTCCCTGAGGGTCGCCCATAGCAGGTTCGGTAAAAGAGTCATCTTTTCTCGACTCAGCAGTTGGACGTTCGTGTAGAGTGAAGGCATAACTCTCCATGCCAAAGGCTTTTGCTACTCTAGCAACTTGACGGCCAATGCAGCCATAGCCCAGGATTCCTCTGCACCGAAGATCAGTATCATGCTGGGATTTTAATTGATCTTGACAGGAAAGATACTTACACTCGCAGACCGACAGCGTCTTCAACATCTTCGTCCGACTCACTGCTGCCTGTCAGAACATGGGGACGTTCGTGCGTCCAAGTGCACAGTACGAAATACTCACGGATCAACCCACTTGCCCAGCTTCTGGTTATCATAGTGCTCCGCAACTATGCGTGGCGGTTAGACAGTCTCCAAAGCTAAAGGGGGAACCCTACTCACGATGATGTTGGAAGCCGAGGAAGGTTGCGAAAACCCATTCGGCGATTTGAGGTCTGAGAGGTTAGCCAAGAAAGGATCCTTGTGTTGAGGAGGCCTTACGGATGCACGCCGTTGGCAGTGCAAAAATCGATATCAGTGTCTTCGAAGATGGGTTTGCCAAAAATTTGATTCGCGCCGGCACTCAGGAGTTGGACGTATCGAAGGTTTGGAGCTTGTTCCTTTGTTGGAAGCAGCTTCCAAGTCAGGAGCGCGGTAACAGATGCCCACGTCTCGTCGGTGATTTCTTTGGGGACTTCTGTATCGCTCATCGAGGTCGTGTGCACGATCACACGAATGCCGGGGCTGCGCTGTGACAGCATCCGGACGAACGCTTCTGGAGGTGTCCAGTGCAGCAAGATAAGCAAGACCTCGCTGTCACCCATGTTGAGTTGAAGACTGAATCAAATTCGGGTTAGTAATGACGAAAAGGCCTCAAACGTCGGGAGGTGCCTCTTTGTCTGTGAACAATAAAGTAGCAAGACAAGGCTGTTGTTTCGCTTTTTGAGGTACAGCTGCGTGTCGTAGCTTGTCGCGCAGAGGCATCCGGCAAGGGGCCGAGTCAGGCAGGCCCCGACCGCCATGATGACACGGCTCTGTACAAACTCTAGTCCTGAAAAGGGGCATCCGAACGCCTCAGCCTGGCGGACTCGGAGGGGAAGAAAAACCGGAGAGGCACGATCTCGGCCTCTTATGCACACTAACACCCAGAGTGGGAACATCGAGTGGACTCACCTGGACCACTCCTGGGGCTGCCCTCGCTTGCCGATCACTAGGAGGGGCCAGACGATCCCTGTACGAATCTCCCCTTTAATTGGCTGCCTAAGCCCATCCTTATCAGAAAGCCGTCGGCTAAAGCAGCTTCAGTAGCCGAGACGATAGAGCTCTAGCATGCATGATTGATTTCCCGCAACTCGACAGTCGCTAACTTGCCTCTGAGCATTCACTCATCGTGCGACGTCTCGACATGTCCTCGCCGACCTCCCGAAGAAGACCATGGACTCATACAGAGGACGAGCTGCTGAAATCCCTCATCTCGATCTATGGCCACAAGCGAGGGCGCCCATCAGAAAGTAGATGGACTCAAATCTCTTCGCATCTGCCAGGCAGGAGTAATGGAGGTACGTCGCGGCATTTCAACGGGGTCGCAGCTTGCTGACGCAGTGTCAGATTGTCGAAAACGATGGTTTCATTCTTTGGACCCATCACTACGCAAAGGTCGCTGGACAAAAGACGAGGATCGCATCATTCTCGATGCCTACCAGCAACTCGGCCCTTCTTGGAAGCAGATCGGTGGGTGACATGTCCCCGTAGAGTTCGCTGTTAACACTTGATAGCATTGTTGTTAGACGGGAGGAAGGATGACCAGGTGGCCAAGCGATACAAGGACATCCTTTCCCCTAACGTCCGAGACCGTTTGTCGAATTGGACTTCCGCCGAGGACAAATATCTGGCTGATCAGGTCACCAAGTATGGCCACCGCTGGTCGGCCATATCAAAGGGACTTCCTGGACGCCCTCCATTAACCTGCAGGAATCGCTGGCGGTACCTTAGTCGCTCATCCCAGAGTGCAGCATCGCAGCCAGAAAGTGAAGACGTCGAAGCACCGATAGCGTCTAATATTGGCCCAGTGTCTATGACGGCCGATGACTTTTGCGATCTTTCTCTCTCAATCACCTCCCCGTCCGAAATGTTCTCTGCCAGTGACTGCGGTTGGGTCGTTGACGAGCAGACGTCTTATGCGGACAACGACACTTTCAATCTCGACTTTCCAGCGACAGTCAATCTGGAATTGGACGACTTGTCAAGTCAGCCCCTTGGGGGTTTGCTGTCCCACGAGATTCCAAGAAGCGACATGTCCACAGATGTCACAGACAGTCATTTTCAGCCCTCAATGGCCCTTCCGATGGAGACGGGCTCTTCGTCAAGCCTCCCATCTTCCCAAGGTCACAGCGCCATCTTCACAGGATTTGCACACCAGGTTCCTCCTTCACAGACATTGAATCCTCCTACCTACACGGGAACCGAACAGCTCACACTTGAGCAATCATATATTGATCCGGCAGTGCCTCATGTAACGCATCTCGTCCATCATCATCACCACCACCATTATCACATCTATCATCATAAGAGCTGAAGGGTCAACGAGCGAAGACCACCATTGACCTAATCGATGATCGCACGTCTCTGGCCCACTCTATCCTTAGCCACAGAGCTCTACGATAACTCCTTAGTGCTGTTTTATCCTGAGACCATGATAATTGCCTTTGGTTTTGGCCACTGAGATAGTTCAATAATGCATGTCTGTTATGGATTCCAATAATGGCCTAATCTGGATTCGGACTTATCTGTGGTTGTAGCAATGAGAAGAGAGGTTGATTGACTACCTAGAAGTGGAGGAGAGACTGGCTGCTATACGTACGAAACAAAAGTATCTCCGATCCTTATCACTAGACTTACATAGGTATTAGGGCATTCGAATGCCAAAGAACGAATCGGTGTACTCCGTAGGCATACGAGGTTTCTTTGATGGCCCTTGTCGTTATCAGCAACTTCCCCACACAAGCCCAGACAGGGTTGGGCGGATCCCGCAAGCGACCCATTGTTTTGTGACTCAGCTCATGGAGGGTCCCCTCGCCCCACCATCGTTCAAGGGCAGAAAGTCAACAAGATTCGTCGCTCAACACCTCCCAAAAGTTACCTCAAAAAGGTTCCCACACTGACTCGGCCCTCAGCTCCTACAGTTCCTTACTATAGGCTAAGCCTTCGCCTAAGTTGTATCGTTCTCTGGGTGCCTTGTTAAAAACCCATTTACGCCTTACAGATTGACTCGGCCTTTCCTGCTGCCTTCTTCAACCTGAGGTGTAACATATTCTTGACGGCCGCCTAGAGACACAACCAGAGATGTGTTGACCACCATTGAAATAATTCCAGAGCTGACCGGCAAACGAACTTCACCTTCGACCTGTCACGGAATAGGGCTCTTGTGTACATACCGTTCATTCCCAAGAAGCCGGATTGCCAATAGCCATGGCAGGACGGCCGGATTCACTAGATCATAATGTCTATTGCATCGCAGATCTCATTGAGTTCTGCAACAAACGGACGTCCAAGACCACCAGTGAGTATATTGCAGGCGGGGCTATGGATATGATTACGTGAGTACCACTTGCAACATGCAATCTTAGTTTCGCGGAAAGGCCATCACTGTTTCTGACCGCAATGCAGGACAAAGGATAATTGTGCTGCCTTTGACCGATATCGCCTTCTGCCCCGGGTTATGAAGGATGTTCGGCGTGTTGACCCATCGTCGGAGTGCTGGGGCGTCAAGGTTTGCGCCACAACGAGTACACAAACATTGCTGACGTGTTGGTATCAAGACTTCCATGCCGCTGGGATTTTCTCCTACCGGCCTTCACGGGGTTGCGCATCCCCATAGAGAACTGGGTGTTTCTAGAGCCGCTGCCAAAAGAGGAGTTCCCATGTGTTTGTCCAGCTGGGCAAATTCTTCAATCGAAGATGTGATCCAGCAGGGCAAGCACTCTGGTATTCCCTATGCCATGCAGCTGAGTGTCGTGGAGGATGCCGGAGCAAACCTGTACACGATTCAGAAAGCAGAAGGTAACCGCAAACGTGTGATGAATCCAGATGCCCCCGACTGATGTGCTGATGTCCAGCGGCCGGAGCAAAGGCACTCTGGGTCACTTGCGACCTGCCTATTCTTGGACGCCGCTTGAATGAGTACAAGAACAACTTTTCAATCCCGGAAGGGATGACTGTTCCCAATATCCCCCCCGAGGTCGACTTCCGCGCTGCGGGCAAAAATCCCCGGATGGCCTATGGTATGATGTCCGAACACTTCGATAGGCCGCAGCTGATGTTTCCAGACCGTGGATTGACTTGGGAGAAGGTTCGATGGTTCAAACAACATACCAAAATGGAGGTGTGGTTGAAAGGCAGTGAGCACAAGGCTTCTTTCTTGCGCCGCACCAGAGCTTTATACTGACTATGGCAAGTCATGGACCCAGAGGACGCAGACCTCGCAGTTAAAGCAGGAGCGGACGGCATCATCGTCTCGAACCACGGCGGTCGCCAATTGGATGGCATATCATCCACCCTCGACGCACTTCCGGGGGTGGTCGCCGCCGTGGCGGGACGGATTCCTGTCCATTTTGATGGTGGCATTCGACGCGGTACGGATATCTTCAAAGCACTCGCTCTCGGGGCCGACTTCTGCTTTGTCGGCCGTATCGCCCTCTGGGGCTTAGGGGTAAGTGGCAACGGCTCCCGCGACCATGCCACCTTCTAACGTGAACCAACAGTATAACGGCGACGAGGGCGTCTCGCTGGCGCTGAAACTCCTTTACGATGAGTTCTTCGACACCATGACGATGGTGGGCGTAAATTCTGTCAAAGAGATCGGGCTTCAACATGTGGCGAGGCTTACTGCGGATGGCTCACTTGCCCGCTTCAACACCGGAAAGAAGCTTAATCCACGGCTGTAGTTCGAAGCGCAGGGCCTATGCATGCTATTTCTTTCTACGAGCTCTCTACTTGAATTCCAAGTAACAATGAGCTCCGACTTGGACAGCCAGCGCGAATTGTGGACGAAAATTGGAACGATTGCAACGGACCTTGCTGTCAAAATGGTGACTCGCCACAAATTTTACACATCAATGGCTGATGGATGGGCTTTGCAATAGTAAGCCGATCTTTCTACCGCCAGCAAAAATTGATATCATTACTTTCGGTGGAACACGAAACCCTATCTAGTCGTCGACGTTGGCGTTCGTGATTGACTGGACCCATTAACGCTAGCACGTGATGTGGGGTGGACCATCCATGGCCCGGGGTAAAGGCCTCGATGGGAGAAGATTGCGCATGCAGGAAGAAAGTTTCGGATCGTGTGGTCCACATTCTGAACTGGTAGGTCTTCATATTGTAAATCCGACATGACTGGCGGCGTTCGCAAAGTCTGCAGCCGTTCCAATCCCGTAATAGGCGAAGTGGGATGGTATGCTGAAGCTGCGCGTGCTGTCAAGCTGACAGATAAGGGGCCAGTTCCAGTGCAGCTGAGCGGAGTAATGGTTTATATAGCACCACACCATAGACATCAGTGAGAAATCTGTCGGCATATTCTCAAATGTTCCCCCAACTCCAATTGCTCGTGTAAACTGTGGCTATGTAGCACATTAGGTCGCTTTGCGGCTCTCCTAGGCATGTGCACCAAAACTCCACTGTTGTGCATGTCAAGCTCAAAATGCTCTTCATTGATAGGCAGGCGCTGTGAGCCCCAGGCGCAAGCCCGCAAGGCAACATTCATCACTAGGACAATATATAGCGTATTTCATTCAAACATTGTTCTTAGCGAGTAGAACAATTGTGCAGGACATCCCCTCTTGCGTCCAGTAAACTCACCACCGACCCAAATCGTGTAGCCTTCCGAGTTACATTCCTGTTCGACCTTGGGTACGCCCTTCGGAAGCCAATTTAGACATCTTTGAATGACGATACTGATGTCCTTGGGCTAAATGACGTGCTTATGACCTAAGGTGCGGAATCAGAGTGCCAGCTGAGAATGCAATGACTGTTTATGGAACGAAGTTATGGTAAGAGTCGGTCTTCTTGACCGCCAGTAGCGAAGCATCATTCTGTGAACAAGAGCTGGTGCACGCGGCATTGGGTGTTGTACAGTCTTTGATTATCTCCCTCTGATAGAATTCATGAGACGCATCCTCCATTTTCATGCAGAAAGATCGGTGGTAGCAGCATTTTCCCTCAAAAGAATCCAATGGTCGACGGCCTCATCCTGTCTCTTGGTGGCCGTCCCGCAAGTCATCATGGCCGAGGGGTAATACTGACTTCCGACCATTAGGATCATTGGTCTTCTTCGTTCCCAATTCTCCATTGTGGTTTCCTACCTTTCATCCCAACGTTGTTATAATTCAGTTTGTTGAGAAATGTTGAGTTTTCTGTATTTCTCCAAAAATCACCGACCTCCGGATTTGTGCAACTTGCTTGTAATGCATCGATAGGAGCAAAAATCTCCCTCCGTGTTCTTATCATTAGTGTCCAGGGCCGAGTCATGAACCCCCGCAAAGCGAGGGTGGCAGGCACCCGAAATGCGGGTTTGAAACAAAACTTTATCTTGATCCTGGTTGACTGGCGCACGCACGCCCGTATTGGCCACCTCCGCTATCATTCCCGGTCGTGGGCATTTAAGAACGCCCTTTCAACCTACCCAGGACGCCAGTTGATTGACACCATATCTCGCTGAGTGTCAACATCTGACCCAGAGTCTCTATATATATGCACATATACATACATATCTCACTCTCTCAAGCACAAGTATTACCGAAAGAATCCAATAAAATAAGCATGTCGGTCTCTAAGGGCGAAGAAAAGGCGCGCAATGCTCCTGAGCCGTCTTTCCCAAAGATGAGCTTGGAAGAAACCAACATTTCAGAAGCCACGGGTCAGCTCGAAGCCAGCATGGTGCCTGTCACAGGGACCAAGCAGACATTGCGACACCTAAGGCCACGACACATCCAATTGATGGCCTTCTCTGGTGCCATTGGAACCGGTCTGTTTGTCGGATCAGGCTCTGCTCTCGCCCGGGCTGGTCCTTTGGGGTTATTTCTAGGGTGAGTCCTTCGCTGACCAAGACCAAGGATGTAGCATGCTGATACTTCACGTAGCTACAGTATTTATGCCTTGCTTGTTTGGTCAACATTCAATGCAGTCGGTGAGATGGTCGTCTGGCTCCCAATTGACAGCTCCTTTGTGGTCTTTGCACACGCTTTCCTCGACGATGCATGGGGTTTCGCCTTGGGTTGGCTATATACCGTCACCAATGCACTCTCTGCAGCTGGTGAAGTGGCCGCTGTGGCCGCGATATTCAATTTCTGGACTGTGTCCGTGAACAATGGTACTTCAAGCAACGCCGCGGCACCACTTCGATCACTGACTTTGAACAGCACTTTACGTGGCGATTGTGTCAACTTCTTTGGTCGCCCTCAACATTTTCGGGGTGCGGATTTACGGCGAAGGCGAATTCTACTTCTCGCTCTTTAAGATAATACTCATTCTGGGCTTGCTCTTGATGACATGTAAGTCGACCTTTGGTCTTGCAAATCAAGCAACGTGCTGATGTAGCCAGTTATTCTGATGGTAGGAGGAAACCCTCAGCACGACGCCTTTGGCTTCCGATACTGGAAAGATCCAGGGCCTTTCAACGAGTATATCGCTTCCGGTAGTTGGGGCAAGTACTGTTACTCTCCGGGCCTTGCTTGACACTAACGATCTCCTACTCAGGCCATTTCTTGGGCTTTTGGTCCGTGTTCGTCCAAGCTGCCTTTGCCTTTGGTGGACCTGACTACATCGCGCTTTGTGCTGGCGAAGCCCGGGCTCCACGCCGCGTTATGCCCTCGGTATTCAAACGTGTGATCTATCGGTTGGCATTGTTCTACATCCTGGGAGTCCTTGCTGCTGGCATCATGGTTCCCTCTGATGACCCAAATCTCGGCTCTAGCAAGCCCGGTGCTGGGGCTTCGCCGTTCGTGATTGGCATCACCAGACTGAAGATTCCGGTCCTCCCTCACATCATTAATGCGATGCTCCTAACCTCAGCCTGGTCGTGCGCCCTGGAGCTTTTCTATGCCTCTACCCGGTCTTTGTATGCATTAGCCGTCGACGGTAAGACCCCCAGGTTCCTCCTCTTCACCTGGCGAGGAGTTCCAACCTTTTGTGTTGTCGCAGTCTGGATTGTTACTTGGATCTCCTTCATGTCAGCTTCCAACGGGTCGCTCACCGTCTTTACCTGGCTTACCAGCATTGTTGGCTCCGGCAACTTGCTGATTTACAGCATCTTTCACATCACTTACATCCGATTTCGACTTGCGCAGAAGGCACAGGGGATCCGGGACGACCAGCGGCCGTGGTTCCGGCGTTATCAGTATTATTATTCGATTGTCTCACTGTTCTTTTACCTGATTATCTTCTTCACCAATGGGTTTTCGGTCTTCACTAAAGGGAACTGGTCGACTGCCAACTTTATCTTCGCTTATTTTTCCTTCGGTCTTTTCTTGGTCACATATGTGGGCTACAAGCTGATCAAGCGTCCAAGAATGTCTCCACTCAAAGCAGTTCCACTCCACGCGGGTAGGCATGAACTGGACATGGACGATGGCTATGTCGAAAAGGAGCCTGTCACCGCATTGCAGAAGTTCAACAGGTGGTTGTGGGGTTAGAATTGGAGGCGGCCAGATTGTGAAGGTGGAAGGTAGCTGCTTGGTCTTGCTGGGCGTGTGATCCAGACCTTTGACATGCAGAATTTTACAACTGTTTCCTTCAGGCTTTAAAGTCAATGGTACGTGTCTGCTAGTGTATGGACGCATAACTGATTCTATTTCAGTTCTCCATAGTCCTTCTGAGACTCTTGATCTAGGAATTTCGCATGTGTCTGTGTAGTTAGAAGATGTTGAGTATTTTGGGTACCTTGAGAGTCTTCTATTGCGGACCAGAATGCCACGAATAGAAGGTACAAATGCGGCATTGCGTTGAAAGAGACTTCTACCTTGCATCGAGCCAAGCTGCTAAGATCCTGGTTCCTGATTTTAACTCCTGCATCTGTGATCTTGGTAACAACCTGGTGACCCAGGACACATGTCCCCTGGATTCGTCGCCCGAACCTGCTGCGACGAAAAAAGGCGTTTGCCTTATCGCTAATGGCAAGAAGTGAGGATAAACAAGGAACGATCAACGCCAACAGAATGTCAGGAATGGTATTGTGTTTGTATTCTTAAAGTCCGAGGGTGTCAGATGAGGAGGATGTCCGAGGGTGTCAGATGAGGAGGATGTCAATGTAATAATACTAGTGTTTAATAGGCAAGAACGTTGAATATCTTTGGAAGGTGGGCCAGGGGCCCAATGTCGCTGAACAGCACCCAGTCGAATCAACTTCACAAGTCGCCACAAGGAGGTGTAAGGAGATGTCTGTCCGAAGGCTTATCGTGGGCCGAGTCTATATAAGGTTGGGGCCGAGTCAGTTACGTGTAAGGCGAGCTCTGCCCATTTTGACTGGTCGGGCTGTCTGGTGGTCCGGGTGTGGGCCGCCGCGATCCAATTGGCAGTTCTCCGTGTCTGGATCAACTGCTCGCCCTCGGAGAAGGAGAAGAGCGATAGCTGTCACCATCCAAGGGTCAGTCCCTCCCGCTGATCTATGACCAGCTCGGAGGGCCATCTGCGTGCCTTCCACAGCGAGCCGAGCTCGCATAGCACATCTTGTGGCGGCTGCTTCGGTCTTTTCCCGTCTGCACGGGGCCGAGTAAAGCGTAGCAGTTACTGCATGAGTATGTCTACGGTGAAGTCTGTGCTCCAGCCTTCGAGTGAGGCCTCCGCACCCTGCTGATGCACCAATGAGCGATTGGGCTGAGTTTCACCCAACTCGGCTGTTGAAAGTCTCAAAGTTCGATCACGACTTGAATATAAAGCGATTCGAAGTAGGGTCCAAAGTTCCGTTCCAACTTGTGTCACGAAACCGCTCTCTTCTCATCTTTACGGGCTGACTTTCAATATCACTATTCACAATGGTTTCCACAGTCCACCACCCTCTTGACCCTGCCACAGCGGATGAGCTCGGTTTTGCCGTAAGCATGATACGAAAGCAGTATCCCGACGTCGCGCTGCACTTCAAAGTCGCTGGTCTGGAAGAGCCACCAAAGAAAGTGATGGTAAAATACCTCGAGGCAGAACACGCAGGACGTTCCATTTCGCCTCCCAATCGATGGATCTTCATGTAGGCAACATCGACTGTTCGAGGTAGTATTCGCTAATTTGCGCAGGATGTACTATATCAAATATACTCCGAGACTCTTTGAGTGCATCGTCGATGTTACGGATGGCAAGATTATCCACCATAGGGAAATGCCCCGCAATCAGTATGCGCCTGTCGACCGGGTGGAGATGAACGAGGCCGCCCAGGTGGCCCTAGCGGATTCGCAAGTGAAGAATGAGCTCGAGCGACTTCAGCTCGGGGATAATGTCGTGGTGCTCGATCCCTGGGACTACGGGAAGGACGACCCAAACGAGAACCGCCGTCTCACGCAGATCTTCTTCTACACTCGAAAGTAAGCTCAAGATGGTCAACGAAGGGCTTTGGAATGTCAAATCTGACAATGACAATAGCCCGAAGAATAACTCGCCCGACTCGAACCATTATGCATTCCCTTTGGATTTCATGGCTATTGTCGATCTGGTGGAGATGAAAGTGACCAAGATTTGCCATCTGCCTCTTGGTGCAGAAGCGATCACATCCAGACACACCGGTCCTCGTAAGGTGAGTCGACGTGAGCTGTAGATCGATATGATGCCCACATTATTGACTACATTGACCAGGTCGGCAACCCCGAGGAGCCTGAATATGATCACTCGCTGCAGAGTAAGCCCGCCCGAACTACCATGCGTCCCCTGGTTGTCACTCAGCCCAAAGGAGCGAGCTTCAAGATCACCGGGAGGCTGATTGAATGGGAGAAGTGGAGGTTCCGAGTGGGTGCGTCAAAGAAATTACTTACTTTCTAATAGTCGATGCTAAGACCCGCAGGTTTCAACTGGAGAGAAGGAATGCTTCTTCACGACGTAACTTTTGACGGACGGCCGGTGCTTTTCCGCATTTCCCTGGCCGAGATGTTCGTGCCCTATGGAGACCCTCGTGACCCTCTCCATCGCAAGGGTGCGTTTGATCTTGGAAACGTGGGCGCCGGAATGACGGCAAATGATCTCTCCCGTAAGCCATATATTCCGATCGTACATTGTATGACTGACCCATTTGCAGTTGGATGTGATTGTCTCGGGCTGATTGCTTACCTCTCTGGCCACGTCATTAACGCCCACGGAGAGGTTGTCGAGAAGAAGAACTGTATTTGCATGTAAGCTACCCGCTGTACCTGGCTTCGACCGCGACGGCTGATAGGTCACAGACACGAGGTGGATGCCGGCATCCAATGGAAACACACCAATCACCGAACCGGCAAAGCTTCTGTTGTCCGCAAGAGACAGCTTCAGCTACAGACAATTATTACAGGTAAGCCAGTGCCAGGTATTCATTATCTTCGGGTTGACTAAACCTATTCACTGATATAGTGGCCAACTACGAGTACATCTTCTACTTCATCCTCGATCAGTCCGGCGAAATCGAATACGAGACCCGTGAGTATATCGGTCCCAGGTAATTGGAAGGATGACTGAAACGCATCAGGTGCAACTGGTATTCTGTCGACAACGCCTATCGACCCTGACAACACTTCTAAAGTGCCCTTCGCTTCCCGCGTAGCCAGTGGCGTTCTCGCACCCTATCATCAGCATATTTTCAATCTCCGTATCGATCCAGCCGTTGACGGCTACTACAACAACACTGTCTCATATGTTGATAGCGTCCCAATGCCTCCTGACTCGACGCTTAACCCTCACAATACTGGCTACATGACGAAGGAGACTGTAATCACCAAATCGAGCTCACAAAACACCGACCCATACAAGGCCCGAATCTTCAAGATCTCCAACCCTGGCAGGATCAACCCGGTTTCTCTAGCCCCGGTGGCTTATAAACTGATTCCTATAAATTCTCAGGTGAGTGTTGCTCTCCTCGCTCCCTCTCCGTTGGCCCTTGTGATTGAGACTGATCCCAATAGAACCTTCTTGCCAGCAAAGACTCATGGCACTACCGTCGATCCCACTTTGCAGACGCGCCGATCTGGGTCACGAAGTATAAAGACCGAGAACTGTTCCCGGCGGGAGACTACACCAACCAAGGGGATGGCTGTGACGGCATCCGTAACTGGGTGGCTCGCAACGACAACGTTGAAAACGACGATGTGGTGTTGTGGCATTCGTACACTTTCACTCACAACCCGAGACCGGAGGATTTTCCCATCATGCGTAAGTGAACAATGCTGCTTTGTCGTCGGGAGTAAATAAGTTGACCTAATGCCCAGCCGCCGAGTCGGTCCGAGTGGCGCTGAAGCCCTACGGCTTTTTCAATTACAACCCCACGATGGATGTGCCTCCTTCGAATCAGGAATTCAACCAAAGCACAGCGTAAGTGAAATATGAGAACTACAGCCCTGTCCTTGAATGATACACTAAAGGAGCATAGGTATGACTCGACTTTGCAAGTGGGGGCTGACTCAACGGACAATGCTTCGTCGGCGACCAATGGCGTAGGGCCAATTACTCCCTGTTGCGTAAAGCTATAATCTTATGTAGCAACAAGAGACAGGGGTAATGTCTAAAGAATATGAAGTCAAAAGCCGGTGTCTTTATAATATGGTTACCTAATTTACAGTAGCATAACTCTCGGAGGTAGGCCAAACTCTAAGAACCTCCACTATGGTAACTTGAAGCGCTTTGGAGGTGACCTCTTACTTGATGCCAAATTAGTATGTAGGGGCTTCATTCCCTATTTAAAAGCAAACTATCTAGTAGTACTTCACCGCTTAGGTTTAAACCTTTTTCTATATAATAATTTTTATTTTATAGTACTACTAGAAAGCCCTACTACCCTGCTCTATAGTACCTATCGATTAGTACCAAGACTTTTTATATAATAGGTATTAAGAAAATCTTAACTATCTATATCGCTTAATATTTATTAAGAAATCTCTCTTTTTTTTCGATATAATCTATACTTAGACTATCTACTACTAATATATAATGTTTTAAGTAAATTAAAGTATTATTTATTAATTAAGAGTCGAAATTCTAATTATATAATTTAGTAGTAGAAGAGTTACTAAAACTCTTAAGTATTTATTATTAGGCTGCGCAGTGGCGCGGGTCAACCCGACCCTACCCGCGTTAGGGCTACCCTAAGGGTTAGGCCGGGTAGGCACTCCGTAACCTAACGGGTACCGCGGGCGGGTTTCTAAAATTTAAGCCCTACCCGTAGTACCTATTTAGGCCGAATAGCCCGTTTAGGTAGATAGTTTAATAGAAAAATACCGGTAATATTATAGCTTAATATATATAGAAAAGTAATAGCTTATACGCTAACTAGAAAACGTACTAGTATAAGAGGAATCTATTCTATAGATAGAATTAATATAGTAATTATTATTATACTCTAGTTATTACCTTCTCGAAATAGTACGAAAATATAAATATAAGTTATTATAGAAAAATACGATTAAAGGTATAATCGTAAGAGTACTATTTAGTACTTATTAATCTTATAAGGTTCTTCTAAATACTTTATAAATACTATAGGTAGATAATCAAGAAGTATATAATAGCTTAACCTTCTATTTATATAGAGATAGGTAGCTACTTAGTCTTAGACTCTTATAATTCTACGTACATTATATAATTAGATAAGGATAGATAAGTTATATACCCGTACTTTCGGTATATCTAGATTCTAAAAGATATCGAGTCGATATAGTATAATTATAGATCTTCTCGATAGTTATACTCCTCTTAGAATAGCGTATACTATACTTATACTTAGGCTTCTTATTATAATTATCCGCGATATAATAGTTATTATAGTAATCTATTCTTTAAAGACTCGAAGAGATATAAGAGATTTAAAAGTATATAAAGATCGATTAAGAAACGAATAGAGACGGAACTTTAATTAAGAATAACTAGAAAGAGACTAAGAAGAGTAATAATAAATAGTATATTCTATCGACTTCGTAGTCTATTAAATATATACTTATAATAAATACTACCGCCTTAGTATAGAGTATATAAAGTCCGTCTTAAATATAAAATCTAAGCTTATAATATTACTCTTCTATCTTCTCTTAATTCTCTTTAGACTACTAGAACGCTTAACTATAAGTATAGTATACTATAAAGATCGGCGAAGTTTAAAGATCGGCTAAGTATAGTAGTATAGAAGATAAAAGAAATAAATAACTAGAACGAAGGGCGTAACGGTATATTCTAAGAATAGTAATAAGATATAACTCGCGTAGTATATATAGAGATAAAGGCGAACTTAGACGTAGAAGTAGTCGAGATTCGAGAATATCGATATTTAGTATACCTAAAGCGCTTCGTATAAAAGTAAGTTCGCCCGCCTTCGTATAGTCGAGTCGAAGAAGAGAGCTACTCTTTAGGTTATAAACTAAAAAGATTAGTTAATAAATATAAATAGATCTCTTACCTTATAAATATCGCTATATAATTAAGTATTAAGTAAATCTACTTTAGTACTAACGATAGTAGAGGACTATTAATCGCTATTATAAGGATTAGCGAGCTAGAAGATATTATCGAGAATATACTATAATAACTAATCGTATCTCGATTCTCGATAGAAGAGAATAAAGTTTCTAATTAGGATCGACTAAACTTAAATTAAAGTCGACTTTTAGCTAAAGTATTAGAAAGCTAAGTAGATAGTAGCTCGCGAGATATAAGCGTAATATATTAATAATAGTATTACTAAAATTACTACTAATTTTAGAAGATCCTCGAAGTAGAGGATATATTAGTATCGTTAAAACTATTCTAAAGAATAGCGTAAGAGATAAATTACTAGAAACTAGATACTAGTACTAATATAGATTACTATAAATAGTCTAGACTAAATCTTCTACTAAATCTCCTTAGATATATTTTCTCGTAATAGAGGTAGTTAATTATAAGATCTTATAGTCTATAACTTATTTTAGATAAACGGGATATAGTACGGATTAGCTCGAGAAATAATTTCTCTTTACTAGTAGTAGACGAACTAATCTTACTTATAGTCTATATACGCCTTCTATACTCTTCTTAACGTTCTTATAAACTAACTTAATTCTAGTAATTAAAATTAAACTACTAAACCCCTACTATAGGTATTTTAACTTCGAGGAAGATAAGTATATACTACTCGTAGTATATAATATTCTATATCTATATAAGTAACTTAGGCTAGACTCCTTAGGCGCGTCGAATCTATTAGCTATAGCGAATAGTATATCTTCGACTATAGCCCTTTTCTTTATAATTATCTTCGTACTATATAATAATTTACTTAACTATCTAGAAAAATCCCTAATAAAGAAGTAGTCTACTATATCGACTAGAATATTAACTAACTAGATTCTAACTAGAGTAGGAATATAGCTACTAGTAATTGGTCGTATAGCGAGGATTAAGACGGCGAGTAAGTTATATATCTTTACTCTAGATAGTAATACGCTTTATATAGATAGTATATAGATTAGTATCTATATCTTATATTAGTTATACTAATTAATAGAAGTCCTAATTCGTACTAATCTTTAAATAATAATACTAAGAAAGCCTCGATAAATATCTAAAGAGCCTTTATTATAGTTACTTCGATACGGATAATATTATTAGAGAAGTCCCTTATAATCTCTCTTACTAGACGAATAAAGAGGACTATCGAGATAATAGAATTAGTAGTACGTTAGTAATATATAATTTTACGTAGTAAAAACGCTACCGTCTCGTTAGCTCTATTATAATAATTAATATAAGAAAATATACGAATCGCTTCTATTTATTATATATCTACTTTAGAATCTCTAGATAATCTCGTATTACTCGCTTAACTAGAGATTAGGTTTCTTATTATAACTTTCTCTTTAATAGATAATATATAGAGAGCGAGAGTAAATATACCTTCGCCGTCCGATTTATTCTTCGGCCGTAGAGCTATAATAAGTTTCTTTCTACGAGCTTTATAAAGTTAATATTAGCGTTCCTTAAGTAGTACGCGATTCGTACTATAGTCGTATCTATCGGTTTTCCGGCCGCCTTAGATTTTAGGATTATAGGTAGAGTCTTTCCGCTTTTCGAAGTTATAGATAGAGTCTTTCCGCTTCTCTTATCGATTCTTAAGCTAAATAGAGTCTTCGAGCTAGTTATCTTACCGCCCTT